CCTCTCTCTCTCTCTCTCTCTCTCTGTCTGCGGCTAGGTAGCCGAGAGATAGTATACGAGGGGCGAGGCAATCAGGTGTGTACCTACACACACTTAGAGAAGAAGCCTGCTTTCCAACCCTCTTCCAGGTTGCGGCGTACCTACGGCACCTCAAGTAGGTAAGGTTCACAGTCACATTTTACTTGCAACTTGTATCCGGCCGTTTTGGATGAATACATTTAAGGTAAATGTGTGATTGATTGAGAAACGTTATAGGCCGTTGTTTAGGTACCTTACCTTACTGAAGGATCGATCTATATCTTACCTTAGGTACCTTAACAGATAGTGTGTGAGTATAAGTAAATATATGTCAATAAAAAATAAACAAATAAACAAATAAACAACAACAAGAGGCAATTATATGTATATGGACCTTCTAGACAAGCTTTTGCAAGTGAGCGTGGCTACTGTAGGTATGCGGCCGCTGCATGTACATGTACTATGTAGTTTACAAGCACAGCTTTGTGACAGTACGTACGTACGCACTGCATACGAGCTTGAATTACTGTAAATGGTAATAAGATACCTTAGTTAGTGTGCTTGGTAATAGGTAGCTACATGTACCTACTACATGTACTCTATACATGTGATAGGTACTTCTATGCATGTATCGGGACTCTCTGCCAAGGAGGTAAAGTTCCCATACCTCGGCGATCTTTCAAAACAACATCGGAAGGTGCGGCGGGGCGGCATTTCCACCTGGGAAAGGGATACAAATTTCCACCAAAAAAAAACAAAAAAACAAAAGATTTTATTATGCTATTTGTGCCAACGAGTCAAGGCCGCGTCGCGGGTATCTGTGCACACATGGGAACTACTGCACTTCTATTGGTGACAGTGCGTTACCTTCAGCCGCAAAAAAGAAACTCTCTTTTCTGGAGAAAGAGGAGGAGGAGGCGGCGGCGGCGGCGGCGCCCACGTTGCAATCGTTATTGAGCCAGCGCGAGTCGTTGGTGGGGGTTCCCATGGCCGACCAACAAGATGAGAACGGCAGTTTTGTTGTTGAGGTGGGCCCGAAGAAACGGGAAAATTTGAGGCATTGCACGTTCTCACACTCGAGCCATGGGACCGGGCGACCGGTTGTGCTGTAAGGTTTTGCAGAGCAGATTGTTCAGAAACAGACAAGATGCTTCTCCTGCTGTAGTTGTCTCTCTCTCTCTCTCTCTCTCTCAACATAGGAGGTAGCTCCTAGCGGCGGACAATTATGAAAAATAAGAAGGTGGTGGAGTGAGAGCAGCCTATCCCGGTTGAAGCGACAGGCATCGGACCGTGTGGCTTGCAATCTGAGCACAGACAAGATCGATCGCGGCGGGGGAATTGGCAGCAGTGAGCTTGCTTCTTCTTGTGCACTTACGCAAGCTTGTCGTATGAGATAGCTGTAGCTTAGTATAGTAGTCAAAGTACATGTACAGTACGAGAGTACCTAGTAGTAGTGCTTCGCGGCCTTCTTCGCGACCTCTGATGTGAGTGAGTCCAACGTTTCGTGAGAGCTGCCAGCCCAGCCACTGCAATGTCTCTCGCCTTCTGCAGCACGGCAGCAGCGCAGGGCAGGCTACAGCGTGTAGAGACGGCAGCGCAGGGCAGGCTACAGCATACAGAGACGGCAGCGCAGGATTGGGTTGGGCGCCTCACGGCAGACGGCCATACGCACACCTCACACAGAGCCGCTGTATGCTTGCTTGCAGCTGCATGCAGCTAGCCTCCAACATAAACCTTGCGGGCCTGCCAACAACCGCATCTACCTTACCTCTAGGTACTGTACGTATGAATAATTAGCGTATGGAAAATACATGTACCTGACGACAGCCATCGAGGACGTCATGGTTACTCCTGACAAGAGGCTGGCGAATGAGGATAGGCGACGAGTGGCGTGTCCGGTGGCAGATGGCAGTGCCGCCGGAAGTGCAGACGCAGCGGGCATGTCGCGAGCAACGAGTAGTGAGTGGCAGCCTCGCAGGAGTCGTAAAACTACGATCAGCGGAATCGCGAATGCGCCCACCCAACAAGCGTGATTAGACCCGGGCTAGACGCATTCTGATTTCTGAGACAAAGCAAAACGAGCAGCCAAAGTGTGCAAAGGGGAGCTTCGTGGGAGTTTAGCGCCGACCGACCAGTTCCCCGGTGGGCCTGTGAGTGGATCCTACTACGGGTACACTTTGCTGCTCCCGGCAGTATGTCCTGTCGAGGCTGTAGCCTGTGAGGTGTGTCTCTCCATGGCCGATATACGCGGGGGGCGTGTCTTCTGACTGACCCCGCAACCATGGAAATACCAACAACATCAAATACAAGGTGTAAACAGGCGAGGAGGAGGATGAGGAGGCTGGGGGCGGCGGGCTATCATCCTGGAGAGAGGGCGGCAGGAAGAGGCAAGCTCGAACAAAGACACGGGACAGAGAGAGAGAGAGCGAGTGGCTTGGCAGAAGCGAGTAGTTGTTGCTAAGGAGACGCGCAAGCCGTTGCGCCGTCTGTGCATGTCCAATGGCCATAGCGGCTGTACAGTAGCGTGGGCGCTCCAGCCATCTCCCAAAGCATGCATGCATGCACCAGCACCAGACAGATTGTGGGACCCGCCTGTGCTGCGCTGCTGCAGATTAAATACCTCTCACATTCCTCGCATAACAACAATCCCACTTCCATCTCCGTTTGCATATTATCTTCCTCCTGCTGCGACCGTCGGGCCATCTGCTCCTCCTCCATAGACCTTACACTCGCTGTCTATCGCCCGCCACCCTTCGCCAGGACCACTACTCGCTACCTGTTCGACCCATCGCTTCACTGTACCATATACCAGAAGCACTAATACCTTACCTTACACCTTAATCAACAACCCACCACCACCACATCTTCGACAACATGCGTTACGCCATTGCCCCCATTGCCCTCGCGGCCGTCGCTGCTGCCGTTGCAGTTCCTCAAGGAGTCACCGAGGACATCACTCCGTCGACCTCTGCTCCTGCCGGCTGCTCGGGCGACTACCCAGGCACTTTCCAGATCCAGGTCGTCAACGTGACCACCCCTGCCAAGCAAAAGCGACAGGGCGGTGGTGCTTTGATCCTCACTCTCTCTGGCGGTGTTCTCAAGGATGCTCAAGGACGCACTGGCTACATCGCCGCCAACCGTCAATTCCAGTTCGATGGCCCTGCCCAAACCGGCGCTATCTACACTGCCGGATGGTCTGTCTGCCAAAACAACACCCTCGCCATCGGCAACGATGTTGTCTTCCAGCAATGCTTGAGCGGTACCTTCTACAACCTGTACGACGAGGCCACTGAAGAGCAGTGCACTCCCATCTACATCGAGGCTATCAACGCTGGCGGTGCCGCTTCTGGTGCTGCTTCCGTAATGCCCGATGGCCAACCTACTGCTTCTCCTCAGCCAGTCAACCAGATCGGAGATGGGTAAGTGATTGGAATCGATAGACACTGTTGTGTTCGATTTGCTGACCTGTATCCAGTCAACCACAAGCCAGCACAGGAGCTGTCACACAAATTGGAGATGGTCAGAGTACGTGCCTTCCGCAATTCGTGTCCCATGATCAATCACTGACAGCCGAACAGTTCAAGCCCCAACCGGCACGCCTGTCATGGAGATGAGCGACGGCCAAATCACTGCTGCCACTGGTGCTCCTGTCACCCAGATCGGAGACGGTCAGATCCAGGCACCAACCACCACTGGAGCTCCTGTCACCCAAATTGGTGATGGCCAGATCCAGGCACCAACTGCCGCTGCAACCTCTTCCGGTTACGTCGTCAGCCAGATTCCTGATGGCCAGATCCAGGCTCCTACCAACGCCACCAAGGTCTCTGCTACTCCATCCGTCATGCCATACACTGGTGCCGCCACCATCCCCACCATGCGCAGTGAGCTGTTCGGCCTTGCTGCCGGTGTCCTCGCCATTGCCATGCTTTAAGCATCAGGCTTCGACAAGACTGCATTTATTCCATGAAGCATGTGGAAACACATGTGGCTGTGATCCTCTACGGATCTCATTCATACAGGACGGCTACGGATTATAGCATGAAAGTTTGGTTTACGATTTCGACATGTGCATATGAACAATTCTTGGGGAGGAGAAACACAGCGACCCGTGCCTCAGTACGACTTTTTGCAAGTCGGGAAAGGGAGGAGTGAATATGGCATGGCCTATAATGTTTTAGAGAACACAGTCGGGTGATCCGACAGCAAGCGTTTGGAGAAGCGCGGAGTTTGAGAGGGCCTGTTCTGACATTGTCTGCCACAGTTGGTGCATGCTTTGTCTGTTTTTTGCATTGCATGGCATTGCGCCGCGGAGAGTCGCGTCTGCATATTTGCATTCTTTGTCACATAGTTGTGGTTGATGTTGCCAGGAGGGAAGATTATCCAAGAGGAAGATTAGGTACCTACCGTTAATGGCATGATCAAGATGTTGAAGACCCACATTCCTTTCTTATCTTTTCCCTCCCGCTTTTCTCCCTCTCTCCCAACGTTTCACATTTTTCGATAGCTTACCCGCTTCCAATTTCTCATCAATCTATTTCCTGATTCCTGATTCATGCAAGCCATTATTTCACCGCCTGACTTTTTTTCTTCTTCTTTCGTTTTCCAACCGATCTTTTCGTAACCCGCGATCGTATCCGTGATGTACATATACAATTATACATGTTCGCAGAGTCTTGGGGCTACATGTAGATTACATAAGAACTGAAGAAGAAGACGAGAAGAACAAGAAGAAGAAAAATAACCGAGATATCCCCGTTACTACCTTAATGATCCAACCCTAGCCTACATACATCTCATCTTGTCCGTCGAGTTGTATCCCAAGTACCTGACCTTACCTTAGGTATGTCTTGAACTATCTAATATACTTAATACAACGTCTCTCCAAACGTTTCCACTACTTTAGGTACCTTTTGTACGAACGAGCCTCGTATAATATAAGAAGCTACTATACCTAGTACCTAGGTAGTTAAGGTACCGAGTTCTCCAAACAAAATCTCAAGACCAATAAATAGGTATTCAAGAAGAACAATCCCTCTGATCAGAATCAACGACTACCTGGTTATACATAAAGCACCTACTTATAGAGAGAAAGCAGGCATCGAAATAGCATCCAGCGTCCTTTTCGACGCCTCTCCCGAGTCTTTTTAACAATTTTCGTAATGATAATGATAAAAAATTCCGATTCGACAACCGTTTTAGATGAGAGCTGTTGCAGGCTTGCAGCAATTCTCTCGAGTATACCTTACCTGTACCTGGCTGGTAGTAGTAGATTGGAGTGTAGTGGAGTGCAGGCTTCCATCGCAATACAACTTCACTCATTGTCCCGAAAGGCTGGCATCACCAGGTGTGACAGTAAGGTACATGTACCTCGCGATAGAAGTTCAAGTTACCAACCTCTTGGTAGCGTCGTGAAAGAGTGCACAGGTACATGTAGATGGATTTCTGTGTTACTAAAGTTCTGCCAATGAATAAACGACCTCAACCGCCACCTAGATGTATACGGTAGGAGGTATACCGAGCACGTTTTCCTCCCTGTGAACGCCTGCTAAATGTCATCCCGAAAGGGTATCTTCTCCATTGTCCATTTGTGCTCAAATCAATTCCCATCATGCAATGCATCGTAGACCATTATTCATCACTCGCTGCAGCTTCCGCACAATATAAAACTCAGACCTGAATCGCACTTCTAGCCAGAGACCTCTTGAGACCAAGACTCGAGCGCCCTGCCTCCCTAGCGCAAGAACGTAGCTGCTCGTCAGCTGCGAAACTCGAAGCTTCAATTCGTCCCGCTTCTTTTCCTACACTGTAGCCTGCACTAAAGCTCAAAGCACTCAAGAACACCACGACTCCAGCGGAGACTACCCAGGTCAGCAAGGTAGGCGTCACATGCAAATCCTCTCGTGATTCGGATCGCCTGGCTTTCTTCAGCGATCTTCGTTCACGACTTGAATTTCTCCCGACGACCGCTTTCCGCTTGCCCTCCTTTTGATCAGAGGTTGTGGCAGTGGATTGCGTGGAAGTTCGTCTTATTGTCGGCTTGAACGTCGGCTCTTGGACTTGCGGAGAAGGTGTGTTTTCAAGGGCTGACTGTGGTATCATTCTAAACGTCGTTGGATCTATTCGATTGCTTCGCAATGGCGCAGATGTTGAAGTGGGATGTTTGCCCTCGCCTTTCAAACCACGAGCAGCAGCTGCTACAGACAGCAGACTCTGCAAACTGGCTTTCAGGGCTTCATCGTGCTCGACTGCAGCATTGAAGGAAGGAGACAAGGGATTCTGAGGCACATGGCTCAGCCGTCGTGCTTCTGTCGCTGCGGGAAACAAGTGCCTCGCTGATGGGCGATGTGCTGGCGCAGCTGGAAAATACGATCCCGACACTTGTTGCGTCGAGTTCCGCCGTTGGCCAGTAGGAGGGTGAGAGAAGGCGTTGGGCAGAGGCGTGAAGGAGTTCTCATTGTGAATGGGGTAGTTGATGGCCGTCCTGTTCTCGTCATCGTCATCAGATCCTCCCCCACGCTCCTCTTCGGATGCTGAGGAGTGTAGTGCCGAAGCTCCGTCTGCTCTCTGCGAAGGAAAGGTATTGGCAGCTAGCACGGGTCCTTCGTTGGAAGAGGTCATGACTCTATCCGATTCACTTTCACTCTCTTCGTATTCTTCTTGGCTACTCGTTCCGCCTAGACTGTGTGTTCTGACAACATTCAAAGGAGTGGGTGCACCAGGTTGCCGCGCTCGACGCCTTCTGGTTCTTTGATCGCCTCGTACTCGCAGGCCAGTGGTGACTATATCGTCACCGATCGATGACAGGGACGATGACGATGGCTGAGAGGCAATCTCGACCCAAGAGTCGACTGTATCGTAGAAGTCAGTCCACTGATAGCGAGGAGTGTACAAGCAGGGCATTGCGAAGCCAGCCAAGGTCGATCAAATGCAGGAGCACGTTTGGCTTGCGAGCGCGAAGAGCAGTAGTCGCTTGCCGCACCCATCAACCTCTCTTCGACGACTCACCTTCTGGACGCGTGCGCCGGTCAAACGACGTGGGACGTGATGCCATAGCGGACGCGTGACCGGGCGGGCGCTGGCAGTGGTCGCTCGAGTGCGGCGGGTGGGGGTTCATATTGTTCGTTCCGTCTCCAGTGACCCCGTCAGACGTGAGACTTGTTGTATCGCAAGCGCCGTCGTGAGTAGGTAAAGGAGGGTGGTGTAGCAATGTAGCCTGAGGATACCTTATCGTGCCCGGCGTACACGTAGCTGCCCTGGGGTCCTCGTGGAAGCCGATGTCGGGCGGGGCTCGAGTCGCAACTGCCTAACGGAGCCAGTCAACAACGGAGGAGGGGACAGCAGCAGCAGAGAGATGGAGGGAGACAGAGAGAGAAAGATAGAGAGAGAGAGAGAGAGAGAGAGAAAGAGACACAAAGGAAGCTGGGCGAAAGATTCAGTGGGAAGTGTACAGTTGTTTCGCGCTGGGGGCGGTGTAGAGGGATCAGCGAGTCTCCATGTGATCGTGACATGCCATGCGTGGGTGGGCTGAGCGTGAGAGATGATGGATTGTCTCGTCTCAATCAGGCTTCAGCAACACGAACGACCCGGCCCCTCCCTCCCTCCCCCACAGGGCCTTGGCCTGAATGCCTGATTGTGCCCTGCCCTACCTGCATTCCCTCCTAGAGCCAAGGGTCCAACATCTCCGCAGGGTCGCATGCACTGCACGAGCACGTGACACTACGAGGTGAGGTGAGGATAGGTACAACATGTATGAGGCGTATGTGAGGCTTGGTGATGCGTCTATGAAAATAGAAGCTCCATTGCGCTTTTGAGCAGGGGAGTCGACGAAACATACACCGTCATACATCTCATCTTCACCATGCGACAACTTGCGATAGTACAACGAGACAGCAATTTCATTATTAGCCAGCCCGCAATGCCGAACAGCACCGATACTCTCGTTGTCTAAAAGTACAGACAAACGCCTTGGAAAACTTTTTGCAGTGTGTGACTTCCATGTCGTCTCCATGTGAACATCCTTCTGTCTGTGTACAGCGCGCAGATGAAACCATCATGCTCTAATCGAATGCAACCTTCTTGCCCTGGAAGTCGCCGAATCCTCCACGGTTGGTAGAAGCCCCTCCTCGACCTGTTGCAAAGATTAGCATCTGTGATAAGACCATCATATGAAGCGTGACTGCCTACCTCTGGAACCGCCACGTCCACGGTCAGAGAAGCCGCCTCGACCTCCTCGTCCACCTCTGCCACCACGATCGCCGAAGCCTCCGCGTCCGCCTCCTCGGCCACCACCACGACCGCCACCGAACGAGCCACGACCACCACCGAAGCTGTCGTCTCTCGGAGGCCGAGGTTGAGCGTAGTCGAGACGCACGGGGCGACCACCGACATCCTGTCCTTGAAGGGCGTTGAAGGCTGCCTGTGCCTCCTCAACCGAGCCCATCTCAACATAGCCGAAGCCCTTTGGTGCTCCAGTGTCACGGTCGGTGGGCAGTCGGATGCTGTTGACGTTACCGTGCTCGGCAAAGTACTCGCGAACCACGTCCTCGGTGGCATCGAAGCTCAAGTTACCACACCAGATGGTGGCAGTGGGCTCGCCTGGCGCATCACCAAACTTCTGCTGGCGATCATTGCTGCGTTGCTGTGGTCCGGCGTTGCTCTTGTCGCGTGGAGTGCTAAAGTCCACACGAATGTTGCGGTTGTCGAGCAGAGACTCGTTCTTGGCCTCGAGAGCTTTCGCAGCGTCTTCAGCATTGGTGAACTCGACGTATCCAAAACCCTTGCTCCTGCCAGAGTCGCGGTCGGTGATGATGCGAACACCGGCGAGCTCGCCAAATTCCTCAAACTCACGAGTGAGCCACTCCTCGTCGACGTTCCAGCTGAGGTTACCGATGAACAGGTTGGCAACGGCATCTGGGTTCGACTCTGTCTTGGCCTTCTTCGACGTCTCTTCTGGCTCGCTGTCGGCCTTGCGCTTCTTGCTTTCGGACTGAGTCGCAGGCTTGGTCTCCTCCTCTTCTTCGTCGCTGTCGCTCGAGTCGTCGGAGTCGCTGGTTGTCTGAACCAAGTTAGATAGGTTGTTGAGACAGCATCTTGTGGGTGAACTTACAGCCTCAGCCTTAGCAGCAGCAGCCTGTGGCTTCTCGTCTTCGCTGGAATCATCTTCGCTGGAGTCAGATGATTCGTCCTTGCCCTTAGAGGCAGCAGCCTTGCCGTTGGTCTTTGGTGCAGCCTCGCTCTCGGAGTCGGAAGAGGAATCACTGCTATCATCATCTTCGGCAGCGGCCTTGGCGGCGCCATTGACCTTTGGTGCGGCAACCTCGCTGTCAGAGTCAGACGAGTCGCTATCGGAGCTGTCTTTGGCAGCCACTGGCTTAGCCTTGCCGTTGACCTCAGGCTTCTTGACCTCAACCTCTTCTTCGCTCTCGCTGCTATCCGAGCTAGCGCTGGTGTCTGCCTCACTCTCGCTGGAGGGCTCTGGAGTTGGCTCCTTCTTGGCCTTCTTTGACTTCTTGTCGGCCTTCTTCGAGCTTGCCTTGTCGGACTTGCTCACGCGCCCAGCCTGAACCTTCTCGATAGGCTTGGTGCTGGCCTTGTTGGCCTTACCGCCCTTGCTGGTCTTGGCCGAAGCCACGACAGCTGCATTCTTGCTTCCCTTCTTGTCCTTCGCCATTGCTGAAGGTCTGTGATGATAGTTCTGCCCGGATATAGTCAGTACTTGGTATCCCAATCGAAGTATCAATTGCCGCTCGACGTGCAGTCGAGGCAGCGGCAGTAGCCTCTCGTCTCAGAAACCCAGCAGGAAGGACGCAAAGCGTCAGTTCTCGATAGCAACAGTAGCAACAGCAGCAAATGCCCACAGACGACACGAGTCGTGTAAAGCCCTCAGAAAAGCCCTCGAGACAATCGCGCAGAGCGAGATGTCTTGTTGATGCCCTCGGTGAAGAGTCTCACGTACTAAGTAGTGAGATTTGCAAAGCCCTCGAACGAATTTCTCGTCTTCAGCCCACTGGTCGCATCAAGGCTGTGTGTTCCCACAAGCGCCGAGACTGTTGTGCGACGATGTATATAAGCCCGCTGGTACCTGTCACCGAAGTAGACAGGCTTTCTGAAGCCGCGCCCACAAATGCACACGACGTGCGAAATGCTCGATCACGGCGCTCAAGGTAGCGAAGTGAAGGAGTATGAGGAGCCCACGAACCGATTGAATCTGCACTGTTGTGCGATGTGAGGTGTATTGGAGATGTCGGCAAAGGATGTCGACGGAGAATTGGAAGAAGTGCAGAGAATTTGTTGAATGTTAGGATAGAAAAGCAGAAGCAGATGGCTGGAGTCGACGAATTTATGCGATCACGAAAAAAATCTTAGCGGCGGAAGGGTCCACCATTTTTTCTTAGCTTTAGCGGCTACAGTGGAGTTTTCGGGATTGTAACCGAGAACGAGGGCACAACACGTCTCTTTACCAGGTAGTTTCCATTACCAGTCTCTTGCGGCCCTGCAGTACCAGGAGGAGCACAATCCAGAGCCATGTCGCCATAATAGACCTCACTACTCAACTCGACATGGCGTCCAATGCTTCCAGCCATCGATCAAGGAGAAAGCGAGCACTCGCGAGCAGCTCCTCCAACGGTACTGTGATACAAGAGCTCACAGGTACGAAGCATGAGAAGCCCGCCTTCCCCCTGGTCGCCTTCTTCTGGCCTGTGAAAGGCTCTCTATCACAATGGATCACGTTGCCATGCATTCTCATGGCTGTTGGCCTGTTCCGCTGGTGCACAGCAATCTGGCCCTATTCAGGTTTCCAGAAACCTCCCATGCACGGAGACTTCGAAGCACAACGGCACTGGATGGAACTGACTATCAATCTGCCCACAACACACTGGTACTTTCACGACTTACCATGGTGGGGACTTGACTATCCACCTTTGACGGCGTACCATTCGTGGATCTTGGGCAAGGTTGGCTCATTCATCAACCCTTCCTGGTTTGCATTATACCTATCTCATAAACTTGACGATCCGGACTTGAAGGTCTACATGCGAGCTACAGTGTATGTTTCCGAACACTTGGTGTATGTTCCAGCCATCATAATTTGCGTGAGACATCTGGCAAGACTGTACAGCATCAACACTTGGGAAGCGTCGATTGCATTGACTGCGATTTTGATGCAGCCTGCGACCATCTTGATTGATCATGGCCACTTTCAGTACAATACCGTCATGCTGGGATTCTTCGTTGCGGCTGTATCGAGTATCTTGGCTGGTCGAGCACTCTGGAGCTGTCTGTTCTTTGTCTGTGCGTTAGGCTTCAAGCAGATGGCACTCTTCTGGGCGCCAGCAATAGCGGCATATTTGGCTGGAAGCTGCATCTCTCCCAAGGTCGACGTGGTTCGCTTTCTGGGCATTGCCGTCACTACACTCGGCTCATTCGTCCTCTTATTCCTGCCGCATCTGCTGGGCACGGCATACGATACATATCGGGGCATTCCTTTGCCATCCGATGCTACTTTACCCCCTCTACTCGATTCGCTCCCATTCAAATTGGACGAGAAGGCTGTCTACTGGCCCTACGTGGTACAGCTTGCACAAGCTGTTCACCGCATCTTTCCATTCTCTCGCGGCTTGTTTGAAGACAAGGTGGCCAACATCTGGTGCACCATTCATGCATCGGGTGTACACAAGCTCCACAACTACGACCAGGCCCTGTTGAGCAAGGCCGCTCTGGGTCTAACACTGGCATCGATTCTCCCGCCATGTTTGATCATCTTCCTGCGGCCCAAAAAAGAACTGGTACCTTTGGCGCTCGCAACCACTGCTTGGGGATTCTTCCTTTGCTCCTACCAAGTCCACGAGAAGAACGTTTTGCTACCGCTTCTACCAATGACGCTGCTCCTTGCAGCTCAAAATGGAATGCAACCTCATATTCGTGCCTGGGTCGGCTATGCAAATCTCGTTGCCAGCTGGACACTATTCCCACTTCTCTCAAAGGACGAGTTGAGGATGCCCTACCTGGTGCTCAACTCTCTCTGGGCATACCTGATGGGCCTGCCACCTTTCAGTATCAGAGCCTACACAGTGCCCGCTAGCGAAGGTGGCGTCGCCATTCCTACGAAGCTCATCCATCTTGGCACGTATGCGGCAATGATCGCATGGCATACCGCAGAGCTATTCGTGCGGCCTCCAGCTGACAAGCCGGATTTGTGGGTAGTCGCTAATGTGTGTGGGGGAGCGGCCGGATTCGGGCTATGCTATCTCTGGTGTCTCTGGAATCTTGCCGTCGACAGTGGCGCATTGAGTGTGGTTGGCATTCGAAAGCAGTCTCTCGCGACGGGAAAGAAGACGCAGTAGCCCGGGAACGATTGGTTCGAGTGGAGAGCGGTGCTCCTTCATCATGACCCGGGTAGATATGTACAGTATTGTACAATAGTATACAGCTCGACTCTTATGTCTTCGACCAGATCTATCATGCTCTTTTCATGTCATCCTGTAGTAACGCCATTCCCAATGCAACCTCTTATGCGACGACAAATGCAGCCTTATGCGATGTTGAACCCGTAGCTGCTCATACAACTGCGGTACTTCGAGACGAGGTCCTGGCATGCAGCTTGCGGATCTTTGGCGTTGGAAAAGAGCATGCATTCATCGCGCGCGAACTTCTCATCCTTGCATACGCAGCAGGGCTGTAGCGAAGAGTTAGTTGTAGATACGAGGATCAACCAGGACGAACAGTGCAATACCTTCACTTTTGCAGCAGCTTCGCCCTTCGGCTTCAGGTCCGCGGCGGCATTGTTGGGTTGCAGCGCGGTGCTGCTGGCGTCTGTAGACCTCTCGTCAGTATTGTGCTCATATGTGCTCAGTATGGGTTGCGCGGCGGTGGCGTACTGTCTGCCATGGTGTTGACTGCAGCGGTCGACATGGCGGTCTGGATGCTGACGAGGTGGTGTGATGCAGTTAAGGTGAGTTCATAAGGTATGCCTCAGTCTAAGGTACAGGTACTCTCGATGGTGGAAGAAGTGCTTGGTAATGCATTCATAGAGCACGTCACTTTCGACGGGGCCTGCATAATAATCTGTGTAAGGTCACAAGGTGCCTAGGCACAGTAGTTCTACGCGAACGCAGAGCAGAGCCGCATGGCGCACGTGCCCGTAACTAGAGGGACGGGAAGCTCGAATTGAACTAGTGTGACTACGAGGACAGGGTCGGAATGTCCCCTCTTTATCCACCAGTCCTCTTTTTGCCAGATCATATACCTCATACCTTCTACCCAGCATCCACTCACCCAATATGGCCAACGTGTGGAGCATTCGAGGACAGGCGTTGAAGCTCAACACAGCCGCCGACATTGAGACGCACATTGGGCCACTGCGGGACAACGCGGACATCGAGGAGGTGCATCTCGAGGGAAACACCATCGGTGTTGAAGCATCTGCAGCGCTCGCCGAAGTGCTCGCCACGAAGAAGAATCTTCGCAGCGCCAATCTCGCTGACATCTTCACGGGACGTCTCCTGTCCGAGATCCCCCAGGCACTCGATGCCCTTCTCACTGCACTGCTGCAGTGCCCGAACCTGCATACCATCAACCTGAACGACAACGCGTTTGGTCTCAACACCGTCGAGCCTCTGCGTCCATTCCTCAGCAAGCACACGCCTCTGCAGCACCTCTACCTCAACAACAACGGCCTCGGACCAGCAGCAGGAACCCTCGTCGCCGAAGCTCTTGCTCAGCTGGCGGAGAATAAGGCGGCAGCACGAAAGGAGGGCAAGGATGTTCCGCATCTCGAGACCGTCGTGTGTGGGCGCAATCGGTTGGAGACTGGGTCCATGGCAGCTTGGGTCAAAGCATACACGGCCAACAACAATGTCAAAACGGTGAAGATGGTCCAGAATGGTATTCGGCAGGAGGGCATTGCTCAGTTGATCCAACATGGTCTGAGTCAGTGCACGGCACTGGACACACTAGACCTGCAAGACAACACATTCACTGCGCTGGCTGCCAAGACGCTGTCTTCTGTGGTGCCAACGTGGACCGAGATTCGAGAACTGGCCGTTGGCGATTGCCTGCTGTCAGGTCGAGGAGGAAGAATGCTGGGAGATGCGCTTGCTAAAGCCGGCAACAAGAAGTTGGAGATCTTGAGGTTGCAGTATAATGAGATTGACACCAAAGGTCTCAAGGCGATTTCGGACGCTGCGTCTGCTGCGTCTGCTCTGCCACGTTTGAGGAGAGTGGAGCTGAACGGCAACAAGTTCGCCGAGGAGGATCCATCGATTGAGTCTCTGAGAGATGTCCTCGCAAAGCGGAAAGAGGAAAAAGCAGACGAATACCACGATGTCGATGAAGACGACGAAGACGCATGGGGTCTGGACGAGCTAGACGAATTGGAAGACGAAGATTCGGACGAGGAGGATGATCAGGATGAAGACGAGCTTGATGCAGAAGAAGAGAAGGTGGTCAAAGAGGCGGATGCTACAGAGGATGAGCCAGTATCCCAAAAACAGGACGCCGATGTGGACGATTTGGCGAATGCTCTAGGCAAGACGGAGATTAAATAGGTCCTGTCGGCCTCCTTCAGGAGCACGGCCAGGTGGATGCGCAACTGAGATTGCATATGCACGGCATTGAAAGGCCACGGCGCTCACTCGCACGGTAGCGCTAGACGAACAGGCGTGTCGCCTAGAACATGAGTTATATTGGCCTTTATAGGTTGAGCAGCACAATACCCCAATAGATCGCCTTTGTTATGCCTCCGAATGGATATCTATCTCCCAAATCGAAACTCCGCCTTTGCATACCTATACAACGCTCTCAGAAAGATCTGATATCCCACACCCCCAACGTTGTCCTGCGCATAGAATATCTCCGTCAGTCGAATCTGCCATGGTGGATATCCTTCCAAAACCACTCGTTCTCCAAACACTATCAGCAGGTCCGGCTCGCCCATGACACTTTCTGTAATCTCGGCATCAATGAGTTCTTGGCTAACGTCTGCTGGCAAGAGCTTTCCCGATTGAGACATTTCGGTCAGGGTCTTGGTCAGGTCCACAATGGTTTGTCGACCATCGGTAGAGTCCAAGAGGAGAACATTGATGTGGGGTGGCAAGGGAGAGGGCGAGGTCGTAGACATCGTGTCTAGCTCAGGCGAGTGAGGAGGGCTGTAGGACGGGAGATTGGGAGATCGGAGAGACATGGTAGGCTTCTGAGGGGAAGAAGTGCCATAGTAGGATGTCAAGGTCCGAGTAATGCGGCGGTGGAGGTGGGGGAGAGAGGACTTGAGGATGCCTAGAGTGTATCGATCGTGTTAGGAGATGTCGTGGTGGTAGTCATAGGGGAACATCGATGGAGGTTTCGTACCCGTTTTCTCATAGATGGACAGCGTTGGTATGCCTGCGCTGGCACTCCATGCGACCAGCTCACACGCATCATTCAGAAGCGTCTCCAACGCATCCTTCTTTCCGCCCTCTGGTGGCAGATGCAGGATGACACTCAGGTGCTTCGGCACTCTGGTCAGCGGCTTCACATCTCGCGTGATGAGCTCCGGCGTGCGATGGTGGTAGTACAGTACGGCGCTCACGCGGTCGTAGAGGGCGTGGTAGATCTGACGCAGCCGTACATAGATGCTGAAGACGACGTGGACGGCAGTGAACAGGAAGAGGTGCAATAGATGGCGCATCGCAGGCCGCACGCGCTGTCGGTGATGGAAACGCAGTCCATGGTTGTTGCTGTTGCTGTACGAGGCATCCTGCGGGACTTTGGTGCGTGATGCAATGGGCTCCCGTGGCAGATACGGCGCCAGCAGCTGCTCTCGCTGGGTAGGACTCAGTGTGTCCGGCCTGCGGAAGGCCGCTTGTTCGCGTAACCCAGGCATATCGTTGTTCTGTGAGTGGTGTGGTTCACGTGTCTGCTCCTTATATCGTCAGCTCGCGGTGATGGTGATTGCAGTATTGCGCGAGCATCGTAGAGGCGGTGGTGGTGCCTGATGTTTTATCCTCTCCGGCGTCGTAGGCAACTTCATTCATCTCTCATCAGCCACAATTCCAGTCGTCAGCGTGCAGCGCAGCGCTCAGGGATCTGCAGGCACAACCTGGAGACCGGACTACTAGAAGGGGTCCCATGCTACCTTCTAGCTACCTACCTACGGTACATGTATACCTACCTAGGTACAGGTACATGTAGGTAGTTATATAAAATTTGGGAATATGCCTCAGACTAGGAGGTACATGTATCTCTCTACAGCGGCCTTTGAGCTGAATCAGTCACAGGGTAGCACTGAGCTGCTATTTGAGCTAGGAGGTAGAATGGTGATGAGTAGTATAGTAGTGTACAGTGTCAAACATCTATACACAGTGACGTCTCTCGCGGTCTCGCTCGCGTTGCTTCTTTACGACTGCCACAGTCAAAGCTGAATCTCCGACGCTACCACTGCAACTGTGCAGCTGATATCCATCCAGATCACAATCTTACAGATTGGCCATACACCAGGTGGGGCCGCGTTGGGTGTGCTCCTATAACACTTCGCCGATGATCTTGCTCGCTTCCTTGTATGTCGCAAGCAGCTTCTCGCACTTCTCTCGTTCCTCTCGTACACCATCGTCCTCGTATAGAAGCTCTTCGAACAGTGATTCTCGATACAGCTCAGACACCAGTCGGTTCTGCACGCCATCCTTGGAGAAGTTCACAAGCAAGTGCATCACAGCTTTCGGTACCTGATCGGCAATAGTCTCGCGCACGATGTTGAAGTAGTTGCTAATGAGGCGTCGAATGAGCTCCGTCTCGAGTGATTCGCGCTCTGTCAATGCTGGACCTGTAGGGTCGTCCTGGAAGTACGAGTTAGCACGCAATCGGCCTGCAGAGAGGATGCCTTCGCGGCTGCTTACCAGAGCATTTTCCTCCCGTTCATACTCCTCTGTGACAGGCTCTGGCTGCGTTACAGCACGCGGGTCCTGTCTCCTGAAGCTGGCAGTTATGCTGGGCTCGATATTTTGACTGACGTGCCGATTGCCTGGCAAGGCTGCAGTATTGTGTCCAGGAAGTGCACCTTGGCTTGGTCCGTTCTCCTTGCCGAAGAAGTAATTCAGGAACGAATCTCGTCCTCCACTGGCACCATTTGGTGCGTTCGTCGTGTGTCCAAGTCGATGCCCATCTCGCCCCACGGCGGGACTCATGCTTCTGCTCTCCTTGGCTTTTGCTGCCGAACGCATTGGCAGAACGCGATTTTGTTCCTCTTCTTCCTCTTCAGGAGTCTCGGTTCCGTTGACCCCGTTTTGTGCAAGCTCTTTCCGTCTCCTCTCTTCGCGTTTTCTCTTTTCCTCTGCCGCCGCAGCCTTCTTTTCCTTCTCGTGCTTGTCTTGCATGACTCCGCTCATTGCCGCTGCAGCTCCAAGGAAATTGGGGTGGTTCGTGTTTATGTAAGCTCGCTGTATAGAAATCAAGCTCTCGACGTACGAAGAAGTGGGCCCTAGACGTTCGCGCAAGAGATCTGAAACGACTTCGATGAGTTTTCCTTGCAATCTAGGATAGCGTGCGAGCTCATTCGAGTAGCAAGTATGGCAGATCTTGATGAGTTCCTCGTACACAAGCTCGACGCATCTTTGGCTAGGAATCTCGAGGAGCTTTATTTGGGGCTTCACCAATAGATCAAAGGCAAGTTCGGGAACGAACAACGAAGGTCGCGGTCCAGTAGAGTTGCGAATCGCTGTCCGGATGTCAAGGGCCGTGAGGTTCTGAGTGGGATCGATGGAATCCAGGCTGTTGCCGAAAACAGAGTTGAAGATATAGTAGATTCGTGCACCACCACAGAGCTCTTTGGTGCTAATCTCAGATGATGTACCGTCGATGGAGGAAGTGAACGATGTCGCGAACCGCGTCATTAATTGAAGAATGAGCGACCCTCTATGCTCCTTGCCAGTGAAAGTATCCGTGCCATAAGAAGAGAGCTCCTGTTGCGTCTGCCCCATGAGAGTGTTGAGACGAGCTTTGATATCAGGAAGCCTTTCCCGGATATGACCCATGAGCGTGGTATTCAGAGTCTTCGCCAGATACTGTGTGCCACATCTCGAAGCAATGTTGCGGTAAGCTGGGTGCATGCGGAAGAACTCTCGTTCTCCCGAGAGAGCATCTGACATGGATTTGCTGGTCTGAATATCCTGCTGCGATCTATTCACGACTCCAATGAATCCCAATTTCAACGGATAGACCCGCCCGGAGAGAATATCAAGTGCGTTCGTGCCATGGTCCATGAGATCGAGCTTCGTAAGGATACCGATCGTCCGCTTTCCCGTGGGATCTACTTGACGTGCGAGTTTCAGCGATTCCGAGTTCACCAGATCTACATTCGCTGGCGACACTGCCAAGATAATACTGTTTGGCTTTGCGATGTATTCCGAGATCAGATTCCGCGTCTGCTTCTCAATATCTGTCGGCTGGTCTCCAATTGGCACTTTGGTCAAGCCTGGCAGATCAACCAGTGTCAAGCTCAGGACGTGAGGTGAGTAGACTTTCAGGTGGATGGGCTGGCGGTTGATGCCCTTGTTGCTGCCGGCAATTCTGTTTGTCTCTGCTTCGATCTCCCTCTTAATGTCCTGGAAATCGTGAAACTTCCGGCCGGGCATATGGTTGAACTCGCCCCATTCATCCTGTCCTGCCACCGCTTCAGGAGTATGTGGAATGTGTACTGCATGGTCGTCGGGCTTGTCGCTGCGCTCGGACGGGAGGTTGATGAGTTGGAGGATGAGAGGTCGCCGAGTTACAATGCCGCTGCCCCGCGGCAGGAAGTCTCTTCCGACGATGTTCTCAAGGACAGATGATTTGCCAGAGGACTGCGAGCCCACTACAACCTATGCGCAAGTTAGCAAGTGCGTCTTTTGGTGGAATGGGCTGGTGTCTGGGGTGTGCTTTTGCGGACGTACAATCTGCGGCAGGTCCAGCGAATCGTTTCCGATGGTGTTGAAGACCAGATCCTGCAGTTTGTTGACGACTCCCAGCAGATCCTCGCCGAGCGCAGCCATTTTGGCGGTGTTGTTGGGCTGAGGGCGCTGTGGATGTGGTCTAGCAGAGTGCGCGGCGACGGGAGTGTTGTTTGTTTGGCCAGACTAGGTACTGTGCTGTATCAACCAAGGATTTCCTCCTGCGTGTTTTAGGAACCCGTCTCCCGTTGAACTTCTTCCCGGGCGGTCGCGATGGTATACTTGACGTATACAACCACGTGCAGTCTGGACTGTTGTTGTTGATGTGCCGCGAGATGCATACAAGGTACTGCCCGATGGAAGTCTGCCGACGGCGTGCCAACTACAGGTACATGTATGGGGGGGCTTGGTCTTCCAGTACATGTACCTTATACAAACCTTACCTAATATTCACTTGCGCTCGCGTACGTCAGTCCGCGTCGGTGGGCACTGGGCAGGTTCTTCGCCTTCTTGCCTCCCCTCCCGTCGCTTTAGCCTCCCAACATTCTCTCTTGTGTGATGTGTTACTGTATTCCACCAGCGCAGATATACGACACATGTAATGTACCTCCTACAGGTAGTTAAGACTCGATTTTCCCGAAGGTCCCTAGCAAGAAAGAGCCAGACTCGATTTCCCTATACAATAAGCAGGCCGAGAATAGGCCCTCCGACCTCGTGCGCAGGGCCACACCTACCAATTTCTATTTACCTTAGGCACGAGGGACTGGTTAACCTTCAGGCTTCGCGCCGGCAGAACTGAGAGAGAAATAGACATGGAGCCAACGCAGAAGCCGAGAGGGCTTGGAACGCTCCCACTCATACTAAGCAGTACCTAGGTATGTTGGAATGCAAACGACGGTATGTACTCTACCGGGTATAAGAGGAGCTTCGAGACAAATAGAGCAACGTACACTGTCGCTGAATGGTGGAGCGTGGTTCATAACCGCTAAGTGTACAATAGCCTATATAGGCAGTCAGGGCTCGAAGGTGTTTGGTCGTTCATGCTCTGCAGTCTTCGCTCCAGACTGCAAACCTCTATAGCAGTACTACCTCTCCGTTTTCGGCTGCTGACCGATCAGTAGACGATGCCTAGGAGGTACTTCGAGTGGTTTAGACAATACCATCTTACAGAGAGGCCGGCCACGACCGGGTTTCTTGGCCATGATCGTTGGTACGCCGTTCTTGCAGTCGTCAAATTTGCCTACAAAGTGATGATGTACATACGTTGTGTACTGTAGCCAGCGAGATGAACGGTCAATACCTGCAGGAGGTAAGTACATGTAGGTACATGTAATGAATGGTAACATTTGAAACTGTTGTCAGTAGCACGTCAGGTTGCATCAAGAGCCAATGGCGGGGAAAGCGACCATCGAGCACGCGAGCACTTTCTTCATCTTCCCGTTCGCTGTGCTGCTTCAATCATCACTGTGCATTCGCTCGCATTCCCACCATAGCCCAGCATGAAGTTGATCATTCTGTTGGTGAGCCTTGCGGCATCTGCGGTCGAGGCGGTCATCCAGCAGCAACAGCCTCTCGATTCAGGAACCGACTTCGACCTAATCAGAAAGTATGCCGAAGACAACATGTGGAACTATTATAGATAGATGAGAGCCATGTGTTTACTGACGAGTACTCAGACTGAAAATCGCCGAGGTCATTCCAACAGTCATGGACGAATTCAAGCCTATGCTCACTGTCAATATAACTTGGCCAAAGGCAACAGCACTGGTTGGCAACACTGTCAAAGTCAAGAAAGTCCAGCACACTCCACACGTACAATTATTTGGCACACTACCCAACTTTTATCTGACCACGCAGGACGACAATGAGATTCCCCAGCTCACCCTTGCTCTCACCGACCCAGATGCGCGCAGCAGAGACAATCCCGATTGGAGTCAGATGTGCCATTGGATCATCACTAATGTGCCATTAGCGACAGCTAGTGATGAGGCTGCCAATGAAGGATGGAAAGAGGTGGAACAAATAGTAGAGTATCAGCCACCTAGTCCACCCAAGAAGAGTGGGAAGCATAGATATGGTAAGCACAATGATTTCAATACATGATGAGACATCATGTGCGACTTGACCACAACTTCTTCACTCACATGTTCGCAGTCTTCGCTGCCTTGGTCCCGAAGAATGGTACGTCCGCGACTTTGAGCCTCAGCAAGCCACAGAAAAGACAGCACTGGGGTTACGGTACTGTGCGAGCAGGTTTGAGAGAGTGGGCAGAAGAGAACGGTCTCGAAGTCGTGGGAGCAAACTTCATTTACGCTCAGGACGAGAAGCAGTAGGGCGTGTTGGTTTTGTCCACAAAGTACCTAGGTTACAACCCCATCGAATGACCGCCAAATATCAACTACATGAACTTCACGACGAATGTATTTTGGGTTGCAAGAGAGGAGCAGTATCGCGCATGTAGCAGCTGTTTCAGAGTCAGCAACAACAAATCGATAGCAGCTCATTTCCATCAGCATTGTGGACGTGGAAAAGCTTATGATCTTGATAGCTGGAGAATTCATGTGCCATTCGCCTGCACTATAAATGCATCCGTGACCGCACCCACGCCCATGGCTTGAGTGTTTACTCCGAAGTTTCTGCTCGTTTCCGTCTCTGGTCTTTGTACAATGCTTCGCGCTGCCCAATCCTCGAAGCCTTCTAGTCGCTCGATTGCTGCTTGCCCGTTCTGCTCAGACGTAGAGTCTTGTCAACAACAAGTTTTCTTCCCAAGCTGTAAGCTGCGGCGAGGAGGGCAGCAGCCAGGACAACGCCGATAGGGATCAGCTCGACTGGAATCTTCTTCAGTGTGCGAAGTCGCTGTGAGATTGTGTGCGCTGTGTCGAACATTAGTGGCTACACGAGAGCCCTTTTCATTCGCTGCAAAAAGTACCGGACTGTTCCTCCTTCTAATTGACCGTCAGTCCATGCGCGGTGTCGATGTTGGTGCTAGTTGCCTTACCGGAGCTGCCATTCGCTTCGGAGTTGTCCTGAAGCCACGGACTAATTGCTGCTGCGTTCGAAGCAATGGGGTGGCGCGAGTCTGGCGCAACATGTTCGCCGCGATGAACCGTGTAGACTGCATGGTGTGGGGATCGAGAGAGTGCCGTGGGGTGGAGTGAAGGTGTTCCTTGGACCGTGAAGGGAGGCAGTTGCAGAACTGCAGCTCATCGGATGGCGAGGAAGTCACGGCGCGGCATCTTCCGGCCAAGCTCCTTCCGGGCTTCATCACTTCCTCACTCGATGATGATGTTCTAGATAGGACACGGCGAATCACTGCTCCATACCACAGACACCCTATACCACCCAGAAAACACCGCAAAAATGTCCGACGATGAGGATCGCGTTACCATGCCATTCAAGTTCGTGACAGGTACGTGCCAATGCCACCGAACCCGCTGTGAAGGACTGCGCTAACAAGAGTACAGCCGGTATGTAATTGCCCTGGCGACTGCGAATACCTCGAACGACTCCCTCTCTCCGGCTCGACAGTCCTGCGACCTTTGGCACAATCACTAACATCACCAGGCTTCGACGCCCGCTTTCCGAACCAGAACCAGACCAAGCACTGCTGGCAAAACTACGTCGACTACCACAAGTGCATCCTCGCCAAGGGTGAAGACTTCAAGCCTTGCCGCCAGGTACGTGAACGCAGCAGACGGAGAAAGAAGAGCAAGAGGGCTTACACCTGAGGTAGTTCTATCTTGCCTACCGGTCTTTGTGCCCGGCATCTTGGAGCCAGAGGTGGGATGATCAGAGAGAGAACGGCACCTTCCCAACAAGATTGGATCAATAGATGGCCCCCGGACCAGTTGGATGCAAGAACCTGGAAGTCAGTGTCTCGGAAACATGGTGTATCTCAGGTCGAGCGTGATCAAGATTCGTGTAGATATGAATCCGAGTCCGGATCGCGAGAACGATATACAAACTCGCAATGAGCACCGCATGTCTTACCCCGTTGCAGTGCGATGCAGTGAATTGATAGAACTTTGTGGCTTTTCTCAGTGTTTGGAGGCGCGTTATTCTGAAATTGATAATTACCGTCAGACAGTGCCGCGCGAAGAGTTATCACCTATTAAGAACGACTGTCAGATTTGGGGCAATCCCATATACTGAGTTCTATGAGTAGGTAGGAGAGAAAGCACCTGTACCTGATATTCGCAGGCGGAGTCGCGTCGCGTCGCGTGCCGGGGCTGTGGAAGGGCGTTGATGAGCGCGTCAAGCGGCAAGAGCAGATTCGGACGTCTGCCTATTTCATCCTCTCACCTTCTCTTCTCGCCATGATATTCACCGACTCAACCACTGACTGTCACCATCCGACACCCCAGACACTGAACGATGGCGCATAACAGGTTGACAGCCGGCCTAGCCTGGTAAGAATACTACAACACTATTCGCCACACTCCAGCTAACAGCAATGCAGGGCCACGCCGGTGAGACCTGACGAGCTCGGCCAGCGCCTAGAGCACTATGCGGGAGTGTTGCCAACCCTCAAAGGACTCCGCCTGTGCCATCGTTTTGGCCAAGGACAGGATGCACATGTCACTAGACTGCCCGTCGAGGTCGAGCTCGCCATCGAGGCCATCATCATCCAGGACAAACAGTCCCCGTCGCAACACGGTCGGGAGAAGTGGGCTGACAAGTTCCGCCACTACGAGGGCCGATGTTCACCAACGGATCACGAGGGTTTCTCTTTCTCTGACGACTTATCTGACTGGACCCCGTGCGGAAAATGCGACGGGATCCCTGACGTGGAGCTTTGCGAGCTTCGCTGTCAACCTGGTGCTCTCAGCCCGTGTCACACATGCTCTCAGAAACTGGATCCGGGCAATTGCATGAAATCATGCGATGCCCTACAATTTGCAGACAGAGATAGTTACGCGGAAGACTTCGGATCGTCCGGATCGTGTCCGTACCAGGCTCAGATGTACGAAAGCTGGGAGGAGGCAATCGATCAGACTGGCGCATTTGCGCGGTATGATACAGTGGGCAACACAGATTCCCAACGAGAAAAGTGCGCAGCTAACATAACTTGCAGATCTTGGAAGAGCAATTCGGCCTCAAGGCGTTTTTTGCGCCGAGCCGCATTTCCATCGAGGACGTCGACATATGGCCCCGCCACAGAAACCACCAATTCCATGAAATGGACCAACTTCGCACTACCATCTGCTACCTCACCGTGTCTCAGACTCTGGCTCCTAAGAAGACTGCCATTACAAGCACTGTTGAGCACGCGGGTGGTTACCCCTGTGATCTCAGCAGCGTCCAGGTCATAAAGCTTGGTCAACCATCGTTTGCTCTGACAAACACCGTCAAGAAGCGGTTCCAAAGGGCCTTGGACATTCTCAACCTGAAAGCTTACGTGCACCCCAGCCAAGGCACATCGTTGGTCATGCCAACATTGAGTGGACCAAATCAAGGAGAAAGTCCGAGTGTCCCTCCAGGTCAGTCTACCACAGGCCTCCACTGCGTGATCTTGGCAATCGACTGACGTGAAGCAGATGAGACTTGGCCCGCACTCGTGATGATTGCAAAGGACTGGGCTTACTGCGAGCATTGCGACAATTCCTAGGTACTCTGCGTTTCACCCAGTATGGCTGTTGTTTCGCGAACTGATGGCGCGGATGTTCCATGATGATCCACGGGTTGCAACACTGCTCCCGCTGACATATTTATTAGAGTTTCTATCATACCTACATAAGTTTGCTACTAGTCTACGCACCTTTGCTGCCTTGCTGGCCATTCATGTACCAAGACCCATCTCGCCGGTATCCCTACTTCGCCTCTCCATCAACCACATCTCCAATTCCAAAGCATTGGTGCCCACGTCCTCAAATCTCCTCTTTGGCCGGGGCTCTGGAGCTGTTCGATACCGTGAGTGGTCCATTGAGAACCATCAAGCTCATGACCTCATACAACGTATCGGCAGCAGCCATGGTGGTCAACTCTGCATTCGTATCATACGCCGGCGCAACCTCGACGATATCTGCCGCAACGAGATTGATACCCTTCAAGCCTCTAATGATGGTCCTTAACTCCCTCGTCGACCAACCTCCCGTCTCCGGCGTGCCCGTAGCAGGCGCAAACGCCGGATCCAGCGTATCGATATCAATCGACAAATACACGGGATTCGTATGTCCCACACGATCATGAATTTTTTTAATAATCCCTTCAGTACCAATAGTATCAATCTCTCTCGCCTCGGAAATGACAAAGCCGCAATACCCGTCATTGTCATAGTCGGACAGACCGCTCAATGTGGTGCGAATTCCTGCGTGGATGTTGGTGTCGTTGCGTAGTAGCCCTTCTTGTGCGGCGTGGAAGAAATAGGTGCCGTGGTTGATGCTGGCGACTTTGGAGGGTGAGCCGCCGAAGACTTTGGGTCGCCAGGTGTCGAGGTGGGAGTCGAAGTGGATTACGGTGATGGGTCCGTAGGCGCGGTTCATGCTGCGGAGGAGGGGGAGGGTGATGGTGTGGTCACCTGGTAGCATTTTGAAGAAAGAAGTTAGCTTAGGTACTACCGCCGTTCTGTTTCTTCTACTTCTTCTTCAACGAGCTTCTTATTACCACTCCCTTAGGGGGACCCAGCAGGAGCAGAAGCAGAAGCAGAAGAAATAAGGAGCGTACCGCCGAGAGTGATGACACGAGGCAACGTTTTGCCATGCTTGGAAATTCCTGGCTCTTTGGCATCGGTCGCCGGTTCCCTCATGAGAATGCTATTATGGCCTTCTTCAATCTGGTGCAATGCCCAGGTATTATCGTATCTAGATATGAGTTGTTTTCGTTTAGCATGATATGCTCACCCCATTCAGTGTATGGGATGGGATGGGAAAACTGACGAAGTCACGGGAACATCTCCACAGTCGACTACTGACGCCCAACTGGCAAATGGATTGGCATCGAGTGGGACATTATATCCACCGCTGTTTGGAAGGGGAGGGAGAAAGAAGCTTTACGTAAGCCTCATATTCATTCATTCATTCATTCCCCAATCAACCAACCAACCATAAGCCTGAGCTTGATTGTCATTTTTTCTTTTAGGACAACGTACTAGAGATTCAATCGTCGACTCCCTTGTCGAATACCCGATGGACCGAATCGTGCTCCTGGTCGGTAGGACGTACCGGTATCGAAGGGTGCTCCGATGAAGGCAATGTCATACTTGACATCCTCGGTGGCCAGACAGGGCGAATATGGAAGTCTCCCAAAGGTGGAGATGCCTGAGAATACAGAATCGGCCTTTTTTTGTTTTGTTGCTTCTGGTTAGCACATCTACTTAAGTAGGATCGATTTCTTCTGGAGGAATCACGAAACAAATACACGTACTTGGGTACCTCCATCGCCTGGGAGAGTGTTGTACCAGAGTTTCTTATGTGGTCCTTCGAGAGGCTCTTGATCGTGGTGGTCGCCATGGGCCAGGACGACGGTGGCGGCGGCGGCTGCTGCTGCTGTGAGGATGGGGGGGCTGAAGATGTTCAACATCTTGTGCGGTGGGTGTAAGGTGGGTGGATGTGACGAGGTGTATCTCGACGGTAACGACAACAATGAAAACGACAATAACAACAACAACAACAGGGTGGACAATGCACAAATATGAAGCAGAGGGGAGGCAATGGATAATCCGGGGCGTGATCGGCCGTCGTATGTTTACCTAAGTGGTACGAAAGATGGGCCCGCGCTCTAGAGAGCTCCCATTGAGCTAAGGATGTACTACATCATAGGTAAGGTAGGTAATGTTGATATCGATATCAAAGTGTCGTCAGCTTGGCCGGGCTGGTCGAGAGGCAGTTGCTCTTACGTTAGCAGAGTGTGGTGCAGACATGACGATGATCTGGAGATAAGAGGTGGGGAACTTAAGTGTCTGCTAAGGAGGTCAGGTAGGTGTAAGGTAAGGAAGGTGTAAGGTACTTAGTGTAAGGAAGGTGCGACTGTCGGGGCCGGTCTGTCTATCCCGTCTGCTTCCTGGCGGGAGCTGGGCCGGGATGGGGATGGGGATGGGGATGGGGATGGCATTAGGTATGGATGATTACCTTATGGCATCGAAGAAATGGAAACCTGACGCTGATAGAGCGTATTAGACTTCCGTTTTGAGAAAGGTTCCGGCAACTGCGCGCACATAGGTACATGTCAGCTATCCATACCTGACTACATGTACCTTACTACGTGTACCCAGCACGTATGCACTTCCAGTTCTCGTCTATCGCGACACGGCCTGAAGTATTAGCGGTGCTCTCCTTGCTCGGCCATATCTCCTGGATCCATGCGCTGGAATGCATGCTCCACCTGCTGCTCCCAGTCGCTGAATGCAACAATCAGCCACTCGATGATGCCGACCAGGTATAAAGCGATACACTGGCCCACCCACAGCCCTGCCAATCCCCAGCCGTGAAATGCGAGATAAATTCCCAGAGGCAACGCGCCGCAGTAGTACGCTCCGAGATTGACGAATGCCCCGACATGCTGCCTCCCCATGCCCCGCAGTGCACCACCGCACGATCCGTTCAATCCGTCTGCAATCTGGAAGAGAGCGACGTATGGCAGAACCTCGGATGTAAGCTGGACCACCCGATCATCGTCGTTGAACAAGCGTGCAAAGTTGTCCTTGGTGCCCAGTAAAACAGCGAGCACGATTGCCCCCAGTATCATCGATAGCCATGCTGCAGTATTGGCAGATAGTGCTGCACCTCGCGCATTTCGCCTGCCCAGCAGATTCCCCACTCTACTGGATGACGCGACCCCGACTCCAAACGGTATCGTGTTCATGACTTGGTCCGCAGTCATGATGACGGACTGTGCTGCGAGGGGTATCGTTCCCAGTTGGCCCGCCACGATCGCCACAATCTCGAATGCCCACCACTCGGTGCCAACGTGAACTACTCCCAGCACGGCCAGGCGAGCGAAGCTGCCCATGTTTTTTAAGCACTTGCGATCAAATCCACCCCAGCACTCATATCCAGCCACAAAACGAGTGTAGAGGACGAGCAGCAGGAATGAGAGCCAGTACGAGATTCCCGTGGCGAGCGGTGCGCCAAAAAGTCCCAGCTCAAAGGTATAGATAAAAAGATAGTTCAGACCAGCATTCACCGGCGAGGTGATCAGGAGCACGTATGTGCCTGGCCTCATAATCTCCTGGGCCTGAAGATATTTCTTCATGCATTCGAAGTAGATGTATCCGAGGCCGCCAGGAATGAGGATGCTTAGGAATTTCGAGGAGTCTCGGGCAATGTAGTCTTCCTGACCTAGCGCCTTGAACACCGGCTCCGAGAACAACCACAGTATTGCCACAGGAATGTAGAACAGACTGAGCACGAAAAAGGCGCGCTGGAGGATGATACCGAGATCTGTCTTTCTCTTGCTTCCGGTGAATGACGCCGATGCGAGCGTGTCGATCGCCGTGGTTCCTCCCATCCCAATGAGCCACGCAGTAGCCATGGCGAACATATAACTGAAAGCCGCCACAGCGAGAGCTTCCGGGCTCAGTCGACCCACGATCAGGACGGAGATGGTCTGCAACGAATTTTGCAGAGTGTATGCGAGCACGACCGGTATCGAGCCTTTCAGCAGGATCCAGAATTCAGACAAAATCCGCTGCGTACGTGTAAGATTCCCAAATTCGATGTCTTGCTCGGGGTCCGAGTCCTCGTTGTCATCTGGTCGGGGCAACAGGGCAGTCCTTTCGTCAGGCGCTGTGATGCTTGTCTTGGACATGTTCTTGCTTGCATCGATCCCATTGCGTGTTGTGAAAAAGCTTCTCAGCCATGAACGCGAGTCTGCGACGTTGTTGTGCCTGTCGGGACCGTCCATAGTGGTGGTCGGTTGGTATGCCAAGTACAAATGTCAATCTTCAAAAAGGGAGCAAAAGAACAACAAGTTTTTGTGGCAATGGCTGCAAATCCAGCATGGTGAATTTTTCTTTTTGGCTCTGTGCAATTTTGTCTTGACGTGATCAAACTCCGATTGCAGCCGTCAGATCCACAAATGCTCACGGGCTGACTCCGCATGTTTGTTTGTCGCAGGTACCTTACGTAGCATCAGCGCGGTAGGATTCACACTCTCGAGGCAAAAGGAGCAGGTGAATACGCTGACGGTCCGCCATGGCATGCCGTACTCCTCCATGGCCCAGGAGCTCTCGCAGCAAAGGGGGTCCACGGGGAGGGACTAGGTACTGCTAGGTACGCCAGGTTATGCTCGCAGACTGCTTTAGCCTCGTCTTTGCGACAGGCTTATCGCGGCCGGCGGGGCCTGGTTGTTAGTAATTGCATTCGAGCTGACTTTTTTCCTTTTTCAATTTAATCTTTTTTTTTGGGCTGTATTTGTCCAACGCTGTGCCCGCGAGTGGCGTGGCCTTCCATTGCCGTAGCGGTGAGCTGCATGAAGTGTGGTTCGGACCGCCAAGCAAAGCCATTGGAGCCAAGCACTGCGACTTTTGCCGAGCAGAATCGTGTCGAGTTCACCTCCAGCTCCACCCGACTGCACCTCACCTGTCGAGCCTCCCGTTCCGACCTTTTACTATTTCAATCAACTACCTAAATAGACGGAGCAGGAATTCGCAAAGAAGTACAGCGCTATTGCGTTCCAGCACTGTGGGTGCAGGCCCTGTTGCACACCGGATCCTTCAACACGCCTCCTAGATGCCTAGGCTCCTACGGACCCGATGTCTCTACTCATGACACACAAACCCAATCGTCACGAGTTTGAAGCAGTTCAAACCAAATCGCCTGATCTTGCACTCCATCACCGCAGACTAGAACTTGCCATATACTCAAAAGGTGTTCACAACATGTCAACTGATTGATCGTCTTTCTTTCTTTTGACATCGTTCAAGCATGAGGTCGAGTAGGTATGAGAGCAGATTATACCTATGCTACAAGTATTACGAAGAACACCACTCGTCTAAACATAGTCTCCATTTCATGAGCTTTTCTCGGTGATTAAGTACCTTATTCCATGCTTGATTGCTGTTCGTCATTCGGTTAAGGAAGGCCGAGTATGAAGTTGTCCAGCATGATGAGATGTAATCTTCAAAATGAAACATTTCTCGGCATGCTGCGCCTACATGGTTTTCACACCCGTGAGAATGTAATGTGCAAATGCCGCTTTCGGCCCACATACGGTGCGCATTATTCATACATGCCCGAGAGCTGATATGAGTGAACAAGTATCTGCCTCACTCGGGATATGTTGGGAGTCCATGACTGTAGCTCATACTCATGTAGCCAGCGTCTCGGACGACTCAGTCTCTTCCCTGGCGCGTTCCTTCTTTTCCTTCTTCCTAGCAAGTAACTTGAGTTTCTTTTGGTTCTCTTGGCGCTGATATAGCCTGTCCACTTTGGCCTGCAATTCAGCTCGCAGCTCCTTCCGCGCAGCTCTCAAAACATCCTTGGCCTCTTTCGGAGAGATTTTTTCCTTTGCTTGATGCTGTAGCAGTTCCGTTTCGAGCATCGCTGTCCTCTTCTCCAGCCACACCGGGAAATTGCCTTCTGTAATCTTCTCCTTGGTCTTGTTGATCCATCGCTGAGGATCAGGTCTGGTTCTTACCCAGCCGTGCGCTGTCAACATAACGTGCTTTCGTGGCCCCACGCGGAACTTGATGGGTGGCAGATCTGGATTGAACTCGACCTGGAAAGCACCATCTTGTGCGACCACCTCCTCTTCATTGACTTCGCCCTCTTCGACAGATGCAGATAAACCTTCTTCCGAAGACGATTCCTCATCTACTTCTGCCGGCAAACCCAGCGCTGCTCTCTCTGCGGCGAAACGGTTTTTCACTTGCGGCGTCTGCATAATTGCCCAGCGCAACCACCAGCCCGACAGACCTAGCTGCTTGATCCTGGCCTCTTTCTCGCCTAGCAGATACTCGTCCAGTCCGCCGAGCTTGTCAATGGTGCGCAACACGCGGGCGCTGACGCGGACTTGCACGTGTCGGTCTAATGCCCTACTAAACAGCTTGCGGGTGAAGATATTCGGCTTCCATGTGCGGCGCGTCTTCACTTCAAAATCACCGCTGACATTATTGCCAAACTGTTTTCGTTGACCACCATACAGTCCGCGGTCGGATTGCTTGTACCAGCGTGCGGGACCATAGGGGTATGGGGGCAGCGCTTCGGCGAGGGCTTCGGAATCGTTTTTGTCCCACTGCAGGCTGACAGGGCGTCGTATCGATGTCGAGAAGGCTCGTTGGCACTGGCAAATGGCCCTCGACTGTCGGAGGAGAGCGGCCATTTGCAAGCAAGTAGGCAGAGAACCACAGAGTTGACTCAGGTTGGGTGTCGTGGTGGTGCTGATGAACACCACTCCCCGGGCGTTCTGGATGCGGAGCAGTTCGGGAGAGCGCCTTGGCAATTTGTACATACTGCAATCGGGCATGGAAGCGGAGGTGTACTCCCGTCCATGCTATCGCGACACAACATCCAGCAGTCATGGTCTCCATCTCGCAGCGGACGACCAAATTGCAGAATCGCCTCGTTGCGATACGACTCGGCTCTGGCGCTCTCAAGCTCCCCTCCAATGTCAAGCGGATTGACCTACGTTTTGCGCCGAAGATGGCTGCAGGGCACATGGGGCCTAGGTGTGCAAGTTGATCTCGCGTCCCCCGTCACTCATACTGATACAGTGAGCAGAAAATTCTGGCGTAATGAGCTCGTACGCCTCAAATATCACAACCCGACAGTATCCATGACCGTAGACCGTACAGCACTGCAGGACGATCCAGCGGTGATGTCCGTGCACATCCAACCGGAAGACTCTGAGACGGAGAAGATCGAGAAGATTAATATGAAAGACTATCGGTCTTCAGAGATCCTGGATGCACTTGTCCAGCTCACAAAGGCAAGCGTGATAGAACCCACGACCGAGGATCAAGAGCTACTGGCCAAGTTGGAAGAGCAGAGACAGAGGAGCCTGAGAGATAGCAAAATAGCTCTGGAATCAAGAGCAAGAGTCAAGAGGGAAAAGGAAATGTTGCAGCAGGCCAGGGGTGACCTGGATGCACAGAGCACCTGAGAGTGTCGGATGGGCAGACATGAAATGGATCAACAATTCATGAATAGCGTGGCGTTCACAGGCAAAGGACACGGGAAATGGGCATTGGCAAGCAGTGAGCTGGGGAGCTGATGGAGGCACACGGAACGGTATTCGCAGTACAGAGCTGCAAGGATGCATTTCAGCAGGTGCACAGGAAACGACGCCGGCTACGCTATGCTTCCGCCGCGAGACCTTTCCACCACGCCATACAGCCCAATACGAAGACGATCACCATCACGTCTGTAAAGATCGTTCGAGCGATGGTGATGTACCTCCCGGCGACACGGATATAGTTCGCGTACGGCTCGGGAATGAATCCGCTGTTCACAACCGAAGCAAACATCCCTCCGCCTTGCAACTGCCCTCTCTCGACGAAGTATCTCGTGCTCTGCAGCACCAGCTCCACCGAGGTGAAGATGACGAAGAGTCGAGGACCCAGACCATAGCTTGCTTCTTCATCTGTGTAGGCAGCTGAGCTCCGCGCGAGCTTGGTGCCGTTGAATGTGGAAGTCAGACATATGTAGAATGCAAGACCAAATGCAAAGACTGCATGCACAATTCGCCAGAGGTACGCTGACCCAGACGCCGGTGCGGCCTCCTGTTGCTGTCCCTTTCCTGCTCCATTCATCATGGCTTTGAGCATTGGCGGCAGGTCCTGTTGCGCGTTCGGATCGTTTGGATCGCCTCCCCCCATGCCTCCCATCATCTGCTGCATCATCTTTAGCATTGGATCTTCTCCTCCCTGACCTTGCTGTTGTTGCATCTGTAGCATTGCTGCTGCGAGAGGATCATTCTGCGGATTCGGCGTTCTACTGGGCGTGGGAGCGAAGCTGGCATGCTGGCTGATGTCGACCTCGTCAGGATCGTCGTCCACAGATGCCGTCTTTGACGCGTTCACGGCTGTCTCCATGTAAGCTGTGGCTCTGAGATTGAATAGCGGTATTGCGCGACATATTCTTACGACCACCGAGCACCTCGTCGGGCGGTGCAACACCTCCATTCAGTGCCTTGATCTTGGCGAGTCTGTCTTCACCCTCCTCGGCCATCTTTTTCTGCCGCTTCTCGCGGCGCAGGCGTGCTTGACGCTGATTCGGAGTCTCGCCTTCTGGTCCATCCAGGCCTGTAGAAACTGCTACGTCTGCCATAGCGTTGGCGGGCTTGCGTGTGCGGTGTGTGATATTTTGAATTCTGTTCTAGCTGGTTAAGGTACATGTAGTGTTTAAAGTAAAGTGTTCAAGTGACGTCGCGACGTCCGCACTTGCATTACCGCCCTCTTCCACCACCTGTACCTGTAGCCCGCCCTTCTCCTCTTCTCTTCTCGCTCTTCCACCACACACTGCCAGTGGTCCACGGGTAAATCGCTCTGGAACGGACCCTATGTGTAGAGCATGAACGCTTGGCCTCAGTGCCGACTTCTTTTAAGCCAGCCACGCTCGAAGCGTCCCTCGCACATCACCGCCATGGGCCGCTTTCGTGGAGGAGCAAGTCGACATGGAGCGCCAAAGAAGCCTGCATTGACCCATTTTCTCTGCCTGCCCCTGGTGAACGCCAGTTCGAAGCCTCAGCTTGAGCAAGCCCTGGAGACTTTTCGACAGGATCTAACTGGAGCTGGCCCAAGGGCTTCAGCAACATCTGTCGAAGCGGGGAATGATGGTAGCAATTTTCTGCCCATAATAGATACCAAAGCTCTGCGGCCAACGGGTGCCTTGCATCTCACATTGGGTGTGATGAGCCTCAAGGAAGAACAACTCATCAAGGCAGCTAATTGCCTGCAAAATCTCGACCTTGCATCCATCCTGAGTGAGGCAAGTCCGGATGCCAATCAAGCCGGGGCGAGAGAGGATCTTAGAATCAGTCTGCGTGGGCTGGAATCTATGCATGATGTGAGGAAGACATCCATTCTTTATGCAGCGCCTACAGATGCCACGAACAGACTCTACCCTCTATGTTTAGCAGTACAGAAATTCTTCGAGGCCGAAGGTTTCCTGCTGGAGGATGATCGCAAGTTGAAGCTGCACGCCACTATAATCAATACAATATATGCTAAGGCCAGGAGGAAGCCAAATGAGAAGTCTGTTATCGTGCCCTCCACTGGGCAGTCTATCTCCAGCCATTCCGAAGTGACATCTGATGGCGATCCGCGTGGCCATGGACCGAACGCGAATGCTCCCCTAAAATTCGACGCCCGATCGATTGTTGAAAAGTACAAAGGCTATATCTGGGCAGATTCCATTGTGCTAGATCGCATATCCATTTGCGAGATGGGCGCGAAGAAGATCACTGACTCCAGCGGCGAGGTTGTTGATGCATGCTATACAGAGGTTGCAAGCATCAAACTCTCAGCTTAAGGTCACATAATATATACAGTACGAGACAACTCCGATGTAGAGAAGGATATGTCCTCGACAACCCCGCGCTCCAGTGCTGTTGCTCGCAGATGCTTACCAGCCGAGTCTAGGACCTTTGTGTCTCTGACTCCAGCCTGCATACAACGCTGCGTTGTCGACCGCTACCTCCGAGGTAGCTTTGCAGTAAATAGACTGCTTGTGCTCTGTGATTCGACATTGGCGCAGGTGAGTCTGGACACAGCTATTCGCGAACTTCGAAACGACGAGTCGCTACCTGCTGCACCGGTATGTACCCCACGACTCAGGGCCCGTACAATTTAAGGTTGAGTTTAAATACCCTTCAGATGATGCAGATGCGGTAGTATATGGTCACTCCAGAACTGATTGTTGAGCAACAGCCTGATTTCCAGCATATGTCTTCAAAGATTTACCAAGCTGATACCTTGGTGCAGTCCGAACGTTCAGAAGCTGAGCAATACGGAAACTAGTCTAAGCGCTGGCTCGACCCTCTCCTTCGAAACTCGAGCAAACCAACTTTATGCAATAGCACGAATCCAGCGCTATTGCAGCGCCTCCAACGTCTTTTGACTAGTCGGCAGACTCGACCGTTCTCATGCACTATGCACTGAGCATCTGCGTCAGCCGCTAGTACCATTGACGAAACGGGAGTGCCACTCGAGTGGTGTAAGAAGGATGCCTTCTGCTTTGCTGCCACTCGGTTCTGGATCTCGTGCTCACTTGGAGCTTCTACTGCCTGAGCACGAAACAGTAATTGTTAGTGGCAGTATCGCCACGTCCATTCTTTTTACACCATGGTCGCGAGAATTGGCGTCGCCGGGCTGGTCCTTCTCACTCTTGCATATACACAGTCAACATGCGCCGACACTTCGTCAAATTATACACGATCGCAAACAGTCACGTCGATATTACAGAACACCGAACAGAATGAAGGCTATAGAGAATCTACGGCGTCGTCCACATACCTACCATCAACAATCAGCAGCGCGACATTCTCTTCTGAAGCCATCAAAACTGTATGGATGACAGTTACGCAAGACGCTACGTCGGAGAGTCAGTCGAGAAAAACGGATCTAGCGAGTTTGGTGCCTACAGAATCACCGAGGGAATACGATGTCTTGCCAGCACAATCGAAAGAGACCGGGTCTCTTATTTTCGCATCGACGGACGGCGCGCAGTCGACCTATATACCACTAGCGCAGGAGACTTCTCGAACTCCGTTATCGCCAGTAACCTCGAAAACCACAACCGAACCCTCGCCAGTCACACAACCTGGGAATGTAGAGATTGCGCAGACTATGCGAACGCAGAGCGATCTCAAGTCTTCGACGCCTCAATCATCGAATCACACCCAGCCGCCTACCGCTACGAATTTGTTGGTGGAATCACCTCCAACGCAAACAGGAGTAATATATGCACCACATGTTGGGCATCTGGCAAGTACGCGAGAGGGACCGCAGCCAGGACAAGCTACACCCAGTCATGATTTTCCAGGTTCTGGTCAGCCACACACTGCTTTGCTGCCCATTTCCTTTTACGAAGGCATACAGTCAGCATCTGTACATGTGGACACAACTTCTGGCATGCAACGATATCCCAGTATGAGTTCTGCAAACAGTCCTGCGTCGGCCTACCATGGTGAGCCAGCGAAAGCCTTGCCCACGACCCTTATCACCGCAGCACCTTCCGCTACGATGGAAACTGGGCCAGCACTCTTTCACGCAACAACGCACAGCGGAGGAGTGATGTCCGAGGCAGTGCAGCTGGCTGCTGTTACTAAAACACGTTCGTCCGCAGCTTTGGTCTCGAGCTCGTCTCTCGGCTCATCCACTGCAATCTCCACGGACTCTTCGTTATCTGCGCAGCCCACCACTACGGAAGTGCCTGCTACCTACTCGGCTCTAATATACGATGGCCAGACTCTACACCTCGATGGAATGACGTTAGCCGCTGAGCCGACCTCTACGGCAGGGTATCCGGACGGAAAGAATCAAAAATCTCAGGCTACTTCCCAATCCCAGGCAGGCTTGGTGGCGAGTGCAGCGGTGATGGCGAGGGGAAACATAGGCATGCCCTCCCTCATGGTTGCCATTGCGGCTTTGGTTTTGATGTGAAAGGTCACGATGAGGTACCTACTGTCATGTAGGGTAGTCTATGCCTTGAGCAAGCGACAGCGTTCGCACTTCTCCTTTCTCTGCTATAACTTACCAAAGCGACATGTACTTTGCTCAGTCATTCCCGGCTTGCTGGGCTGAGGTGTGATATTAGGTAGGACACATTGTGGAGAGTGTTCGTCAAATCATGTGATAATTCTTCCTTCATAGCGCTTTTGCATTGCCTGTAGTGTACTACCATACAAGCTGCCCGATCGAGCAGATGAACGTGCAGCTCTTGCCTTTGCCCATCCGTATCATGCTCACGCACAGCGAAGCAACCTCGCCAGCCATGCCCAAAAACGCCGCACAGAAGTCTGGTATGTTGCGTCCATGCAGGAAGCCCACTGGTGGGATTTACTTCCTGATAGCACGCTGGTAGAAAGCAAGCTCCTCACCCTCCAAGATGTAACCATCGACACGGCCACTCTGACCAGGACGGCTGGCAACAACGGCGTACAGGCGACCAGCCTCGAACTGGCGCTCAATGGCAGACTCAACCTTGCCGTGGGCCTTCAGGCGGTCAGCCTGCTTCGACTCAACGCTCTTGCTCTTCTTGACCTCCTCGGTCTCGGACTTCGCTTGACGTCTGCGGCCCAGTGGCTGGCCGTAGTGAGCCTCGTACCACTGACGGAAAGGTGCAGCATCGACCTGGATGACGGCGGACTTGGTGAGGGTGTTGGTTCGGATCAACTCGTTGTTGGAAGGGTGGAAAGCCACAGCGATCACGCGGACCTTGCGGGAAATGCCCTCGCTGCCCCACGAGAAGTTGCCGGAGTCGAGACGCAGTCCACGGAATTTGCGGTTGCCGCCACGAGTGCGCACCAAGTGAACACGCTTGGGGCCGATACGGGTGTTGGCGGGTTGACGACCCTTCTCGAAAGCTCTGTTCTCTCATATCAGAATTGAATCTGGATATGCGGGTTGGAGACAATCGGGTTATGCATACCTCTTCTTGCGATAGTATGCGCGCTTAGCACCAGAGGCGCTGCGCTTGTGACGGGAGTCACGAGAGATACTGGGACATGGTCAGCGTGTGATCTGGCGAGCGAGTAGAAGATTGGAGTGGTATTGGACTGTACCCCATGATTGCGGTGAGTGAAGATGCCTGTGGAGTCACGAAATGTCAGCTACTGTAGTCGTGAGAGCGTCAGTTCGAGCGCGAGTGAGACGTACGGATTGGCAATGTCTTCACGGGCGCTGGGTGTTGGATGTTCGTGCTGCAGAGGAGCCTTGGAGTCGGTGTTGTAAGGTCTTTCTCAAAAAAGAGGTGTGTGGAGAGCTTGGCGCTCGGTAGAACTAGGACCCACTTGCCACTGTTGAGTTCCAAACCTTCGAACAAACCACACACCTAGCGGAGATGCGGCCATCGTTCACGTGCGTGCTGACCATGAGATAAATCATCTCGATTCCTCGAAAGTCCACGCGTGCCGACGTGCCAACGTAAAGGGTTCCTACTGTCGTCCTCTATTTGGTCTGATTGATCAAACCTTCACCCATCCAAGCCGCAGCAGTAGATATTCTGTGGACAATCCAGTGTAACGGAGCTCAGAAAGTCGCCTGCCTCCACTCGTAATAATAAGGTAAGGGCACATCTCGCATCAAGCTTGCATGATCGCTGCGATGGCCGAGAGTTGGACATGCGGGCCCAGAAAGCACTGAACGTTGAGCTACGAAGTCGAACGTCCTGTGGAGAGAATGTGGTTGAGGCCTTGAGCAGCGAGCTTGGCCTCCGCCAACACAATTGAATCATGGGGGCACATAGGAGGTAGATCACGAATATTATCATGACTATGACGGTCGCTCAAGGTCTACAGGTGCAGAAGATATTCTTCTTCGAGCGATACTCATTCTAGCGGAATATCTCAGGAGCTTTCAATTGAACGAGGTTCAGTAATGTTCTCCAACATGATGAGTCCGATGGAGCCAAGGACTCTCCCCAGAGCACGTCCTATCCACTACTTTGAAGAATTTTGCTGTTATGAACCTCAATGCCATGGCGCCTGGCACAAATTCAATATTGGCTCCGTAAATCTTTGCCCCGAAAATCGTGGATGATGAAAATTTAGCCTGCAGCAATAGAGGTCCAATGACAGGATTTCAATGATGTGAAAATTGGCATGTTGTAGGGTACATGTAGGGCCGTGACATCGTCGCATTACTTTTCCTGTTTGAAAGGAGCGATGCGGTCTCCAGTCTCATTAGACATATTTCAGAACAGTTTGAGCAGATTCATAGATGGTCAGCAAGCACTTTGTGCGTCGCATGACAAACTGTCGCCCAAATCGGTGGCGGACGTAACACATGCGAGGCGTAGCAGTAGCTGAGTAAGAGTTGGTAAAGCTCGAGCACAACAAAAGAAATTTATCACTCGTTTCTTTCAACGACTTGCCCCAGATGACTAGATATTGTTGAAGGGCGTTCAACAGATATATGTACAGGTTGGACCAGTGGCCATTATGGCCAGCTTACCCGGCTGGTTCCAACGGTTCTCTCTCCACCGACGTCTATTGCTTCTGCGACAAAATGCCTTTGAGACAGTTAGTGATAGGAGTTATTATAACGCGAGAATTGGTACGTACGCTCAACATCGGCGACACTCTGCTTGAGGATCTGGTCGAGAACCTTGGGGTCTGATAATGACTTGTCGATCTTGGCAATAACAGAGTCGGCCAACTCCTTCTGTTGTCGGGCTTTGACCTGACCTTCGTAGCGAACCCACGAGTCAAGGACGGACTTGGCCTCAGCGGCAATAGCAGTCTTCTGCTCGAGCTCGTAGGCCTGGGCCTCAAGCTGGGCGGTTTCCTGTGCAACCGGTCAGGGTCGATCTTAGCTACGCTAACGCGTTGAACTTGCCTTGGAGACTGCGAACAGGTCCTTGGTCACATCAATGACGCCGCTGAGGTCCTGAACATTGCTAATGCGGGCCTTGACTGCATTGGTGTGGTCGGCACGTGCAGCGTTCAGAATGCCCTTGATCTTGTCGTGCTGTCCCTGCGCCCACTCTCCGTACATGGGGCCGACATATGTGTAGACAGCCCAGTAGATGGTAAGGAGCGAGAGCATAACAATCGATTCCTCGTTGACGACGTAAAGCTCATTGCTAATGGCAGCCACGGACATCGCGGCACCGGCAGAGAGAATGGCTGTCTTGGAGGCGAGGCTGTTGCCAGGCAGTGAGTCGACAATGGCAGTCGCCGTGCTCTTGGGGTCCTTGGCGGGCGGAGCGGCCTCGAAGCGCGTGGCAGAGGTCGAGAAGGTGGTGGTGATGGCCGGGAATGCGGTGCGGAGAGGGAGACTGGGACGAGCGCGAACGGCGCCTGTGGAGGGTCAATCGTGATGCTGGCGCATGCTATATATCGGGGCGGAGCTTACCCAGTGCGCCTTTTGCCAGTCGTGAGGCCATGGTGTCAATGCTGTACGGTGGTGTAGCGAACAGTGTGAGGGGATGGTCGAGTGTGGTCGGAGACCTAGCGGACGCAAAGAAAGCTCGCCGGGAATTGCCGACGAAATTGTGGAAGATATTCTTTGCGATGCGACTGTCTCCCGCACTCCACTACTCACCCGCCTCTTCACACACCTACATCGCAGCGATGCCTGGAATGGTCACCACTGATCCCGACGATAATCGCAAGAGGAAGCGCTCGTTGCATGGCACCAGCAGCACCAAGGCCAGAAAGGCCCCGAAAGTTACGACCACAACGGATACTCGTGAAGCCCAGATCCTGCTCTTGGAACAGCAGATCGTCGCATCTCCCGCGCACTATGCCAATATCGAAAAACTGCAAGGCTTTCTCGCCGGCGGCGAGCATTCTACACTTGCGGCCGTTGCTCTCTGTCGAGTCTTCTGCCGCCTGATCGCAGGAGAGCAGCTGGAGAAGGACAAAAATGCTTCGGACCATGCCGCACAGACTGTGCAGTGGCTCAGAGGATGCCTTCGTAAATACGTTGCGAGTCTGTGCGATTGGATTGGGAGCCCAGATGCCACAGAGGAGAACACTGCGCTTGCACTGCTGATGAGGATCGTCAAGGAGGAGGCTGCAGGGACCAGCAAGACTGCGGAACAGTCCTGGCGCAACGAGAAGGCAACATTTCAGGCCACGGTCAAGGCGTTGTTGAGCAAGAAGGAGGCGGAAGGTGCACGGCTACAGTTTGTGGAGACGCATGTGGAGGAGCATGATGATGTGCGCTTCTACACTTTCGTTGCCGTAAGGAACCTCCTGAGCGAGTCGAATGGACCAGATGTGCTGGACAATGCAATTGAAATGCTATCTCAGATCGAAGGCGTGCCTGAGTCGGAAGACCAGCTGGAGGATTGGTATGGAGAAGCTCCCACACACAAGAGTCCACTCTTGTCGCTGAACGCACATCGCAAGGCGGCTCGCGAGGCTTGGATGTCAATATTCCGTGCACAACTCTCTACAGAGCAACGAAAAAGCTTGCTCAACATCACCACCACTCAGCTCTTGCCCTGGTTCACCAACCATATCGAGCTGTTGGCAGATTTTCTCACGGACTCTTTCAACCAGGGTGGGGCCACGTCACTTTTGGCATTGAACGGCATCTTCAGCCTGATGACTGTGAAGAACCTCGACTATCCAGAATTCTACGGCAAACTTTACAGTCTTCTGGACGAAGATGTGCTCCATAGCAAGCACCGCAGTCGTTTCTTCCGCCTTTTGGAGACCTTCATGAGCTCCACCCACTTACCCGCGTCTATGATTGCAAGCTTTATCAAACGACTGTCAAGACTAGCGCTACAAGCTCCGCCTGGAGCTATTGTATGGATAATTCCATGGATCTACAACCAGTTGAAGCAACATCCTCCGTGCACATTCATGCTGCACCGAACCTATCATCCTGGACATGCCATTTATGCTGCGCACCCAAATTATACCGAAGAGGGCATGGATGACCCGTTTATCATGTCGCAGTCGGATCCAATGCTCACACGTGCCATTGACTCTAGCTTGTGGGAATTGGAGACTCTGCGGAACCACTTTCACCCGAACGTGGCCACGTTGGCGAAGATCGTGGGAGAGCAATTCACCAAAAGGGACTATCAACTGGAAGACTTTCTTGACCACTCATACAGCACGCTGATAGAAGCCGAGGTCGGCAAGGAGATGAAGAAGGCGCCGATAGTGGAATGGGAGATTCCTAAGCACATATTATGCACCGATGAGGGAGGCCTGAACAGCATAGGGACGTTGCTGCAGAATGCGATACAAATGCCGTAAATGCCGTAGATTTCCAATATAAGCCAACCTCCGTGAATGCATGTACGGGTATGTAATTGGTACCTCATGTTTACTCCACTTCCGTCGTCAGCACGTCCATAGATCCGAGCAGAAGCCGATGGACCTTGTCAGCCACGAGCTCCTCATCAAATCATCACGTGGACCGCTGCGTGCTTTGTTCACTGTTACAGTACGGTCGGTATACTTCGTTTCACATGCTCGAGATCGCCGCTGCGAGCTACAAAACCATGGGTCTCTTCAAAACCGTACTGGCGGCCACAGGCTGGACATCGCTGGGTGGCACAGCGGGATATCTGCTGTTAGTCTCCCTCCATCCCGAGCCTCTCTCCCCCCCTTCTTCCACCTACCCAATTATCCGGCTGAGCTTTAGTGGCCGTGGCGTAATAATGCCGACCGACTTCATTCACTAATACTGCATACATGTATCTAGCTGGACGCGTAAGACGAGTATTGTCGACGTGCCGCCCTCGGGTGAGCATTCCCCATCACGTGTCGGAGACACCACCGATCTGATATCATCTGTGTAGACTACTTGTTCAACTCGACGCTCTTCGCACGATACAATCCGAATAATGCGCCTGTCACGCAAGATTTGGCCGTGCGCCGTGTGCCATTGAGCCAGATCAAGCCCGAATTACTAGAAAAGGATGGCAAATTGGCAGAGGCATTTTGCGCTGGCGTGTGGAGTGGTCTCGGTATGTCTTCTCTCTCTATATATATCTATTTTTTTTTTGTAAAAAAACTCCGGTCTATGTATGGCAGGGCGAGTTCGCAGGGGACTGACCAGAAACTTTTTCTCCTGCTTTCCTCCTCCCACAGGCTTCGCATACCAACGCAGATTTCTCGAGAAAAAATACCGCAACGACCCCGCGACGGCCGACCATCTGTGGGACACGCGCGACCTGAAAGCCTCGACGTATGAGGTTGGGACCAAGATCACCGACCACTTCGAAGTGGTCTCCAAGACGCCAGAATCAATTATCGTTCGATGCGGAGATTCGCCTCGCGTGCAAGACGTTCGAGAGAGCGATGGCCTTTTTGAAATGAGTGCTGTGATTCGAAAAGATGAAGGAGTGGCCGTCCTGGGCTTGAAGAGCCTCTTCTACAACGGGCTCGCACAGCCCGACCAGACGGGTACGCCAGGATCGGGCCCCATGGGTACCTGGATTCAGTGGCTGCATCAACAATACGACAAGGTGTTAATGGAGACGGCCCTCAAGAACATCACGCAATAGAAGAGAGAGAAAAAAAAATTGTGGCGTGATGATGCGATGGGACTCGGGGCTTTTTTTCTCTCGTTAGTCGAGAAAGCGAGCGTCGTCGTCGTATGCAAAGCCAGCTGGAGCAGTCTCGAGGAGCGGCGAGTCATCTGTTCGCTTGAGGACCTCCAAGCAAACCGCTCGGACCTTGCTCGTGCACACTTCGCGGATTTGGCCGGTGATGGAGCTGGAAAAGCGCAGCCACGCAGTCTCGGCTGCTTCTAAGATGGCGTCTGCAATATTCTCCACTAAATCTTCTTCTTCTTCTCCTTCTCCTTCTCCATCTTCACGTCCTTCTTCTCCTTCTCGCTCCTCCTCCTGTTCCCCCTCCTCGAGCCTGTCGCCGTTCGGTTCGCCTCTGCCATCTGTCAAGAAAGTACCTTCTGCACCTTGCGATTGCGAAGCTGTGCAATACATGGCCTCATCTCCCACGATAATCGGCAGGCTGCAAAAATCTGTAGGTAACGTATCCAGCACCTTCATCCTTTTTTGTGCCCCTCAGGTCGGTTTGTTCTTTTGCAAGTCTTGAAAGGTAACGAATGTACCTATGTGCCTGGTATTTAAGGTACCTAGTACCTCATGTATGTACCCGACCTAATTATGCAAGGTATCTAGATAAGGTAGGATCTAGGTCGCACCGCGATCGATCTAGCGGTACCTACATCCAGACATGTACATAAAAAACCTTTATTGCATGCATCCGTCGGTCGGCAGTCTATCTCTCATTGTGCATTAATTTGCATAAAGAGGTTTTTTAAACGCCTTTGTTGGCTTTGACTTGTGCTGTCGGGCTGGACTGTTCATGGTCGGCAACAAGCGAGGAATGCAAGATAAGGTACCTACCTACCAGAAAGGTACTCCCCCCGCGGGCCACCCATCGTACTTGCCTTGACAATCTAGGAATCTAGGTACCTACCTGAAGTATCCAATCATCACATGGCTACAACAGACCCTCTGTTGCGAATGCGGGATAACAGCACGATGGCATGAAACAGATCCGGTTGAGGAGGCTTATACTCGCGGGAAGATAAGTGTGAGCACAGCTCGTTCGCGAAGGCGAAGTTCATACACGCTATATATGCTATAATTGACAGATTCGAAGTAAAGTGTTGTTGCAGCGTCAGATTGCAATGGTTTGAGACATCTCCTTGACCTCATACTCAAGCGGAGATATCGCTGGCGGCGTACTTGCAAGCGGCCGAAGGACCACTGCTAATCTCTGTTGGTTCGTCGCCAGTGTCGTTACCCTCGTACTCAACGCAGATGTCGCTGACTCCCGAAGCTTTGATGTTGGTGAACTAAATATCGGAAGATCAGCATATGCCCTGCGGTATGAGTGCAGAGGCGAGGCTCTTTGGGCCGAGCCGTGATGGGATGGACTTACGGTAGCGGTGTCACCGTAGTTGCTGTTGATACCGGCGAGAGACTTGCCATCGGTGGCAGAGATGTTGTCGAAGATCACATGGCGCTCAAACATCGACTTGCAGTTGCCACAGGAGCGGTAGAGCTTTCCGAATGTTTCGACAGTGAAACCAGAGACGCTCAAGGTGCCTCCTCCGTTGTGCTGCAAAACTTTGTCCTCGGCTCCGAATGCTCCACCACCAGAAATCTTGGAGGTTTCGCCAGCTGCCTGTTCCTTGATGGTGAACGCATCTTCGCATACAGCACTCCACCAGACGTTGGTGAGAGAGCAGCTGCCAAAGCAGTGAACGCCCTCGACTTGGTTGGGGCCAATAATCACGTTGGACAGACTGGCCTGGTCAAACAGTCAGCCCAGCTTCTTCGGAGTGTCACGACCCTTACGCGGGTCGACAGTAGAAGGATATGCTCACCCCATTTTCCAGATAGAACACCGCGTCGCTGTCACCACCTTCGGACTGGCCGCTGCAGCTGACACCGCGGTCAAATGCGACCATGCCTCCGTCGAAAGATTCGCCAGCGGCAATGGTCTTGGGAATTCGAGTCAGCAAACGCGATTCACATGAGATGAGAACCAATCCATACCTGGGCTGCCTTCAACACAGAAGTACCAGAAGAAGCAGGCAGGCTGCCGCCGGCGGCAACATTCTCATTCGCCGCAGGGGCGGGAGTGGTCGCTGGGGCAGAGCTTTCATCGTCACTCGTCTTGCTGGCAGCAGTGGAGCTTGCCTTGGCGCTCTTGGTCTTGGTGGACTTAGGCTCGTCCTCATCCTCGTCCTCGTCGTCGGAGTCCTTTGGGTTACGTTTGGAGGCGTATTTCCAGGAGGCAGTACCAGTAGGGAATGGCACCATCCCAGTGCCAGTAGGGACCAGCCCAGTACCAGTAGGAACCAGACCGGTAGGCTTAAAGGCAGGCGCGTGCATACCCTTGAAGTCCCAGTGCGGTGCGGCGTTGGCGCTGAGGGCAAGAGCCATGAATGCGACTGTGTACTGCATCTTGGGCGATGGTGGATGGGGAAGGAAGGTTGGGGCGGGGTGGGAAAGGAATGGGAAGGGAAGGAATGGAGCAAGCGAAACCAGTCGCTAGGTAATGGAGGATGAAGGGGAAGAAGAAGGGACTGTTCTGTCGTTGTGTATTGGTGATTCTGGTCTGGAAAACAACATTACTGACCGCGGGACTCGAGGCTTCTTATGCGCCGTGGAATCCAGTGTCGGCGTGCTCGTGACCGCGTCGACGAGCGATACAAGCGGGAGCGACGCAAGCATGGTGCAACACAATGATTGCAACTCACAGGAGGCGAGGTTAATGTTCCGTCCGTGAGCTGCTGAAGCGTCGCGCGAAAAGTGAGCTAAGAAGGCTTGATACCACCGCCTCGACAGCAACGGCGCCAGGCCAAGACTTGTATACAGTAGCGACGGGACGTTGATTGTATGCGCCATGCGGTCGACTGCTTGTGCTCCCACCAACAATGAAAGCGAAACGCAGCGTCGTCTCCACTCTCCGGTGGAGCAGCTGTCAATGCGAATCGCGGCGGAGCGTCCGAGTCTTGACGTTGTCCGCTTCTCCACCGCTCCACCGCATCCACCGCATCCACCGCACCCACCTCCAGTAGCGACGCCACGGCGGACAATCGTCCGTCGTATGTATTGGAATCTTCCTATCACCTACATGTACCCTACCTGTACCTGTTGCGCGGTGAATTGCGTCCTGCTGGAGAAAGTGTCAAGGCCTTGGCGACCCTTTCATGCGAGGCAAGCACGGCGTTCAGTGTGTTTGCGGTATATGCATCCGGCAACGCACGTCAGAGGAGGCAGAGCAGATGGAAGGAACGGTACCTGACCTCACCTCCTGTACCGTATCTCGCGCCGTGCTCTGTCTCGGGTACCTACCGTAGTACCGTCCACCATGCGGGCCGCGTGAGCGATGTTCTTCCATTTGTCCGATAGTGCTTGCCGACCGACAGTCGGCAGCATGTAGATGGTCTGGCGAGCCTGTCATTTCCACTCTGTATACATGTGACGGGCTGTACTGCACCGGACCTACATGATTGATTGACTGCATGTACAGTGCCTCGGGGGTAGAAGCACGATAAGGTACCGAGGGCCCTTGACGTGGACTAGTACACGTGTGATATGATATGGTGTAAAAGTGTGGGTATCATTGCTGCAGGTCCACAGCTCAGTGGAGCCTGCGGTGGAGTCTGCTCGTGGTGTGAGAGTGAAGTGAGAGTAGTCGGTTTAAGGTATAGTAGGCATTAACCTACTCCGGGCTTTAACTAGGGCCCACCACCACGCTACGGAAAAATGCAGTATTTAGTATGTAATCAGGCTATATGTCAAATGCCAAGAATTGACCCCGATCTGGTGGGTTTGTACTGCCTCAGGCATCACATCTCTCGGTCTCTACATCCGGAGTGGAGGAGGTACGGAGGTACCTATATTGTACCTCTTAGCGATACATGCACAATTGCACATGGACTCTGTTATTTCATTAGGTACCTTCTACCTACATGTACTGTACCTGTACATTCAGTCAAGCACATCCTGCAAAGCGGCGAGCATACAGTAGAACTATCCATGTACCTACAGTACCTGTTTCTCTTGTGAGCCCGCAAGGTAAGGTACTGAGTTTACTACTACATGTGCCTACTGATGGCCTAGGAGGTACTATACTGCCTCGCTTGCGCTTGCGCTTGTGCCCCACTCCACACTACCTGTCTGCGCCAACAACAACAACGACAACCACCACTACATCACCATCTCTCGTCCTCCATGTTACCATGCCAGAGACACAGGCGCCGGCTGCAGACAGCCCCCTGCACCATCTCCCTCCCTCGCAACACCAGCAACCGGTGCTCAATCTGATCCACGTGGGCCTGCGCGAGGCCAGTCTCGACTCGCCCACTTTCCGCTGCTCGGCCCTGCACTTTGCAGACAACATAGATGCCGTGGAGCGATGGCTCGATGGCTATCTCAAGGCTGCCTCCCGCCTCGTGGCCGAGGTGTCGGCTCTGGAGGCTGCCGTCAACTCGTTCTTGACCCACTCCATGCCACCCGCTCCCATCAGCGAGGCTGTCCTTGACCACGACTACACCCTGCTGGCGACGCGTCGATATGGCGAAGGAGCGCGAGAGGTCTGGGGTAATACGTTGCGAGGCGTGAAACGCTGCGATACCGCTGTAATTGAGCCCATCAGAGGCTTCCTCAATCAGGAACTGCGCGTCTTCAAAGAATCGAGGCGCGCAATGGATAGTGCACAAAAAGCATTCGATGCTGTGCTCAACCGCTATGCGGCCCAGAGCAAGGGTAAAGAGGCTTCCTCACTGCGCGAAGAGGCTTTTCAACTCCATGAAGCACGAAAGCTGTATCTCAAGGCCAGTATGGACTTCTGTGTACAGGCTCCACAGCTACGTGCATCGCTGGATCAGGTAAGCACGCTCTGTGACTAGATAAAATCTCATCAACGCATGCTCGCCAAGATACCTTTCGCCCCCGCACGCCAACACATCTGTGAGGCTCCTAAGGGATGTCGCAGAGCCATCATGGAGCAGTCAAGCCTAATCCGTTGTATAGCTCATCGTTCGAGTCTTTGCAGATCAATGGAAAGAGATGCGTCAAGGTCGAGAGTCCAGCATTGCCACATTTGCGAAGTGGGGAGCCGAAATGGAACGTGTCCGTGGTTGGAGCAGAGAAATGGAAAATTCAGAGCGGGCTTTCAAACGTGAGCTCCTCACGGCGCGGAGGCTGATCGAGGAAGCTGCCGAGAAGAAGAAACGACCATCTCGGGAGGTGAGTCCCCTGCTGTGCTCCTCGGCGGTCATGTTGGGCTGAGCTACCACGGCCCGGCCTGCGAACACCACATGGCTATACTAACATCTACACTCTCGCAGTTGGAAGATTATGCTGCATCAACTGTACCGTACCTAGGCACCGGGGCCTCTTCTGCCACTGGTGCTGGTGGCAGCTCGCTTGATGTGGCTGAGAAGCAAGGATGGCTTTTCTTGCGCACTAGCACGGCCCGTCCTGCGAGAACAGTATGGTCGCGCCGATGGTTCTTTGTGAAGAACGGCATATTCGGATGGCTCGTTCAAGGCACGCGCTCTGGTGGGGTTGAAGAGAGTGACAGAACCGGTGTTCTTTTGTGCAGCGTACGCCCTGCTTTCCAAGAAGAACGTCGTTTCTGTTTTGAAGTCAAGACCAAGGACCAGAGCATCATTCTTCAAGCAGAGACGCAACAAGTGAGTACATCTCCATCTATGGCCGCCAGTCTCTCATAAGCTACCTATTGATGCAGCTGTACCCACAGGCAGGCCACTGCCACACACCTTCTGACATTTTTTGCAGGAGCTCACCGAGTGGATCAATGCATTCGAAGTGGCAAAGAGGAAGGCTCTAGATGATCCCGCCAGCACCGAGACTTCATCAGCGGCTCATGGGATTGACCCAGCGTTTGCCATTAGTCCTCCAATGGCACCGGAATTTGCTGCCAAGATTGGCGACGGTCATGCAGCACAGACTAGCGAAGACCTTGGACTTGGTAGGTGCTACTTTCTCTTGCCCACAAATCCAGATCGAGCTGCGTATTACGGGAAAGGATGCAGCGTGAGGAACGATGTGGCTGACCCCTCATAGGACTCGCGGCCCCGGAAAGAGAAGGTACAGGCTTGGGAGTAGCTAACCGCACTAGCTTTGATGTCAACCCTCGACGAGTAATGAGTCTGGAGCGAGACGCCGAAGGGGGCCTACGGGAGGCCTCGCGCGACCATGCCGCACGCCTCATACAAAAGCTCGATCTGCACAAGAGATCTACAGCTTCGTCTCAAGCAAGCCAAGGGTCGACACCAGGCGGCGGCGGCATCGCCAGCCTCATCTCAGCGAGTCACAACATCTTACCCGTTGGCCCTGGTGCTGCAGATGGACCAAAGCGGAATTTTACGATGCCTGCTAGCATTCAGCCAACCAGTAGCTTGGCACCTTCCACACTTGCGAACCCTCCCGCCGCTACTAATCTAAGCCACACTGCGGTTGTTGTTAGTGGCGAGAGAGGCCTCAATCTTGGCCGTACTGATGGCTCCGGTGTGCCCTCGGGCATCCTTGCTAACTTGTGGGGAAGTAACAATTGGGGCCATATCAACCGCTTAGGTCCCGATGACGATACGTCGCAGCCATCTAGTCCCAGATTGCGCGCGATGTCTATCTCACAAGACGACTCTGTTGTGATGGACGGTCATGACGCATCCGATCCCAACGACCCCTTGGCATCAGGGTTGGGTTCTGTTCTGGGACATCGGAAGAACTTGAGTGTCGGTGGTGAGATCAACTTACCTACACCGAGGACGGCCAAGCATGACGCAGCAGCCTCAGTTGTCGGCGATGACTTTCCAGCACTCTACCCACTGCCTCTGAAGGCGCAAAATGCGCAGTTCCATACGCTTTTCCCTGCAGTCCCCAAATCAGAAAAAGTGGTACTAGTTTTCCGCGCGACGTGGAATCCGAATGATCAGCAGGAATTTCCTGGCCGCGTCTATGTCACCCACAGGGAGATTTACTTCTTCTCCAACCATTTGGGCTTGGTGCTGATTACTGGCGTCAGTCTTTCGACGCTCGATGAAGTCACGGCAGCACCAGGCAGAGATTGTGATTTCATCTATCTCCATCTCCGGGAGGGCATCCGCCAAGACGATGCGCGTAGAATCACAATCAAGATTTTCCTGGAACCACTAAGGCTCTTGCAGCGTAGACTCAATTTTCTGGTGCGCAATGCTCGTTCGGATGAACCAGAAAGTCTCGAAGAGATCCTGAGGATTCTGATCAAGATGGAATCCGACCCACTGCCCCGGAGGTCCAGCGTCGACAGCTGGGAAGATGTCATCTATGAAGCTGAAGACTCCGGTCAGGGTAATCTGATGACTCCCGATCGTCGTCGTGTCCGTAATCTGAAAGCCAGCTTACGAATCGACGGAAGCCTTTATGGAGAAGCGGCAAGGACAGGGCGAGAACTACAAAAGTTCAAACTCCCCGCACAGGCAGTTGTGTATGCGCCTTCCGGAATGCAGAGCAGCGTGTCCCGAGACTTCAACGTGAGCGCCAAAGCACTATTCCATGTTATGTTTGGGGATAAGAGCGCCGTCTTCCAATTGCTATATGCAAACCGGCGGGCCACCAATATCTTGCAGACACCCTGGACCAAGACCGACCAGGGTCATTGGAACAGGCGATTCACGAGCCAGGATCAATCGCTGGCGGACACACAAACCATTGACATCTTCAACGACCATCTCTGCTACGTGGTCACGAGTAACACGCAGCCCTGGCGACAGCCTTATGGAAACTCGTTCGCCTTGACGACTAAATTTGTGTTGACGCACACGGCCAAGTCGAGGTGTAAACTCGCCATCTTTGAGAAGCTCGTCTGGCATAAATATCCGCCAATGCCGTACCTCAAACATTTGATAGAGAGACAAGCATACAACTCGTTGGACGCGGACGCCTTGGACCTGTCGAATGTGGCGATGGACCAAGTAGCCAAGCTTGGTAATCACAGCAAGACTAACAAGGCAGTCGACATCTTTGGCAGTGTTGGACAGCAATCTCAGGCCGCCCAAATTGACAGCAGTCAGGTGCCGAACGGTGCGTTGCCAGTTATTGGCGCAGCCGCAAACAAACCCATGGGCATTGCCCAGCTGGTGTGGAATGACCTCTTTGCTCGCACGCTTAGTGCTTGCAGCCTGCTACTCGATCTGATGATTGCTGTCGGCAAGGGCGCAGTATCTCTGTGCAATGCGCACACCCTGCTTGTTCTGGTACTGTTCATCTCGGCGCTTTACAATGGATGGCATGCGTACCGCGATGGCTTAGTGTGGTATCACGATCGAAGTGCGACACGGTTCATGGCGAGGATTGGTGTGGCACCAGACGCGATGATGACCAAAGGCGTCTATCTCAACGACATCGTTGATGAGCTGCTGGCATCACAATCTACAGTCAATGACACCCTCCCAGTGCAAACGAGCAGTGATACTGGCCCACGAAGGACATGTCGAACCACGTTCCATGAACAGCTCACGACTTCAAAGTCTTTGACGCGAGGCCCATCTTTGGGCGTGAGTCTCCAACAATCCCGAGACTCATTAGCGAAGTATAGGCATGACTTACTTGTCGCTCTACGCGTAATCAACCGCATTGAGAAGGACGTCGTGTCGGCGGAGTTTGAGACCTGGGTACACTCGGAGGAGCAAAAGTGCGAGCGTGTCGAGAACATGCTACGCCAATTGAGTGAGAAAGAGCCCAACTCGAAAGGAAAGAAAGCCGTATACATGGCAGAGCTGGGTGAGGACTTCGCAGAGTACTGCCACAGTTGCCGGATCGAGGCTTCGTCACTCGACACCGGTATCCTGCTAGCATGAAGAAGAAGAAGAAGAAGAAGAAGGACAACTTATGGTGCCTTGTAGAGCTACCCCGAATAAACAATGCTTGGCGTGTTTTTGTACCATGTGAATAATACCAGGTACCTTTGGTGTACATGTAATTGTAGGTAGAGGCAGGTACGGTATCCTTCGTGTCTCGTTCGTAATGTCCTCTGGACAGCTAACTCTCGTTGATTGGCGGAGGGCGCGGAAGACCGCCGACTTCTCACATTGGCTTCACAACTTCGAGCGAACCTTAGGTACCTTACATACACATTCCCTTTGAACCTAACACTTCTCCAACACAGATATTGCCAGCTCAACATGCTGCGCATAGCTGTAGCTCGAAGCGGCAAGTGCCTAGAGCATGGCATACGCGCCGGAGGGGCTCGCCAATGGCAGTCGCAGCGGCTGCAACCTCTAGCAGTATGTTGAGCAGCAACCACAACCACCACTACCACAGCACGCTGACCACGCACTTCTCCGTAGAGAGCATATGCCGTTCCCGCCCCGCCGACGACTGACAAGGTCGTCCTACCCGGCAGCGACAGCAGCACGACCGCAGGAGTACCGAAGCCTCCAGTCCTCCCGTCGGCCACCACCACCTCCTCCTCCTCCATCACGCCCGAACAGTCGCCGTTGACCCCCCCTACTCCTACTCAGGTCCAGTCCAATCCTCCCGCGCCCTCGACCACCGTCGGCAATCTCCCTCCCACTGGCACGGGCACCGCAAAGACAGGGCCCTCGTCAGCTCCTCCGCCCCCTCCCAAGAAGAAGGGACGCTTCCGGCGCTTTCTCTTCACCCTCATCATCTTGTCTGCGCTTGGTTACGGTGGAGGTATCTATTATTCGCTCATCAATGACAACTTCCACGACTTCTTCACGGAATACGTCCCATATGGCGAGGATGCCGTGTCATACTTCGAGGAGCGCGAGTTCCGCAAGCGCTTCCCGAGCTCCTCGTCTTCTTCCTCCAACAGCTGGCCACAGACCCGCGGCGAGAACAAGGTGACCATTGGGCGGCAGAGTGGCATCAGCCCGCGTGTGGCCAAGGCAGAGAACGATGGCGGTGATGTGGGTCTCCGAGGCAGACATACCAGTGCTCTCGCAGAGAATGACCCAAAACCGGCACCCAAGATGCAGTCTGTGAAAGAGCCCACGAAGCCTTTGACAACAGAAGCCTCGCCGAAATCCCCTGCTAAGCAAGTCGGGCAGTCTTCTGAATCCGTTACGGCCCAGCCAGCACCCACACCCGTCCCCACGATCGATCACCTTAGCGCGCCGGAGGCACATGAGCCCGCTGTGCAAGAGGCGATTAAGCTGGTCAATGGCATCATAACAGCCATCAACAACACACCTGATTCCTCAAAGTTTGGCTCAGTCCTCGCACAAGCCAAGAGCAATCTCGATAAGGTCATAGAAGAGATTAAGCTTGCAAAAGCCAAAGCTGCGCACGATGCCGAGACCGAGATCAAGAATGCCCACCTGGAGTTCGACCAGGCAGCCAAAGAACTCGTTCGGCGGCTAGAGGGCGAAATGCGCGATCAGGAAACGCGATGGCGTGAAGAATACGAGCAGGAGCGGGAAAAGCTCAGTTCGAGCTATCAGCACAAGCTGTCCGCGGAATTGGACACTGCGAGGAAAGTCTACGAGCAGAAGAAACAGAACGAGCTTATTGAGCAGGAGATTTCTCTGCAAAAGAAGTTTATGGAAAGTGTCCGAAGCAAGGTTGAGGAAGAGCGCGGCGGCAGGCTTTCTAAACTCGATGAACTGTCGGGCAGTGTCGCGCAGCTCGAGAAGCTGTCATCGCAATGGAATGAAGTTGTCGATGCGACCTTACAAACACAACATCTTCAAGTGGCCCTGGAAGCTGTGAGAGCCAAGCTGCAGGCATCCGACACTCCCACGCCATTCATCGACGAGCTCGTGGCACTAAAGGAGGTCAGTAAGGACAACGATGTTGTCAGTGCTGCTATCGCCTCGATACATCCTGCTGCTTACCAGCGTGGTATTCCATCGCCTGCGCATTTGATCGATCGATTCCGCCGTGTAGCGTCAGAGGTCCGGAAGGCAAGCCTCTTGCCAGAGGACGCTGGAGTGGCTAGTCACGCTGCTTCTGCAGTCTTGAGCAAATTCATGTTCCAGAAGAAGGCTGATCGCGGTCTGCCAGAGGGAGATGACGTGGAGGCCACACTCGCGAGAGCAGAAGTTCTACTAGAGGAAGGCGATCTAGATGCAGCCGCACGCGAGGTGAATGGACTCAAGGGCTGGGCGGGTGTATTGAGCAGAGACTGGGTGGGAGAATGCAGACGAGTGCTCGAAGTCCGGCAAGCAGTCGATGTGAGTATACTTGCCCTTCCGTACACGATCATGTGCACTGGCTAACTACGAATGCAGGTCATATCTGCGGAAAGCAGACTACAGAGTCTGCTTGTCGGGTGAGGCTCCATTTTCTTCGTGTCCGCTTGTAGCATATCGACTCCAGACCGTGTATAGCAGAATAGAAGATCTTCAGCATAACGAATGAATGCAACATGCACTTGTGAGGTTGCCTCTGTGCTTATTACAGCCTGCGTTTCACCAACTGTACATGTTGCGTCGTTATAGCAAGGGAGCAAGGAAGCAAGGTTGTGGCTGGGTGGATCTGATAGGCAGACCCTGCGTCGCAATGCGGGCAAAAGTTGAATGGTGCACACCTCCTCCGTATAGTTAGTTCTAGCCAGGTTTGTAGCAATGTGTCCCTCCCATCTGATGTTGCGACAATAATAATACTCGTACGTTGTACTCACCATCGAGGAATTGGACGTACCTGAAGAGTCATATATATACTCATGCCTCGCTTGCGGTAGCACGGTCCAAACGCGCTCGCACTATGAAGCTGCCCCTAGCCTTCTACCTTGCCTGCACCGCCGCCATAGCGTCCGCCGCCGACAGCAGCAACAGCAACAAGAACGCCGACAAGCCTTGTACGATTACGTCTCCGACCACCGGTTCGTTCTTCGACCTGTCGTCGTTACTCATTCCCGATCCTGTCACTTCGAAAGCGAAACATCCCAAAGAGCACAGCTGGAATGCGACTGGCTACGATGTCGGCTACAACTTCACCGTCAACTTCTGCGGACCTGTGGTAGAGCCCATCGAAGATGTCGTGGGCGTGGACAAGAATGTCTGGCGGAACGTGAGTGCTTTCTACAGGAAGGGCGACAAGGTGTACAGTCTTGGGTGAGTGCGGCTACAGAACTAGGCGCAAGCGAGAGCAGCCGATTAACGCGCGCTTTCAGGCAACAGAACTCGGAACTGGTCATGAGGGGGAGGAAGCTGGTCTTGAACTATACAGATGGCAGCCCGTGTGAAGAGGCCCGCGAGAGGAGAGCGATGATGGGCGAGAATCTGCAGCAAAGGGCTCTCGCTGATGATGAGGGCAACAACAAAAACAACGATACTATGAAAACAACGACCAGTAGTGTGAGGAGGAAGAGCACCGTCATCAGCATGCTCTGCGACACGGATCCTCTTGCACCTCCTTTGAAACTCAGCTTCGTGGGCACCATGGACGAGTGCACCTACTTCTTCGAAGGACGATCTGCCGCGGCATGCGCCACTGCGAACACGAGTAAAGCCACGCTCAACCCGGCCGGAGTCTTTGGCGTGATTGTCGTGATAGCCATCATGGTCTACTTTGTGGGAGGTTGCGTGTATAATCGCGCGGTATTACAGCAGCGAGGGTGGCAGCAAGTGCCCAACTACGGCCTGTGGCAAGGCATCTTCAGTTTCTTCAGAGTACGATGCCGCAGTCCGTTCAGACGGCGAAGTCGGTTCTGAGTATGCTGACTTGACCTCTTAGGACCTTTTCATCATCCTCACCTCATCTTGTGCGCGATACACGCCATCGCGACGAGGCTACCATCGAGTTGGACAGGACGGTGGTATTGGAGGTCGCGGGCGCGATAGTGACGCCGAGAATCGGCTGATCGATGAGCTGAATGAAGAGTTTGATGACTGAATCAGATCTTCTTTGACTACCCTATACACGTCTTATGGGATGGAGTCTTTGCAGTTCAAAGCCATTACTACAGTCCACCGTGAATTTTTATATCATTTGCTCATGTCATTGCCTGCTGCGTCTTCGAATGCGAGTCATGATGATGGTCTACTTGCAATCTTCGCAAACCTCTGCAGTTCCCTTTTGCTGCACTTCAGGCTCATCATGATCATCATGATCATCACTGTTCTTGACCTTATTCGCGGGCGTGTCCGAGTGACCGAGTTTCTTCTCCGGCTCAATATAATTTCTCACTCGTTGCTTGAGGATTTTCGTTCTTTGAAATTTTTGCATCACCCGTTAGTTCAACAACTCCTCTTTTATTTTTCTCTCATCCTCCCCCTCTCTCACGCACACATTGAGAGATGATGCTACAACATTAAATCAAGGCCGTGGTCATATCTTACTCGGGAAATCCCCCCTCCGTTTTCCGATCCCAAAGTACCACATCCTTGGCCTCGTCGGGATCATCTCCCATCTCCAACTGCGCCTGTGTCGGCTTGTACGTCAGATCCACAGTGAAGATGCCTCCTGTATTGATTTCATGGCATTATAGCACATCTGTTAGATTCATCATCATTCTCTCCCTCAATTCGAGTATATCGTGAATGAAATGAACACATTCATGCGCGCGACAGAGAGATCGAAGAAAAAAAAAACAAGAAACAAACCTGTGGCGGGAATGAGGGCAATTTCGCCGATCGTGGGGCCAAATGTTGAAAACAGTTCTTGGGCATAGTAGGTGGCGCGAAGCATCCATTTGCCTGTGGATTGAAGGAGATGTGATGGCTTTCTTTTAGCTTGTGGTTTGACCTTACCTACTTGGATCTACTTCTGAAGAAGTGCTTACATTGTGTGCAAAAGGTGATGCTGATTTTGGGGAGTCGGCTGGACATGCTGGTCGTGTTGTATACACGTACCTCCGAAGACAGGGCGCGAGAAGATATTTGAGAAGGTGGTGTAGTGATGAGGTGAGGTGAAGTGAGGTGAAAGTACATGGCAGGCAGGCAGTGAATGAGAGCAGCGAGCAAGTCTTGGCATCTGATGTGGGGAGAAGTACAGAGGTGGAGGTACCTCACCTCCTACATGTTAGGTACATGTATACTTATATATGCCCGCAAGACGACCATCGCCTCTGTCTCTGCCTCTGCTTCTGCCACAAATGTCGGCCGCCCCCGATTGAAGCGAGTAGCGACACAATGAAGGCCAACTTCATCACCAAGTTGCATCTGCGCGAGCTCAGCGACTCCCAGCGCTATCGCCGTCGCCTCTACAGCGACCGCCACCTGGTCACGGGGCTTGACATCGTTCAGGAGCTGGACGGCCACTCAGGCTGCGTCAATGCGCTGAGCTGGTCCTCAGATGGCCACCTTCTGGCCTCGGGGAGTGATGATGTCCATGTCAACATTCACAGATATCTGCCCGGCGACGACAGCACCCAACCGCTCAAGTTGACCACGAGTGTCGCCACTGGTCATACCCAGAACATCTTCAGTGTCAAGTTTATGCCACACTCGGCCGACAAGACCGTCGTCACAGCAGCCGGCGATGGCGAAGTACGCGTCTTTGATCTCGAATACGCTGGTTCAGCGGGACATGCCTCGCGCGCATCCGCGCTGGCGAGCGTGGGCAGACGACGGCGCGGAAGCCAGACCACTTACTTGACTGATGGAAATACCAATGCGAGGGTGTATCGATCCCATGGTGACAGAGTCAAGCGCATCGTCACAGAGTCCTCTCCCCATCTGTTTCTCAGCTGTTCCGAGGACGGCGAGGTAAGGCAATGGGACCTCAGGCTCCCTTCTTCAGCTTACCCGCCTTCTCGAGGATTTCGTTTTGGCCATGGTATGACATATGCATCTTCCACAGCGTCCATAAGACAGCTGCCAAGCGTGCCATCATGCATGCCAGCGGACCACGTCTTATGGCCATGCATAGAACGCTGACTTATTGCAGATTCGTCCGCTCCACCTCCCCTGATCTCGTATAAACGATATGGTTTGGACTTAAACTCCATATCTTGCAGTCCTTCTCAACCATACTACATTGCCTTAGGTGGAGCTCATTTGCATGCTCTGCTACACGACCGACGAATGACTGGCCGCGACAAGCTCAAAGAGAAAGGAGCTCACCTCTTGCCGATCAGCCAGTTATCTTCTGAAGATCAGGAACTGCTCACATCAGCCACACAGTGTGTAAAGAAGTTTGCTCCCAAGGGCCAGAAGAAAATGAGACGTTCAGATAACGGCCATGTAACAGCTCTCAAGATTTCTGACGCGCGCCCTGACGAAATCGTCGTCAGCTATTCAGGGGACGACATCTATAGCTTTGATTTGCTACGGGAACCTAACGCAGATAAAGGTCAGTCAAATGAAGACTCCAGGACCATGCAGCCATGTGGAGATCTGTCATACTGCAAAATGGAGTGCGTTGTGCTGATTTCCTTCTTACAGCATTCCGTGATAGCGGCCAACGAAAGCGAAAACGTGTGGCAGCAGGCAGCACAGCTTCCTTGGCACACGGGGCAGCTGACCCCTCGAAGCGGCGCATAGAACACTCAGCAACACACAGTAACAATGATGCATCGTTGCGAATTCGTTACCAGAATGGTCAAAGCGAGGATATACCGCTCTCGGCTGGAGATCAGCTGACTGCACCAGTCACAGAAACCCAACGTGCTGTGAGTTGCATCTGTGAACGTTGTGTACCTTGAGCTAATCAATCGCCCCGAGATAGGCGCGCCATATCGCTGACCTTGTTTTGCGTATCAAAGTTTCAATGTTCGATTCGGGCAGTTCGACAAATGCCGCATCCTTCCACAACGCCCTGGAATTGGCAGCATCTGCAATTCCTAGCATGGATGCAATCATGCGTGGATGGCGATATCCTCTGGATCCTGGCCCCGAGCAAATTTACGAGCAACAGAAGCTACGGTATCACCGTGAAAGCAGTAGAAGATTTGTGCAGGCAGCAGGTACTTTGGCTCGTGCTATCATCGGTGGCTCAACGGTGCCAGCTGGCCCATTGGCGGCTCACTTCACCTCTGTTGAGGCGAGGCGCAGCGACCTCGCAGTGCGTCAGCAAGAACTTTTCAGTTACGAGTTTCTGAAGTCCATTCTGCTTTGGCTTGATTCTGGAGTAGGACGTCTCATCGAAGGCTTCACGAGACCCGAAGATATGCCCACAACGAGCAAAGCTGCATCAAGATTGCCAATTTCTGAAAGTGAAGCCGGCTCAGAAGCAGTTGACGAAATTCTCATTCCGTATCTTCTACAGCTGGCCAGTGATCGACCGATCGTCAACGTCGAAACGAATCGATTCGAAGCTGATACGGAACGACAATTATTCGAAAACGAGAGTGCAGCAGTGTTCGCATTCGCCGCGGCAGTAAGAAAGCCGTTCGCGGACCTCTCCTCCGCCGGAGGCGATATTGACACTCAGGATCGAATCACGGCATGTCGATTTTGGGCCTCTGAGGTCGCACGTGGCGTTTTGTTGAATGCGACAAGAGGCCTCAAGTTCGCTGATGTTGATCGAGCTTTCGGTGGACTGGGCCACGCTACCAGAGAGGCTACTACAGACGAATCCCGCATCAACCTCCTGCACCCTCACGACGAAGATGAAGAGGTCAACGTGCGGACCATCGACATGACTGATGATAGTGGCCAAACAGCTGTTGCGCTCATGGTTGACGATACCGAATCCCAGCAGCAACGAGAGGGGATATCGGAGTCCAATGATGATGACGATGCCGTGACTAGTGATGAAGAAGAAGAAGAAGATGAGGAGGAGGACGATGAAACTTCCCTTTCGGAATCTAGCTCCGATCCAGACGAGGAAGACGGTGTCCCGAATTTAGGGGTGCCTCGCTTCATCTACACTGCAGCTTTCGAGCGTCAACGACTCAAGTCTGGTGTCGAACCGGATGTTTTCTGCGCGAAGCCATTCCGAAATTACACCGGGCACTCTAACACCAGGACGGTAAAGGATGTCAACTACTTCGGTAAGTCAGTGTGTTATGTGTAAGATTACAATACTGCGAGTTGTGTTGCTAACAACCCGTGACCGCTTTCCTACCTGCCTACATGTAGGCAATGACGACGAATATGTCGTTTCCGGTTCCGATGACGGCAACTTCTTCATTTGGGATCGCAAAACCACAAAGCTCGTGAATATTCTCGAGGGCGATGGCGAAGTAGTCAACGTGGTTCAAGGACATCCATATGAAACGATGCTAGCCGTCTCCGGCATCGACAACACCATCAAGGTAAATACAACCTGAATATGCGGTGACACCTCGCCGTCCGTGTCGATGAAGCTAGAGGGCAATAAATAAACTAATCCTCGGAATGCACAGATATTCTCCCCTGACGGTCGCGCCCGAGAGGAAGCTCGACTGGGTCGAGGAGTCAACCCCAATCCTCCTTCTTCTCCTACACCCATGCGTATCGGAGTTCGAATAGCTCGACGGCGCCCGCAACCACAGCAATTCGACGAGGACGGCGACGCCATTGTGGAGCCCACGGCGGATCAATCCGATTCCGACGAGTACCTTGCGCCATCAGGTTTACAAAGTAGGCGACGAATGTATGATTCGCGCCGTATTATTGAGCAGAATAGGCTGGAGCATGCACGTGGTCGACAGGATCATGGTATTACCATCAGCCCGGACATTGTCCAGTATCTCATACAACATGGACTTTTGCGGACATGAGAAGGTTGGCAGGACTAAAAGCGAAAATATAACACGAAAAATGGCATGAATGCCCGGTACGGAAGGATTGGGAAGAGGCTCTACATGATCATCAATACGAAGGTAGGGTAGGTACAGACGTCCTCTTCCCCGAGACCGTCAAAGTACTGCTGCAAGATGCAGCCAATGAAAGTTTGCTTCGAATCCACTTCTATGCCCTAGTAACATCTCCTCTCGTTGCCCTGGGAGAACAGGCCGTGTAATCATATCATGTCCTTGAATACATTCTCCGTGCAAGTGCCACAATGCAACAAAGAGCGAGTATTACCATCTTGATGAGCAGTACAAGCATATGTTCCGACTAGGTGTTCGATTCCATATTGAATTCGTCGTCTTGCTCACCATTCATCGTGACAACCACGCCAACGGCTCGACGTGACCTCGACTCGACCGCTGCGCGCGCAATTTGTGCGTGTAAGTGGGTTGTGCCATGCTCCCTCGCATTTCGCGGGACACGGCTAGATTGCTCCGGTTGGATGGACCTCCCAGTCCGATCGTGGCCATAAGAATGATTGATTCTGGCTTGTATAGCAGCGACCAGTAGTCGATTTGTTGCATGGGATGTAGGCAAAAGACCAAGACTCCTCAATTGGTCAGATGTCTGCCTTGTATCTTGTCGATGCGCCGATGAATGAAGGAGGACCCACAAAGGTACTGGGGTAAGCAAATCCGGTGCCGCAGTAAGTGGTCCTTCAGCTTCGTTGAAGTGCACCCCTGTTGGCCGAATTGCCGATGATCCAGTCGCTCGCTGGTGAGATGAAATTCCTCTCTCCCACGGGCGCGCGTTGTGATTGGTGCCAACCGCGACGGACGCAAAACTCCTCTCCAGGTTTGCTAGAAGGGGTGAGCGATGACGGACTGGTGAAAGGCGTGCTATTCGAGAGGCCTGTTCTATCTGACGTGTCACGCTTTGCACCATCAAATGGTGATCAGAGTGGTGGTACCTGGGACAGCCCCCACGAACCCAGTGGTTGGAATTTTCTTGAGCAAAGTGTCCGCAGATGAAGCAGAATGAAGCAGAGCATATACACGTGATGTGATTGCAGCCATCTCGGAGCTGGACGGCCGTTTTGCATCCTGGACTACAGCAGCAAGTCGAAGTGTTAGCAGGTTCTCTCTGAATATGCAGGCCTGTTTCAGCGAGTTATGCGTTTAAGCTCAGTACTCGCATAGAGCGTGATGCCGGTGAGACATGGAGCAATGAAGATGCCTTCGACCTGTTACTTACCAGATCTGGTAGTCTTTCCCCTGCTAGAGGCCCTGAAAATTAGAAAGCACTCTGTCCTGCTCGCTGAGTTCTGTTTCCGACCCGGCCTTGACGATGCATATAGTCAGCATCCCCTTTCCACAGTCTGCGTGGCTTGGTCGTCACTCACACCTTGGCGCTGCAGCATTGAGTACTTCTCGGCCTTGTCGCGAAAGTCTGAGATCATGGAAGCGTCAAGGATGCGTTCAAAATCTGCTAATTGCAGCGGCGTTCCCGACCAGACGGGCGGGAAATTGGAATCGTCGGCTATGGCGAAATGGAAAATTTGACGAATGCAGTCATGGCAGACCGGATCGCCTTCGACCTCCATGATGAAGTCTGACGTGTGATCGTCCATGCAGGCACTGCATTCTCGACTTGCTGAACCGGGCTCTTGGAAAGTGGTGGTCATTGCGCGGTTTCTCTTGTGATCTGGCAACGAAAGTAGTAGTGATGGTCGATGATGACGATATTTGGTGGTCTGCTCTGCAAAGAATGAAATGTCGAGCACCCCTAGATTCTGTGCAGATGCTGAAAACGCAAGTATGAGGAGTGAAATAGGACGATTGAATCCCGTGGGCGACAGGGTCCATGTATCTACTGCTATCTCAAATTCTGTAGCGCTGCACGATGAGCAACAGGTGTGTATTGTCCCTTCTGTGACGGCAAGGCAGGCCGGCGATACCACCACGGGCAAGTAGTATCGGTTGCTGCTCACTGCCATCGTTACCTGGAGGCACTCGATCAGGCCAAAGAAGGTGTCATGCAGACATGAATATCAATTACATATATCACGTGAATGCGACAGGAGTACCTGCATGTACTTCCTGTTGGGTTGAGTCAGGTCATACATTAGATACCTCCTAGGTCAAAGTCGAAGTGAAGTCAAGTGAAGGGTGATGGAAAAGGCATGTCACGTGCATCCCCGCGTCGTGCCAGGATGTCGCGCGTTAACCACAGCTGCTGCTCGAACTGGAATCACATATTCTTCTACCTCCTAGCTCGCACACTTCACTCAATCTGTCACTCACCCACAGCTTCCGTCGCATCTACCAGCATACTACACCGCCTCCTCCTGCGATTCCGCCGAATTCTGCTCTTCGCTCTCCGCCATCAGCCTCAGCTGTCGCCATCGATTCGACTGTCCTCCGCGTTCGTGTCGATAGGCAGCAGACGCGGCTAACCGTGGCAAACGCCATTCCGTCGCGCGACATCTACAGACGCGATGTAAGAGCTCCTGTGCGCGGTTGTGCGCTCTCCGCTCTTGCAACACCGCCACCATCAAAAGATGGCGATCTTGATTGCTAATACTGCGGACAGGGAGTCATTCGACAACATTTACCTTGACCTCTCCAAAGATCCCGGCAAGTGTCGACTGGCCGAGTCGGGCTTGGGATGGAAGCCGTCGGGTGGTCAGACATTTACACTGGACAAGGGAGAGTTCTTGAGCGCGCAATGGAGCAGAGCTGCACGCGGTTACGAGATGAAAATTTACGCCAGGAATCAAGGTGTTGTGCAGCTCGATGGCTTCAGACAAGAGGTACAATTTCTGCAGCTATAATGGGCCATTGTCACTGATCGTAAGGTACAGGACTTCGAGACGATACAAAAGTGCTTCAAGGTATGGTATGGCGTTCCGTTCGAGCACAAGGAGCATGCTCTACGTGGCTGGAATTGGGGCAAGAATGAGCTGGGACGAAATGAGCTCGCATTTAACGTCCGCAATCAACCCGCTTTCGAGATCCCATACACCGAAATCAGCAACACGAATTTGGCCGGAAAGAACGAAGTCGCAGTCGAGTTCTCCCTGCCTGCAGATGGTGAAGACACGGGCACGAATGGTCATCTTGGAGGCGCGAGAGCCAAAGGCAAAAAGATGGGAGGCGCGGCAGATCAATTGACCGAGATTCGGTTTTACATTCCCGGCACAGAGAAGAGGGCAAAGGGCGACGACGAAGATGGTGAGGACGCGGAAGATGGCGAAGAGGCAGAGCAACAGAATGCCGCAAACCTGTTCTACGAGACGCTCATGAACAAGGCCGAGATTGGAGAAGTTGCAGGAGACACATACGCCACCTTTCAAGATATCCTGCATCTCACACCCCGTGGACGCTTCGACATCGACCTTTACGAGAGCTCTTTTCGACTACGCGGCAAGACCTACGACTACAAGATATCCTACGAGAGCGCGAAGCGATTCTTTCTACTGCCGAAGCCCGATGACATGCACCAGCTCTTGTGTATTGGTCTCGATCCTCCGCTACGACAAGGTCAGACGCGATATCCGTTCCTGGTTATGCAGTTCAAGAAAGACGAGGAGGTGGCGATTGAGCTCAACATGACAGACGAGCAACTACAAAAGTACTCTGGCAAGCTTTCGCCCAAGTATGAAGCGCCGATTGGCAACGTTGTATCGAAGATATTCCACGGTCTTACTGGGAAGCGCCTGATTCAGCCCTCGGACCAGTTCGTCAGCCATCACCAGATGAGTGGAGTCAAGTGCAGCATCAAGGCAAACGAGGGCCACCTCTTCTGTCTCGATAAGGCATTCCTCTTTGTGCCTAAGCCAGCGACGTACATCTCGTTTGACAACATTTCCAGTGTCACCATGAGCCGCGTGGGCGGAGCTGTTAGTGCCAGCCGCACATTCGATATCGCGGTGACACTGAAGAGTGGATCGGATCACCAGTTCTCCAATATCAACAGAGAAGAGCAGCAGCCTCTCGAGAGCTTCTTCAAGGCCAAAGGTATCAAAACGAAGAACGAGATGGATGGTGACACTGGAATGCTTGCTGCTGCTCTCGCGAACGACCCTGATCTCGTCAGCAGCGAGGATGAGGAAGTTGTCCAGAGAGACAGGGGGAGTGCTGACGAGGACGATGAATCCGTCGACGAGGACTTCCAGGCTGATTCCGAATCCGATGTTGCCGAAGAGTTCGACTCGGATGCTAAGAGCGACAGTGACGCTGGGAGCGATGCAGAGATGGCTGATGCAGGTGGCGATGACGACGGAGATGCCAGCGCTGATGATACTGCCGCCAAAGTCGAGCGACCGAAGAAGAAGGTTAAGACGTCCAAGTAATTGTCTCAATCGGCAGGAGAAGCACGCGTTTTTACAAGCCCATCCCTTTCATCGTGAGGAATATCCACGAACTGCTTCTATGCTTCGCGCTGGTGCTTTATGGGATCGACTTGGATGTGCGAATGGGAAGGCCGCGATCGAGACAGAAGCAGGGTTGCAGCACGAATGCATAATAAGGTAAGATCAAGCCCTGAATGCAAGCCGGCACGCATCACTCGCGCACGCAGACTAGGTAGCGGTCACTGCATCGCGGTCGTATATCTCGCAGAAGATTCATTGGACAAGGGGTGGTATCAGTCACACATCGTTCCAGTCGCATGATGGTCCTTGCGAGGCGATGTTAAAAAGTGAGCAGTCTGTATGGACTTTAGTCAATGACCTTGGGTGGGGGAAGGGGTAGTGGTAGCCAGACCAACCAGGTGGTACATTGGCCAATTGATTCCATCTCACAATCCTGCCATCGATAGTGTACAAAGTAGAGCGCAGAGACCCATGTCCACAACTACCATGGTCTAGGTCTACTTGATCTTCTTCGCCTTCAGCCTAATCGTCTCATCATTCACGAATATTCCCTTGCCCTTGTATGGTTCTGGTTTCCGCCAGGCGCGAATCTCTGCCGCGAATTGCATCACGACTTCTCTTTCGACGCCCTCTAACAATATTCTCGTCGGCTGCGGTGTGCTCGCTTTCACGCCCCGGGGTACTCCTAGCTCAATGGGATGCGAGTATCCCACCTTGAGCGACACGAATTGCTGGCCTTCATATTCTGGCTTCTTCGTCACAGCACTCTCCTCGATCGTGGCTCGATATCCAACTCCCACCAGGCGCAAGATGGCGGCATGTCCTTCACTGACGCCCAGAATGTGATTTTGCAGATATCCTCGTACGGTGCCTATCAGACAGACAAACTGGTGTTAGAAAAAAAATGTGCTTGCTTTCACACATCGTTTTGTCGTGCTCCTAGGAGGGATACGTACCCCACATTGCTTTCTGCTTCTTGTCCTCAGTATCCGCGATACTCACGGTATGTGTTCTGGTCTCATCGTTGGATCTAATGCGCACATACGGAGGCACCGTCATGCTCATTTTCCCCAATGGGCCCTCGATTTCGACTTTTGCGCCGGGTGGACTTCTGCTGACGCGACCATTGTGAGATGGGAGGGGTGGCTCGATGACATTAAAGGTGACCCCGGGGGGCAGAGAGAGCGGCATTTTGCCGAGTTTGGACGCGCATGTTGGAGTCGTGGAGAAGTGTGAGGTCTGTTGTTGGCGTTGCGGTTGTCTTTGAGCGAACGCTGGAACGAGGAAGGATGGGAGCGTGAGTTCGCGACTTGTTGTTGCTGTTGCTGGGAACGCGAGGGCAGTCGCTAGAATTCTCGATGAGCGCGCGCAGTGCCGCGTGGACGTGGTGGCCGCCATGATATGTATGATGGAGTCGAAAGATGCGATCTGAGGCGGAGGTGCAGTCTCCCTCAGTGCCTGGATTATGGTTACTCTCGGTACGACAGAGCACGACAGGCGTAATACACATCATGGCCGGTCCTCCTCTCGACATCTCACTTCACTTCACTTCACCTTTTCTTCACTTGCACATTTCCTTCTCCTGTCACATGCACCTGCGCACGGCCCAGCATACCATAGGCCTGTTCTGCAGGAAGAACAGCTCGAGCGTAGGTGAACGACTGCTTCGACAACTGAAGCTGGTGTCGCGCGGAAACTTTCATTTCACTGCACCTTCTCAACGACTTCCCGACTTGTACTACTTGTACTGTCGCTGTTCTGCTGCTCTTCTCTACCGTACACACCACACACCCTTCTCCGCATCGCCACCTCTCAACTCACCATCACCCACTTTCTATCCACTCCACCCCAACACAGACAAATACTTCATGATCACGACCACGACCACGACCACTTATTGAACTCATCGCGCGACTGCTCTCTGTCGGTTCAGGCGGCAACCACCGCCACTAACACACATCCTCGCCACATCTCAATCACGACCTCGACTTCACCATGTTCTCCTCATCTATCTTGGTCATGTTCATGCTACTCCTCATCGGGGTCGTCCAAGGCAAGTCTGCCTGCCAAGCTCAATCTTCTTCACACGCAGCGCGCTGACCTCTTTGCAGTCTCCGCGGGTATCGCACCATGGCTCGTGCGAGGCTCGGCTGAATCTACACACCTGGCCATCTCCACGTCGTTGGAGCCAACTACCAACTGGACGCAGCGACTCGGACAAGTTCAAGACCACCTCGCCGAGATCAAATCCAACCGAGTTCCAACGTGCAAGCGGCTTGCTGCACAGGGCCTCGTCTACTCCTGTGAAAAGTACGATGCCACGGACGCATCGGCCACTCACAACACTCAAGCGGAGCTCGAGGCCTTCCCGAAGCTCTATGCCATCCGTATGACTCAATGTGCGCTCGAGGATGCTGGCAGTTCTCTGCCATCTGTGTGCAAGGCCGCGCAATCCCCTTTGCCAGGTCGTCCTGTGGGTGATTCTGACATACAGACTTGCCTTAGTGCACTTATTCAAAACACAAACACATGGACCACATATTCGCATATGAACACCGATGGTTTGATCATGTGCCAAGCTATGCGTGTTGAGCAAAGCAAGGACGAGCAGCTGCATTTCTTCCAGGTTCTTCTGGGCACAACTTCAGACATCAGCGAGGCCATGAGAGCTATCAAAGGTGACATTGATCAGCTTTTCAGTAAGATTGGTAACGAAATGCGCACATTTCATATGGAGCTCCAGAGGGACAACCTCGAAAGCAAGGCAGCCATCAAGGAACATTTGGACGGCATTCAAGCCAACATGAACGGAGTTTCGGGAGACGTCCGTGGACTGCTCGTGGCCATGGGTGAAGCCAAACAGACCATTCACGAATATACTACTCAGTTCGACAGTGCCCTAAGCCGGGCACAGGACTGGAGCACGCAAATGGACAATGGGTGGGCCACGAGTCTGACCAAGATTAGAGACGATTTCGAAGAGACTCGCAATGTCTACCAATACCAACTCGAAAGGTACCACGCGGACTTCGCTCAGCGTGCCTATGCGATGACAAATGATTTGGAAACGGTGAATAGCCTGAGCAGTGACCTTCTTAGCAAACTTGCTTTACTCAACGAAGACCTCGACGAACCTTTGGAGAAGGTTGGTGTACTCGCGAGTCAAGCCGATGTCGTCAAGGAAAAGCAGTCTGCGATGATGGCAGAATTCAAAGAAAAGGGAGACTCGATCCTTGTGAGTCTTGCGGCCGCGAGTGAGCACGCAGTATTTGTCAACACCTGGATGGGTGCGGCTGTAGGCCTCTTCCTAGACTTCCGCGCCGACATCAAGCTGAATATTTTGATTTTCTCGATATGTTACCCTGTGGCCGGCCCGGTCGTCTTCATGGGTTGCCGGCAAGCCTTCGGACTGGTCGCTGGCAATTTGGTCACTCTGTTTGCGTCCTTCGGTATGTATATCCATCGTCTCCAGCAAGACAATGCTAACCAACCCTATAGCTTTAGCATTGTGGCTGACGTCTTTACTGAAGCCTTTTGCGCTTTACAATGCTCTCATCGACAGTCATCCTGCTCTTTTCAACGAAGCACCGCCATATCTCAGCATACTGGTGATTTTCATGACTGGCGCGTTCACGGCGATACTTGCGCTGAAATTGCGCCGCTCTCCACCAGTATACGATCCTGCTGCTCAATTAGGCACCCTTCCTCATTTTCAAGACGATCTCGATCTCGACGAGCAGAAGCAGTACCTAGGCACCTAAGTTCATTATGAGGACCAGACGATATCGATTTGACGCAACTTACGACGAAATATGGAATACACTACTAGCAGAGACTAATGGAACTCGACAGCTCGGGCCACAGTTTGGAGCTCATCTCTTATGACTTTACGAATGCATGATTCGGAATGTATCGCGATATAATTTCCGGGAAATACTACATAGAAGCAGGCCACGCGGCAGCACAGAGGGGGAATTCTGGCGCACGAGCAGTTCCCAACTCGTGGCGCGCAAGAGGTGCGGCGGTCCTACTCATATACTTCCAGGAAATCATGATTTTGATACTGCTCCATCTTTTCTTCGAAGTCACTTAGTGAAGCTCTGAAAGCACACGGTCGATCTTTCCTCTTGGCTCTTTCGCACCTGCTTCATGAAACTTTCGGCCAGGGAGGTAACTGATCTAGGTAGTCGCAGCTGCACCACGACGGGAGGGAGAGCCCGCCGTTCCCACCTGAAAGGCTTTCAGTTGCGGAGTCGCATTCACGACATTACACACATCTCATCCATCTATTTGCCTGAAGTCACCTAGATTCACCACTGCACACCTCCAAGCCACCTCCCACAGCAAACGCAGCCACCTCAATCAACCTATATCCGGCCATCACCGTCAAAGAGAGAGAAAAAAAAAGCGAGAAAACTCCCTGCCCCAAGCAAACATGCCACCCATCCTCCATCTCGTCCGCCACGCCCAGGGTCTACACAACGTCTCCACTAGCAACCACATCCTCCACGACCCAGATCTCACCGCGCTCGGCGAGCAACAATGCTCCGACTTACGACGACGAGGATCCCCTTCCTCGTTTCCCCATCAGCAGATCGACCTCGTCGTTGCCAGCCCGATGAAACGCACCATTCGCACGGCTTTGCTCGCATTTGGAGAAACTATCCTCGAACCCAAGTCCCTGCAAGTCGTGTGTTTGCCGGAGTTGCAGGAAACGAGTGATTTGCCGTGCGATACGGGGTCTACGAGAGAGGAGTTGGAGGGGCTGTTTCGAGGGCAAGCGGTGGATTTACAGTATGTGACTCCTGGTTGGGATCGGAAAATTGGGCGTTGGGCTCCGGATAGGGAAGCTGTGCAGGCTCGGGCACGGCAGGCTCGAGTGTGGTTGAAGAATCGGCCGGAGAAGGAAATTGTGTGTGTGACACATGGTGACTTTTTGCATTATTTTATGGAGGATTGGAGTGAAGTTGACAGAACAGGTTGGGCGAATGCAGAGTACGTTTTTTTTTGAATGGATGATTCGTTGGTGGTGACTGACACTACGTGATTGATTCAATCGTATATGCCTTCTGTTTAAAGCTAATTTCTTGAGGAATCCAGATGGCGCAGCGTCTATTTCACCTCTGAAGCAACAACACCCTCGAAGAGTAGTACAACCAGCGCGGACGATGAAGTCGACCTTGCGCATGTGAGAGAGTTCCCGTGGTCTCAGCAGAGGCGTAGAAACTTGGCGAGGCCATCATTGGCCTTCAGTGAGCCGCAAGACAAGGCCGAAAACCCGCATTCGCATGGTGAACAAAAAGATGCGGACAATGCTCGGATTCACTTGCCTTCCCGTAGTCGGGATAACAGCCAAGGATCGCAGGTTCTCGTACCGGCCGCAGTTTGATGGTGGGCCAGCTCTTGTTGATGATATGATCGGAGAGCTGGCGGGGAAAACGAGGCGTCCTATCTGCTGAGGTGCGCTGAGAAGGTCCAACTTTTGATATAGTGTAGCACGAGTAGAGGAAGACAAAAGCATGTTTCAGCCCTACGCACGGGACTAATGAAGCATAACCGAATATGCTGTATCGTCCTGCCAGTAGACTCAAAGACGAACTGCACTGCTCCTTGTAGAATCCTTCTTGTAGACCTCGACTGCGTTATGTAACGGATGCTACAAAGCAGAGTGCAAACACAGAATGCTATCAGCACCACGACGAGAAAATCACCACTCTCAATCATCGCCGGATGGATGTGTCTCGTGAAGCGGGCTTCGTGATTTCGTGTCATTTCGTGCGCGTAGCAGTGCCGCTCTTGTCTTCTGTGTGCTCGGCGGAGTCCCGGAACCTTCGCTGCTTGCGGCAGATTGCGACGCGTTGGAATTGACTGGTGCGGCTCTGCGTTGAGCGTAGCTACCCTTTTCAGGCGTGAAAGATCTCGGCGGCGTCTGCTGAGATCCAGTTGGGAGCGGCGACGGCGATGAGGCCACACCACGATTGGCCAACAGAAGATCCTGGGGCGAGCGACTCAAGTCCAGCGCGGGTGTTTGGTACTTGTACTCTTCGTTGTGTGGAATACTCGTTGGCTTAGGTGAGCCTCTGAGAGATCGCGGGGAGCCATCAGCTCGGCTGATGTACTCTTCGCCTCGACGCTTGATAGGGGACTCATCGTAGGGGTCTAGTGAAAAGGCGAAGGTTAGCAAGTTTCTCTGAGTGTACTGCCTGCTTCAAGAGGTCCATTCTGGAGCTTGTGGCCAAGACGGATTCAAGCTCCATGGGACTTCAAGAGCAGGGAGCGCCGCTCGACTGCCGTTACTTTACTTACCGAAGCCTACGCGCTGAATAGCAGCGCGTCTGACCTCCTGGCGGTGTTGCTTTTCTGCTCCAGCGCCAGCGGTGCCACTATCCTCCAGGAAGAAGTTGAGAAGCTCGTCTTCGACGGCAAGATGCGATTCTTGTCTGAACTGCTGTAGGGCCGAAAGCTTGAGAAGCATCTCCAAAAGTGACAGAGTAGTCTTGATTATAGGACCAGTGGGCTTCTCCGGGGAGAGGGTTAATGCCGACCGTGGCTTGATCGGGGTATCAGGTGGTGATGAATTAATGTTAAGATTTGCCATTGCCAAGCTAGGCTCGAATGAAGTAGATGGACTTGATCGTGGGTGCTCTGATTCTTCGTCTTCGCTCTCAGAAGTATCGTCCTCCACAAATACCTGGAAGGCCATCCACTCTGGATCCAAATCGGGGGGAAGCCGCCATGAATGGCCGCGAGGCATTGCTTCTTCATGGCTTGATACATCCGGGGTGGCTTCGCGCTGGATCTGCGCATCAATCTGGGATTGTTCATTTTCGTCATCGTCGTCCTCGTCGTTATCAGCGGAGAATGTTTGCGCGTGCGACGGCCTGGTCATCCGTCTCGGTGGCTCAGCATGCCAATCGCGCCGAAGCAATAGGCAGGGATGGGTGATTTCATCATCGCCCCCAATGCCAAGCACTTTGCCTATAGTAAAAGATGGAAGGTAAGCTAACATTCTCTGGAAATGCGAACATCGCACAACAGTCTTTCAGTGCTTAGCACCTCAGTGTGTGGTGTTCGCTCAGTGGAGATCGTGGGGGGCTCCTCGGACTGTTTTACCTGTATCAGCGTAGAAAATCTACGGTCGGTTAGCTATGCATACGGACAACTAAATGAAAGGACTATTCTCAGGCAGGATATACCTTGGAGATTTCGTGTATGGGCACGATATCTCTGATCCCAGCCAAGGGAACGTCGTCGAAGGATCCGGGCTGCGGTTCGTCGTCTTCGAAAGTGTGAACCCTGCCATCGTCAAGATCCTCTACGATGGACAGCTGGTAGGCAAACTCTGCAGCTTTGTCATCGGAAGGGATTGAACGTCCATCGCAGAAGTCTGGACTGCTAGGCTCACCAGGCAGAGAGTAGAGCTTCTCAAGCGGTACGCGCCACAGCTTGACTCGTGCTTTGTGAATGACTTCTTTCCATGTTGCCTCGTGGCTTTCACTCCTCGAGGCGTGACTAGCGAACAGCATATACAAGCAGCAAGTCCAGGTGGGCCCTACCTGACGAGGCATCATCGGAGAATGGGCGAAGCTCGTATCAGCAGCGGTCAGAAAAGTAGACGCCTGTAACAGTCTGCTGGGGCTGATTGTGCCCGACAGCGAAGTAGACAGGCTGCAACCAGATGTGGTGATGGCCAGCGTAATCAGTGGCACGGCGCCATCGATTCTGGCCAACAGGAGCTTCACCTGACTGATGATGGCTACCAACTCGTGGTCAGCATCCTCGCGCGAGACGCCATTGCGGGCGTGCTGTCGCAGATGCTGCTCTTCGCGAGCCGCCTTGTCAAGACGTTGACCTAACGCCTGAATGTCGTAGCGCAAATCCCTGCAGAGAGACAGGGCTGACTCCAGGGACGTATTGCCCCGAGCGGCGATCAACTCAATCATAGTGATGGGCTGCGCGATCATTCTGATTTTCTGTTCAAGATCAAGTTGCAGCTGGAGCAGTTCATGACGCTCAGGACTCCGCTTGGGAGCCTGCTTGAGCAAGCGGCTACACTCTTTAATGCAATAGGCGGAAGTCATAGTGATGCCCGACCTGATGGCATACTGCACCGCCTGCTGGGTGACTTTGTGCAGTAGCAAGTCCATCTCGAGACTTGCGTAACCTCTGCGGACGGGTCAGTCACCGACCTACCATGGAGGAAGAAGGTGAGCCACTGTTGAGTGTATGTGTGTGCGTGTTTGTGAGAGTGAGCGGCGACTTCAGGCACGCACGCAACTGACGTCTTGCTGCGAGTCTGTGCGAGATGTGTTTGGACTTGGGAGAAGAAGGTCGGTTGGTGGCGGGAATATACCTGAGTAGGTACTTGGTACTATGTACTTACTAAGTCACTCCAGACAAAAAGAGCCACAGGACAAACCGTGCGCCAAGTAAATGGCCCCACCCAGCCCCCCACCATCACCATCGGGCATCAGCTCAACTTTTGCTCTGCACACAGCCACCACTCTTCTACCTCATTCAACTTGCTACCTGACAAAGAGCAGAGCGGAGTGACGGAGCACACTTATACCTGTCTCGCCTCGCTACCTTCACTCTCCCGCACGCAATTGCGTCTACGCTATCTAATACATATCCTTCTTGAGATTCGAACGTCTCGAGATTCGAACATGGCCGACCAGCAGCCCGCCGATTCGTGGGAAGACTCCATGCAAGACGACGACCTGGCCAACCAGACACAGTCACAGCTCAACGTCAACCAAGGCCCGCCTGCGCGCGGTCCGACTGCCTTCGTGCCCGGCGCAAGCAGTTTCACTCCAGGTGCCCAGTCGTTCCAGCCGGGCCAACAGTTTCAGCAGTATGGATATGGTCAGAACTACGGTGGCGGATACCCTCAGTACGGCCAGCAGGGCTACGGGCAAGGACAATTTCAGCAATATGGTTACGGAGCACAGCAAGGCTACCAACAGTATGGCCAGCAAGGCTACCAACAATACCAACAGCCACAAAGCCAGCAACAGGCGTATGTGCCGCCACAACAACGGCAGGCGCCCATGATTGCCAAACGCGGCGAAGCACTCCCTGCTGCTGGTCAACCGGCAGCGGCAGCGAAGCCTGCAGCAGCTACATCTTCAACCGGCGCTGCGCCCGTCAAGACGCTTTCGCTGAGCGCGGCGGATACAGGTGCCGCTGCGCCCAAGGTGGAAAAGGCGGCGGGCGGCGCCAAGGTCCTCTCGCTAGGAGTTCCAGCTCCCACACCGGCTGCTGAGAAGCCTGCGCCAAAAGACGCATCAGGCAAGGCAGCGCCTGAGGCGGGCAATAAGGTGGCAGCAGCCAAGGCTGTTGAGAAAGCAGGCGAATCCACACCAGCTAGCGGCAACACATCACCCAATGCATCCGGTCGCTCCTCACCATCTCGTGCCGAAACCAAGGCGGAAGCTCGAAGAGTAGAGCTCGCAGCTGAAGAGCAGGCCAAGGAAGTTGACGAGGCAGACCTCCGGGAGATGTATGGCAAAGAGCATGTCAACGTGATATTCTTAGGGCACGTCGATGCAGGCAAAAGTACACTGGGTGGTAGTATTCTGTACGCCACAGGAATGGTCGACGAGCGAACAATGGACAAATACAAGAGAGACGCAAAGGAGATGGGCCGAGAGTCTTGGTACCTGTCATGGGCACTCGACCAGACCAAAGAGGAGCGATCGCAGGGCAAGACGGTCGAGGTTGGAAGGGGATTCTTCGAAACGGAAAAGCGAAGATATTCGATTCTGGATGCTCCGGGCCACAAAACATTTGTGCCGAACATGGTTTCCGGCGCTTCGCAGGCAGATGTCGGCGTGCTCGTAATTTCAGCTCGTAAGGGCGAATACGAGACTGGTTTTGAACGAGGTGGTCAGACCAGAGAGCACGCCGTTCTTGCCAAGACGCAGGGAATCAACAAGCTCTGCATTGCTGTGAACAAAATGGACGATGTCACAGTCCAGTGGTCCGAGGAGCGGTTCAAGGAGTGCATCACCAAGCTCACGACCTTCTTGAAAGGCCTTGGCTACAACCCCAAGACTGACCTCACCTTCCTACCTGTGTCTGCACAAACGACAGTTGGTATCAAGGACCGAGTGCCCAAAGATGTTGCGCCCTGGAATGATCAGCCATCCCTCCTCGAGTTCTTAGACAATATGCAGAGCTTGGAGCGTAAGCTTACTGCGCCGTTCATGATGCCTATTGCTGCCAAGTATCGCGATTTGGGAACGATGATTGAAGGTAAAATCGAAGCGGGTATTCTGAAGAAGGAAAACAAGTACCTGATGATGCCTAATCGTGCGGAAATCCAAATCAGTGCACTCTATGGCGAGACGGAAGATGAAATTCCGCACGCCACCAGTGGTGACCAGGTCCGATTGCGAATCAAAGGTGTTGAGGAGGAGGACATTTCTCCGGGTTTCGTATTGTGTTCCCCGAAGCGGCCCGTACACTGCGTCAACCAGTTTGAAGCGCAAATCCGCCTGCTGGAACTCAAATCGATCATCTCGGCTGGATTCAATTGCGTGTTGCATGTGCACTCTGCGACGGAGGAGGTGACGTTTGCTGCACTCTTGCACAAACTCGAGCCCAAGACGAACCGCAAGTCGAAGAAGGCACCGGGATTTGCCAAGCAAGGCATGAATATCATCGCGCGAATGCAAGTGACGGGTGGTGCTGGCAGTGTGTGTGTGGAGCGATTTGAAGATTACCCGCAGCTCGGTCGGTTTACGCTGCGAGACCAGGGCAATACGATCGCGATTGGAAAGATCACGAAGTTAATCACGGATGCTCAGGAGGCTGCCGAAGGTGCGATTGCATAAAGCTTTAATCGGTGGACAGGTGGGGGAGGGAGGGAGGGTTTGATGGGTGGGACTCGAGGTTGAGCAGATAAAAAAAAGTCTTTTCGGATTGAAAGCGTGATGGAGCATGCCGCATGGCGACGCATCGTGAGAGCGCTTTGGGAGGTCCGGATCGTAGATTGTGTAGTTGTCCTCCAATACCACATCAAATCTCTATGTCCAGCCATCTTTTGAGTACCCTCCTGCCTTGGTCAGTATGTAGGGGAGAGGTTTAGGATAGAGATACATAGCCAACGACGTGAATGAGAGCGAGCGGGGCTCTTTGACGCACGTGTTTTGGTGATTGTGCGTGCGTGCGTACCTGAAGGTACCTCAGGTACCAGCCTGAGGTACGGTATGGCCCGTATTGGGAAAGAGTGACCAGGTCCCGAGGTATCATTGAGACGAGCTCTATATTTTAAACCATCAGTTCCTACTAGTTCTAGAATTAGGCAATGGCAAGGATCTGCACGTTTCATTTCGCCACGTGACTAGGCTACTTTTGCGCGTTAGTAAAGAAGTTTTGCGGCACTACCGACGTGGTGGTACATGCTGTGTTTCACGTTTCAAAGAAAGTCAATGCCTCTTGGCACACAATAATCTCGCATTACGCCTACTGTCCCAGGACCCACAGATTGACTTCCGTATGTGATGATGATTATCATGATCAAGACAGCAGTTGGACGGGCTGTGTGTTTTGTTGCAACAAGCACCACCCAGAAAAAGTCAATGGCTAAAATAAAAATCTTCTCAACTCTGACCTTGGGACAATTTGACTTTCATGGGCTTGGACAGTCTGACTTTCAGGGACTTGCCAGACCTGGCAGACCGTGCCGAGTCGTGTTATCTATCCTGTTGGCTGTTGCACTGCAAACCCCCTGAGAGTCATGATGAGCCCGATTGGGCTCTCGGGAGTCGGGTCGTCCGGACGAGATCAATGATCATCATCAGCGGCAACTTTCGAGCGTGCCCGCGCATGATGACTACCCCCAGCTTCATGTTATACAACAGGAGTATAATGTAGGAGGTAGCAGCAGCAGGAGCAGCAGCAGCAAGCCAAGCAGTAATACATGTAGTCGTAGTCTTGCCAAGGAGCACAGTATCATCGTTGCAGTGTTGCACACGGCTTGCCTGCATTTCGCAGTTTTGCCGATTGCGAAGCGAATTTCCAAGAAGTTCCAACCAAAACTACCATCCCTCATGTCGACATGCCCGCTCGTCAAGCGGAGGAGCTTGCCCCATTCAGGCAGAGCTGTGACCTCGCCTCTACTGGGCTCATCTCAGGTTGGCGAGCCCTAGAGCAATAAGCTTCCCCTTGCAGCTGTTCCTGGCATGCGAACAGGCACAAGGTGAAAAGACGGCGGATTAGTGGTACCGATGTCAGTCAGGTCATCCATAATAAGAAGAATGTTGCTCCCACCCTCTGGAGTTCCCGCGTTCAAGCAGATTATTTGTTTTTCGGATGCACGCACGCTCTCCGCATCGAACATGTCGTCTGCCTCGGAGGAGGTGTACTTTGACGCGATGGAGGCGGAGGTGAAAATAGATCGCCAGAGCGGCGAGGCCCGTGCACACGGAGCGACGAAGCAGGTGCAGAAGCGGCAGCGGCAGCGGCAACAACAGCAAGAGCAGCAGCAGCAACAGCAAGAGCAGCCGCCGCCACCCCCGCCGCCGCAACAGCAGCAACAGCAGCAACAGCACACGGCAACACGCCATCGCCACTGGAACGCAGCAGAATGCAGCAGTGCGATCCCGACGGTGCCCAAGATTCCCGCGCAGTATCTTGCAGCGGGCCTCCGCGTTCAGGAGGTCGGCGCCGGCTCCCCTGGCGCTAAGCCGTCGACCCATAGCACCTCGAGCAAAATAATAACCACACCCTGGTCGTCGTCTGAGACCACCTGCAGGCCAACAAATTACCCCGTGATGGAAAAGGCGCAATCCTCCTCACAGCCACAGCAGCAGCACAACCACCAGCACCAGCAGCAGCAGCAGCAGCAGCAACGACGTGCGCGCCGCAGCAACGACGAGTCTCTCGAAGACGACTGCAGCCCCGACCACCCACGCGACCTGCCTGCCGCCGCCCTCTCTCGATCCATGTCTCGCGCCTCCTTCTCCTCCTCCAAGCGCAGGTCGCTGCCCGCCGACGTGATCACACGCCCGAGTACGAGCGGCAACATCCACGCGCGTCCACAGTCACGTCTCGATGGCCTGCGTGCCACCGCCGGCCTCTTCTTCCAGCAGCAGCAGCACCCACCCTTCCACCCCCACCACCGTGACGAGACCACTTCACGCAGAAGCTCCGTCACCCGAGCCTCCTACTACGTCGACGCCTCGCCTCTCTCGCCTCGCCAGCGTGCACTATCGCCCCACACACGGAGTCGCAGGGGCTCGTCCTTTGGCACTGCGCTGTCAGAGCCTCGACAGTCCTTCGACACAGCCTACTCAGAGCATCGACACCACGATGAGCATGTCACCCTTGCCGCTGCCTTGGAGGAGCCCCAGGAGTCTCCCACGGAGAGTTCGGATCAGCAGGGGCCGGACTCGTCGGTGGACTCACATGCTGCAGATACCGTGTGGGACGAGCTCGACGAGCTGAAGTCGCGCATCAGGAAGCTGGAGTCGAGCGACAAGAAGCCCTCGACGTCTAGTGCGGCTGCCTCGGGCTCCAGCGATCGACCACGCACTGCAACGACAGCCCCTACCACTATCAACTCGTCGCCCAAACAGTCGCGCAAGCCCGACCCGGCAGATGCGCCCATGGACACACCAGCACCGCCAGCAATAGAACAACACAACGAAGTGGGTAGCGCATGGTCCCACATCCACCCCTTGCTCCACGATGCACTGGCCAGATCAAGAGACAGTCTCTCGTCGAACGTCTTCCACAACCTGGAAGCTGTCGTGGCGGACGCCCTACAGCTGGCGGCGCTTACCGGCAGCGCCGCCCCGTCAACGGCTATTGGAGTCGCGAACGAGCGCCAAGTACGACGGAGGGTGGACAATCTGTGTCGTAACATGACGGACCTCTGCATCTCGCTTCGCGACAGCAAGCCAGAAACATCGCCTATCGTATCGTCTCCCGCTACCCTCCCTATAGAACATCCCCCCGCCGACCTTCCCCTGCGGAGATTTTCACGCACCAGCAGCCTCGCAGTCACGGCCTCGGGTGCTGGCAGGTCCCTAAGTCGTCTCGAGCAGCGTAAAGCTAGCCTCCTCGGACCGCATACGTTGGGCGAGAGCCCTGCCGCCAGCCCACGCAGTCCTCTTCCGGAGCTGTCTGCTTCGGATGCCGAGTCGACTCCCACACATTCCAACAAACTGCAGCCTCCGCGCCGTCTGAGTGCTGTGCCCAGCAGGACCACTCGCAGCCGAGTGGAATCGAAACGCGAAGGAGCGCGTGGAGAAGATGACCGGATCGATCGACCACAATCACGTGCCTGGACTGAGTACTCATCGTCGCTACGGGCCACGTCTCGCATCCCCAGCCAAGACCGGACGAATCAGGACCGATCCCCCGGAGCACCACGTCGAACTTCTACTTCTCTGAGAGAATCCCTGGCAGCGAGGCGAAAGTACGAGACGCCTCCCGTACTCGAAGAAGATGGACCTTTGCCTAAAACGCGAGGATTCCTCTCTGAACCACATTGTAACAAGATTCCGAGCCGCACGTCGAGCATAGTACGCACCCGGCATTTGATTGAGTAAGGTTTTTGTCATACAGTGTGATACATGTTACCACGGTTTGTACAACGGTCAGTGAGCATCACCTCGCAATATGCACGTGCGCTTTTTTTTGTGTTGGAAGCGTTCTTGCTGAAACGGATCACGACGATGCATGACGATGGATAATGGGGCGTTGGTGTACTTGTACTTTTGCGAAAGATACCAGCAGCTTTCGCTGCGCGCATGACGATATTTGTACGATACGTAGTTCTACGAATGGGGCAATGCTCTCAGGGGCTCACTAGTACGGCACTGCATGGTAGACATGATCGTCTTGGCAACACTTTTACTTTGTCGTAACTTGATCGATCTTGCACTACATGTACCTCCTAGCACCTCGGCCCTCAGCCTGCATAGGATACATGTAATGTACGTACTGTCACACCAGAATGGCAGACGACGCGATGTAAACAAACAGGTTGCAGCGTGGCAAACGTCATTCGTGAACACGTCTTGAAAACCTGTTCTGGAACCACCAAGTATCGCCGCTTGTGACGTATGAAGAAGTGCCTGATGCCAACCAACATGGCCATCTCCATCCATGGCAGTACTGGAGGTGGGTAGGTAGTCGTCACTGGGTAGGTCTATACATTAGGTACATGTAGGTTAGTTGGCAGCACAATTCAAAAGGGTATTATATCTCAACCATACCAGGTATCATTTCTTCCAACAACACTTCTCCAAGTCCAAAATCACCTAACCTACACATCTCTACCTTAGGTTACAATGGCAGATTCTCTCCACCAACAGGCTTCCACGGGAGCAGCCCAGACGACAACGGCGGCTACGAACAGCAGTAGCAAGAATAGTAGTGATGAATGGTCTCAAATGAGCGAGGACCAGAAGCAGCAGACCTTTGATGCGTTGCCCGAGGAGAAGAAGCAGGGCAAGAGCTACTCGGAGTGGATTGCAGAAGGCTATCAGCATCAGAAAGAGAACTGGATGCCGTGGATTGAGGACTTGTATTTGCGATGGTTTACCAAGGATAATAAGGCGAGTTATGCTACGAAAGGTAAGTACCTACCTACCTAATATGGATGAATTTCTGTCAGCTCTCATGTAGTAGTTTCTTTCTTTCTTTGACGGTTTTATGAGAGCTCATTAGCTGACAAGTTCGCAGATACATTGAACAAGACCAAAGTGACCGGTGTAGAGCCCGTGGACAATTTACAAGTACGTCTGTGACGATACATACCTATGAATAACATGCGAGATCCAGAATTCAACTGACATGAATCTCTCTCTCTCGATCTAGGATGGCGTCAACAACACTGTCGCCGGCCAAATCGGACAGGGAGGACTTCTGCAGCCCGTGGGCGACGCTGTGAGCAAAGAAGGCGTCAATCGAGCGGAACGAGGCGGCAAAGACGACAGTGGGAGTTATGGCGGTCCTGCGGCGGGCGTGACGGACTCTGCTGTGAATAATGTCAAAGCAGTGGGTGGAGGAGCTGCGGAGAGCGCGAAAAGTGCTGGGGGGTATGTTGGGGGATTGTTTGGTGGGGGTAAGAAGGGGGAATGAGTGTTGGATGAGTGTTGGATGATGGGTCCTGGATTTCAGGGAGGATGGATGAATAATGTACCTGTGATGATGTTGGTTGTGGTAACAACATGAATGCGTGGTTTGGTGCATGGATGCGAGATTGTAATCATGAATAAGCAAGCAGGCAGTACCTTATCAGGTAGACTGAGTCACTGAGGTAGTCACTCTCCAGTGCATGGGGCGTTCCTACCAATAGTGACTAGTCTAAATTTCAAGCTATGAATTTCCATTTCGGACCAACAGAATTCTTATTTACAACACCACCTACCCTCCACATCAGTCACCCACCAACACCCGGTTTTATTTCACAACACCAAACTCAAAAGTGCATCCCAGACACAAACTTCCAAAGCAAAGAAAAAACCAACATGGATGACCGCACCAGCGAAAAGAAACAAAACAATCCACGCAGCGGCAATAATAACGGCAGCAAAAGCAAAAGCAACAACAAAAGACCACCCCCACCACGACCCGTCCAAGTGTCCAAAAAAATCGCCTGGCTCCTCCGCCACGGAGCCGAAAAAGAACATCTCACCCTCGACTCAGCGGGTTTCGCCAACGTACACGACGTACTCGAGAATCGCAATCTAAAATCCCTCAAAGTCACTTTTGACGAATTGCGAGCATGTGTGCGAGAGAATGATAAACAGCGGTTTACATTGAAGTTGAGATCAAAATCTGCAGACACAAAAGATGATGATGAAGATGAAAACGAAAAGGAGTCCAAAAACCCCAGCGATTATCTCATTCGCGCCAACCAAGGCCACAGTTTGAAAAAAATTATTCAAGATCAAGAGCTTCTTCAACCCATCACAGCAACAGAAGAGAATAATATCCCTGCAGTGGCGATTCACGGCACGACGAAAAATGCTTGGAAGCTGATTGTGGCGTCGGGAGGACTGAAACCCATGGGAAGAAATCATATTCATTTTGCTCCGGGATTACCTGCGGGTTTTGACAAAGACAACAAGTCGACGGAGGCTACTACTTCTACTGCTACTACGATGATGATTGATGATGATACTGATGATGGGGAGGGGAAAGAGGGGAAAGAAAAGGAAAAGGAAAAGGAAAAGGAAATCCCAGTGATTTCGGGCATCAGAGCGTCAAGCAAAATACTGATATATTTGGATCTTGCCAAGGCAATGCAGGCCGGGATCAAATTCTGGCGGAGCGATAATGGTGTCATTCTGAGCGAAGGCGACGAAAATGGCTTGATCTCGATGCATTTCTTCCAGAGAGTCGAGGATAGGACGAAAGAGGGTGGTGGTGCGATTCTCATCCGAGATGGGAAGTTATTAAGTGGTGAAGCGATTGCAGTGAGTAATACTTGATTGACTACTACTACTTTTTGTGTGGCAACCAGCCAAAGAGGACCATCGTACCTTGGCGCCACAACGAGTCGGTATTTGGTGGGCTGTTGTCATACTCAGTCATGCGAATGTGCTGAATTCGCAGGACAGCTACCACCAGAACACTCTCCGAGCATCAGTTTCCTCAAGACTACGTGGGCTCGGACCAGTCCACTTGTTCAGTCACAGGAGCGCCTCCACCTTTGCTATAGGTGATTTTCAGACGTAGCCTCAACTTCGCCGGCGGAGCCTACATGTAGATTAGAATACTGCTCGTCTGACTGTTGCAGGAGTCAACTTACACCTTGTACGCTTGTGACACGCATTTGCTGCGTGGCTTCTTGGCCGCCTTGGAGCTCGGACGTGCTAATCGCCTGTAACTGCAGCTTCTGTGTCTTGGGCACAGCAGCCTGGAGATTGAGTGCTGTGAATGTTTCGAACCCGCTGTCGTTTCGGAACCGAGCTGATACTGTAGCAGCTTGCGCCGTGCGTTGTACACTGAAGGTCAAGTTGAGATCCATCTTGTTGTAAACCAGGTGTGCTGGTGGTGTCGCGCCTGTGCCGCCCAGAATGTCGTTGGACACGCCAGAGCTCGCAGTCGCCGAGGGTTGTGAGCTGAAGAGGTCCATGATGGAATCCATGCTGCTTTGTGGCTGTGACTGTCCATTGGACACAGCAGAGGCAGTGTGCTGAGAAGGCGAAGTAGAGTCGGCCCCACCCAGCATGTCAGCAAGAAGATTAGCATTATATTTCTGCGATCCATTCAACGTCATATCCGAATCGGAATTTGGCATCCCAGAATCTCCTCCCATGAGATCCAGAAGCATATCTTGCTCAGTGATTTGGCTAGGCTTTTTCTTGGAGGGAAGCTTGCTGTGTCGCTTCTTGGTCGCCTCGCCGAGCACGCGCTGTTCCTCACGAATCTCTGGCGCTGGCATGCGTTCCAGCACCCCACGTCGTACTTGCTCGTAGCCAAAGAGGTTGCCATACTCGACGGCTCTTTGTTGCACCTCCACGTCCAGATCGGCTTGGCGACCCAGGAGCAGCCTTCGTAATCGGTCCACCTGTGCCGGATCCTGGAGTCGCGTCGTGAGTTTGATCGCAGCTGTAATGATGTACTGCGTAACGATCTGCCCCGAGTAACTAGAGTTGAGTATGGCAGCGAAGAGATCAACAATCTCTCCCTCTCTCACCTCCTTGGCCAGTCCCTCTTCTTCTTCTTGGAAGCCACCACGAAGAAGAGCATCCCCGTATTCCCCAATCACCCAGGCCCCTGCTAAGTTGAGGCCCTCCTGGCTAATGTCCTCCCGAAGTGCCGCGTAAAGCTTATGGGCGCAGTAAGCCTGCAAATCAGGCGTGGTCGCGATGAGTCGCACAAATGATGCTAGTATCTGCTCTTTGATGTAGTTCCCGGCCAGCTTCAGTACGCGGAGCATGGTATCAACATGCCACCGTTTGTTAGGTGCAAAACGGTCTGCGGCAATGCCAATCTGCGATGTCATGATGGGTTTGAACTCGTTGTCTGCTATCTCCAAGAACGCAAGGAGCTCTCTGACGAGTACCCGTACGTTAGATTCATTGATCAGTGTAAAGCTGAGGTCTAATGCCCGTCTTCGTATGCTGATATCGGGGTCACGCAAGCAGTCGAGCACTGTGTTGCGGTGCCGCTGCACAGCGTTTGGCTCGATCGCAACGACCTTGATCAGCGTGTTCAAGGCCACATAGCGAATGTTGTTGTCTTTGTTTGATAAAAACTTGCCCAGGATGTTGACACCGAGCACCCGAAGACCAGAATCTGCTTCAATGTCCAGTATGGTCAAGACGGCTTCGTAGAGGATTGAGTTGCCAACGTTCTTGGAGGATTCGGTGTTTGTTGCGACCTGCGCCAGGATATCGTTGATCTGCTCACTCGTCTGTTGATCGCCCCGGCCAAGAACCCGGAGTAGCCTCAAAATCTTGACTTGTAGGAACGGGTCAGTGATTCCGGTGACGTCGTGCTCTGGGGCATATCCAGATTGTGACAGGGACTTGAGCACTTTGACAAGACTTCCTGTAAGCGGCCTGAACATATCCACCACTCCTTGTTCGCCGCCTTCTTCTTCATCAGCTTCGCACATGCTTACTACAAGGGTCAAGCCACTCAGTAGCACGCCGTGGTTGCGATCGTTCAGCAGGAGTTTTGCTTTGTCCAGAAAGTGCTCCTGTAAATCTGGAACCTTCCTGCATATACGCATCGCGCATAGAGCTGCCTTTCGCCTGATATAAGGATTGGATGATGACAAGATGGTCTCGACTTCGGGAAACAAATCCCGCGACATTTCAATAGAGGCGATGTTGCCCAGTGTACACAGAGCCAAGCCCACGATGTACTGATTGTTGTGATTGAGGTCACTGCACCCCGTGGTCAGTCATCTCTGCCCACAGGCCCGACCCTCTTACATACATACTTCTTCAATGAGTTCGTGACCAATGTCAGCACCTCCTGGTTCTCGTCAAGCAGCAGCATCGTGCCCAGGTAGCCAAGACGTTTGTCCGCGAAGCGCGGGGAGGCCAACAGCTTGAGGCATTCGATCTGACCAAAGTGTGTGCGCTCGCCCAGTGTGAACAGGTATAGGAGCTTGGCGACATTGTTCCGCCTGTGAGGTCCATCAGCGTGTGTCCCAGTCCACGTGTGCCATTGTTTTGCTGCAGCATGGGGCTCGTAGCGGGGGCGGAGCGGAGGGGGTGGGGAGGTTGTGGTGTGCGGTGTGCATATACCGTCTATCAGGATCGTGGCCCTCCTCCCGGAAACTGGCTCTGATGGCTGCGCTCTCTTTCTGCACCACGGCCCTCTCGTCGGCAATCGTCTTGGCCGCGCGCACGTTGCGGATGAACTGCTTGACTGCGCACGAGCGGATTAGCGAGCGCAGACGTGTGCACCGGGGTGGTTTCGCCTACGGGAGCTCATGGCACCGGGTCGCGAGGACCCCAGGCCCCGTCAACGGTTGGTCAAATGCTACTGGCAGTGCGTGGAGGCTCGTTCAGTGTGCATGTCGCGTCGTGAGGGTCGGTGTCGTGGTGCTGAACGGGGTGTGAAATTGGAATATGGGACTGGATCGACGAGTACGACAGGAAGTAGTAAGGTGCAGTCAGTAGCCGTGCCGTGGGAGGACGGGATCTACCTAACTTAGTGGGACAAAGAAGCTCGTGTATTGTCACGTGCACGCGACTCAACTAGGTATCAAGGGACACATGTACTGTACATAAGCCGGCACCTCTCGGGTATGTCCGACAATTACGAAGTGAAAGATGAGCTCTTGACGGCGTGATGAATATCGTATGATGGTGTATGTACATTCGCTGGGAAATCCATCTGCACGTCGCTATGTTACACTTACCTGCGGAAGCCAGCCTGTATATCTGCTTTCGTAAAGTCAATGACCACGTCCTTTTCTCCTTCAGCACGAGGATACGCCTCCTCGACGAGCTTCTCGAGCCGCTCCAGCACCCTCTCGTAACTCCTCTCACATTCCTTGCATACGAAAGCGACCAGTCCCCGAGACAATTGCTCGTCATCGGCTTCGCCGAAATGTTTCTCGATCCGCTTTCGCAGAGTGTCGATACCACGTCGCACCTCCTTGCTGTCATGTGTCGACAGCATCGTGCGCATTGTCTTGCGAGAATAGGACGGTCGAGCTGCCAGCGCGCCTGGGTTACCTGGATAAGTGGCAATAATAGATTCTGCAGATTCCAGCATGTCCTGCAGTGTGTCAGTTGTTGTATGCCAATGGCAGCCACATATTGCGTAACAAAAAGTCTTACCAGAAGCTTGCCAAGTGGTCGGCGGATGACGCGAGTTACGTAAGCTTCGAGGGCCTCCCTTCTCTCCATCAATGCTCTGCCCTTCCACTCGGCAAGGACACCATCTCGGCCGCCATCATCCACTTCCTCGATGTAATGATTCATGTTCTCGATGAGCAGAATATGATAGTTGAGCATTTCTTTGTCTTCGGGGTCGTCTTGGCCGGTATGTGGCGGCTTGCCGGCAGAAACCCCGGCCGTCGGACTCTCCTTTGCAATAACCTTGAGGCTGTCGAACATAGTGCGGTTCATCCTTTCGTATGCGTCATCAACCAGTTTTCTCACATCCAGCACGCATGCAGCCGGGCCATCGTAGTCGACTCCAGCCACCGAAGCGAATGTATTCTCGACAGCAGCAGAAAAGTGGGGGAAAATCTTCATGAATGCGATCACGCCCTTCCGCTTCTTGATCTTCACCTTGGTGTCCTCGATCGCCCGAATTTGGTCATCGACAAACTTGTTGAAACGAGTCTTGAGGCTTCCCGTGAGATTCTCGAGAAGCTGCGTTAGGTAGTCCTGGTTAGTATCTTGTAGATAGTAGGCGTGCCGACACAGCGTAGCCAGGACGCCAACTCCTTGTACAGGATCATCCGACACTGCCCAATCCTGCATAGCTTTCGTTTCGCCCAAGAAAAAGTCAAAGGTCTTGAGCATAGTGTTCGTCACCAGACCTGCCACTTCTCGATTGGGCTCGACAGGTTTTCTTTCAAGCAAGTTCGTGCCACGTCGAGAGGCTGGGGGACACGACTGTACGGCGTCGACGAAATCTGCCGTCTCCGTGGAACTGACATGAAACAAGTCTACGATGAAGTTCTGCTCCCGATTGACGAGTGGAGCCATCTCATCTATTGCGCCCGCAAAGGCCTGCGCCCGCATCATGGCGCCGGGTCGCTTGTGCTCAGATATGCCCTGTTTGTCGCCAGAAGCATTGCGCAATGTCTTTGCAAGAGTCTGAGATCGCTTTACGGTAAGCTTTCGTGCTGTGGATGTCAGCCCACCAGAGGCGGGATCTTCTCTCTCGAGAGAAGTGAACAGAATGTCGCCCTCATCTCCAGTGTTAGCACGTGCTGCGCGCTTCCAGTTCTGAATGTTCTCTTTGAACGTGTCTTTATATAGCAGACCAGCGCGTTGTTGGTACATTCGCAGCAATGTCATCCATGCGAGTTCGTTCAACTCCTTCGTAAAGAGCAGAATAGGGCTGTACATCCATAGCCCGTTTCGAAGCTCGCCGAACGCATCAGGGTTGAGTCGTGCCAGTCCACCACCATTAGGTATTCGCAAGATTCGTCCTTTGATGCTGTTTGCGGAGTTCGTAAACCTGGCATCGAGGAATTGCATGAGACGCTGGCAAAATTCGGTGGACTCGCGATCATACACCTTCTTCTTCTCCTGCAGAGCGACCATCTCAGACGTCTCGTTCTCTCCCATCGCACCTCGGACTCTGGAGAGTGATTGTGTATTGGACCGTAATTTGGGATCCATAGTCAGCATCGCTCGGTACAACTTGACCAAGCTGATCTCAATCTCCTCTAGGGCAGCGGCATCCGCAAGGTTGCCATACCGTAGCGGCTCCATGACACTCCGGTCGAGCGACATGGTATCAACCAGTCCTTGAAGCTCAGTCTGCAACAACTTCTGATTTGCAGACTGTACCTGTAGACCCTGTGACTGCGCCTCAATGTACGCGATGTCATCGTTCAATGAGCTCAACTCGACATGATACAATGTCAGCAGACCTTCCAGCTCGTCACACTCTGCGATTGCTTTGTCCAGCAAACCCTCGACATGCAATATGCGCTCTTCTCGAGAAGAATCAGCATCTGACAACCATGAGCCAGCCTCGATTCGACTGTGCTCGCGACGAATATCATGATCGAGAATAGCCAGCTGTTTCGGCTGCAAGATGTTGCTGCTCCAACCGAATTCAGAGAGCACCAGTTCGAAATCAAGTCCTTTGTCCGCCATCAGCGCTCGGTCGATGCCCAGCGAGGCAAGGTACCGCTCTTGCTGGGCACTGCGTCGCTTGATTTTGACCTGTGGCTGTTGGGCATGGCGCTGCTCGGTTTTCTCGTTTGTCGCGTTGTCCTCGTGATTCAGCTCCGTTGTCACGGCCTGTACTTGAGGTCCATCATCATGCAGCTCCACGGACTTTTGAACGGCCTCAAGTGGCTCATGATCAGCCGCAATTGGCGACCTGGGAGAACTGATTTCTACCCGCGGGGGCTCCTCCTGCGGCGAGCCATTGCGGAATTCATTGTCGCCTGGAGTGACCGGTTGTTCATCTTGTTTTTGGCGAAGCTGTGGTCGAGGCACAACACCAGTTATGCCATCTGGTTCTCCGTCTCGATCTGCTTTTGCCTTCAGTATCTTCTCGGCCGCGCCCCCAGGGCGTGGTTTGAATGCGCTCGCTGCGTTGGCAGCCTTCTTGAAACGATCCGCGATTGCCTTCTTCTTGAACATTGGTCCGAGGCCTGGCCTGTAGCGCTCCTCCTCCTCCTCCTCCTCTTCTTCTTCTCCTTCTCCGAGATTCCTCTCGAGTGTTTCAGGCTCGTCCAAAGCTGGCTGAGCTGAGGGTTGCTGCGAAGCATCCTCAGTATTCATGCGGTCGAGCGCGGACTTGTTCGAAAGCTGAAGTGGTCTTACTTCCGCAGTGTCTCCCGCGTCATTGGTGACTTGATGGGTCCCTGCTTCTGTGGCTACGTGATCTGCACTATTCTCTGGAACTGGTCGCGCTTGCAACGGAGCAGGTCTTAGATCAACACTGCTCGCAGAAGCTGCATGCTCGGCGTTGGGACGTCGAGTCGAGCGCTCAGGCGTTGCAGGACTGGGTGGTGCATCACTTGTGGGCGGTGGCGCAGCGGCAATAGAGTGCTCCGGTCCCCAGTAGTAAGAATTCATAGCACCCAGGGCTGCGGCATCTGCACCATTAATGCCGTTGGAATCCGCGCTGGTAGCAGTCATAGCTTGATCTACCGGTGGCTTCGCGTGTCCATTCTGCGCGGGTGCGACGGGCGTCGTGTCAAGATGTGGTAATGCGCGCGTTGGTGGTGTCCTCCCGGAGGGATCGTGAGAGTGTGGCTGGTAGTTCATATACCTATCGCGTGCAGCTTGGAACAAGTGCGCCGCCTCCCGTTTGGTACCATCCGCAGAGGGCGCTTCGATCAGATTTCTGTCTTCAGACGCTCCATCATGGGAGTGCGGAATTGAGCGTTGCGCGGGACTCCGTGGCCGCAGTGGCGTCGACTCTCCTCCCAGCCCGGGCGGAGGAAGACCTGGTGAAGAGGGAGGCTGATCACCCCTCCGAGCGCCGTGCTGTCCCATGGGTGGCTGGAGCTGTCCAGGAGCAGGAGAGGTGCCAGGTCGGAATTCTGGTCGTCCGTCTCGGCTGGGTTGACGCATCTGCTCAGTGCTGGCAAAAGGCCGTGGTCCGCTGGGAGGATGCATTCCGGGCCCAAAGCGTGCGGGAGAGTCTGAGGGCCGTCGAGAATTTGGACCACTGCCTGGTCTCCCTGCATCACTAACACTCGGGGGAGGACCTGGACTGCCTCTGTATCGACTCCCGTCCCGGCTCTGATCTCGTTGTACAAAGGGCGGATGTGGTGGCGGCAAATGTCCATCACCGGGTGGACGAGCAGCAGTCCGCGACGTAGGTGGTGGCTGCTGAGCAGGCATCGGGGCTGCGGCGGGAAAGGCACCCAGTATTTGAGCTCTCTCCTTGTCATCGAAGCCTCGCAGCTCGGGAGTCTGGCCCTTTGTGTATTTGCGATAGATTTTGACTGCGCTCGCTATGAAGAAATCCTTCTCCTTGCTCGTGCCCGCTTGCCAGTAGTACGGCTTGGAGATGGTGACGATGAAGCCCTCGCTGCCGGCCCAGGCGCGGTGGCTGGCCTCTCGCTCGCTCTGGGGCGGATGCGGCGGATTCGCAAACGACTCGATGCACGAGAGCTCCTCCATGTTCCATGTCTTGCCAATGCTGAAGCTGCCATTGTTGTTCTCTCGCGCCTTGTGCATGCGCACGCGGCCCGTCGACCGCACGGCGATGATGATCAGACGGGGCTTCTTGTGCTCTGGGGGGCTATCAGGCGGCGGTGGTGCGGAGGGATGGGAGCCATCTTCCTGGATCCGGATGTGCGTGATGTAGCTTTCGGCCAGCTGCCCATTCGCGTCGAGCTTCGAGAAGCAACTCTCAATGATGCGGCGCTTCTCGTCCTCGAATCGCTCGGCGCGACTCATCGTTCGCAGACGGTGGAGATGCACGCCCTCCAGCCAGGAGAGGCGTGTGTGTCTGTTCTCAAAGCTTTGGCGTGAGTGCCGTCAAGCATGTCAATTCATCGTTGGGCGGGAAGAGTGTGTAGTGATGTTACCTGATGTGTGCTAGGTATACAGTCGATCGGTCGTGGACCGACGCTATTAGGGTAGTTTTAAGTTCTTAGGCAATTATTAGGTACCTGTTAGGTAGACTTGGAATAGAACTGAGGTAGGCAACGCGAACAAGCGACAAGGAGGAATTTAAGACCGACGAGCCGACGGACCCTCCTGTACCCTACATAACGCTCCTCCAGCGCGACACTGATACATGTACTGGAGCAACTTAGCAAGTGAATGATACCATGATTATCGTACATGAGGCACCGTCTACACAAACGCTGGGTGTGCTGACGTGCGCGCAGTCCTCCAACAGTACAGGTAGTACGCACCACCTCATCATGCCTACCGATTGCCATGCTGCACCAGACCCAGGCGGATAACCGCTCCAGCGCGACCACCAAAGCATTTGATTCGTTCTTCCAAGTTTACCAATTGCTGAATGGCTCGCTCCCCGTTATTGATTATGATTGTCCATGGCTATCTTCCTCCGCTACGCTCTCCTGTTGTCTCCAATGAGTGCGAAGCCCCCTATCATCAGATAACATCTGTGATATGACCACGCTACACTGCTGTACCTATTATCCTTCCACTGGGTCTTTTAATCCCACAAGGCCCGTTCGCCTTGGTCGACACCAATGTTCGGCAAGGCTCGGGCCCTGGTGATCGAGTATTGGCACCATGCGGGTAGATCATACCGTTGCCGGAAGCGATGTGAGATTGGCAGTACGTCTGGCCATCGTCGCGAGAAGGTGGACCGCCCGATGAGGTATTCTAAGGGGACGACAAGCCGCCAGTAGTGAAGACAGCGCCAGACGATGGTGGTCTGAGGTTCACTGCAGGTGCAAGCGGAGTAGTAGGTACATGTAGTATGCGGACGAGACAACAGTACGGTCAGTACCGCTGGCTTGCGCTTCTTCCGCCCTGTAGTAGCAGGTGAGACAATGTTCCCCTGTGGTTCCTCACCTGCTCCAAATTTCCCGTGAAACTCCACGTTGCCAATGCTATCGTTGGCCGCGGGCCCGCTGCCTCATCAGATATCTCTGAGTTAGAGTCGAGGGCGACCTTTTGGCAGGATGGTAAGCAAACCCTGTGGGCCTGTGCAGCCCTGCTTTTCGGCCGGCATTTCGTATAGTGCACCAGGTTGACCGTTGCCGGCCGTAAGGCCAGGCAACCAATAACGCCGCCCCAGTGCTAGTTGCGACTGGAGCCATAATACAGCGGCGGCCTCGTAGTGGTCGCATAGCACGAGATTTGCGAGGAAGCGAGTGATGTAGAATCATCCGACGATATACAAGTCCATAGCATCAGTACTTATGTTCTGGCATCACAACATGAATGTCAACAACGTACTGGACTATGTACTGGTACAGGATGTAGGGTACCTCCTACAGTGGAGGTAGGGGAAATGTCAATTGCGCAAGCGTTCCACGGCGCCAATGACGTCGGTGAATTCTAATGTATGTACATGTACACTGCATCCTCAAGGCTCATGATGGAAGTGATAAACCCTGCGGCACACGAGGCACGTTTCTTTCACGGGTTGTTGTTGGTGGTGGTGGTGGTAGTGGTGAATGTCAGGTAGGTATCAATGCAAGGCGAACAATCGACACGCTACAAATGCATGTCACACGACGGGAGGCAGTGTGCAGTGCAGGGCGAGGGCGAGGGCGAGGCTGAGCTTGAGACGGAGACGGAGAGGGATCATCATCATCATCAATTATCAGAGGATGCCTGTCGGCCTTGGAGCTTGGTGGACTAATCATCCTTCGAGTAAGGTAAGGTATGTACTGTACCAAGTGTTCTAGTGCCCGGCAGAAGGAGCGAGAACAAGCGGGCTGCAGGCGGGCGGCCTCCCAGAGAGAGGTCTGAGGTGTGCGAGGTGCGTGTACTTCCCGTCTCCAAGGACACCCCGACCACACACCATCATGACCCCCTTCTCCTGATGCCGCCGGTGTCCAACTTTTGCTAAATAAGCGAGGGCGGGCTGACTACGACCTTCCGGCCAGTGGGTCATCATCCATCGAGGCGTTGACCAGTACAGCGTGTGCGTGAGTGTGAGAGACAGAGAGAGCTATATACTTTGGCGTATTTCCCAGTTGCCTTTTTCACCTATTCCCTCGCCGCACTCTACCTACCCTCACTCTACTCACAGCGAGTAGGTAGTCACTTAGGTACCTACTCTAGCCTATCAACTATCACAACTCCAGCAGCAACTGCCTTTCATCGTACATCCACTCGTGCAGCCAACCAACCAGCAGCAGAGACAAACAACTACACCACCACCAACCTGGGACGCTCCCCTACTACTGGCCGATCACAACTAGGCACTGCCTCTGGGCCCATCCTTCTTAGTCATGTCCTCCCGTCGCCCATACAACAACAATCGCCGCCCAGTCGTCGTCGACAACAACACCGAACCCAACACTAGCTCGCCATCAAGCCCCACCGGCAGCAGTGCAGGCCCCAAAACCGTCCGATTCGCGCCAACGTGCGAGAATGAAAGTTCTCGCCCCCTTACCTCCCTCGAAGCCTGGAGCCTCTACAACTTCGAAATCCACCTGCGACAATGCATGCCCTGCACGCGCATGATGCGATTCTGCGAAATCGGCTTCGGACTCTTCCAGGACGTGGCCTGTCACGTCTTTTTCCACGACGGGGAAATCTGGTCTATGAAAAAAGACCGGACACACAACAAATTTGTCCGCGTTGAAGTTCCTCGGGGGTATACATATCTTCGAAGATTTCTCTTGCTTCGCTCGATGACGCCGCCGACGATACCGCCGGCGGTGGTGATGGATCGAGAACGTGAACGAGAGCTACTGATGCGGCGATCAACAACACCCCAACTTCCCTCTGCGCACCACCCACCGAGTCCTCCTACTGGGAGGAGACGTGCTGTATCATCATCATCTGACAAGGACATGTACTTCGAACCCCATGATGATTATTATTACTCAACATATCGCTTTCCAACGCCAACATCAACACCAACACCAAGATATCCTCGCTACGCAACTCCTACTCCTACAACTCCCCCCTTTGCTCCTCCTGTGCAGGATGATCATGGCTATAGTAATAATCATCATGACTTTCCTGCTGCTGCTGCTGTTGGGAAGAGGCGGCCCGTGTCGATGCCGTACCCATCGAGAGAACGGCAGCGATGCGGCGGCCCGTTGTATTATTATTGATACAACGAAATTCATCGAGGACAACATAAGACAATGGAAGACGTTGCGTGAATGTCTTGGCGCTAATACCTACCACACCTACCTACTAGGTAAGGTAGGTACACATTGGCAGCCACATTACCTAAGTACCTACCTACCTGTACCTACTACCTAACTAGTACCTTAGGTAGTAGTCGAAGCATGCGAGTTGTGTTAGCAAGGCGGTCGAGTAGGTTTGTTCGTTTGGACGTATGAATACCCCCCTATTGACGGCAGAACGAAAAGAAAGGCGTTGCGACGTCAAGTCTTTGGTTTCTCTCGTATCACGATCGGGTCGTACTCGTGACCATCTATTTTCTAAATCTGTAAAAACGGATGTGCGCCAAATTCAAATCATCATGCTTCAAATCCTGTCCCGTTGCGCATGATCGACCATACCATTCGTGCCCTCCAATCACGCGCGCCTTCCATGTCGCTTTCCAAAAGAAATAGAAATGTTTCCAGTGCGCCGGGCAGAGTTGCGAGTGGGAAAAATAGTAAATCCAAGAGCGCCATGGGTCCCAACTCGTTCATCGTACATGTGTATAGGTATCATCGCACTTTCAAGCGAGTGCGATGGGCCTTTCTCGCTCCTTTCCTCTCCTAGCTCACACTAGTGACGTTGTGGTGTCACTGCTCCGTTCATTGTGCCCAAGTTCAAGGCCGCAAAGGGTGTGGTCAAAGTATGATTGGAGCCTTGTGTACTGGGTGTACTCGTTCCACTTCGCATGTGTAATGCTATCGGTCTCTGGATGGGGCTCGGCGGTCGACTGGTCGCTTCGAGGTACGATGGAGGTCCCTCCGTAAAAGGCGTCACGGCCCCAGGCGTCCTCAGCGCAGCACCATATGACGGAACACGTGACAAGTCGTTGAGATTGTAATCTTGGGCGTGGATGTCAGTCCCCGATGTGTGCTCCTCGCTGGATGTACGTGCCGACATGGGCGCACTCGAGTGAGCGGAAGTATCCCCGTGTGGAAAGTACGATCCGTTCCGTACTGGTGGTGTCGATCGGTGAGCACGCTCCGGAGAGTGATCTCTCGACCTGGCAACACCAGGCGCGGGTGAATTCCCACCGGAAGGACTGTGATGGCGAGAACTGCCTTGCGCAGCGTAACCGTTCGTATGGCCATCTTCCTGCAGGTCTGCTAGCCGAGAGTGGAGCAGGTGAGGCATTGCGCTGCCATGTAATGACGCCAAATCACCGTCTGCCAGACCATTGAGAGAGAGTATGTTTTCGTGTGACCCTCTCCGACTTTGGGCGGAGAACCCGTTTGGCGTCCCTGGGCCACTTCCGGCTCTACTCATGAATCCACTGGAATCGATATCGCTGTACATCTGGTCCAGTTGATGTCTCCCGTATTCCGGTGGAGCCACGACCGCGGTTTCTGAAGAGTTGAGTTCGGCGTCCGAAACGCCAGTGGTATTGACTGTGACCTCGTTGCTCTCGTCCACCGGCAAATTGGGCGAAATGAACAGTTTTACTGGTAAACGGCACACCAGCTGCGAAACATGACCTTCTGGGTTATGTATGTTGACCATCAGCTTGAAACGGTGTGTGATGTTGATGCTGTGGGAGTCCACGTCCTGCCTACAGATATTCAATGACTTGGGCAGAGGCAGGGTGGCCTTGAATTTGTACATCTCATCAGCCAGAGTAGGATTTTCGAGCGTCTCATCATCATACACGATCCTGGAGTCCTCGGGGAACTCCATGTCTGCCTTGGCCACTTCCGTTTCTTCTGTCTTTGATCGGTCACCACGAATATCGGGCACCTCCGTGGCCTGGATGCGTTTGACGACCGTCTCCATCAATCGTAGCTCAATCTTGCCCAATCTCAAGCCTTTCTTGATCGGAGAGAGCTCGACATCAGCAGTGATGGAAGTGCCGAACACGATGGCGTCAGTCGGGATGGAGATACTGTATGAGATCTTGTTCGCCCATATGTCTGCATTGACCCGCGACCGAGTCATCTCCATGGAGTCCTGACCAAGCGTCCGCACGATGCGAATGTGCTCTTGTGTCGTGATGTCCTTGGCGTTCCATCCTGGCCGCGACACGCTGGCATGTACATGGTAGGCGATATAGGTTTCGCGCAGGCCCTCAACGCTCTCCGGCATCGTTGGCGACAGCTCGAACTCGAACGGCCAGTCGATGGTGCCCGCCTTGACCTTGTGCGCGCTTTCGATGCCCAGCTTCTGCTCCTGAATCCAAAACACGCGCTTGTCGACGACCTCGCCGGCTGAAATGCCACCCATGTACCACCAGCTGATCTTCCGCTTGCCTTCCAGGCGCACCTTGGGCTTCAAAATGCTCATAGGCTCGGGAGAATGAAGGCGCACGAAGCCCTGCAGCTTGACCGTCTGGGCCTCGTGCTCGTTACCATGGAAGACCACAAATCGCACGTCTGGCAAGATCTCCAGCCATGGCTTGGAGTGATGTCGCGTCAAGCTAGTGCTGCTGGCGCTATGTATGCGTGATGAGTTCATGCTAGGCGTGCGAATGCTGGCAATGCCTTGCCAGTTCAATACTGGATGTGTCGGAGTTCCCGCCATGCCGCAGGCGGTCCAAGTGGGAGCCCGCGAACAATGTAGTATTACAGGGTGCCTTCAGCTTCAGCTTGGCCCCGACTTGCACCCTCACATGAACACTGGCTGTGACTCGGCCTTCCTACTCTTGCAACGCAAAACCGACCCCACCGGTCAGAACGACAGCGAGACGTGTGTGGGATGGCGGCGAGGGCGCAGATCGGCGACAATCAGGTGAAGGAATAATAAGATATCAAGATATCGGCGTGGCGGCGGTGGGAGAGGTGGTGGTGAGTATGCGGCGGGAAGTCGCAAATCGGACCATCAACGCTAGAAGTTCGTAAGGTATACTCTGTAGCAGGGAGCGAGGGGGGCAAGGCCGGTAGTCGTCAGGTCAGCACCTACAACTCACGTAGCTGACTGCTTACCTGGCCGACCCAAGGGTGTGCGTGTACATGTATGTGTGTGCAGGTGCAAAAGACAAAAGACAGGGGAGAGCGCTGGGCAGTACGTAGGTCGGTAAGGTAGGTAGTAGAACTACTACATGTAGTCCGCTAGCGACCTCCTAGCTAGAGGTAGTGTCGCTGGCTGCGATAGAACCATGGTCGGAAGCGGAATGCGCCAGTGGGTCGTGTCGTCAGGTAGACCTCTAGTGGTCAGTGTGTGTACGTAGTAGTAAGGTATGTCTAGCAAGGAAAGGTCAACGAGCAGTCTCGACCGCAGTACCACCGCGTGCCACTACGACTGTGTGCCACACGACACAACCAACAAGCACCTCATGCCAGACATCATGCGATATCTACCGTAGCATCTGCAGACTGCGGCCACACTCCGACGGCGCCAGGGACAGCCACTACCTCTGCCCACCCATGCTCCATGGTGATGGAGAGGGTGAACACGCACCTCTTTGTGCCTGATCCTATCAGATACATTGCTGTTAGGTACCTGATATATGCTGCTCATCGCCATCCATCCCCAGCCCAGCATCCCGCGCATTCAACAGCGGGACAAGCAGAGAGAGATAGCTGGAAAGGGAGAGACAAAAAAAGAAGGCCGAAGACTGATATCATGATGAAAAAAACACCAATGACGCCACGAGGACTACATTAGTTCTACATACAGGCGATGGCCAGGCATTGTGCTGATGATGATCCGACGGGAGATCCGTGCTTGGGATGATGCTGCACAGTGCACAGTCGTTGCGCAGACACCGAAAAGTCGCCGCGCTCAACGATTTCGAACATACAGTACTTCGGGAATTTGTGTCCACAACCTGGTCTCACTGGAAAGGTTGATTATATTATAGTCTGTCTGTGGTGCCAGAATGATGGAATCATGAATACGAATGCACGTATTGACATTGACATCACAGGACGCATCTACAGCATCCATTCAACTCAACGTCCCTCGTCTCGTGCACTCGGTCGGTCGTGCATGAGACAGGGCCGCCGCCGCGAGCGCCGAGAGCTGTCTGCTCTCTTAGTTCTAGCTCAAGCTCTCTGATTCAAGTGATCGCCACGGATTGCCTTCTGGAACTTCTGGTGCAGGTGTGGACCCTAGGTACATGTAGGTGTGCGATCGGCGCCGAACCTGGGTCACGCGATCAAGCTACTGACTGATGATGCTGTGTTTCAATTATGGTGGTGTATACACATCAACTCCCATCTGTCGGCCGCATCCACTCTCTGATATGTCCTGTGTGGGGCCACATTAGCGATCCTATCACTGGATCAAGCTGTGGAAGCCATGTCAATGACACTTACCATCTTTGCAGGACGTGATAATGCTGTCCGCTTCGAAGCCCAGCCAGCACAGAGGGTGCTCGTCGATGCTTTTCGACATGACAGGCGGTAACACAGCAGTGCTCACCTTGGGCTCAACCGGGTGGATGACCTCGCCGTCCTTGATGCTGTCCGCGGTGGGCACCTGGGTCAGGTTGGAACTGCTTCGAAATCTGCCAACCGTCGTCGTACTTGGCTTCCGTTCACCAACTGGCACATGGCTCGAGATGCTACCGCGTTGTCTAAACGCCTTCGGTCGGCCCAACATACCCACTGAAAAGTCCCAGAGTAATAACCTGCAATCCTCACCTACACTACCAAAGCGGTAATTTCGTTCGTCGCACCGCCATGGATCGAACTTGACATCAGTGACCCAGGAGTGATGACCCACGCATCTCGCAACCAGCGCACGTTCCGCTACAGACCATATGCTCACGAGATCGTCTTGCCCGCCCGTCAAGACATACCTACTGTCCGGAGACCATGTCACACAGAGAAGGCCCCCTATTATTGGTGATTAGCTGCATGGTGTGAAGCGCAAACCAGGCGTCGACTCACCATAGTAGGCCCGATGAACGTCAAGGACCTTCTCCTCATTAAAGTCAAGAATGGTCAAGCACCCATCGTCACTCACAACGGCTAACAGCTGTCCATCGGGAGAAAAAGAAATGTCATGAATCTTCATATTCGACACCTTCCAGGCGGCCACAGGATTGGTTCTTTGATTGCGAGATTGCACAGATTTCAAGACACGAAAGGCCAGTCGCTCTTGCCCTTCTGCAGTGTCCACTACGGGACTCTCCTCGGGCACAAATTCGGCGTCTTCTTTCTCTTTATCGTAGACCACGAGCGTGCCGTCTGAGTGCGCTGCAACAAATAGATTATCCTTGTGGGGCATCCAGCGAATCGAGGCCACAGGAGCAGCATTGATCATCCCGTTTTTATTCAGTCTCGCATATTTCTGTGACATGGGCTCGTACCATATGATGTCGCTGGTATTAAAGCCCAACACCGTGTCTAAATGATGAGCAGACCTCGACACTGCATTGACATCATGACAAAGCGCATGCGCCTTTGTGAACAGCACCTTGGTCATGTTCTCAGTCTTGTTCGCCGACGATAGGTCTAACCACACGAAGGCGCGATTGATATTCGCAAAAGCAAACATGCCGTCGGGCGACCGGTCGTTGAGCCGCTTTTGTAGCGATTCATGCGGTATGACACGCGACACATAGGACGAGTTGGATTTTATGATATTGTTTTTGGGCTTGGCTTTCTGGTCTTTCTTCACCTTGGTATTGACAGGCACAGCCAACGCTGGGTTACCATCTCCAAACGTGGCCATCTGGGCGGCGTGGTAGTACGTGGGCGAGCCGAAGCCGTTCGTCGTTGACCCTGCATCACTTTTGGGACTGTGCAACTCTTCCTGAATGCTGGGCGGCATGGGCGAGCGAAGGCTCGCGCTGTGGACAGAAGCAGCGCGAAACAACGCCTGCGCCGGCGGGGGGTTCCGAGGCTCAAGCACAGCAATAGACAGCTTCACCCCACTGACCGGCGGGCCCGTCGCGGTCGCCAGCGGATTGTTGTTCGGCTGCGGCGCGTCGCTGGGGTGAGGAGGCGGCGTGGCCAGATGGAGGTCGTCTTTGAGCACATAGATGCCCTCGCCGAGCACGAGCTGGTACTCGGGTCCCGACGGCTTCTCGAGCGTATTGTTCGTCTCCAGCAGAGGTCCACCGCCCGGCATGCCATTGTAGGCTACATTGTATCGTGGCGGCGGGGGGAGGACGAACATGGCGGATTCTACACGGGGTGGTGATGTCTGCTATATGTACTGTGCAGTGTATAGGTACTGGTAGGTAGGAGGGAGAGATTCTATAGGTGGATCTGTAGCTCGACGCGGCCTGAGCCGGACTCTAGCGTGTGGAGCTATACCTAGTCCAAGTACATGTAGGAGGTAGTCTCTCGGGCCGGGATGCTCCTCCGCAATCTACCTACATACAGTACCAGGATACTATTATTCATTTGATAGAGAGAGAGGGAGGGAGAGAGAGCAACCAAGTACAGTGGGCGGTACTGCAGAATGGACCATGGCCACAGGTATGCCGACTTGCTGCCCCGTCCCCGTCCCCGTCTCCTGACTCTCCTGACTCTCCTGACTCTCCTGGCGACGACGGAAATAATTTCCATCTGATGTTGTGCTAACGCTCTGCGCACCAGTCTGGATCTGCATCGTCGGCGACAAAGCAACGGGGAAGAGCTCGTTGCTCACGTCGTTTGTCAAAGATGCCTTCATCACAACCAGAATACAAGCCGTATTGCCGCCGATAACTTTGCCTCCGACTCTGGGAACGCCCGATAACGTATCCACTACCATTGTCGACACCTCCTCCTTGCCCCAGGATCGCGATGAACTTAAAAAGGCCTTGCGCAAATGCAATGTTCGTCCAGCCAGTACAGCACCTCCACTTCGGCAGTACCACTAACACAGGCGGCATTGTTTTTAGGTCATTCTTCTCGTGTATAGCGACCATTATAGCTATGAGCGCGTGGCGCTGTTCTGGATGCCGTATTTTCGATCTCTTGGGGTCAATGTGCCGGTAGTGCTGTGTTCAAATAAAAGTGATTTGAATCCTGGCGTTAGCACTGCAATCGAGGATGAGATGCTACCCGTGGTAAGCCCCTCATGGTAGTCCATATCCGGGCGAAGGTAAACTAACATCTGTGATCAAGATGACAGAATTCAAGGAGATTGATGCGTGCATCAGGACCAGTGCGCGAGAGCACCACAATATCAACGAAGTGTTCTTCCTCTGTCAGAAAGCCGTGACACATCCGATCGCGCCCATTTACGATTCCAAGGAGAACGCTCTGAAACCAGCTGCAATTGACGCACTCAAACGAGTATTCTATCTGTGCGACAAAGACCAGGACGGCTTTCTCAACGACAAGGAGATTCAGGACTTTCAGCGCAAATGCTTCGACAAGTCTCTATCGAACGAAGACCTCGCGAACATCAAACGATCAATACAGCGATCGAAAAACGAGGCCAGTCATGACCAACAAGAGAACAACGCCGGTCGAGGCATCGATGTCAGTGGCTTCATCCACCTCAATAAGATGTTCGCCCAAAAAGGACGACACGAAACGGTCTGGATCATTCTTCGCAAGTTCCAATATTCCGACAGTCTTTCTCTTTCCGACACTTTTCTCCATCCCAAGTTCGATGTCCCCGCTCATGCCTCCGCTGAGCTGTCACCTTTGGGCTATCGCTTCTTTGTCGACCTCTTCCTATTACATGACAAGGACAATGATGGCGGTCTCAGCAATGCTGAACTGGCCGCACTTTTCGCGCCCACACCCGGTATTCCAGCCCTCTGGGTCGACTCGGGTTTTCCTTGCAGCACTGTCAGGAACGAGGCGGGATACGTGACCCTCCAGGGCTGGCTGGCACAATGGAGCATGACCACGTTCGAGGACCCCAGGATCACGCTCGAGTATCTTGCATATCTGGGGTTCGAGATTGATGGGAAAGGCACAATCACGGCCTTGAAAGTGACCAAGCCGCGCAAGCGGCGCCAGAGACCTGGCAGGGTGGAGAGAAACGTCTTCTTGTGCTATATCATCGGAGCGGCGCAAAGTGGCAAGTCGGCCTTGCTGAATGCCTTTCTCGCCAGACCGTTCAATGCCACCTATCATCCTACCATCAAACCACAAACAGCCGTCAACAGTGTGGAGCTCCAAGGCGGCAAACAGTGTTATCTCATCCTCGAGGAGCTCGGAGAACTCGAGCCCGCCATCCTCGACAACCAAGCCAAGCTCGACGCATGCGACTTGCTCTGCTACACATACGACAGCAGTGACCCCAACAGCTTCGCGCACATTACCCATCTCCGCAAGCGCTATCCCGCTCTACTCTCTTCGATCCCATCAGTGTACGTCGCCTTGAAAGCCGACCAAGACCGCGCCGTGCAACGAACGGAAATCCAACCCGACGTCTTCTGCGAGCAGCTGAAGATGGCGAAGCCGCTGCATGTGTCTGCGAAATGGACTTCCATCAGCGACTTCTTCGTCCATCTGGCCGAGTGTGCGACGTATCCCTCGCAGGCGCTCCCGAAGAGCGAAGACGATTCCGTCGACCGCACCACTCTGTATGTGGGACTGGCGGCTACAATTGGAGTGGCAACTGCCTTTGCCTGGGTATGGAAACGCAATGTGGAATCTTGACACACACACCGCCCCGTTGTTGGAGGAGAAATAATGACAAGAAAAAAAAAGGCAAGATAAATATCGACTTTACGTAACTCGATAGTGCGGCTGTACTCTTGACAAAATGTACATTTCCACTCTACTTCATTCGTGAAAATGTTGATCCAAAGCCGGCAAAACAGACCAAGAAATCGAAAAAGAAACGAGAAAATAAAATGGAAAAGAAGAAGAAGAAAATAAAATATCAAACCGGACTGTCTTGCATACGAAATATACCTACCTTACCTTAGGTACCTCTGATTGTTCATAAACTTGAAATTGTCTCAACCGAGGAGTGTTCAATATCCTTCTTCTTCTTCTTCTTCTTCTTCTTCTTCTTCTTCTTCTTCTTCTTCTTCTTCTCGAAATTGATCCCCAAAAGAGACAAGTCGACATGCCCGATCGTCTTGAATCCGATCCGATCCGACCTGGAGATTATCACATCGAATCGAGAGAAGAAGGCATTTCGCTCATCAGCAACTTCCCCGGGACATATTCGTAAGACGTTGGCTATCAGACCTACATGTACCTAGAGACGAGACTGCAACGCCAGAGAAGGCGGGTGCTGCAACTAGACCTTACCTTACTGTACCTTACTGATACCCGATGTTGCTCGTGGTCCTACAGAACAATAACACGTTACGGAAGTGCTTTTCCGCAGTTAGCTAGCCAGACAGCTCAGTAGCCAGTCAGATAGCCAGCCAGCGGCAACAAGAACAAGACCAAGAACAATGACAACGCAGTCATCGTCGTCGTCATCGTCTTCTTCTGCCATGCGTTCATTCACGGCCACGTGTTGAGTGCAAGAACGTGGTGCCCGGCAGAAGAGAAGAGAGTCTTCGCACTCAACCTCACTAGCAGCGCGCTCGCTTTCTTTTTGTCGTAGGTAGGTGTCACTCTCCCCAAGGCCTCCTCAATACGATTAGGGATGATATTTGGCTCTGCTTCTCTTCAATCAAGACGACGATGGGAGTGAGGTAGGCAGGCAGGCAAGTCGCTGCGGTAGAGGGACTCTCGGAGAGGAGGGGAGGGGAGGGGAGTGGTAGGTAAGGTAGGTAGGTAGGCGGCGTGCATACATGCGTTCGAAACGTGGCGTCGTCGGCGTAGACTGTAGGAGGTAGGTAGTGCTTGGGGATTCTCTCTCTCTCTCTCTCGGATAGAAAGTACGAGGGCGGGTCCGTACTACGGAGGTCGGTGGAGGCAAGTACGACGTATTTGAAGGATGGACCCGGAAGGAGTCGAAGAGATGATTATCAGTGCGCTCGGATGTCGCCGAGTCGGTCGGATGATGAGATCCGTATAATATGACGATGGGAGGATGGATCCGGGACTAGGATCAAGGTATAAGGTAGGTAGGTAAGTTTGGAAATACCAACACGAACACGAACACGAGTCACTTGGATTGGATATTGTAGTTCTGTGAGTTAAACTATGACTTTATACCTGTGCACACGATCGGACGACCAGTATCCTCGTGGCTGTATCTACGACTATCTAATACTACCTGTTAAGAAGAATGCGAAATTCCTCACGCCAAGCTCTACAGTCTTCCTCTTCCTCTTCCTCTCGAGAGAACGGCTTTTTCGACATTTGGCCTCTGTTTTCCTTCCTTCTCTCCTTCTCCTCTTTCTTCCTTTCATCTCCTCTCCTACGGTACTACTCATACGATGAAAATGAAAGAATCACATATGAACAGATTATAGATACCGGTGTATGGCTGATTAGGGCAGGTGTGGGAGCGGAGCTTCGGGGCGTTGGTGTCTCAGATCTGTGGGGGACGAGCACCTTATGGACCTACTTCTTTCTACCTGGAACTCCGTTGGAGGCTAATATAGTCGGCTAGTCCTGGTCACTGTCGACAGGAGGGAAGTACTACTCCATGGAGTAGGTCAGAGATATACGATTGGCAGCCTGCGTGTATACATTTCAATGGCTAACATGTCTGTCTTGTGTAGTTTTCAAAGGACAGTAGGCCAGTAGGAGGTAGTTATAGAAGTACCTTATTAGTATAGGTCCTGTAGTAGACTAGGAGGTAGGAGGTAGTAGCAGTGACTTGAAATAGTAGCACAGCAGCAGCGGCCGTGGGGGCAGGCGAGGAGTGGCACAAGGGCTAAATAGCCAAGGCCGCTTAGTTCCACTCCTTCTTCCAGCCTTTGACTCCCTTGACTCCCTTGAGGCCTGAAGCCAGCCAACTACGGTCCCTCCTAGGAACTAGCATTGCTCGGGCCATCCATTATCCTTTCCGCACCTCTCCTCCTCCTCAGCCTCACTGCCTCTTCCTCGTGCTCGCGGCAGCTCGCCCACTGCAACAACCGGGATGGACAACGTGCGTAACAGCGTCTGGGGTCTTGTGCCCGCCAGAAATAGCCTCCCTCGTGCATCACCACCGTCGTCGGCATGTAGAGGAAAAAAAAAATAGTACTTTTCTGTCCTGTCTACACTGCCATACCAGTAGTAAACACCACCACCACCACCACCACCACCACCACCACCATCACCACCCACTCTCATCGTCGTCGCCTGGAACGTGATATCGCTTCTCCTATCGACGTCGCATCTACTGCTCGAACTGGAAGGTCTAGAACGACACTATCCTCCCTCTCCCAAATCCCCGAGAACGTGCAGGTATTAACCCCCAGTAGCCAGAACTAGCGCCTGCATCATCACTGCCATCGTCGTACACTATTTACTTCTAAGCTGATCGTGCCGCCATAGACCTTCTACTAGTCACTCACATTGTCCACTCCTAGTGCTCTGGACTCTGCACACCACCACCTCCACCTCCACCATCACCACACTCCTCGCCTGATGCCAAAGCCTGGTGACCAGCAGACACATCATCTTCCCTCCGATATTGCCAGGCGGAGCACATCCATCTTCAGCAGAAGAGGAGCGTCCAACGACCAGGAACCAAAGGCGCCTGTCGTCCACGTCGCCCTCATGGCCATCTCGCGTCCTCATATCATCACCCAGTACAGCTGGTCTGAGAAGATCAATGGCCTCGTCCGCTCCGAAACAACCACATGTCCTCCTCACAATAGAAAGGATGCCAGAACCTCGACCTCGAAACGTACCGTCTTGAATGCCGTTCCCCCATCATATACCACGAGAACGCGCACGCTGGATCGGCATTCGCTGCGCCACTCCGATACCGAGCACCGCATTGGTACCTGGATCAATGGTGTCGCACACTTTGATCAGAGCCCTCTACATTACGGGACGAACGATGTGCTGCTCTACGAGGACCCGGACTCGACCATTTCCACACCTACTGCCAAGCCTCCGCTTTCTGTCCGAATACCAGGAAGTGCCCGCTCCTCCTCCTCCTCCTTGGATCCATTGTCCGTCTACACCAATCGCCCGCTGGCCATCGAAATCGCTGCTCCCCTCGACACTGCACGTCTCCACACTCCCGACCCACAATCCGCAAACCACTTGCGAGCAGGCTGCCACAGGTCTCGGCCATCGCAGTCATCGGCTTCCAGCCGAGCGAGGACCGATGAGAGCTCTCCCTACAGTAGACCAAGTTCTGTCACCAGTGTGGATACAAAAACCACGGCATCGCCTGTACAAGCGGGTGTGTTGGACGACATATCGCCACGATCCAGACTCACCAACATCGACATTAACAAGGCCCTCCCGCCGACGCCAGTGGCCGCGCCATCAATACTGGTGATGGAAGCAGAAATGGTCAATTCGACCCGCGCGTCGTCCCAGTCTCTCAGGAATACGGCGTCACAGCGGAAGGGCACGCCCAGTGTGCCGTTCCCACGCCGCACCATGACGGAGCTACGACACAGTCAATATGCCCCCACCCGACGCCACACGAGTAGCCCTACATTGAGCCAGGCTGAGCTCGAGCTCAGCACGCAACTCTCAGCGATGAGCACGCAGTCGTCCAGCTGGCTATGGGCGGATGATCTGCTCGATGAGCAGCAACACATGGTCAAGCCCCCTCCGATCCCCAAACGACACGACAGTGTACGCGAAGTCATGCAACCACCACTGGAGCGTGCTCCCACGCTGCCAAAGCGCTCTCGGAAACGCGATTGGCGTGCACGTGGGCAACGAGGGTCGCAGTTTGTGCGAGACCAGTCCTTGCCCGTGCCTACCAGGAGACGATCCGAGTCTCACTTGGCAACTCTCTCCAACAACGCGAGCGAACGACCACTGCTCCGAAGAACCGCGAGCATGTCTGGCACAGGTGCCATCCGGGAGAATCTGGTCCCACTCGTGTCACAAAGGGTGCTCTTTGCCACTGCCGCGCCAGCGCCAGGAGCAGAGCCTCCGAGCATACCTGCACCGCCACGCGGCGACGATGTAACAGACCATATCAAATGCCAGTCGTCGAGCACGGAAATATCATCGAGAGACGACGACAACGACGACGTGGAGCTCTCCGTACCGGCCACGTCGGCAGAAGTCGTCTTACTCGACATATTATGTGCATTGACCAGCCTCCGTGATCTATTCAACACGGCCATCATCAATAGAGGCATGTACCGCGTATACAAGGAGCATGAAATGCAACTCATCAAGGCTGTCATCTGCAATGAATCTGCTCCTGCCGCTGAACTGAGAGAATGGAAGCATCCCGACGTCCCCGACATCCCCGACAAGCTGTCCTCCGACGCTTCACCTGTCCCGCAGGAACATACTCCTACTTCCTATGTGGCGAGCTATTGGCGCGATCTTGACGTGGTTCACCGCCTCAAGAGCCTCATTCACGACAAGTGCGGCACTTTTGTGAGACCGGAAACAACCTTCGCCTTGTCCACGCCTACGCATCCCCATGCGCAACGATTCGACGATGCTCTCTATCGCATCTGGTGCTTCACCTTTATCTTTGGAAGCAACAAGGGCCGCGAAGAAGACTTGACGAATCAGCTGAACTGGTTGCAGGGAGATTCGCTCGACGATTATTCGCTCTCCGCAACGATTGTGGACTTTGACATGTCCAACGGTTTCCTCGCTGCGCCCACCCACTTCGCCCTGGGCAATCGCGGTGGTCTCACACCCGCACAGCTGTACGACATGACGGAAATGTGGACGTGTCTCGGATCTCTTCTGCATGGTTACCGTGGCCGTGTCGGACAAGCCCGAGACAGCGGCGTGTTCGACCACTGTGACGTGGTCGAGGGTGACATTGAGAATGAAGGACGCCTGCTGGAGGAATGGCTCGCATACCTCCTGACCTTGGGCCCCGATGTCGTATTGGAAATGGCCGTCCTTGCCTCCGACAACAGCGCATCGGGCTTCTCACTCGCCCGGCAGCGTGGCTGGACCACATGGAGACCACCCGTCTACAACAGCAGCCTGTGTAACTTTCTCAAGGAGCCCATGGCCATCATATACTCGGAGCAAATCCTGGCAGCCAACCATCGTCCCCAAGATGCCCAGGAACGAGAACAGAAACTCCTCAGTCGCAGACGAGTCGCGTCCATGGCTGCCGAAATCCGCCTCCGTCGACAAAGTAGCGATTACAAACGACTACCTCTGATTGACATGGCTTCCGAACGGCCCATGAGCATCATGTCGCGTAGCAGTACCACCCGTTCCTCAGCAACAGCCACTCTCCACCATCCAGCATCTTCCTCCTCCTCATCATCATCATCATCACTTCCTCCTCCTGCATCAGCTCAAGGAATCGGCCATAGTCGCTCTCCCACTCCCTGTTGGACACCACCCACCCATTCCATCAGTCCCATTCTCGAAGACGACAACAAACCCGATCTTCCCCTCCACAACAACGAACCCCGCCGCAACAGCCATCTCCCCGCCAATCCCCTCCTCCTCCACCAATTCGCCCCGGGCGCAAACAACACGAGCGACATGGCCGTGCACAAACTCGTCTCCATGGGCTTTCCCGTCACGGATGCGAAAAAGGCCTTGAAAGTGACGGATGATGGGGAATCGTTGCGCGTGGATCGTGCTGTTGAGTATTTGTTGCGGTCTCAGTATTCGTTGTCAGGAATATAGAGGAATCATCTGTGGGAGGATAGAACATGATGAATGATATGAATGATATGAATGAATGAATGATGTGATATGAACTGGAAAGGATGGATATTGATATGGACCTGGATATATCTGTGTATAAATATATATAAATATACATATGTGTGTAGGCAAAAATCCGAGACATGGATGCACTCACTGGTATGTCAAGCGTGCTTGAGCTTCTTTTCTCTTCTTTTTCTTTTCACTCCTGTCATGTCTGTTATAATGAGTGCTTGTGTGTGTGTGTGTGTGTGTGTGTGTGTGTGTGTGTGTGAGAGAGAGAGAGAGAGAGAGAGAGAGAGGAAGGGGGAGAGAGAGTCAGAGAGATCAAAAAGTCTCTCTAATGCAATTTCTATAGACAATGAATGGCCCCTCGCCCACTCACTCATTGACTGACCATTTCAAGCAAGACCTAGACATCTTCTTCTGCTTCTTCATGATCGTTGCGGAGGGCAGTTTTCCTTCTTATCCTTGGCATATCAGAGAGTGTGTACACGTAATCTCTGCATCCAATGAATGTCCCCTCGCTCACTCATTGACCCACATAGATACTTCAGGCAAGACCTAATATCTTCTTGTTCTTCTTCATGACCTTCCGCAACGCACTCTCCTTCTCCTCCGCATATCGCTGTGCCTCTTTCAACTGTCTCTCGGCAATTTCCACACTCGGCACCGTTCGCTCCACCGTGGTGGATGCTTGCAACGTCGTTGCCGCCTGCTGGGTCCGGGCGGTATTGGTAACAGATGGCGGCGGTGTGACGGGCGGCATCACGAATTCGTTAATGTACTTGCTCGCTTCGTCAACCAGAAAAGCTCCCTTCTTCAACGTGGCTCCGTCTTGCACCATCTGCTCCATGATACTCGGCCCTCGAACGCCGCCCGTATCGAATTGACGCTTCATGGCCTCGAGATCAACCGCAGGCAACTTCATATCATTTTGAGGTTTTGCGGGACGGAAGCGTGACTCTTCGGGCATGGTGCGCAAAACACTCTCCAGCTCCAGGAACCGATTCTCCAGATCTGTCGTCAGCGCGCGAAGGTTAGCTCCCATCGGCGTGATCATGCCTCGATTGAAGGTCTGATCTTCTTCGCCCCCATAATGAAACGCTGCGACTTCACCCTTGAGCAAGTCATCCACGACATGCTTGGTAAGATTGAACTTCAGCTCGGGCTGCCAGTGATTCACCAAGTCCTTGTGGGAGATGTTGCCATAGTGTGTCTTGAAATCTCTGCTGTTGGACACTCGAAAGAGATTGTCGATGCATTTCTGGATTTGTGGTGCCGATGCTTTCAGTTCTGCGATCATCTGTGCCGGTGTGAGGGTCGGAGTCGCCGGAGGAGATGGCACGTTGGGCGTCTGCACCACTTGCGGAGGCGTAGACGTTGTCTGGGTGGGCGTTGCAGGCTTCGAGCCTTTGCCAAGTACAGCGGTCACATCAGGAACCGTGGGAATGTCCGGCGTCCCCGTCGCTGTGACGCTAGGAGTGGTCGGACGACTGGCGATCGGTGTGGTCTCTGCTGTAGCCGTGGCGGTCGCCGTGGCTGTTGCCGTGGCTGTAGCAGGTGTGGTAGCAACGCTGGTCGCCTTCGCAGGCTTCGGGCGAGCCACGTCTTTCTCCTTCCGAGCCTTCTTCTTCCGAGTCTGTATGGCCTCGACAACAGGCTCCTCCGAGATTGCCTTGCTCGCCTCATTCAATTTCGCTTTCTCGTCTTCCAACGCCTTGGCACGCTCTTGTCGGTCTTTTTTCTGCTGACTCTTGGTTTTCGCTCGGACGGGTGCCGACCCTACTTTGCTGCCGGCGGGAGGGGGCGAGTTGGCGCGAGACTGTGAAGTTGAAGTCATCGAGACGTTGTCAGATACCGAGACGTGGTCGCTGAATGGAGTTCCTGGAAGTGCGATAGATGCCACACTCGGCTGACGCGACGGCAGTCTGTGAGCAGCCACAGTGGCAGACATCGTCGATGGCGTTTCGGTTTTCGGCGTTTGCACGACGCGCAGTGTACGTGGAGCAGTTCTGAGCGCAGGAGATGGCATTGGACTCTCCGTTGTTGTGATGGACGACGGCAAAGCAGCAGCAGTGACGTGCTGTTTGTCCGACACTTTATCCTCCGCAGCTGTCGATTTTCGGTTCGCCAAGGCGACGGATTCACTCACTGCAGCAGTGATATCGAGTTTGCCCGGATGCTTGCGCTTCTGAGTCTCGCGCTTTTCTCCACTCGTTTTATTCTGCTTTGACGTGCTTGCAGGATTCTTCACCATGCCACTTTCAACGACATCCGTGGTTACAGCAGCAGAGTTTGCATCACTCGATGTCATCGCGGTCTCCCCTTTCTGCTGTGGTGTCGATCCCACAGCTTGTTCGCGTGTTGCGTTCCCGCTATCATCGTTTGAGGTGCTCACATCGGCGCCGTCTCCATGACCAGCAGACATCGCAACCTTCAACAAGTCAGATGACAAGGTAGATCGGGGCGGCTTTGTTGGCGTTTCTTGAGTCGCCTGGTGGTCGGCGTGTTCTTTGGCGGGGTGTCGAGAAGGCGTGGCGGTTCTGTGAGGTGTTCCTGGCCGCAGTGGCAATGCGGGCAGAATTTGCGAAGCTTGCCTTCGAATGCTGGCTCTGCTCGAAGGACGAGATGTAGGACGGGAGAGGGAGCCTTCCAGATCAGGCAGCGCGGTAGGCTTCGACAAGCCAGGGGGAATCGAGGGAGTGGAACGCCGGCTTTCATGGCTCAAGTGTGGTTCAAATCCAGGCGGAATAGGAGGCGTGGAGTTGCGTGACTCATCCAGCGATACCTGTCGAGTGGGTGGCCGTAATGGCGGGAAATTCTCATCTGTCACAATCACATTGTTAGCCCAGCTCAGCCAGCACCACGATGATGGGTTGATTTCCTCCTCTTGACATGCATGGCGCGAGTGGCTTGGTGGTGTCCACCTGAGAAAGAAAAAGAAAAGGAGCCTATTAGATCTAGCTATGTACACAACACGTCCTGGGTCATGGCACGCGATCAAGTGAAGGGTCAAAGAGTCGTGAGCCATGATACTATCATTCCGTCAATCTATCAGCCGCTAAAGAAGATCTGTGAGATACGTACAACAAGCGGCATGATGAGGACTCGCAAAAGGGGGCTGAAGATGCCGTCTCAATCAGAGCAACTCCTGACGCCGTGTATTCTGTGCAATGCGCTGACCACTCTCGAGAATGTTGATGGCTTGACGCCCGCCGCTTCACGACTCTTTTTCTGGCCAGCGTCCAACACTTGGCACTAGTCCAGGTACCCTGTTCCCATCTCGATAAACACCGTGCAAAAAACCCAAGTCACAGCCCAAAGTGGTTCGCTGAAACGCAATCGTCAAAGAGGCATCTGTTTCCCTCCACCAACGCCATGCAGAAATCAAAAGCAAGAGAGTGGTGCGCCGCACTCTACCATCGCCCATTGTAACCGCCGCCATGCATGCCAGAGTATAACGCACCTGCAGTGCCCACGGCTTGACCAGCGAAAGCACCTCCGCCGAACCCGCTCGCACCCTGATGCATTCTTGATGGAAGGAGATGGCTGGCTCCAGGATCTGACACATCGATCATACCACCTCCTGAAGAGGAGGAAGTGTCAGCGTGCCTGTGCTTCTTTCCCTTCTTTTTGCGTTGCTTTTCACCATCGCCAAACGCGCCAAGATTTGCATAGGATGGGGCGGGGTAGGCATTGGGCTGGGTCGCCATGAACGCTGCATGTGATTGGGCATTGTTGTAACTGGGAAGGGATTGTAACTCACGCTTAGGTTCGACACGACCAGACATCGCTGCTTCATTGTTGCCGCGCAGCAAATCCCTATAATAAGTATCCTGCTGGTTACGGCTCGAGCCTGCGCCGTACTGTAACCCGCCAGTCGCAAAACCGTGACCCTGCCCAAAAGTCAGGTTGCCACTGACAGGAGGAGTTCCAGTCGTCTTGAGACCTGGTGGTGGTCCCTGCACGTTGCTGGTGTAGAATTGGCCATGGGGCTGTTGATGCTGCGCGCCGAAATGGTTGCCACCTGTCGAAGGCATCATGGCAGCTTGTTGATTCATGATTTTGGGATTTGCCACGGGCTTTACTGCTGTGGAAGCAGATGCCGAATCGTTCGCAAAGGAGTACCGGGAAACGTTGCGCTGGTGGCCGTGCGGAGGATTCGTCGCCTGCTGTGGGAATGAAGTATTGAACGTGGCCTGCTGACCTGTATTATTCATGAAAGCACTCGGCGCGTTGGGCTTCAGTGTCTGTAGCAGCATCTGCTGGTGCTGCTGTGGCGTGAGTCCACGATCACTCGTTCCCGGGCTCGAAGTCGCCACGCCTCCGTATTGGTAACGCTGGTCAACGCCTCCATCCTGTCCCGGCGGATGGATTGCGCTCTGCATCTGGTTCGAACCCTGGCGCTCCTCCGGCTCGCCTCCAAGCTGCAGACTACCGCTCATCTCCGGATTATCATCGGGTTCTGCAAGCGGAGGCTGCTGAAAGACTTGAACTTCTTGCTCGATGCGCCGGCTTTCCTCCTCACGCTGCCTCCGTAGCCTTCGCTTCGCGCCCCCGTTCTCGTCGAATAATGGGGGAAAGCTTTTGATCATGTTCTGTTCGGTTTCCGTCAAGCACTTGTCGGACCAGACGAGCTTGAAATCTTCCAGTTTAATGTTGGCAAGAAATGCATCCAGTGGAGAAATATGTTTTCGACGAGACTGGGGCGAGTCGGGTCTCGCTGAGGGGAAATCTGGTAGCGCACTGTCTTCCGATGTTTCCTGTGATGGCGTCGCTTGCGGCAGTGGCGCCTGCTCCACGGCCACTTCTGGTTGTGCGGCAGCAGGAATAGAAATCACAGGCGCGGGGCTCTCAACAGTTCCACTGGTACTTCTGCTCTCGGCGCGGCTCGATTGTGGTAGCTTGGTAGCCCAGCTAGCTGTTGATGGTAAAGCGGGTCGATCAGGCGCAGGACTCGGAGCGTGCTGGTCGGTACTGCCTTGGCGCATCATTGTCGGAGCTGCCGACGCGACAGGCTGCTGAGATTGGGGTGGAGGAGGCCTCGCGGATCCTTGCTGCGAAGAACCAGCATTCAGAGCCGAGAGATCTGCACGTGAGTAGCTCTCGTTGGCCTCACCAGGCTCATGCAAGAACATGCAATTCCGGTTCGTGCAGTTCTCGCCTCGAAGATAGGCCGAGCAGTATTTCGTGGTACCAAACTGGGCGCGAAGCGTTCGATCGCCATTCTTCGATCCATCCACGGCAGCGATACAGGCCGCAGCATCTTCTTTGAGCTCATACGTGACATAGACACCCACGGAGTGCGGATGTGACGGGTCCTTGGCCTTGCTGACGACAATCTTGATAATCTTGCCATACTGACCAAAGTACTGATCGCCACGGAGGGTCTGCAGCAACTGGTCCTCTTGCGAAGTCGGGCTCAGACCAGTCACATAGACCAGATTTTTTTGGACGACTCGCATTCCTGCCAGATGCTTGCGACTGAGATTATCCGCCTCGGCCTTTTGTTTCTCCTTTTGCAGCGCCTGGAGGGTCTTGCGCTGCTTGTGAGCCTGGCGCGCCTTATGTGCAGCGGTCTCCTCGGGAGTGATGAGCTTGTACTCGATGTCGGCATCATTGTAGGGTCTTCGACAGGCCGGACATAACCCGTTCATGTTGGTTTTGACATTGTGGTAGCAGAACTGGCAGATCTAAAGGGGAGAGGTCAGCACAGAATGGCCGAGCCCACGAGGATAAGGAGCGACGCACCTGGTAGCCGCAGGGACATGGCCGGAAGCCCTTATCCGTGAGATCGAACTCCTCGACACAGAGCGGACACGTCTCTTCCTCATCGTCGTCGATGAACTGATCCTGCAGCGAGCGCGACATGGCGGCTGTGACGGGCGAGCAGAGATGGAGCGGGAGAAATGGCGAGGGGTCACACAGACAGAGTCGGACGGGGCGGAGGTGGTGACTGTGGTAGTGGTGGTGGTGATGACTGTGGTGGTGGCGGCGGTGGTGGTAGTGGTAGTGGTAGTGGTGAAAGCAGAACGCAAGGGCGATGGCGATGACCGTGAGAGCGCCAGCGTGACAGGACGACGGGAAAGAGAGACTGCGCGGAGTGGTTAGCGATGGCGCGGCGGGGCGGTGTCGTGGTGGTGGCGGCACGGTCAAGAGGAAGGCGTTGCGGTGATGGATATGAGGCCGGCGGCAGGACAGGGCAGGGTGGTGGTGGTGGTAGGAGGTGGTGATACAAATGCAAGTGTTCGTCCTCGTCTCCGTCTTCGAGGTGTCTTGAGGTGCTGCTGCTCTGCGGCATCTTCCGTCCGGCTGTGGACCAGAGCTAGCTTGCTTCTAACTTAGTTCTAGTAGACCGTGGTAGTAGGTAGCTGCTGACCTACCATTGCGATTCCAATTCACCTGACACGGTGATCTACGACTCACCACTACCACCACCATCACCACCACCACCACTTGGACATCTTCCGCTCCACCTCCCTCTCCCCATCCCGAATCTGTCCCTGCCTGGCCATGTCTCTCGCGCGCTCGGTACACAGAGCCGCCACTCGCCATGGGGCAAGTCTACCAATGACGAAGTCGACAGCGCCAGCGACAGCGACGGCGACAGCGATCCGCGGGTTCGCAGCAGCGGCATCCAGAGGCAAGGAGCTCGCCGGCCAAATTGGTGACCTCAAGAACATGCGTCACAGCCCACGAAATGCGCCCGAAAAGCTGCATGTTCCTATTGTCAATCCTGCCGGTGTGTCTGTCCCATACAGCAGTCAATGGCACTGGCCGGGGTGCTATGTGAGGAGGCATTTGTGAAGCGATAACAGCTAAGACGTGGTATGCAGACAAATACCAAGCCAAGGCCGACAGCCTGCACGCCTATGGCCAGTACCTCATGTCGTGTCTGCCCAAGTATATTCAGCAGTTCTCGGTGTGGAAGGACGAACTCACCATCTATATTCCGCCCGCCGGCGTCATACCCACCTTCAGCTTTCTTAAGCACCATACGGCCGCCGAGTTCACCTGCGTTGCCGACATCACCGCCGTCGACTACCCCACTCGCGACCAGCGCTTCGAGATTGTTTACAACATGCTCTCTGTCCGCCACAACTCGCGCATCCGCGTCAAGACGTACGCCGACGAGGCTACTCCGGTGCCCTCGATCACGAGCCTGTACGATGGCGCCAACTGGTACGAGCGCGAAGTGTACGATCTGTTCGGCGTCTTCTTTGTCGACCACCCGGATCTGCGGCGCATTCTGACCGATTATGGCTTCGACGGCCACCCGTTGCGCAAGGACTTTCCTCTGACGGGATACACGGAGATCAGATACGATGAGGAGAAGAAACGGATTGTGGTGGAGCCTCTCGAGTTGACGCAAGCATTCCGCAACTTTGAGGGTGGCTCTGCAGCATGGGAGCAGGTGAGGTCACATTTCTTCAGGAAGTACGGATCTTGTTGCACTAACAGCCCGCACAGGTTGGACCGGGACATGAGCGGAAACCAGAGACGTTCACTTTGCCCACGCCCAAGCCGGAACCGCCCAAAGAGGAGGAAAAGAAGAAGTGAGGCTGGGCATGGATCGTTCGATAAGAGCGGCTGTAGCAATACTTCTGTACATACCCTATCAGACTTGTCAAATGCCGTCCCATTACCATTGCTGCACTTTGCGGTAATTTTCCAACCACAAAAGCTGACTGCATGTCTGTGAGGCTGCTTGTCTTCTGTACATTAATTATCTGCTCGCAGCTCGGCCCACTTGCCGAATTGTGGGGGCAGGAGGGTCCCGTCTTGTCACCCTTCTTTCATCAGCGCTAACAGGTTGGGTATAACAACTACATGTACGTCGGGTGTAAACCAACACACCTCACCATCCATCATCGGACATTCTCTCTCCAACAGCCATGGCAGATCGAGAGTCATTAACTGCTCGCGTCCTTCCCTTCATGACCCTTTCGGACGGCTCCGAGTCATCTCAGACAGCTCCGCCGGCACCACTCCCTCATTATTTGAATGCGGAAGGACGAGCATTGGCGCGATTTGCTGTAGAGGTTAGTTAGCCTACAACCTTTTTTTCTACGTTCTCAATTTTGGGAAGAAGAAGAAGAGCAGCTTGCTAATACAAGTCGGGTGGTTTTTTCTACTAAGTAGGGCAATGTCGTGATCACAGGAGGGGCCGGGACTCTTGGACTTTCTGCAGCGCGTAAGTATTGAGTGATTGAATCTATGTTAATCTAAGAAGAAAAAAGAAAAGGGGGAAAACACAAGATAAAAAGAAATACAAACTGAACCTTCCTCAGGAGCCCTTCTCGAACACGGTGCATCAGGCTGCTGCCTCTTCGACCTAGAATCCACGCTCCGCAGCTCTCAATCCGCAATTCTCTCTCTCGCTCAAGATTTCCCCAAACAACGCGTCTTCGGCATCGCCGTCGACGTGACGGACGCCGAAGGAGTGGAAGAAGCGGTGAAATCTGTCGTGCAAACCCTCGGCTCTCTCGATCATGTGTTGTGTTTTGCGGGAATTGTGGGCTGTCATCACGCTGCAGAAATGACGGCGGAACAGTGGCGGAAGACGTTGGATGTGAATACGACAGGTATGTCAGATTCTCAAAAAAGGAAAAAGAAAAAAGGAAAAAAAGGAAAAAAAAGGAAAAAAAAGGAAAGAAAAAAGGAAAACTCCAACTAACGAGAGTCTTATCTCCTCCCGTCTAGGCTCCTTCCTAACCGCCCAAAAAGCCCATCAACAAATGCGCTCCCAATCCCCTCCAGGCGGAACCATTACGCTCATCGGCTCCATCTCCGCGCACCGGGTCAATTTTCCACAACCCCAAGCCGCCTACAACGTCTCCAAAGCCGGCATCGTCGCTCTCGTCAAATCTCTTGCGGCCGAGTGGGCAGTGGATGGCGTGCGAGTGAATTCCATTTCTCCGGGATACCAAGATACGATTTTGAATGCGGGGGAAGGGAAGATTCGAGAGGCGAGGGCAGTGTGGAATGAGAGGAATCCGATGGGGAGGATGGGAGCGGTGGGGGAGATGGATGGGATGTGTGTGTTGTTGTGTAGTCGGGCGGGGTCGTATATGACGGGGAGTGATTATGTTATCGATGGTGAGTTTTTTTCTTTTTTTTCTCTATTTCTTTTCTTTTCTTGCGCTGTTTTTTCCCTCTCTGTCTATCTTGTTCATCTACACTTTCCCGATTCTGATCGATCTCGGGAACTATTATAGGTGGCGCTACAGTCTTTTAAGAATCTGCAGGGCACCTTACCTACGAATTAATCCTGCCACTCCTCATCCAGCTCCAAATCCCTCTGCTCCAAATTTCAGAGCAAGGCTCAATTTCTCCGCCATGATTTCCGTGCTCGGATAACGAGGCAACATCAACGTTCCAAAACACGTCGAACTCGTCGGCAGCGCCTGCAAAGTCTCGGGATACGCCCGCTTGATGATAAACGTCAGACTGCTCGCGCCACTAATCGGGATCCGTTCTGTCGCCGTCACAAACTTCAGCAAGAGCTTTTGCTTCTCTGGGGGCCATGACGCGATCACGCGCCAGAAGGCCAAAATGTATTTCTGTGTGGGCACATAGCCATCGTAGCGCACGGCAGCTTTCAGATCGTGAATGTTCAACATGTCCATGCCTTCGACGTAGGCTTGGAGGCGGGAGGGGCCCAGCAGCGACAAGGTCTGTGAATCGATGAGTGCGCTGCTGCGGAAGCCGTGGATGAAGGCTTCGAGTTGAGGCAACACCGAGTCGAAGCATAACCACTGCGAGTAGGCGTTGATGTAGTCTTCCACGTGCTCTGGTGTCACCGCTTGAGGCTCTGCTGCCGAGGTGGACATGGTCAATTTCCAACCCGGCCATGCATGCTCCATTTCCGTGATGTCAGGCATTGCACCGCACGCGCTGGACGAGAGCGAGGCGGTGTGGATGCACAGCTCGCTTCTGCCGCCCGTGAGCAGCGCGTGGCGATTTCCCACATGGAGGCACGAGAGCCTCAGCCCGTTTGCCTCCAAGGGGAATGCATATTCGAGATCTTCCACAAATTCGCCGAGGAGACTACGCAGTGATCTGGCGAGAGTCGGCCATGCATCTTCGATCATTGCGAGCGGTTGGGGAAGTTCGACGTCACAAAGGACGTGATATAACACTCTGGGTAAGCGAACGGGCAAGGTGATGCCGTTGTCTGAAGGAAAACAAGCATTAGTGCAAATCCGAGCCCATGGGAGGTGGAGTAGGTAGTGGCGATCATGCTTACAGATAGCCAGTGCGAGCAGCAGACCAAACAGTTCAAACATGTATAGGGGCTGAAGGCTGCCTGCGGTAAAGTAGCTCAACCCTGTCTGAGGATCGGTGGTGAACATTTCTAGGAGAGAAAATATATCAGCTGCAGTTTGGAGTTGGGATGCAAAGATGTGCGGCCGACGACACTTACGTGCTTCCTCGGAAAAGATGTGCTTGCAGACGATGTTGAAGAACTCCACCTGCACGCCACTGCTTCGGGGTCAGCTTCATGAGAGAATTCAAGTCAGGCTGAAAGATCAACGTACCCCAGGTCGTGCCCAATGTCGAGCTCGTCTGCACCCATCCGCACTCGTAAAGGTCGGCGAAGCTCACTTTTTCTTCGTTGCCACAGCTGGTCAAAGGTATCCTTCAGTAGATTACTACGACTGACGTACAGCAGCATGTAGTGTTCCTCTTGGTGCTGGAGTTGTGGCGGCAATTGGTCTGTGTCGCTGTTACGATCAAGGTTGTGGCGATGGCGATACTCGCCTGATTTGATGGCGCTGCCACTTGCCCGACTGTGAACATGGTCAGCATTCAAATGACTAAGTTTTGATGGTCTTGGACAGTGTTACCTCATGCGCCGCAAGTTGACGGCTCGAAAGCACGTCGTGATGGTTTCGGAAGAGAAGAGGTACTGGAAGTTGAGGATATGCTTCTTTTTCGTGTCGTCGGAGGCAGAGTTCCACATGTACCACGACGAAGCCAGGTCCATGTCGGCGAGTCGGAGACGTATGAGAGGCATCTGGAAGGCATCTCGAGATGTGATAGTCCCTAGATGTTTCCACGACTGTAGAAGCTCCAGTATCACGTGGGCGACGGAGCCTCGATCCAGAACAGGATTGCCATCCCACACCGTCGCAAACAGTCTCTTTAGCCACACGATTGTGGCGAGCGGTATATGAGACCGATCGTTTTCACGACTGCTCACGTGCGATATCAGCATGTCAATCGCACCATTGTCTCCCCCATCACCGCTTGTTCGCCCACCTGCGGCGTTCTCTGGCGGCCCCGGCCCACTGCTCATTCTCCCACCCACCACACGCAATGCGCGTTCCCACAGACGAAGGTAAGCTGGATTGTCGAGGATGTCCAGCACCTCGACCCATGCGTTCCATTTGCTGTCGCTGGGCTTACTCTCGACGGTTGATGGAACTGCAGAGCCTTTGCTAATGATTTCGCAGTTCAACATTTCCCAAATCGCTGGACGTTGGTTGGGGAGGAGATTTAGCAGCCAGTCCAGACACGAAGCAAGGGCGTTGGGGAGGTCTCTGCTGGACCAGAAATTTCTACTGCTCGGAGTCAACAGCTGGTCCAGCAGACGGTGCTTTGAAGCCAGCTCCAGCATGTCCGAAGCAGAGCCCGAGATATGAAACGACTGAACAGCCTGGGTGTCGCTCAACAACTGACTCAGTGAAGAAGGATCACGCAGGTCCGAGGGCGAGGACGAAGCAGGTCTGGGCGGTGCCGGATCAGAGGGCGAGGGCACGCAATAGCGGCATAAGTGAAGGCGAGGGCGTGGTCCTGCGCAGAGGGCCATGGCCACCGTCTTGGCGGAGCGCGCGGTGTACTTGCGGACAGCACGATCGCTGACATTGGAGTGTCCCGTGAGGCAGAGCGGCTCGGTGCAGTTGGCGTGTTGACAGCCATGGAGTAGTTGGTATTCATATCTGGAAGAACTTGTCAGTGACTGTCTTTATGTAGGTATTGGTGAATATGAATGGCGTTATTATGATCGACTCACCGGGCCACCAACTCCCGCGCCGTCAGCACGCTGCCATCCATATCTTCGTCTGAGGCCATCTGCATACTGCTGTCTCAATGTTGTTTATGTTATGTGCCTGCGTGGAAGTGGAATTACATGTACCTATTGTGACTACGACGGGGACTGCCGCGGGTTGCTGACGCGACTTGCGCGGGACCCGTCTCCAATCACAGTCGCTCTCACATTCATACCTGTCATGGTTATGATCACGATGCGAGGAGGTCAGAATGGATGTGATAGAACTGTAGAAGTAGGAGTACCTAGTAGAACAGTACGTACCTTACAGTACCTTACATGAGAACGGTACAACTCCCAGACGGAGACGTAAAGTTGTCGCTTAGTAAGCATTGTCGCCAGTCCGCCCAAATTTACTTTAGCGACCATCAAAAAAACCTTCAGCAACATGAACTGGAACTGGACCATTTACAACATCTCCCGAATTGATCCAGCACACTTCACTACAGCATGACAGAGACGAAACGTCCCCTTCCCACAAAAGTGGCCGCTATGAAGGCTCGGAAAAGGCAGAAACTGGCGCCTGTGGACAGCGATGGAAATTCGGTGCCACGCCAAAGTCGTAGTGCTGCACGCGAGTCCAAGCAAAAGGTCAATCTCGAAGCGTTAGCGTGGAAGCCGGTTTCGTTGCCGGATCGCATGGACGACTATGAAGGATTCTTTGGCCTGGAAGAAATCGACAATGTCGAGGTGACTCGAGACGGGGAAAATGGCGCCCTCTCATTCCTTTCCCAAGTGCCTGCAAACGCCCCCAAGTCCAACGGAAATCGCGAAGTTGACGAAGATGCCGAGTCCTGGTCGGGATTTGCGGATGAAGACCAGCCAGCTCTTCAGGTCCGAAAGGAATCCAAAACGGACAAGACCAAGAAGAAGGCGAAAGCCGAAGGGAAGCGCAAGCCAAAGAGCGCTCCGAATGGTGATGTGACTTCCGAAGGTGCCTTCTCGCGCCTGGTGGAAGAGAGCGAGGATACGGGCGTCGATGTGTCGCAATGGAACCCCTTGAAGCTATCGCCAGATACCATGGCATCTCTATCAAAACTTCGCTTCACCAAGCCTACGCCCATCCAGCAACACGTCATTCCAGAAGTCCTCGCAGGTCACGATGTGATTGGAAAGGCTTCAACGGGATCGGGAAAGACGTTGGCTTTTGGAATCCCGATCCTCGAGCGATTCTTAGAATCATCCCAGCAGCGAAAGAAGGGGAAAAGTGGCTCTGGTCCTTTGGCGCTGCTGTTGTCGCCAACCCGAGAATTGGCGCACCAGCTGGACAAGCATCTCACTGCACTCTTCAGCGGACTATCGACCGACAGGCCTTCCATTGCGACTCTGACTGGAGGCCTCTCCCTTCAAAAGCAGCAACGAATGCTGAAGGATGCTGATGTGGTCATTGGCACTCCGGGCCGCCTGTGGGAAGTGATTGGTGATGGGCACGGCGTTGCAGCATCGCTCAAGCACATCGATTTCTTGGTCATTGATGAGGCTGACAGACTACTCAGCGAAGGTCACTTTAAAGAGGTCGAGGAGATATTGAACGCTCTGGATCGAGACGAGGCCCAGGACGAATCGGACGAAACCGAAAATGCGACCACGCCACGTACCACGAAATCACAGGCAAGCTCACGGCCTGCGAAGCGGCAGACTCTGGTCTTCTCGGCGACCTTTGATCGCGCTCTACAAAGGAAGCTGGTCGGTAAGCTCAGCCACCGGGATAACCTGCTCAGCAATGCCCAGTCGATGGAGTATCTGCTGTCAAAGTTGAATTTCCGCGAAGAGACACCCAAATTCATCGATATGAACCCAATCAATCAGCTCGCCACTGGCCTCAAGGAGGGCCTGATCGAATGCTCGGGCACCGAGAAGGACCTCTACTTGTACGCTCTTCTGCTCCTGTATTCGACGCAACGCACGATCGTCTTCACCAACTCCATCAGCGCCGTCCGTCGCATCGCACCATTGCTGCAGAATCTCAACCTCAATGCGATTGCGCTGCATTCCGGCATGGCACAGAAAGCTCGTATGCGATCGGTGGAACGCTTCAGCGGCAAGACCGACGCAGACAAGGTGACGACACCCGCCATCCTGATTGCAACCGACGTGGCGGCACGTGGTCTCGACATTCCGAGCATTGATCTGGTCGTGCACTACCATCTACCCCGAACCGCAGATACCTATGTCCACCGATCGGGCCGCACTGCTCGCGCGGGCCAACAGGGCTCGTCCGTCCTCATCTGCGGCCCCGAGGAAGTAGCAGGTGTGCGGCGGCTGATTGCAAAAGTCCACGCCCACTCTGCTGCTGCTGCTGCTGGATCCGCGAATGAGAATGCGTCCCTGGCCACGAGACAAGGCTACTACATTCGCACACTCGACATCGATCGACGCATCGTGTCTCGTCTGAAGGATCGTCTCACCCTTGCCAAAAAACTCGCAGATACCACGATTGCCAAAGAAAAAGCCCACAAGGAGGACGATTTCCTGCGCACCGCCGCAGAAGATCTAGGGATTGATTACGACAGCGAAGAATTCGAAAAGGAGGCGCGCGGGAAACATGGTCGGGGCGCCGGACGCAAAATTAAAGAAAAAGCGGCGCGGAACATGTCCAAAGCGGAAATTGGTGCGCTGAAAGCAGAGCTGAAAATGTTGCTGCAACAGCGTGTGAATGTGGGTGTGAGTGAGAAATATCTCACGGCGGGTCGGGTGGATGTGGATGCATTGCTTCGTCAACAGGATTCGGAGGAGCAACAACAGAGCAACCAGAAGACTACGGGAGGGTTTCTGGGGAATATTTCTCAGCTGGGGTTGGAGGATTTATAATATCTGTAGGTACCTACCATACCTAAATATCAATCACGTCTTCTTCTTGTTGTGAGTGTCAATCTTCAATCCATCCATTCCACCCACAAACTCGGCAACATCATACTCATCCGGATACCTTTCCATCACACTTTTCAACGCAGCAGCCTGCTCCAGCAACTCCTCCGTCGGCTCCTTATACACATCCCTCAACAACGACCCCAACGGCGGTTTCTTCTCCTTTTCCGCCTTTCGATACGCCGTCAAAACATTCTTCCTCGTCTCCTTGCGCAACGTCTGTTCCTTTTCCTCATTCCAAATCCCCCTTCCATCCTCCATCCACTTGCGCAGGCGCGTGATGGGATTATCTCGGCGTTTCCAGTCTTCGACTTCGACGCGTGCGCGGTACGCGAATGAGTCGTCTGAGGTGCTGTGGTGGGAGACGCGATAGCTCATGGCTTCGATCAGGACGGGTCGACATTTTCCTTCTCCAGCATCTTGGAGAGCCCGTTGGCGCGCGCGTGCAGTGACTTCGCGCACGGCGAGAATGTCATTGCCGTCGACCCGGATCGTGTCAATTCCGTAGCCGACCCCCCGGGAAGCGATGCCGTCGCCGCGGTACTGTTCCAGGGTCGGAGTGCTGATGGCGTAGCCGTTGTTGCGACAGATGAATATCACGGGACAGGCTCGCGTGGCGGCGATGTTGAGTGCGGCGTGGAAATCGCCCTCGGAAGCCGCTCCTTCGCCAAAGTAGCAGGCGACCACGCGGGGCTCGTCGGTGGGGTTGAGTTGGTTTTGTAATTTGACCGCATATGCCGCTCCGGAGGCGTGAGGGAGTTGAGTCGCGAGCGGGCTGCTGATGGTGTGGATGCGGTACTTGGTGCTTCCGTAATGCACGGGCATGTTGCGAGCGAGTCCCGGGTCGTCTTTGGTGGCGAAGAGTTGCGCCATGAAGTCGTCAAAGGTGAAGCCGCGATGTTGGAAAATTCCCGTCTCGCGGTATTGCGCGAAGATGGGGTCGTCGGGATGGAGGGAACTGGCACTGCCCACGGCGATGCCCTCTTCACCCGCAGAGACCATGTAAAAGCTGATGCGACCTTGTCGCTGGGCGTCGAACATGATGAGATCCATGACGGAGACACTGACCATATCCGTGTACAGTTTGATGACTTCCTCGTCGCTGATTTGTGGCTCCAGACTGGGATCAATCACACGACCTTCTTGATCCAGAATCCGGAATGTAGGCATGGCATCGTCTTCTGTCGCTCTCGCAAAATTGAGGGCGGTCGTGAAGCGGGAATTGACCGCGCCGGGGAAGTGTACTCTATTAATCGATCAGACATGTTATTACCTCTCCGAACTGGAATTTCCGAGTGAGGATATGAACTGTCGGTCTGTTATACTCACCTGTCTGACCCGGGCCTTTGTGACACGGAACTCCATCGCTGTTGCTGCCATGATGAGCGTGCAGGCCGTCTTCCACTCGCTCGTGTCGTCGCCGCGATCTCTCTCCACAAATGCCGTTCTGCAATGCGTTTCATCCTGGTGTGGGGTTGTGATGGGCATGTTCGCGAGGCGCGAGATGTGTTGTTGATCTAGTATGTCGGCTAGAGCCGGCCTTGCAAACCCAAGTGAAGACGGACGTCGGTTGGCGGTCCGTCGGCGCCATTGGAGCGACGTTGTGAGGTACATGTGTGCATGTAACTTTATCTTTTGCAACACGTGCACACAACAGCAGCACCCCATCGACATCAACACCATGTCTGCCAACGTCGGTCGAGTGGCCAAGAGAGTGCGCTTGTCTACTCCGGTGTGTCGTGCTTGCCGGTATGGGTTCTCGTCCTCTGCGCGTCCACTGCAGCAGCAGTCCCATCGACCAGCTACTCCGCCGCCGCCACCACCACCACCGCATCAGGAGCAGCAGCGACATGACCAGACGACGCACTTTGGCTTCGAGACGGTGGCCGAGTCCATCAAGGCTTCGAAAGGTGCGTGAACAGCGAAGCCGTGTTCTCGCTACGGTACAGCAGGAAAACACGGCCACCACAGCTGACGGAACACCCCAGTCGGCGCCGTCTTCTCCTCTGTTGCGAGCAGCTACGACACCATGAACGATCTCATGTCCCTCGGCGTGCACCGCGTGTGGAAGGACAATTTCGTGCGCGGCCTCAATCCGGGGGTGCGGTACGCATCGCTGCAGAACAAGGGGCAAGGTCAGAGAATCCTCGACATTGCGGGCGGGAGTGGTGATATTGCAATACGCATGCTCGACCATGCCACCAACATCAACGACGACCACGCGACGCACGTCACCATATCCGACATCAACCCCGACATGTTGAACGAGGGCCGCAAGCGATTGTTGGCCACCCCTTATCATGCTGCTGGCCGAGTCGACTATCTGGAGGCGAATGCGGAGCAGCTCGATACGATTGAGAGTAATAGCATTGATCTATACACGGTGGCATTTGGCATCAGGAACTTTACGCACAAGGACAAGGCGCTCAAAGAGGCCTTTCGCGTGCTGAAGCCGGGCGGCGTGTTTGCATGTTTGGAATTTGCGCCCCAGCTGTCCAATCCATTGCTCAACGGGTTGTACAAGAGGTGGTCATTCAGCGCCATTCCGCTCATTGGCCAGGTGGTCGCTGCGGACAGGGACAGCTACCAGTATCTGGTCGAGAGCATTGAGCGTTTTCCCTCGCAGATGGAATGGGCCACGATGATTCAGAATGCGGGCTTCCTCATCCCGGGGCAGACGAGCGACGGCACCATCACTGAAGCAGGATGGGAGGATGTCAGTTTCGGCATAGCTGCCATTCACAAGGGCGTGAAGCCACTATAGATTGATATACTGCATATTCGTTGTAATTTGTAGAGCAGTCAGCGCTGGACGACCACACCCAAGAAAGGACACGGTGTTCGCGTCGCCAAGCTCATTCGCCGGTGAAGGAAATCATGCCATGCTGATCTGCATGTGAAATGTACAAGGTTCAGCTTCCAGGGGCTAGACTGGTATCAATCGCGCCATTCCTCTTTTTCTCGGCAACAGAATGGTATAACACACACACCTCTCAGTAGTGATGATGAAGGCATGCAGCTGAGCTAGATAAGCGCGCCGGCTGGTCGCTCTAATCATCATTATCATCATCATCATGCAAGCCTCAAGCCTCCAACTTGCAAGGTGGTCACTAGTTCGTTTCGTATGCGACATGTACCTGGCATCGGCCGAGCTGACTACCGCGCACCTAGGAGGTAAGGTAAGGTAGCTTGCCGATAAACAGCAGTATCTCGCGGCTCGCCTTTTTTTTTATAATCTATGACGAGCATGATCTTCTAAACGTGCAGGCATCGGGGAGTTCAACACCCCAGATAGCAACCTGGGGCGCCGTAAGGTAGGATTGAGGATCAGATTGTTGAATTATTGACTCGGGGAGATTCTAGGTATTACCTGTACCTGACCTGACCTACTAACCTCTGGGAGTACATGTAGTGAACCGCGGCGTTCATTTTGTATTTGTATTTGTAAACTTGTTCGCTAAGAGGAGGTATACATATCGAGTCATCATCATCATCATCATCCTCCTCATCCTCATTCCCATCCTCCTTTGTCTCGACATATTTCGTTCCCGGCATCTTTGTCCGCATACATACATACATACCTACCTATCATACACATACAGCTGTCGCAAACAAACCGCCGCTTTTCAAAAGCAAAGAGGAAGTTGTTGTTGTCAACGAACATCTTATCAACAACTTCCGCCCCGCTCCCGATCAATCCAGCTGTACCTGAATTTCCCCACTACCACACTCAATGGACTGCCCGCGGCCCAGCAAGAGACAACGCGTCTCCACGCCATTGACACCCCCTTCTCCCGTCCTCGAAAGCAAAAGTAGCAGCGCCGACGGCGGCCCATCATCATCATCATCGTCATCATCATCCCCACCACCCACCTCCTCCTCAGACCGCTTACCCAGCGTCCTCGAACGCGCAATCCACGTCCTCAAAGTCGAAGCCGACGCACTCGCACACGTCACATCCCTCTACGCAACCGACCAAATCGCCCAATCCGGCCTCTCAGCCGCCCAAGACGCCGTCCTCACCTCGCAAGAACGCGGCGGGAAACTAGTCGTGTGCGGCGTAGGAAAATCCGCCTTCATCGCGCGCAAACTGGTCGCGACGGCGAAGAGTTTGGGCATCAGTGCGAGTTTCTTGCACGCGTGCGAGGCTGTACATGGGGATTTGGGAGATGTGCGGAAGAGGGATGTGTTGTTGTTTGTGTCGTTTAGTGGTAAAACGAATGAGTTGTTGAATGTTTTGCCGCATGTGCCGCGCGAGACGCAGATTGTTGCCATGAGTGCGCAGAGACATCCGGATGATTGCTTGTTGTTGCGGGATCGGGATGATGGGATTTTGCTTCCGGCCCCTATCCATGAGAGTGAGGAAGACTCGTTTGGGGTCAAGGCGCCGACCACGTCGACGACCGTGGCCTTGGCGATTAGTGATATGCTGGCTCTCACCGTGGCAGACGCCATGCATCAAGGCAAAACGAGTGAAGTCTTTCTCCGCCATCACCCGGGAGGAAGCATCGGTGTCACGCATCGAGAAGTGGAAGCGATGAGAGCCATTGAAAACGAAGTGACCATGGTGAAACTGCCCATCAGTCCCAGCATATCTGCTGAGAGCGAGGATTGAACGGAATATGGCTGCCACGCAAAAAAAAACTATGAACCATAGTTGTTTCTCTGTACACCCAACAGATTGAGCAAATCATCTCCCCCGCCCCCGCCCCGCCCCTCTCGTCGTCGTTCCATGACTGTCTGCCGGAATTGGGGAACCTACCTACCTACTCAGAGACCGAGAGCAATCCTGCGCCAGCAATTCTCGATATCCGCACACAGTACCGTGAACGCGGGGTCTTGCAAATGATCCATCATGAATTTGTTCAGGGCCGTATCCCTGACTTGCGGATGTTGCGCAGCATACCTCTGAAGAGACACGTCTTGGTCCGACACGGCCACCTTGCCACTGTGATCGTGATTCTGCGGCACAGACGCACTTGCATTGGTATCGGGAGCTTCTTCGATCTCATGGGGGGCGTCCATCAGGCTGCTGATGCGTGGCATGCTTTTGCTTACATTGCGCGCCGCAACCGTTCGGCTGCCTTCAACGACTCGTTCCTTGGGGACCATGTTCCTTGATCCATGTCCAGCGTCGTCGAGTGACGTGAAAGTCATGCCCTCGCTTGTCGAGCGCGGCTGGCTCAGCAGCTCTTGCCCATCTAAGGTAGACCGTGCTGGTACTACTTGTGGCTCTGATTCTGCAGGCGCAGTAATGCCATGTTGCAGCGCAGACGTTGGTCTTGCCTTCAATGATTTGGGCATCGGCAGGGGTGGCAATTCCAGTGCAGAGCTTGGGCGCGAGCGGCTTGTCGTATTTGTTCCGTTATCGACAGGTCTGGCCTGCGAACGATCCCCTGTGATAGGCCGACTAGCAGGCGGCTGCGAGAGCGACGATGAAGCGGTCTCTGGTCGTCCTGGAATATCCGAAGAGGAAGGACTGACTCCATATGCACTGTTTACTGCGGCACGTTGCGTCTCGCTGCGCAAGTGTGCTGGCATTGAAATCCTGTCGTTGCCTTCAAATGCTGAAGCCATGACATGACCTGGTGCCTTCTGGGGCGCTGGAAGAGAGCTCACGGATGAGAATTGCTTATCAGTACCGGCCGTGGCAGTCTGGCCGAGCGATAAACTCGTAGACTGCAGTCCTGGAAACGGACTGCTGGCAACCGGCTGGTTGTGAGAAAGCTGTATTGGACTGTAGGTCCGAGGAGCTTGTACGCTTCCGAAACGCTCTGGTGGCGACGCTAGCGGACCGCTGGAGAATTTTGTTGTGTCGTTCTGTTGAGTGTGAGACGGAGACTGTTGACCCAGGCTTCCGAAGCTCATGCTTGGTGGCTGAAAGGGACTCTGCGCTACGCGACTATGAATGGCATTCATGGAGCTTTCTTGTGTTATGCGTGAACGAGCTTCCGTCGTTGGTGTGTCAAGCCTTACCGGGGCGGTATCAGGACGTCCCGTTCTTGGTCGTTGCTCTTGAAAGTCCAGACCTCGACGCTGGAGGATATGCACAACTTCACGACAGTGTGCTTCAGTTTGCAAACGGAGTTGAATACGCCGGGCCTGCGATCATTCAGCATCGTCTCTGTTGAGCAAAAGACCTGTTATCACGCACTCTGCCGTCCTGCAGGCGATACCTCAGGGCTAGCAAAGCCTCCTTCGTGATGCCGAAGATTGGCAAATGCTCTGTCTGAATAGTAGCGCCTCTCTGGCGGGCACTGGAACGCACATCATTGGCCATTTCGACATAGCGTGCGATATCGATTGTCTCCTTGGGCCTCCGTCAGCAATGTCAGGCAGGTCAGGAACTGTAACTATCATAAGTACTTTGTGCGTGGTCTTATCCACGATGCTGAGCGTGAGCCTTCCGTTGCTAATGTCGTCGCCTTGTACCAGGACGCATAGATTGACGGCACTGAAATGCGTCCAGTCGATGTTGCTTGACGTGGTGTCGCTGTCAGCATACGAGTACTTGAGTAGTGGTAGACACAAGTCGATGGGCGCCATAGTAGTCTCGGCCTCGATGTTGTAGCCGGAACGTCAGTGCTGTGCGGTTAGCGAGTGATCTGATTTGTAGAAAAAGACTCTTCGCGAGCCGAGCAAAGCGGTAGGTAGTTCTATATCGACCAGCGGGAAGACCAGACGTGTGTGTGTATGTGTGTGTGTGTGTAGGTGTGATGTTGAATTGAAGATGGGCGCTCTGCTGTCAACATATTTATATATATTCTTGGCGACTCGAGACGAGGCAAGCGCGATGCGGAGCACGAAGGTGGAGCTGGCAGGAACGATGGTTCGCGCTTTTGCTAGGTGGTATGTCTCTGTCTACCTTGCATGTCCATCTACCACCATCTATTCCTCCCCTCTCCATGATTGCCGCTGTTTGCTTCTGCATAACCTCACTCTCCGACACATCATGCGCCTGAATCCTGCCGACCATTCTCTATAGCTGCGCATCTTCTCCGTGTAGCGCAACCTGCACAACACCATGGCTCCCAAGCGCGGCCAGAGCATCGAACCGACGCCGGAACGAGATGAATTCATGAAGAAACTGGCCGCCTACCACGAAGCACGAGGGTAGGTTTGGTTGCTGGCGCCGCCGAAAGGAAAGGGGGAGATGTGGATGGAGAATAACAAGCTGATGCGCATTTGCCAGAACCACTCTCGAGACCGAGCCCAGGATCGGTCCACGACGCGTCGACCTATTCAACTTGTATACGCGCGTTGTCGGCGAGGGCGGCTACGATCTCTGTTCAGACACCAAGGCCAAACCGTTGATGTGGCGACGATTTGCGGAGGAGTTCATCGGCAAGAACCAGTATACCGCAGCGCAGGCATTCCAGATCAAAAACGTCTACTACAAAAACCTATGTGCATACGAGATCAGCACCCATTGGGGTCAAGAGCCGCCCCCCAAGCAGATCCTGGAGGACGTAACGGCGAAAGGAGGCAATGTGATGACGCGCACTTTGGACAACTATGAGAGGCCGAAGCCGCGAGAAGAAACGACGCTCAACGGCGAGACGAGCGATGGCAGTCCTGAGCATCGCACGCCAAAGGAGGTCAAGTCAGAGCTTGTCGAGGAGCCGGGCAGCGCGACTGGGCGCACTACGAGAGGACTGAGACAGCAGCCACCGCAGCGCGTTCTTTTCCAGCCTGATGCCAGTGCAGTTCGGCAGGCTCGTGCGCATCCACACCCGCCTGGCGCGTCGCCGACACCTGGAGCCACCGTGAACGGCGTCACTCATTCATCCTCGGCTACTAACGGCGCGTCTTCCACATTGGCATCGTATGAACCACCACAGGCATATCCCCTTTCGCTCAAGCCTGTGAATACCCCAGCCAACAACCCCGATCACTATCGCAATGAGCGGAAGCGCAAACTGGACGCGAGAGCCGGGCCCCTTGCTAAGAAGTATAAGAATATCATGCTACCAGGGACCGGATTCATTGGGCCGAACATATATGTGCGTGCGCAGCTCGCTCTGCAGAGTGGCATGCCAGAAGAGGAACAATACGCGCTCCATCATCTTGTTAAGATCAGCCATGAGCGTGGCGACAAATACCGATTCGATCAATTCCCGGGATTGGCAGAAGCACTCATCAAGAAAACCCTCCAGGTGACGAGCCTCTTCTACGACATTGATTGGGATGTCATGTACGACGAGGAGTTCTTCGCTGGTGACGACGAGACACTCAATGGTCTGGATGGGACGCCGGATATTCTGCAGAAGCTCAGATCGCGACTTCCCATCGTGTCTGAAGACACCGTGGTCGACTCTCAATTCTGCACCTCGATGAGTCGCGTCACTGAGGCCGGTCTCGTTCTCCGCAATATGAGCCTACAGGATGAAAATGCAGCTTATCTCTCACGCCTTCCGCTCGCGCAAGACCTCATCGCAGTCGTGTTAAACCTGCCTGAACATGCAAGTGTGTCGGAACTGCGGCACCACATACTTGACCTGAGCGAGCAGGTCCTCAAGTACGTAGATGTCAGCCCGTACAGTGCCGTTTATCAGGGTCTGCTACGACACACATTGGGGTGTGATCGGGGAGCAATCGCTACTGCGCTGCGATCCATCAGCAGAATAGCCATGACACATCCGTCACCCAAGCGCCTAGAGGACATTCCTGTGTCGCTGTTGCGCCGCATTGTGGACTACTTGCATCTGGAAGACGAAGAGCTTCGTTCTGCTTGCTTGGACCTTCTAGGCCAATACACGTCATTCGGAGACAATGTGGAAACACTTGTACGAGTGGCAGATGTGGAAGCCCTCGGGCGCTCGCTGAGTCGACTTGTGTTGTTTACGGCCAGAGAGTACACGGAATCACGACCACCCCGGCACCGAGAGATCGACGACAGTGTTGCCCCAGTGCCCCGACTATCAAAGGCACTCGTACATGAACTTTTGACGCTAGAAGAGCCCGAGAGATCGTCCGAATGGCTTCGAATGTGCTTCTTGTCTGATCCGAACGCAGAGATGACGCAAATATCCTTATGGCAGGCATACCAAGGAACTTTTGCGCCACATCAAGCGACGCATCCGCATCTCATTGCTGGAGACTTCATCAAGAACGTCAGCAATACTTTTCAGGGCGCCACAGCTCAGGTGGCCGGTTCCAACAAATATGTGATCAAAGGCATCAAGTCGAGAAAAGCTCCTGTCGATACCGGCATGCTTGCTGGCTCTACAGCTGCTGACAAGGACAAGGAGCTCATACGCTGTCATTGGAGGATGTCTTATCCAGTCGAAGGTGTCCGGGATGCCATTACCGGGCTTGTCTCAGCTCCAACCACTCGTGAGATTGAATGTGCCGAGTGGTTCAGAACGGGCCAGCAGATCCACGAGCACATACTAGCCAGTCATCTGCAGATTCCCAAGAAATTGAGCTCGGCAGAGGCGGACAAGATGGATGTAGACATAGTGCCTGCACGCTCGACTCCCGTATCCGTGAATGGACTTACCAACGGGGATGCAGAACACTCCTGGACAGCCTCTTTCGACTTCAGCAATACGGATCGGGCTATTTACAGATGTAAATGGTCGGATTGCACGCATACGTGCACTGCTCCTGAAAGAAGCAAAGTCTCCAGCGCATGGGTCTTTGCGAGACACATGGAGACTCATTTGCCAGAGACGGACCCGTCCAGACTGAGACATAACCTACCACCGGGCGGCGGCACAAATACAAGTGGCGATATCACGAGAATCTCGATGCTCGAAGACGAGGATGGAGATGCTGCTGGTGTTCCGCTTCGAGCAGCCTTGGTATTACGGAACCTGGCTCGGTTCATGCCAAAGGCCGTTTTGCCTATTGGTAATCGAGCAACGAAGGCTGGAAAGAAGACCCAACATGACCTCATGAGCGCTGTCTTTTCCAGCGAAGTGAACGAAAGGTTATTGTATGCGATGTCTCACGGCCATGGCATCAAAGACTACGTTGGCGCGATATTTCGAGCAGTCAAGGCGAACAGCACCTGAAATATTCCTCCCTGGCCTCACCATGGCTAGGATACACACTGTTGCAAGGTCAAACATCCTCTTACTGGCTGTTGCCTAGTCTCTTTGTGCCTTCGCCAGCCGCATGATTCGTGACCAGACACTGCGTCTGACGAGACTCCAAATGCCCTCAGCCACAGCATAGAGGAAGGTCGGGTGCCAAAGAAGAACGCACGTGCATGAGAAGCAAGCTGTAAATGCCACCCAGTATGTGGTCAAGCTATACTCCACGTGGCCGAGCGGTACGGAGAAGTAGCCTGTCATGCTGTAGCATGTCAACAGAGCACACGAACACGAAGAGGTAGTGGCAGGGCTTACAAAGATACAGGCAGGAAGAGAATCGTAGCCTTTGTCAGGAGCAACGCAGCTCTTGTAAGTCGTTCGACGTGTAGAGACTGTTGGTAGGCTACCAGGGAAAGATTCTGCCAGCCCGCATCAGCCTCATGAGTCATGTCATCTACGTGAATGTAGTCCAAAGAAGTGGGAATGAAGAAGCTACTTGCCATCGCGAGCAAACTTTCTTTCTGTTTCATATACTCCTCCACTTCCTTCAATGCATAGAGGTCTATCAAATCTCTCAATCTTCGAAACCTGACGAGTGCTGCCCAAGAGAGGCTGACTCCAGAGGTGCTCTCATCTTCTCGAAGCAAGGACTCATCATTCATTGGCGGTCTGACCGTCGCTGTGGATCCGCTGTCGTCGAATCCCGCCACTTGACTATTTTGCAGGCTTGCTAACGTGTGCTCTTGAGGTTCGAGCAATCGATCGATAATTCGTAAATACGCGTCATAATGTCTTCGTAGGACCCCGAGTTCGTTTCCAATTCGGTCAAGACGATCGACGTGCTTGAGAGTGGGTTGCTCCACCATGGATTTTCGCAAGTTGGCGAGCTCGACTCCATATCTGTTTCCTTTTCTCGTCACCATGGTGTACGAGTTTTTGAAATTTTCAAACAAGTACTGGCGCATGGTCAATCAGCATGGCAGTATGCTATTTCAGCAGAGGGGATCGACGCACATAATACAGAAGCCCGGGGGCGTCGGACCTGCGATGAGCATCTGGGGAGGAACCAAGGCGGGTGCGAATGGGCAATAATGTCAATGGGTCGAGCAGTGGCTCCTGAACTGCGCTCAGGGAGCGAAAAATGTATATCGGATTGCGGCGGGTCTCGATGAGGATTCTTTGTTGCAAAGCCGTGTATGCTCCTGCCGTGTCTGGAAAGGGGTCTTCGGTAATGGAGATGACGGTATGGTCCGTCGTAATGATTAACCACGTCCAGACTCTCGTGCAATGCGGAAGACGGGATGTTTCCAGGTGAGCTTCGACACCGCCATCTGACGTATTATCGTTGAATGTTGCTCCGTGCGTCCCATAGAGGGAATTGAAACCTGCACATACATATCTTCGACCCATGTCGATCGACGCGTAGTGCCAGATATCCGCTGCAATCTTGAAGTGGTTGCCTTCCGTCATACTGCCTCCGCTTGAGGAAGATGAATGTACCGAGAGCTCGTCTACATCGCTGCTGCCAGAGCTATTGACCTCGAGCGACGCTGCTTTTCGGCGCAAATGTGGGATCGTGTGGACGGACCTGTTTATGTTCGTTCTTGGTTCATCATGGTGAGACTGCTTAGGGTCAGAGCACATCAATGCTAGAAGGCGGGGAGAGAAGTCATAATGCTGCGCGAGCACTTCGAGCAGCTTTTTCTGCTTGGTGGGGAACCATATATTAAGCCATCGCGTTCTCAGGCATTCTGGTCTTTCGGCTTTCATCAATGCCGCGACGCCACCTGAATCGATGTCAATGCCAGTCCAAGCGGTCTCGTCGCTGAAGTCCAAAACAAAGTTCTTGGTGGCATTCGAGCGGACGGATTGGACGAGTTGTTCCAGGCTCGATGGTTCGTCCAGGCAATAGAAACTGTGTTGCACATTGATATCTTCCACGGACGCGTAATACTCCTGTGCCCTTGGGATGCCGCCACGACTGATTGTCGCCATGGCTGAGATCAGAGCATAAGAAGACCCGAGGGACATTATTCGGGCTGTATTTGAAGGTGACCATTAGTACGTGCGTTGGTCAAGTGCCCGGCTGTAGATGAAAGGTGACATTTTGTCTCGCCCTCTCTACCTCCTCTAGCATAGCATGTGATGTGCCCAGCTGGGACACTGTATCGGCGCCGGCTCGCAGCTAAAAGCTGGTGCAATGCCCTTCTGACAGTACAGGGCCTCCAGCGAGGCGAACAATCACAAATGATGTGACTCCATCGAGACGACGTGTACATGTCATGACGAGAATGAAAGAACCATCGCCTCAGTGGAGGTTGGGAGGGTGGCAGGTGGTCCAGCAAAAACGTGACCGAAGGAAGTTAGACTCATGTGGGGTATACTTACTACTCTTGGCACACAATTCTCACTCGGCCCAATTTCTACCGCCACTTTCTCTTCCTCTCTTCACGACCGACCACCATACACCGAGTTACGCGAGCCGCACCAATAATTACTCCTAGAGTACTATTGGAAGACCAAAGCAATCATGTCGAAGATTACGGTCGCTGGTGTGCGTACCAACGTGCAGGAACTGCTCAAGTACTCCAACGAGGAGAAGAAGCGCAACTTTCTCGAGACTGTTGAGCTCCAGATCGGCCTCAAGAACTATGACCCTCAGCGTGACAAGCGTTTCAGCGGCACCATCAAGCTGCCAAAGATCCCGCGCCCAAACATGAGCATCTGGTAAGAGAGGACAACGGGGACACCACAACCGGAGAAGCGCCACTGACCTGGCTGCAGCATTCTCGGTGACCAGCACGATATCGATCGTGCCAAGCATGGAGGAGTGGACGCCATGTCTGTGGAGGATCTCAAGAAGCTGAACAAGAACAAGAAGTTGATCAAGAAGCTCGCTCGCAAATACGATGCATTCATCGCTTCCGACTCCCTCATCAAGCAGATTCCTCGTCTGTTGGGACCTGGTCTCTCCAAGGGTAAGCCCGACTTCATGCTCCGTCTGTCTGGTACAGAGAATACTGACACAATCGCGCAGCCGGCAAGTTCCCTACCCCCGTCTCCCACGCTGATGACCTTTCCGGAAAGATCGCCGAAGTCCGCTCGACCATCAAGTTCCAGCTGAAGAAGGTGTTGTGCATGGGTGTCGCTGTTGGAAACGTGGACATGACCGAGGATGAGCTGATTGGCAACATCATGTTGGCCATCAACTACCTCGTGTCTCTGCTCAAGAAGGGCTGGCAAAACGTGGGCAGCTTGGTCATCAAGGCCAGCATGTCCCCACCTAAGCGTCTCTACTAGATGCATTTCCTCTGATGAGGCGATCGCAGAGCTCGCTCCACGTTTGAGTGAGCGGGAGGCTTTCTGGGCTGCTTCGAGCGCATGTCTCTATCCCCATTGATAAAATAGTGCTGCTCGCCTTGACTGGTTGAGTAGTCAATAGAGCCTCGAATCATCCAGATCTGCGAAACTTTGTCTCTTTGTCGTGAAAATTCGTGGTAAAATGCATGCTATTTGAATCGAGTACCAACTCATATGTCTCCCAGCTGGAATTACTGACAATGCTTGAGCAACGACTCTACAACCTACTTACTGCTCACGCTTGAGCCTAGCGGATCTACGACTCCCTCTCGTTTTACGGCATTCTCTACCGTCATGCCACAACAGACGTGGATGTAAGCGCAATTCAGCTTATTTGGTCCACCAATGTGCCCTGTGACTCCCCTTCTGCATGCAGACCTTTGAATGCATCAGGCGCAATGAAATGTTGTGACTACGAAGAATCTTGCATCATGCAGACATTCGTTTGATGCAGCGTTGCTCGTAGATTTGGAGAGTCAGCGGACTCAGAGTCCCTGTGGAAAAAAGGCCTTCACTGCATTTCAGCAAAGAAGATGGAAGCTCAAGGGATGCTTTCGTGCTTTGCGTCTTCCACGAAGGCCAAATCGCCTGTGCTGCCGAGAGATGCAGCGACAGCTTCCTCAATCAGGATACCCATCGCTATAAGCGCAGTCTCATCGAGGCTGCGGAAGTCATTTCGAGTTTGTCCTAGGGCTCCCGAGTCATAGAAATCGGATGCATACGCATGAATGGCTTTGAGCAAATCCGAGTCCGGCAGTCGCTGATCAGGAGGTAGGCAACGGTGCGCGAAGTAGTCATCGTTCTCTGCGAATCGAATAGGTGCATCCGCTTTGTTGTACAGGACTTGGTCCGGGGGCAGTGGATTGCCTCCTTTATCAAGCAGTAAGCCTTCGTAGCCCACCCTGCCGGCAACCGCATCATATACGGTCGCTCGTAGCTTGCCCGATCTTCCATCCAAATTCTGCGCCCCATCGTGCTGATCGGCATCATTGCTGGATGTGGGAGCTACACGAGAACGCTTAGGCCTGGGTTTGGCAGTTTCGTCCGTACTTGACTTCCTGCTTCGCCGCTTCCCACTAGGTCCATGATCACCTCTGTTTTCCCTGACAGGAAGTTCTGCCATGTGATTAACTCAAAAGAACTTCACGCCCGCACTCTCTTCCTGCCCAAAGATCTGCGCTTTGCCCCGTTTCACCAGCACGTTCAGCACCTTTCGCAGGAGGGCCTCGTCTATGTCTCTCCACTCTTTGCCTAGACTTGCTTCGCCTTCCCGCAGCTCGTAGACAGTCAAGACAGCGCCCTTTTGGCCAGTGTCTTCGACGAAGGAGTATATCAGATCGGCCCACTCGGCCGGCGTCTTCCAGTAGATGTAGCAGGTCGTGCTAGTCTCACCACGCGCGGTTGGGGGAATCCACTCTGCGGCCGGCCCGTTGGCAGGTTGGCTCATGTAGTCGAGGACAGCGCGAATATCGGCGGTCTTGAGGCTGCGTGCAATGGTCGAGTTGTGGAAGAGATCGGCCGGCGGCGATGAGAGCGACAGGCGGAAGAGACGGTGGTGCGCACAATATCCCGTGATCAGGGTGGCCCACAGCTCGAGCTGGCGTGCGCGTGTCGTCAAATTGGGCTGGAGTGTGTAGAAGGGTGGGAAGGAGGCATAGCTGGGTATGCGGAACTGGTTCTCGGTCGTGGTCGTCGTCGTCTGAGCATCCGGGGCAACAGACGTCGTCGACGCTGTAGCGGTGACTGCACTCGCACTCACTGTGAGTTCCGTCGGTGACGGTGGCTCGGACGATGCTGTGGAGCTCGTTGTCGCCATGTTGGTGGCATTGGTACCTTAACTAGGTACGTAACAACGTCGTCGGTCTATAATGCTGATGATAGGACGTCAAATCCGTTCTCCATTACAGCCGAGCCACTTGATACCCGATGAGAGTTGAGCAAAACAACGGTCGCCGCAGTGGCCGCCTCAATCTGTCTTCCAATCGAATGCATTTTCACTCTTTCTCATAGAAGTAGCTATCACCATGCATGTGTCTGTCCATACATTACGTCCTGCGCAGCGTTCTAACATGTTGAGAGAGGGTTTGAACTTTTGTAGTGGATGCTATATTGGCAACCCCGCACTCACAAACAGGTACCTACCTACCTATACTCTCCCGCCCCGTATGTCCATCTTTCCAAATCAGCTCGAGAAGATGGCCAGGCGCAGCAAAACAATACTTGCTGCAAGCAAAAGAATTTGTCGCTTCTGTGGATCGAACACAGTACCTCCAGATACCGCACAGAGTGGGACGACTGTAGTGAACTTCAGTCTGGCGCTCTCCCAAGTGAGCTAAAGCGACCTGCAACATTATGTAATCATGTGGCTAATTAATTTATGAATGTCATCCTCTTTCTGCCGATGTATGACTGGGGTATCTCTAGCTTCGGGGGACCAGAAAGTTGGCTGTTTAAATTATTCAATGAGTTATCGGGATGAACAAGCACTTTCTAGCTGTGTTGTAGCTTCATTCTGTGGATGGTCGCAATGCAAGGTAATAAGGCTAAAAGTCTGTGGCTAGCTGAAGAAAAAACCGGCTTCAAAGAGTCGTTGTCAAGTCACGAGGAATGTCATCTGCACACAAGTCACGGCTACGAATGGTCGGTGTAGAAATACTCACGAAGGGGACTCACGTAATTCGATACGCTTCCTTGATGTGCTCCCCCAATGACCTGACCAATCGGAGTGGCTGCATCTGCGATTACTTCCCCAGAACCTTAATTCCATCACTATGAGACGCGAGCTCGCTGGATTTTTCGAAGCTTCGTGAAACAACCACAACAAAACTGATTGTACTACCTCCGTACTCTTTGTTCACAAACGACGAAAAAAATGTTCCTCACTTGCATCAAGAATATAATCGTCCCAACGAAGCGAGATGGAGAACATCAACGACTCCTCGAAGCCGAACGTGGACAGCAGCCATCAGTCAACTCTGGCACTTTTACCAATGGTTTTGGCGACAAACAAGACGATGCAGAAGCTCAACCACTGGCGAGGGGTCTTGTAAGCGCCCGGGTCGTGTCCGATGCGACGATAGGCTTGTCAGATGGATTGACGGTTCCTTTCGCACTGACTGCCGGCTTGTCAGCTCTGGGCACTACCAATCTAGTCATTTACGCCGGGTATGATATGGATGCCTTCCATATGTCTTGATAATCAATGTGCTGACTAGAAGATAGCTTTGCGGAACTCGTTGCTGGTTCAATCTCGATGGGGTTGGGAGGATACCTGGGTGCGAAAAGCGAAGCAGACGCATACTTCTCAGCACTCCAACATACCAAGGAACTCGTAACAACAAATCCTGCGGCAGCCTGCGACATGGCTCGATCGACGTTCCAGAAATATGACATCAGCGAGTTGGTCCTCAATTCGCTCATCAAGGACCTTGAACGCGATTCCGATAATTTCGTGGACTTTGTCATGAAATTTCATTACCAGCTCGCGGAAGCTGACTTCACCCCGTCTAGAGCTTACGCATCTGGCTTTACGATCGCTAGCGGCTATTTCCTCGGCGGACTAGTGCCGTTGCTGCCGTACCTCTTTTTCGAGCACATTCGCGAAGCACTGTCCTGCAGTATAATCGTCATGGCTATTGCCTTGTTTGCATTTGGATGGCTGAAGACCAGTGCGGTCGGGGAACGCAGTCGATGGGTGTGTTTTCAAAATGCCACTCAGATGCTCATTCTCGGGACGGTTGCTGCTGGTGCCGCGATGGGTTGCGTAAAGGCCATTGGCGGCTAAACTCTTCATTGTGCCTTTTTGGTGCTCGAGACTTTATACTGAAGCTGGACGTCGTCCACAAGAATACCAAGCATCCAGCAATTTGTCAGGAAGAAGAGGATACTGGCTAACCAGAGGCCTGGCACGAAGGAAGAGTTACCCAGAAACTCCAAGACGAAGCCTTGCTGCAGCCAGATGGCTTGCCCAGCAATCCATAAAACCAGAGCCACCGTTCCAAGGCGAGGGTTTTTCAGCAGGGAGGAGGACGGCAGGTGAAATGGCAGGAACACCATGTACCATAGAAAGTACTTCGGCAAGATCAGCCTAACGCGCAGATTTTGGAACGAAAATAACTGACCTGGCTTGTGCACACTTTGTTGAAGGTGACAAACGCGAATGTCTGGATCAGCATCGTGCTTGCTAAATCAACTTTTGCGAGCAGCAAAGGTATCGCAAGCACGACAAGAGAGAGCTGTGGGATAAAAGCGAGTGACTCAATTCGAAACCCAGCATTTGAACCGCGCAACGAGCTCAGATGTAGTAGTGTATTGTACACCGAGAAATTGTGTCTGTGGTCGATACGCGTGATGTGATAGGTGTAGCTGTGCTCCACAAAGGGCTTGCCATATCTACCTGGTTCAGTGGCATCACCACGATTTTGTAGAAGTTGTGGACTTACATGTGATACATAATAACATTGCACGCCATGAATGCTGCGAGGCTAGACATGATCAGGAGTATACGATCTCGGTTGACGAGAGCTACGAGTTTGTGTAGAAGCAATGGCAGCCCCCGTGAGTTGGGCTTCTCCGGACACCCAAGCCACCAGAATATGCTCGCTGCGTAGATAAAGGGATAGATCTTGAAATGGACGCTGAGTCCAAGCAGACTACCTGCAAGCAGTATTCGCTTGCTCAGCGCCGCCCAGAGCATTGCCACGACGAGCACAGCCAGCAGACCTTCAGAGCTCCCACGAGTGCTGATATTAGCCACCATAGGGTTCAACAGCCAGATGCTGGCGAACTTCAGTGAACGCTCAGCTTCCAGGCCTTGCATGCGCAGGATGCGGTAGGTGAGCCAGCCAGTGACGACGTCCCCGATGGCAAATAGCGCCTTGCCGAATTCGAACCAGATGCCATGCCAAGTGGTTGGTAGTAGCAGCCATGCTAAGAGCGGTGTGTATCGGTATGTTGCGCGATCGTATGGAGAGCGCTGACGCGAGACATAGCGAGCAGCGTCAGTGAACACAAGATAGTCGATGTCGGTGTACTTGATGGCGCTGTGGGCATCTTGCCAACGTCCATACAGCAGTAATGCCGCACGGACGAGGACCGCAAGTGAGAAAATGACAGACGGCCGCCAGAAAGCACGGGAAGCGCTGCTCATGTCGTGTTGGTGGGCCGGAGTGCGCAATAGAAGGTCGTGAGTGATGTCCAATCGACTTCGGAAAGGGTGAAGAAGGGGCTTGCTTGGCTTGGAAGATGATTGATGTGCACCGGCACCGGCTCCGGCTGACGGATGCACTCCCGATGTGCCGGTGGTGGGGCGGAGGCTCTGCGAGACTGCGACCATGCGGTGGTGTTGGATCGTTGTACAGTACACTCCGTCCCCCAAAGGCATTCACTACAGCCTCCTACCTTACGCCTCACCCGACCTGGTACCTATGCCAACTCTCTCAACGGGCCTCAATGGATCGAGAGCAATGAACCATCTTCACGCCTGTCGCCACAGATAATGGCTTTAGCATTTCCCTACGCGCGATACGGATGCCCATGCAGCGACCATGCTGGCGCGCCAACGCCATCGACAGCCCTCAAGCGCAGCTCGAAGCATATAGCGGCCGAGGCGGACAGCGGCGTCCACGATGATGGCTACGGCGACGATGACAGCGACGATGAGACGTTCAATCCCCACGAGCCTCGAGCGGCCTTTTCGCTCTTTCCCCTCGATCAGCTTCTGTACTGCGACGAATGCAATGCCACACGCTGTGCACGGTGCTGCAGCGAGGAGATGATGTGCTGGTACTGCCCAAACTGCATGTTTGAGGTGCCCAGCAGTGGCGTCAAGAGTGACGGCAACAGGTAATGTGCGATGGGACTGCCGGGGCTCTCCAGCTATAATGGACGTTGATTCGTGCTGCAGATGTGCACGGCAGTGTTACGACTGTCCCTCGTGCCACGCAAATCTCGCGATCACTGTCGTTGACAGTGCCAGAAATCGCCAGGCGGGTGTGCACCTCCGACCAGCAGACAGCGCGTCGCACAGCGAGTCCTACTTCCTCCTGTGCCAGTACTGCGACTGGAGCTCACTCGACATTGGTGTACGCTTCAGCAAACCGACAAAGGTCACGGAGCAACTCAGTAGATTATGGAAGGCAAAGATCTCGAGTATTGCTGATCAAGAAGGCAAGGCAGCCGCACCACAGCCTGCTGCAGCACAGCACGACGCAACCTTTGCAAATCTCGCTCGCTTTTACAAGGAGCAAATGAACGAGTCCAGTGATCAGACCAACCCCTTCTCCAACAGCCCATACAGCTCACCTGCGAATCTGGCCCGCATTATGAGCATATACGGCGGACTATCGTACAATGCTCTCAAGAAGAGCAGAGAAAAGCCGCAACCAATGCGAGAAGCTAGGAACCAGTCAGAAGGCATCTCCACGTTTGCTCCTGGCGAACCCTCCTCCGATGATCAAATTCTGGAGGCGATGAGAACACTCGGTCTGCAGGGCACGTTGACAGCATCACAGCGCTTCGAGTCACCATACAATCATGATGCGCGACTCATTGAGCATAGTTGGCCCATGGCCACGAAGCTACGAGTTCGTAGGGGAAAGCGATGTAGAGCTTGTCGGCAGTTTCTTGTGAGACCCGAAACTAAGCCGGATCGGCTACGATACAAGATTCGCTTGATCGCGTCGCAGCATATTCCTCGGCTCCTGATCCGACCGCTACAGATGACCGGCCCTGCCCCCAACCTGTCATTCCAGCTTCGAGCCGAAAGGATGGACGATGTCAGACTTCGGGCCTATCAGACCCAGCAGTACGTCTTGACCGTACGCAACCCCATCTTTGAGACTGTCAAAATAAGCCTTGCTACTCCCGCCACCACGCCGGGTCGAGTGGCGTCTAAAGTGACCATCCTGTGCCCGTCTTTCAGCGTAGGCCCGTCGGGAGACATGTGGGACGAGGCGCTGTCTCACTCGACCACCAGCGATGGTAGCAGACAAGCCGCGATGGCGTCTTTGACGGGATCCGTCGACGCAGATCGTCAGCCCGAAGCAGGTAAGGTGTGGGAGCGAACACGCAATTCGACTTCGATCATTCTGGAGGTAGTTCCCGGTGGTATCGACCGAGCACCCAGCATTGTATCCAGCCGGGACAATGAACGAATGGAGGAGCTGGCGGAAGACGATGATGTTCTCGAAATCCCCATTTACGTCCGTGCGGAATGGGAAGCGGATCCCAGTGGACACGAAGCATTGCATCATGGTGAGAAGGCCAAGCCCAGCGAGCGTGTGGTGAAGGAGCTTGCGTACTGGTGTGTGCTCGGCATTGGGCGCATCGTGGGAGGGTGACAGTGCGAACGCCACAAGGACCGATATGCACTGCAGTGACTGCACCAGCATGTCCCGAGTCGTGCCGCTCCCGACATTCTGGAGTCGAGACGGATCGGATGACGGGAAGCACGACTCCCAGTAGCGTCATCAATAGGCGACCCAATGATAATGGCTACGTAGAGCATCGCATCACATCGCATGCGGAAACAGGCCAGTCGTCGACTGCGCAAGTCGATGAGAATCTGTGTGGTATCAGCGACGGAAGTGTTGGCGTCACTGGAGGATGTGGAGCAAGGGCAGATGTTCGGAATAGATGTTGAAGACCGGTGCTTCCGCTGCCACCACATCACTGCTACGAAATACTTGATCTGCTCTGTGATGATGAGGTCCTTGAGATTCGTGTACAGACAGCACTTGATCAATTGCTCTCTGCCAAGCTCAACGTCAGGTAAGATCAGAAGGAATCTTGGAAGCATAAGTAAGGTAAAATCCATGTAGCTCCGATGCTCTCCAGTAGCGACCAAAGCATGCCAACAAGGTCACAGACGACCGATGATTCGATATATGGCGTGTGTGGTGCCATGCAATGTGGCTGTGTAGTACCTATTTGCCATGGGCTCTGGCAGTAATACACGTACACGTAGGAGTCACTAGGAAGATGTAGTTGGTAGTTCTCTGGTGAGTGAGGCGCCCCTCGCATTTCGCAGTCCGCCGTCGCTGCCGTCGTCGTCGTCATCGTCCCGGAATTCGATATTCGATTGCCTCATCAGCCTAGACCTCCCATTAGTGCTCTTTCCGCTTCCAGTCGTCTGTAACTAGTCCTCCGTGGAGATTGACAAGCGTGAGTTGGCGTGCACGGGAGACGGCCGTGAGGTTAAGGTAGTGACTAGTGATTATCCCTCTGCCTCGGAGCCTAAAAGCAGGAGGTATGATATGGACGTGGACGCTGCCCGTGCCCGGCCTCCGTTCGCATCGTCGTTCGCGTTGGACGACCATCAGGAAGCTTGTCTGCGTCGGCATCGCTATCTACGTCTCGCTGCACCTCGTGCTTGGCTTCGGCATGCCCTCCCTGAGCTCCAAACTGCCTCCGTACAGCGGCAAATATGCCGTGGGCCTCGTGGACGTCGAGGTGCCTGTCTCGCAGCCAAGACATATCAGCGAGGCGGTGCTGAAGGAGACGGGCGAGGTCGCCTTCAATCTGACCACCGTGCTCTTTTCGCTCTACTACCCGGCCGTCCTCAACGACGCTGCCTCGTCCCCGCGCGCGCCTCGCCATCCCTGGGTCGAGAAGCCCATCTCAAGCACTGCCGAAGGCTACGCGCGCTTCGCGAAGTTCAACAACAAACTCTCCAGGAGCATCTTCGCCTTTGCCCTGTGGATGCTCGCGGGCAGCACTTCCATACCAGCCCATGTGGACGCCCCACTCCATGGCAGTGGCAGCGGCACTACCAAGACCCACCTGGACTATGAAGCCGAACATCCCTCGGACGACTACGGCCTGCCTCGCTTTCCACTCATCGTCTTTTCGCATGGTATTGCCAGTTCTCGCACCAGTTATTCCCAGTACTGTGCCGAGATGGCTTCGCGAGGTTTCATTGTCGCAGCAATCGAACATCGTGATGGCTCGGCTCCTGCTACGATGATCCACAGTAAGGCAGGTCAGAAGCTGCGTTGCCATTTCAATGCCGCCGATTTGAAACCTCGGCCAGAACTCGCCGCGTTCAAAGCTGCGCAGCTGAGTATGAGAGAAGCTGAGGTTGCAGAGACCGTGCGTGTCTTGCGTGAGATCAATAATGGGCGTGGTCGCGCCGTTTACCAGTCCAACATGCGCACAGAGGGCGTAGAATTGGCCGCATGGCGTGGCCGCATAATGTGGGATAGAATTGTGATGGGCGGACATTCATTTGGCGCCACTCTAGCTCTACAGGTCCTGAAAGAGCCTTCCGAGGCAATGCCTTTCGTCGGGGCAATTGTATTCGATCCTGGAAAGCACTCCGTAAGTACAAAGGGGTTGCTAGCCTGCCACGAGCCATACACAGCACGATTCAAAAGATGTGAGACCATGGCTGGTATGCTGACTAGTCGGTAGGGACCACTACAAGACGATATAAATGTGCCCCTTGTGATTGTCCACAGTCAAAGTTGGAGCTCCAAGGTATCCGTATTTCACGGAAGACCTCATTTTGAGGTCGTGAAAGACCTTGTCAAAAAGGTCAATGAAGATAAGAAAAAGGTGGGCACTTCAGCCTCCATTGGTGACACAGACTAACCCGAAAATTCTCTTAGTATGCGTGGTTCATGACTTGCAAAAAGAGCTCTCATGCTACTGTGACTGATGCTCCCCTCATTGAACCATTACTACTTTCCTGGAGTACGGGCTCGGCCATTGGCGCTCATGATGGTGTTCTCCAATATGTGAAGATCAGCCAACAGTTCTTGCACTACCTAAAAGACGGCCACCGTCAATCGATCCTGAGAGAAGCAATTACACACCACACTTATGATGATCCCAATCCGAGGAAGGTAGATCCCAAGATTGGGAATTTCTGGCAGATTCATATGTAAGCACAATGGAGCTGAATTGGGTGGTGGAGAAGATCAATCTTGCTGTTGTAATTGCTGACTGTTCTCTCAATCCTAGGAGCCCCAGCGTGGACTGTCCTGCCCCAGGATATTGCGGCCTCGATGATTCAGACGACGGCTGAAAATACATCGAGTACGACAGATTCACCTAACATGATCGAGATTCATCATCCAGACTAGAATTCGGGAGATGTCCAATCTTCCAGAAGTGGCTCCTAAGCCTCGCATATTATACCTTGCTTTGGCCGGAACATACGCATATCATTGGCACACAGTAGCCGTCAGATCGGAAGGATACAGAGAAAGTTACCTACAGCACCTACCTTATATGGAGCAACCAGAATTCACCACAGACAGGATTCCAGGCTTGCGGCCAGGAGAGATAGCATTGGATTACCACTGCATCGATGAAGACGACGACGAGTAGCAGCAAGCAAGCACACTTTTCACCTTGCCTTAGCTCAGCCTACCTAGGGAGTTCGTTGCTTGCGCAAGAGGAGGCTACTATATATACCTACCTTTCCCGTATACATGTTGTTTATATACCTTACCTGCCTATTTTAGGTGCAAACCAAACCTACATCGCTCTCGCTACACTGCACTCTCTTGTCCGTAGCCTAAACATCTATAAACATAATGATATCTATATATACCTATAGGACACGCAATCTTCTGCTCGATATATCAATAGATGGTATAGCGATATAGCTTGTTGAAAGTACGTGCCAGTACTAGGAGGTAGTACTATCTCCTAGGTAGACTAGACACATGAAGTGGATGTATGTGTACCTCTTCCAGGTTGGTTACACAATCTTGGACGCATCCACGTCTTTCCTGTAGAGAGCTTGAAAGCATTCGCCTGCATCTTAGTAGTAGGAGATAGGAGGTAAGGTAGGTAGGCTAAGTAGGCAAGTAGGGTAGGTAAGATAGGGACCAAATAAGATTTCTTGCCGATCTTGCCTATATTCATCGAATGTCCAATACATCATCGATCGACCCGAGTGTTGTTGTTCTTTACCTGGTATCGTGCAATCGGTAACGACCAAACATCTCCAAGGAGGAGCGACTTGCACTGCTTGCTTGCTGTCTCCTACGGCGCACTACTACTACCTACTGCAACATACCTACTACGACTCAGGTATATGTAGAGTTGTAGACAGATTCGACCATGGCAATTCTGCAATACCTCTTCTTCTGGAATCTCAAAACACCGCAGGATAACCGGTGGCATCCGCAAATCGGACAAGATCCCAATAAATATATCCACCACCACAACCTTCCCGCATTCCTGCAGCGTACAGACGCCGAGGCCACGCTGGTCGATGCCGCTCCCTTCATTGCGGGCGCAGGCGGCCTCCGACATGTCTCGCAAATTCACCACTTTGGCTTCACCGCACGTGCCTCTATTTTTCGCAATGCAAAGACCATGACTGCAATGCACAGAGCGTGCATGGTCGTGCCCTTAATATTGGTGGCGCAAGCTGCGCAAATTGAATATCGCACCTTCATCCCTCGCTGGTGTCACGAAAGAGAGCTCTACTACCGCGATGAAGCGGAAGTCAGGAAACACGTGGACGTTGGTGCCTGTATAGGGGCCGTAAGTTGGATCTTTAGACTGACGTGGAAGGTGGGTGCTCGGTACTGGGCGCCAATTGACGTTGTCATCGGTGGAGGTCTATGCGATCTGCTTCATAGAGAATATATTAAAGCGCACACCATTGAGACGCGGTAGACACACAAGTCTATCCGTCTGGAGGGGCTTCATCAATTGCCCAGAGCTACGGCTCGCTTTCGTCGGAGGAAGGAAATAGTCGGAGGTTGTACTATCTCATTGAACACAGCGGTTCCATAAACGAGCAAGGCGAAGCCCAGTACTTGCAACCATTTGACTGGAAGTTTCGTTAGCAAGCGTGTCCAGATACAAAGACTCCCCGCCACACTTGACAGGACTCACATGTTTCCCAGCCGAGTCCGAGGCTAACGAGCCAAATGAACAGCGTGCGGCATGTGTCTATCGTGGATCGTGATGTTGCAGAGATGACGCGTGTCACAGACAAGCCTGTAAACACATCAGTCCGCGGCGCGCATTTCGTGTGTTCCGAGGCTTCTTGCTTACCGAAGAAATTGAAGCCTCCGATGGAGATCATAATGAGAATCGATGTCAAGCCAATAGCTCTGTAGTGAAACACCTCGTAGAAGCCTTCCCGAGCATCAAAGTACCCGCCTCTCCCCGCGTCTGTTCTACCGACGAGGGCATGCAGTATTCCCATACCGAGCAATGTCACGAGGAATCCAAAGACGCCTTCCCAGCCTACGACCCTGATGGGGTCCATGGAATACCTCTCCATGATGGACTCTTCGACTACAAACTGGGTGGCAGTGAATATCTGAGCACATGCGATCAGGACAAAACCAATAAGTGTCTCCCTCGCGGTGTGCGCTTCGAGAGTCGATGCCGCCCCACGTATGCGGAGAGCGGTCTTGGCGAGGTCATTCTTGGATCCGGTGTCAGTAGCACCGGGTTGAGGCTGAGCGGAATGCTGCTGGTCGAGGACTCCGGCCAGCCCAACCACAGCGACACCAAGCACAACTATGAACAAGCTTGCCCATTTCCAGCCACCCAGGTGACGCTTCAAGAAGAGGACACTGAGCAGTCCAACAAACAGCACAAGAGCTCCGCGGGTCATTTGGTAGATGGACGCTGCCACAAACAATAGGCCTACGTTCATCAGAGTGGTGCCACAGATGTCGCAAATCGCTGGCGCCGCAAGGAGAACCACTTTCCAGCCCTGCAATGGGACTCGTTGTCTATGTTCAGCATCAAAGACAGGCTTTGCGATGATGTTTGTGGGATCCACGAGCGTCTGAGAAGACGTAAGTGCAGTATTGACCTCCCCATCGTCGTCGTCATCGTCGTCATTCTCGGCGTCGCTGCCGTCGTCCATCGTATCGCTCGCTCTTACAGACTCGTAGGCAACTTCGCCATTGGGCGTGGTGCCGTCGGAATTTCGCAGCAGGCGATAGAGGTAGCCCACGAAAACAACGATCCAACAACCGCTCTCCCCGACGAACATCTGCAGCGTTTGTATCACGGGCTGCTCGAACATCTTGGGGCGGTCGGTATCGCAGTCTCTCACGCACTGCATGTCCTGGTATTTGGTGAGGAGAGTGTTGCAGACTCCCGTAACAAGCATCATGGTCACTAGCAGTGGTACCATTGCACGGTTCGACATGGCGGCGGCGTCGATGATGGCGGCGATGAGGGAGTGGAGACGGGTATGGGTGTGAGTGATGTCGGTGAGGTGTCGAAGAGACGGGAGGTAAGATCAGAACAAAGCCCGTCACAGTTGGAAGTTGTAGCACACGTCTCCCAATGTTAGCATGACAAGAGCGAGGAGGAAGTGAAGGTGCTGTACGGTGTACCTAGGAGGTACGTAGGTAGCTGCGGTGTGAGCTGTGAGCTTATCTCGTGCCGGTGTCAGCTGTCCTGGAGCGCAGCGCCACCTGTCGGGTGCCACTGTAACTGTTTATTAGGTGTGGCCGTGCTGAGCTGCGCCACTCATACCGCCGCTGCACTGCGCTGCTGCAGAGCTTCCATTCTTCAGGTCTACCTGTAGGTACCTACCTTCCTCACAGCTTCCTCTTCAAAAGTCATAATAAACTCACGCTATGCACAAATGGTCCATCCATACCACACCTCTGTGGTCCTATGCACGCCGCTCCGCTGGGTGTGGGAGATGGTGCAGCGAAGTCAGTCAACTATACATGTGTCAACTACAAACTCGACGGGCGAAAAGCGACATTTTGGAATGAAAAAAAAAAAAAAAAAAAAAAAACAAAAAATTTAAAGTAGCTCATCTCATTCAAACGAGCAAAAGATGCACTGGCCTCCCCTCTGATCATGCTAAGAAGCCGTCTTGGCCTACCTTCTGTCGCCTTTCGCTCTTTTGAGACTGCCAATATCAAACTCACTATCACTCAGCACATCATTCGATCCTGCCTTCGACCCTGGTCTTCCCGATGTATTGTCCTGTGCACCAAACAGCGAGCTGTGAGGGCGGGATGGTGGAGGTGACGCTTTGGACCCTCCTTGTCCCAGCATGAAGGAGAATGAACTCTGTTCAAGAGACGGTCGGAGCCGATGAGTCTTCACACCGGTAGTGTCGGATGACTGACTGCTACTTAGGTCGTGAGTCGCACGGACTCTCAATGTGGGCGGCTCAGGTTCGTGAGTGGGATGATCCCGTAGCTCACCCTTGCCGTCACGCTCGTTATTGACTCCGCTGGCTTCCCCAGCATAACTGGAAACGTCATGCTGTGCCATGGTAGTACCCGGTACATTATTGGCATCACCTCTCCGTTTGTTGACCTGCAATGGTTGTTCAGCAAGCTGTAACGATGGTTGCTCAAGGTATACCTGAATGTATTGCACTTGAGCGATAGCGGCGCTCAATTTCTCCACATTGTTCCTGTCATGGGCGTGATCCTTGGCCTCGGCCACGGATCTTTGGTATTCCCAGAGCTCGTCCACTGCGCTCGCAAGTAACTCTGACAACTGCTTATTGCGAGTCTCGAGTTCTCTGACCCTGCCTACGCTAGACTGACGCCAGGGCGGCGGCGAAGGCGTTTGTGCCACACGAATTTCCTGTGCTTTCTTCTGAACCTCATCCACAGCATTCCGGACTCCAATCCCCAGTTTCTCTCCCTGAGCGTAAATGTTCTTAGCAGTTGTCTGAAGAAGGCCCTCGATGCGGGGTTGTCGAATAGTACGTGGAGGCGACAATCCAGTACGGCCCGAGAATGCCGTAACGTTTCTTTGCAGTGCAGGCTACCAGTCGTTAGTACAGTGCACACCTTCAAACGATGCTTCCCTGCCTATCCCTAGTGCATTGTGCTACGCCAAGCGAGTGCGCCTTCAATACCAGTAATGGAAGTCACAGAATGCCCTCTCGCAATTGGTGCGACTTACAGGCGTGGCTGGCCGATCTGACTTCAGCAGGGGTCGTCCCATGTACTTGAGCACACAGTAGCTTCCACCATCGACATGCATGTGCGCCTTCAGGTACAAAGCATCAAGTCCGAGAGTCTGGGCAGGTAAATCCTTGTCCAGCTCAGGGTACCGCAAGAGGAGGCCTAGAGCGTTATTGTAATCTGCTTCCAACAGGTGCCATCGGATGCGCAGGAGCATCGTCTGTGTAAGCAAGCATGCGATTAGCACATACCGCGAATGAGCGTGGGCAAACTAACCAGACAGATGTGATTTACTATCTCCAGAGACGCATCTTCGGCGAAGATGACATCCCACAAGGCGAGCACAGAGTCGAACTCAAATTCTCGACCTATATTGCACATGTGCAGATTAGTGGAGTGCCGCAAACGGCGCAAGGTTCGCGTGCCACATGTGCCTGCCTACCAAAGAGTAGCCGGATCCAACGAATCAAGAAGACTTGCGGCAACACATCGAGGCTTTGTAGATGAAGCATGAGCACTTTGTCCACTTGCGGTAGAAGCTCCTCGAATATGTGTCTACTCCGTGCCGTGATTGAAGCTGGACCGTCGGATAGGTACTGACGTGCTGTCAGCGTGCTGGCTGCAGCAGCGTTCGACGAACGAGTGGTGCAGTGGAACTGACGAAGGTTTTTGCGCTTTGCATGACTTGGCCAAACACGGCGAATGAATCATGCTCGATATGCTCACTATCAAAAACGGCTTTGATGATGCTGTCCTGGTGAAAGGCTTTGCTCGAGTTGTCGAGCTCTACAGCGTCGTTTTGGATTACGAACAGGACGTAGGCAGCGATCTCGTGCATGCCCTGCCTGTAGCCTATATCGGGATTGAGCTTGCAGAAGGTGAATAGGATGTCGGACAAGATGCGCTGGTTCTCGGGCTCTCGGGTGAAGTCGAGCATACAGCGCTCCACATCTTGCAAGATCTCGGCGCGCAGATCCTCATCCTTACGCAGTTGCTGCCAGGTGGAATTCTTGCATGGGTTTTAGCCCCGGTCGTGATCAGTTACAACAAGCTCCAGCAGTTAGCTGTAGGGTGCATTTATACCTCGGTGTCTTGACTCAGCGGATCGAGCCCCGCCGTCTCAGCATCACGATCCTCGACAGAGCGAAAGAAATGAGCATGTAGCGAGTTGTATGCACTCCGAGACGACGCCAGCACGCGCTGCCACTCATCGAGATCGAGGGTATCAAAGAGCAGAAAGGCCTTCCAACAAGCGGAGCGCAGGCCGCGCGTGGCGACGGACGAGTGGCCATCGGGCGAGAGGCGAACGGCATCCTTGAGCTGACGCAGAGTTTTGTACTGATGAAGTTCCTGCCAACTGGTCCTCGCATCCTCGAGACTGCGCATGATGGCGATGGTGGGTAGGCGGGCAGTCTGCTGAGCTGAGCTGATCTGGACTGGGGCTGGACTGAGCTGAGCAGAGCATGGACAGCACCGGCAGGCCCGTAGTGCGCAGCAGAAACAAGGGCACAGGCGGCAGTTGGCGGGTGGTGAAGTCTACTGGGAGTGACGACTATCGGACGGTGAGCGTGTGCATGTGCATGTGCAGAGAGAGAGTGTGAGAGAGAGGGAGGGAGATCTGCGACAGCAGACCGAACCTTGGTCCTTGGTGCAAGTGGAGGAGGGAGTTGGCACAAAACGTCCCTTTTGCTGGTGGTATAGGCCAGTGGTATGGGCAAGGGTATGTCATGCGCCTCGGGCCCACTTTCGCTCAGCGAGGACCAATCAGGAGCATGAGACCCGCACGATGCGGCGCGTGGCGCGGCGTGGCTTGGCAGAGTGTTTTGCAGCAAGTCCCAGGCAGACGGTGCAAAGGACGGAGGGTGGTCTCTTTTGATTATTTCATACTTGCACCCTGGTCCATCGACGACGACGACGTTGTGGACGACGTTGTAGGCACTTCTTCTGCTGATGGAACCTCGAATGACACCTCATCTCGCGCCCTGAGTCGCGGCCACCACGAGCACCACGACGACCAGAGATTGCAGTAGTCAGGCGCCAAGCGCCGTTTGCTACAGGAGATTACAGTCCAATACTGCCCAGTAGTGGTGAAAGACTCAGAGGACTCAGAGGAGTATACTGCATTAGTCTGTATACGGTAATGGTAGTGGCAGTGCTGTGGACGGGGAGCCCTGGTATGCACACTGGGCGCCCGCAACGCCATGAAAGTGAAGTGGAAGTCGGCATGGGAGTGATGAGACGACGTGCGAGGGCGCCCATTACTAAGGACCACCAGCAGCGTGTGACCGTATACGGACGGTATGCCCTATTATTGACTGCCACTACTACGGCCTCCTACGGCCTCCTACTCGTCAGACACCCGCACGCAATCTGCCAAAGTCAAACACAGGGAACAGGCCTGTGTCGTTGTCACCGCCGCTATGGCTGCGTGTAATGTGTGTATGTGCGTGACTTTACACCTCCAGCACTGAGCAGCAGCGTGGCAAGGCAAAGGTATAGTAGGACCTGCTGCCGCCCTGCCGATAACTTGGCCATTCACTTCACCAACCAACCCAATCCAATCCAACCCAACCACACTCTTTTATACAATTCCCCCTCCCCCCACCCAACCACACTCGTTTAAACACACTCACTTCCAACCCAACTTACCAACCACGCTCTTTTGTCCAATCCCCCACCCTCTCACTACCTAATCAACCACTCAGCTTCGGCTTCTGCTACACGATAACATGGCACCTGCAACATTGGCTGTCCCCGCGAGAAAACGCACAGTGCGAGCAGTAGGACTTCCCGGATCCGCAATACCGACTGACCGAGCCGTATGCTGACCGACACAGTGCGACCAATGCCGGCGGCGAAAGGTGAAATGCAATGGCAAGCTGGGCTGCACGGAGTGCAACAGCATTGGGTGCGTACCTACCTACCTACCTGCCTACCTCCGTGTGGGCCGGCAACATCACCATCGACTGACCCGTTCCAGACTCGAATGCTCCTATGGCTCGCAAATCAAGCAATCCCGCCGTCGCAACTATCTGATCCACCTCGAGCAAAAGGTGCAAAGATTAGAGCATGAGCTGCGCTCTGCCCGAACGACCGACGCACTCCCACATCAGCCACACAATGCTTCTAACGATCACTTGATCGCGAATGGCATCCCTGCCGGCGTGCAAGACTTCAACACCGCAGGCCTCGATGTTGGTGCCATGAACTTTTGGAACAACTCGTACAAGCCATTCGAGCAACCAAGCGGTTCCAGCGAATGGGTCGGCAGTGCACCTGCAAAGCCCTTCCTGCCTGAGCTCATCATTCCCTCGCAATGTCTCCAGTCTTCGGACTTCATCTACCGCGCGGACTCTCTATCGGTGAGCACAGGCCTTGGGCAATTGTCTCCTCCGCACTCACACTGACCATCTACTAGCCCTCAACTCCACAGACTGCCTCGTCAGCCACATGGACACCTTGTACCGGAGAAATGTTCGATTTCTGGCCCAGCGTCCCAGAGCAGAATTCCTCGCAGCCGATGGTACCTGGGCTGGCCCCAGATGCTAGTCAATGGTACCAAAATCGGTTCGACCAGCAAACGAATCCATCCGAATACCACAATGGCGGTCTGCCCTTTCACAACGGCCATCTCGCGGCATGCCCTCCCGGATACAACTGAGCGCACAGAAGAAGCCTCCCGGCGACTTCTGAAATTCTACGGCAGACATAATATATGATACAGCAACACCAAGGGCTAGACCCTGGATTAATGAACAAGTCAGGTGGTGTAGTACTGGCGTAATCATGAGCGACTTTTGTTTTCTCTCTTGCAAGTGTACATCTTTATAATGGGACGGACGGGCTTCGTGGTGATTCATGGCAGCGGCAGGCACGTTGTACTCGTGGAAAAAAAAAACTACTTATACCCTCTTTTACCATCTTACAGTATCTAGTCATATGCCAGAAGTGGCAAACAACAACAACAACACAATAAATAATTCATAATGTATCAATATGACGAAGACGATCATATAAAAAAACCCCTAAAAACAGTCTTTCTTGCAGGCATCTTCTCTCTTCTCAAACCATGCATCCTTGCAGGTGTCGAAAGAAGTGTACAACAATAGGTAGGTAGCCTCCAACCCAACCCAGCCCAGTCCCCCCCAAAAAACGTGGCTGTCTATAAGGTGCAGTATACAAGGAAAAAATCTTGGTCACAATGCAAAAAAAGTCTCGATCCTACCTTGGCACATTTACTATTAGGCAGCAAGCATCAAGCATCTATGAAAAAGGCAGAGAGAGAAAGAAGGAATCGGTACCGAAGTGTATTATAGATAGATAGGGCCGAACTATCATCGTAGTAGGAGGAGGTGGTATTAAAGTTCAGACAGTAAAATCGCCTATAGGGCTACCTATAACAACAAACAAACAAACAACCCTACCTGAGGTAAACAAATACATTAACAGAACGTGAAGTTTCAAGAGAGAGTTTTTTTATATATCTCCGAATTGAAGAAAGAAGAAACCTAGGGAAGAAACAAGAAGAAAGTGGAGAGAGTGTAGCTTTCCTTACCTCTTGGCAGGCTCAGCTGTATTGACTGTTGAATGAATGACCGATCGTTACCCAACGCCAACCGACAACCGACGATAAGGTACGAATATAATACGAACATGATCCGATCACATTGCTTGTTGCCTAAATAATAATCGCCGAGATAACGATGATGACAACAATAATCAATGATCGCTACAAATGCCCAAATCCCACAGTCTAGATCTCGCTGCCTGTTACCATGTAGTATCCAAGAAGACTACCTCACTCTCGGGTCTCGATAGGAAAAAACGGCTCACTTGAGTTCGTGACTCGTTGACTTTGAAAGCTTAACTTGCTAAATGCTAAATAGAATGTTACCTCCGATTGAAAGTGAAAGGTAGGACCCAAGAAGTCGGTACCTACTACCTACTACCTTGTATGGATTTACCTAACCTTACCTACCTACCTGATCCACCTGACCCACCCGCCTATTCTCCTTGTGATGATTAGGTATGGTTATAGTTATAATATAGTCCAGGATCTTTTTCTTTTCTTTCCCTTTCCTTTTACCTTTTCTTTTCTTTCCTTGTTTTTTGTTAGCCTTCTCTCTCTCTCTCTCTCTTTCTCTTTAAGGAAATATTGCCCAGCCCTTGGTTTATTGAAAGTATACTACCTAATACGTAGGAGTGAGGAAAGGGAGGGAAGAGGAGGGGGTGTGATGTGATGTGATTTCTATCAATGAATACATACCTTATCTGGGCATCACATGTTCTTTTTTTACTTACCTTTTTAGCTACATGCAGGTAGGAGGTAGGTAGGTAGGTAGGCATTAATTGTTATTTACTTGATGTTGGACATGTTGATTAGGCATCGGGTTGGTGGGATTGGATTGGACTGGACTGGATTGGATTTTGGATGGCACCGGTTTGATGGGGACTGGATTGGACTGGACTGGACTGGACTGGACTGGACTGGATGTGATGGGAATCATTGGATAGGACTGAATCTTGGACAGAATCTTGGACGGCACTTTGCCTTTATTGCCAACAACCAACGCCCATCTGTGTTTCACCATGAGATCGGACAAATTTGTCCATGTGACGCTGAGTTTCCGTCGTCGAGGGGACTTGTGGATCCGTCTGGCACGAGAAAACAATGTGGTGATCACGGGGAGTACATTGGTAGTATCGTGTGATGTGATAAGTAAAATGTTCGTATTTGCGCAACTCAGTTGGGTAAGTAAGATTTTAGACCATCATGCTGCTGCAGCTACATTCCCCGCAGAAGTAGTTTCTGCAGATGACAGTGTTTCTTGCGTAGGAGTAGGAGCAGGAGCAGTAGAAGTAGCATCCCGATAACCGCCTCGTTCAAAAGGACGCATGGGCAGCAGACCATATTTTTCAAACATGACTTTATCTGCATCCCACCCGACAGCATCTGTAGTCAGCATCTTTTCGCCCGTGAAAACGGCATTGGCGCCTGCGGAGAAGCAGAGAATCTGCTCGGCTTCACTCATCGTCGTGCGTCCTGCTGCGATGCGGATAATGGTGGCGGGCATGACCAGGCGTGCGGTGGCAATGGTCCTCAAAATGGCGTCAAAGGCAATACGGGTGCGGTTGGGGTCGTCGCCGAGTGGGGTCCCTTTGATCGGCACCAGTGCGTTGACGGGAAACGACTCGGGATGCGCTGGGAGAGTCGACACGGTGTACAAGAGACCAACGTGGTCTTCGGGCTTCTCTCCCAGGCCCAAGATACCTCCGGAGCAGACGTTGATGCCGGCATTTCGCACGTGCGATAGCGTCTGCAGACGCTCGTCGTAGGTTCGTGTCGTAATGACGGAGGGATAGTGCTCTCGCGATGTGTCCACGTTGTGGTTGTATGCCGTGAGGCCGGCTGACTTGAGCTCGTCGGCCTGGTTCTGATCAATCATACCGAGTGTAACGCAGACTTCCATGTCCATGGCGCGAATGCCCTCGACCATGGCTTTGACGTTCTTCAGGCTGGTCTTGCGGCCTCGCATGTCTCTCCACGCCGCTCCCATGCAGAAGCGCGTGCTCCCATTGTCCTTGGCGATGCGCGCGGCCTGGAGCACATTCTCCACCGGAGACATTTTTTCGGCCTTGAGTCCCGTGTTGTAGCGCGTCGACTGCGCACAGTACGAGCAGTCCTCGCTACAGCCACCGGTTTTGATGTTCATCAGCGTGCACATTTGCACCGCCGACGGCGAGTGGAAGCGTCTATGCAGAACACCCTATGCAGAAAAAAGAATGGCAGCTCATCAGCCCGTGCCCTCCTCCCATATTGCTGAGGCCATGCTGTTGCCATGCCATGCCATGTCATGCCAGCATCGCACCGGGAGCAGAACAGACCTACCGCCTGATGAGCCAGCTCCATGAGCGGCGTGTTGTACAGCTCCCGAATCTCATCCTTGGTCCAGTCGTGGCGGGGAGCACGAGCATTGACAGCCCGCCAGACTGCCCCTTGAGCTTCTGGCGCAGAGGGCGGAGTGGTGGAAATGGGTGCGAAGGAGTCATTCACGGGCGTACTGAATGCTCTTGTGCCTCCTACTGCAGTAGCAACAGCAGCAGCAACACCACCACCACCGCCACCACCACCAACAGCACCCGAGGCCCGCAGGCACCGCGCAGGCGCCCGCTTCGAGAGCAAAGTCAGCGACATGGATATGGATGTGATGATGAGAGTCGAAGGATATGAGCACAAAGGCTGGCTGGCTGGCTGTAGGAAACAATGTGATTGTGAGAGTTCTCACTACTGCTACTCGGAGAATAATAATGTTCACTCTCTCTCTCTTGATGAGCTACCTCCTACCTCTACCTTACCTACCTCTACCTCCCCAGCAATGCCAGGAGCCCCGCCAAAGCTAAAAAAAGGTTTACTATAGCACTAACTTAGTAAGGTACATGTGCCTGTACTGATGAAGCTTTTGAAAGGTGACGGGATGAATAGCGCCTGATACTGCAGAACAGAGTACGTAATCATCGTAGATGTTGATATTTAAAGAATTCGTTGTTTGGTTTTATAGAGATTGGTTTGTTGTTTTGGGTCCATACATGGGAAGCATGGTCAAACGTGGGGAATGAACCCGTTCGTTGCATGTGTAACAACAGTTCCAAACAGTGTGTGTAATGAAAGAGTGTGTGTGAAGAAAAATAGACCAGTCAGTTTCGGTGAATAGGTAAAGCGGTAGAATTGCGGCCGCGGCCAGGCCCAGGCCCAGGCGAGCCGGTATAGTACAGTTACAAACAGTACCAGGATTCCAACCGTTTGGTGGTGTTTCACAACATGTCGGCGCCATTCTCAAGGTACATACATGTATTCTCCGACAACAACAAATAACGAAGAAGAAAGAACGAGAACTCCAAACATGGGAAATATGCAGCTTCTGAGACAGAGGTGATTTTTGACGCTATTCATTCGTGTAGGGCTAGGTGATGTCTCATCAAAGCGTGCATACCTAAGGTAGGTACCTCAGATATGATTGTCTGCCACAGGGCTGCGCTGCAAGCCGGTAGGGAAAGGAATCGTTGCCCAAGACTTGGGACAAAATGGCCGTTTCAAGAATCTCGATGGAGACCACAGGAGGTAATGAGTGATATCTTTGGGGCGAGCAAGAAAGACTTGGCTCTGCAGACAGTCAGATACAGCTTCCATAGGAGCCTACTACCTCCTAACAACAAACATATCACACAACTCGGAGCACCATGTACTGATTTGATTCCAATTCACCATTCGTGAAAACATTATCATAAAAGTTATCGCTCAAGTGCAATTCGGACTTTTCTTGCAGTACTCTGGCTTCAAAGTCAAGCCCGCTGAACCACCATTTCCGTCTACACAATGGTCTCCAACACCTGTCAACCCCATGCTTGACATCGGGTGAGACAACCTCAACCTGCACGCTGACTGGTCACACTGTCTTTGTCCAACAAGTACTTCTCTCGAAATACAATCTCTTGACTCAATGCAGCATTGAGCAGCCAATCTGATGTGACAATACGGGCTTCGAGGCCCTGTTTTTCAGCCTCTTTTCGAAACGTCTTGCATATCTTGATCTCTGGTGCAGTCTCGCCTGATACCAAGTAGACGCAGCCATACTCATCGTCTTTGCCTTGATTCTCGCATTCCAGCCCCACTGCAGGATCATCCCGTGGACGACGTCGAGCCATCGAGACACCTGTGCGACCCTGATACAATAGCGCTGTACCGCCATTGAGAGCGACAATGTCCTTGTACGTGTCAAATCCACCCTTGACATCTTTGGTGACATAAATTGACCACCCAGCAAACAGCTGGTGGTTGTTCTGCTTCGCACGCTCCAGCGACTCGGTCAATTTGAATCCAAACCGCTTCTCTCCCTCTCGATCCTCCAGCATGGGCGGGCGTGGAATGAGCTTCTTCTCATCGAGGGCACTGTCGAGGAACGATGTATCAACCACCAGAGGAGCACCCGCTAATGCGCATACGAATTTCTTGGTGCGCAATATCTTTGGCGCGACGAGAATATCGACCTCTTTGGGGTCTTGAGTGATCAGTACCCCCATATGGCGAAGGGCCATTTTATCTTTCGACTCCTTACTGGCGTGGTCCTGCCATCGATCGTCTCCAGTTACCATCATTCTAAACTTTATGGGTGGAAGCGTAGGCGCGCTTGTGCTGGTCTTTGCCTTCTTGTTGGCCTTTGCATTGTGCGCTTGGGTTTCGCCATCGCTAAGGTCGGGATCCATGGCCGAAGCTTCATACTCGTCACTCGTTCGCTTCTTTGAGCGCCGTGCTGCTGGTGCAGGAGAGGAAACCGCATCTGCTCCTCGTCGTCCACCATAGACAACCCCACCTTTGCGCTTGCTCTCTTTCTGATACGCCTCAATGTCTGCGACTGCATCGTGTATACTCTCCATTGCTTTCATTTTCGAGGCACGGCCAGTGCTCGGAAGCATTGGTGAGTCCTTGTCATCCTTGGATGGTGCCAGAGAACGAGGAGTGGCCGTGACGTGTGACTTCTTCGTTCGGCCAGGTTTCTTCCTGGGTGGCTTCGGCCCAGCCACTTCTCCACCCCCTGGGGTCGCGTCGTCTTCAGTGTCAACGTCTTCCGTAATAGGCGCCGTATCAATATCCATGTTCTCGTGTGCAGGAGCCGCATCCACATCATCAGTACTTCCGGCTATCTTCTGGCGCGGCGCGGGCTGTTCTCGAACGAGTACTTTCCGTGGTGATTTGGGCCTGGGAAAGAATATACGCTCAACACTCTTCATATCCAAACTCGTTTGGCCAGTGACCTCGCCCAAGTTCGTACGAGTCGGAAAGTGGCTGAATCTGGGGTTAGATGGTGCTTGTATGACACACTTCGCGAAGCTCTCTTCTAGCCAGAGATGGTTGATAATCTGGATGTTCCATTCTTGAGCAGCGTCGCACTTCTCTCCCGAGCGGTGAGCAGTGATGAGATGTGTGTTATCTTGCTTCATCGTCTTGGTATACTCGGCACCACTGTATTTGATCAGGTTCTCGACGTATAACCGGGCTTCTCCGCTGTAGTTGGACAGACTGATCTTCATATTCTCAAACCCAGGAATGCCATGTCGAGGGAGTGGATAATGCAGGAGCTTGCGCAGTGGGCTCGAGTACCTGTTTCGCTGGATAACATGGTAGAGCCAAGCAAGATTCGCCACCTCCTTTCCAGCTTGTGAGGCTCGGATGTATTCCTCGCCATCACGGTAGGCACCGATATAGATATCGCATTCGTCCACATCATTGACAATCTCAGCGGCGCCAGCCTCGACGATATCAAGCAATGCGCGTTTCAGATGCTCAGATATATTCAGATCCTCAGCAAAGAATATCTTCCTGCAGGCGAGTGCCGCGAAAGCCTTGCGGGATTTCGATGGGCTCGGTGGAGGGCTCATGGGCATGCCAGTAGGCGTCGCAGAGGTGGCACCTTTCAGCTGTGGTGTAGGCGAGGGCCTCACAGGACCATTATCTCTGCGCATAATCTCTGGATTGGGAAAGAGGTATGGCCCTTCGCTAATCTTCTTGCCGAGCTTGACACAGGCATCGAACCAATGCGGCAGCACGATCTTGCAGTTCAAGCCCTGCTCAGCAACAACCTTGCACTTGTTATTGTTTGTGCTCAAGGTGATGATGTGCGTGACGAGCTTGGTCATGGCTCTGCTCGGCTGGCCCCCAAGTGCTATGACGCCGGCCTTGATGGCATCCGCGTCCCCCTCGGGCACATCTGCACAGCACAACACGACGTCGTGGAAGTACTGGCTGGGGTCGGGACTGTGCTGGCGGGGCGACGTCTGCCGGCCCTTCGCCAGACAGTCGCGCAGCCACGACGGCTTCACCACGTAGATGCCCAGGTCCAGACAGCGCGAGTACTGCGGGAAGTCGACGTGACTCGAGATTACGTGTGTCACGGTGTCGATGTCGACGATGGACTGGTCGTCGTCGTGAAGAGCACGAAAGGTCGCGCCGCCATCGTGGAGCGCGTTCAGCAGCGTGTTGACGCGCTCCTCGCTAATATCGTCGCTGGGGATGATGGTGAAAACGACGCCCTCGAACAGCGGGCCCGCCACCTCGTCGTCGGCCATCGGGTCGTGCGGCGGGGAGGTATCGGAGGTCTCGTCGGTGAAGGTGGGTGTGGCAAGCAATGCGAGGTAGAAGGCAAGGTACCTTCTGGAAGGAAGAGCGAAAGCGAGACGCGTTCGCGTTCGCGTTCGGCACCTGCCCGGCACGCACCCTGCTTACGGTATCACGTGAGAACACTTTCATGCTTATGTAATCTGGAGTCTCTTACCCCCTTTGGTTTCTACTTCTCAACCTACATGTCCTATAACTACACAATCAATGTACCTCGCCCAAGCACAACGACTTCAAGTGAATACGTCCGTGGCGAAACGCTCATTGCGGAGACTTTCGAACCACTTCTCCAATTTGGCATCGTCCTCGGCGTTCTTGTTGCCATCGGCGACAGCCTTTTCTTTTGCCAGCTTGATAAATGCCTTCTTCACGCTGTCTCCCAGTCCTCGACTGCCACAGACGTAGACTTTTGCGCCCCCTTCCCATAGTTCTGAAAGAAGCTCCTTGTCTTGCAGGATGAGACCATCGACATGCTTGTGGCCGCCAGACTGCTCTGGCGCTTGGCTAAAGCATCGATGCGCGACTACTGCTCCGATTTGCTCCCAGGAATCAATCTCATCGCGATAGAGATCATCCTTATCGGGATATCGACACCCAAAGTACAAGTGTGCTGGTGCAAGTGTCCGCCCAGACTGAATCTGTGAAGCCCTTTCTTGTATGTACCCGCGGAAGGGCGCCAAGCCGGCGCCAGCAGCTATCATAATGATTGGAGTTGTCTCGGGGCTCGATGGCAGATGAAAGGAGGCATGGGAAGGCTTCACTGCCACATGAACAATGTCTCCAGGTTTGAGTTGTGAGAGGTAATTTGACGCTACCCCAATGTGACGTCCCTGCCCTGAAGTCGAAGGCTCATCAAGAACGGCATATGTGAGTGTTGCGCGATTCTGATCGGAAAGCGGCGAAGACGAGATGGAATATTGACGGACACGCATCGAGATCAGCGACGAAATGAATGCCGATAAAGGCAGAGCTATCGTGGGAAACCGTTCTACCAGGTCGAGCAGAGAGACACGCTTCGCGGTAATCTCCGCATCAAAGTCGTCAGAAAGCTTCTTGAGCTCCTCTTTGATCGCCTCTTCGTGGCTGACCTCGATGAGCATGGTGACGTTACGCTTCGTGGCAGGCTGCGAAAGTTCGAGATATGCCGAGAACAGGTCCTGCGCCGATACAGGATGTTCCGTGGGCAGAGTCGTGTGGTCTTTGGATGTGATGGAGAGCATGGCATCCCAAGGCAGAGAAAAGCGAGCTAGGACTCGATGGACAGTTTCCGCAGGGTTCAGCGGCAGCACCGCAAGGTAGTCTCCTGCGCGATATGTCATGTCGCTGGGGAGTTGAAGCTCAATGTGTCTCTTCGGCGCTACCCCTGGTGCGGATAGCACTTTTGCAGAAACCACCCTGGCTTCTGATACATCTGATCGAAGATGGGACGCCCGCTTGCTGAAGACCTCCACCGAAAGGGATTGGCCATGAGAAGGTGAAGAAGTTTCACTGTCTGTACATGTGTATTGCTTCTGCAGTGCAGGCCATAGAGTCTCGTCCTCCCAGCCGTTGAAGTCGGAAATCATATCTCCTTTTGCAGCATCTGCCGAGCCCATCTTGCAGATACGAGTGCTCCCGGCCTTCTCGAGAAGACTGTCGATACTGGCGGGGATGCGATGAAATGACTGCCGCCAGTCGCTATGACCACATCCAAAAACCGCATATGACGTCTTGAGTTCAGTCACATTTTGAAGCCAGTTGTAGAAGTGGCCCGCGTTGTCCGTAGGTTGACCTTCGTAGCTTGCGGTGATGATCACGATCGGTTGATCTGCAGGCAAATTCTGTTTCGCAGAGTCCAGTGTGTCGACCGTGGTGGGCAAGAACCCGTGCCCTCTGGCATCAGCGGCTAAGGTATGTGCCAAAGCCTCACAGGTGCCACTGTTGCTGCCATACAGAATCGTGATCGGATGTCCACTATCTTGTGTTGTTGGGGCTGTAGGAGTTGGATGGGCCTTGGCTGTGCTGGTTTCCAGATCGCTGGACCGATTCAAGTGCTGCTCGACCTTTCTGGCGGTCCAGCCTTCGCGCAGCGTAGCCCTGATCACAAGGTCTTTGGGCTTGATTGTGAGGGTGAAGGCGGTTTGGAGGGTGTACTGGGGGTCATCGAGAGAGAAATTGAAGTATTGGAGCAGCATGGGGAGCACCAGCATCATCTCTTGCCACGCGAACGGTCTTCCGATGCAACCACGAGCACCATTCCCGAATGGCTTCCATGAGTTGGGCGGCAATTGGGCAAAGTTCTCGTCCAGCATTCGTTCCGGTCTGAACTCCTCGGCATCATCCCCATAGACCGCAGGATCTCGATGGACATTATGCAGGAGGATCACGGCAGGCTCGCCTTGAGCAAGGAAGTATTTGCCGCCAATCACCTCTCCATGCGGGCTTCTCGGTGTCAGGGTGAATGCCGGGGCCGTGGCGTGTAGCCTCGCTGTCTCTCGGAGCACAGCTGTGATGTAAGGCAATTTGTTCAAATGCTCGTATTGAATGCTGTCTTTGCCCACCACTCGATCGACCTCTTCCTGTGCTTTCCTGTAAGCATCTGGATTCTTCAGCAGGAGGTAGAAACAATATGAGAGCATGCCAGATGTTGTCTCGTGCCCGGCAACCAAAAATGTGATCATATTGTCGATGATCGACTCCGCGGGAAGCATGTTCCCTGTTTTGGGATCCTTTCCGTTGAGCATAGCATTCAGCAGGTCATTCGTAGCCTTGGGATTGTCGCGACGCTGCTGCACTAGCTCGCCACTCAATTTCCTCATATACGCGATGTCAGACCTCCACTGGGCCTCATCCGAGCTGTAGAAAGTGCGCATCCACGCTGGGCGTTTTGCTCGAACGCTCGCATACTTGAGGAATCCCACCATTGCCGCGACGAACGGATGCTCTTCTTCGGTATAGAAAGAATTGAACCGATAATTCATGCTACACAGAGCCAACGTATCCAGCGTCAGGCGCGTGAAATCTTCGGTTGCCGATATCCTATATGCACTGCCGTGGCGTGCAAATTTGAGAACCAGCTGACTGGCGATATCCTTCATATCACCAAACCTAACCGTGAGGATTGAAGGTAAGCAGATTGTTCAAGTAATGCGTCTCGAACCCTGGCTGGGAGCTCAGTGAGACATGAGATAGGTATGGAGCAACGGGGGGCGGCTTACATGTCCTTGATATTCATAGGCCCAAATGCAGGAACTAACGTTCGATGCGCAGTCTCCCAGTTCGTTTCATGGTCATGCGCGGTAAAGAGGCCGTCCGCTACACCTTCTCGTAGTTCGGCCAGTGAGGAAGAGACAAGCTTGTGGAATCTCTTCTCGTCGCACAACTCGTTCGTAAGCGCGTGGCTCGAAACAAATGCAGAATTTTGGCCAACTATGTTTAGACGGAAAATCTCGCCATATTGTTTCCCTAGATTGGCCAGGGCCATGATGGGCACATCGCCCATGACCTCAAGAACGTTGCCGATCAGAGGGTACCCTTTGGGTTGCGGTATGGGGACCGTGTCACGCAAGTCGACAGCCATCTTGTGCAACGTCTCCCAGCGGAGACGAATAAGGAGAATCCGGGTATGGCCAGCCGGTGCAGGGCTCGACGAGTGAAGAGTGGTTCGTGCGGTGGATAGGGGAGGGAGAGTAGGAGGAGGAGGAGTAGGAATAGGAAGGGGAGAAAGAAGAAGAGAAGAGAGGAAGGAGAAGTGTTTTTGGTCAGCGGCACTCCAGTCTCGCCATCGCCGCCGCCATCATTCATGGATCGGTCACCCGATGCTCACTTGCCTGCTCAAGGCTTGTGTCCGGTGTAACTTACGAGGTGGATGCGGTGGTGGGCATGGGCTCAGAATAAGGTAGTGCCCATGTCCTACTACTTACTGTATGAGGTGGCTGTGTTTGGTGGTGTATCACGGCCAGAGGTCAGCTTTGGTCTTAGCGGGCTGGGAATATCTTTATTTTTTCTTCACATGAAGCTCACATTTACAACAGTATATTATATCGAGTTCACCCGCGCCGCGATCCCCCCTCCCCCCCTGGTCCTCGTTCTCGCAAGTCGGAGGTTGTGCTCATCTTTCGCCGACCGGAATAGCCGAGCCGAGGTCGGCTGGACCAAACACCTGGCACCTCATCCCAGAGTCCTTCCGCCCACGCCGTCTTGCATACCTTATTGAGGCTTATTTTGTCTTGCATGTGACGACCATGTTGCTCTGAACCCTTGCTGTCCAGGTCAAGCCGCCTATGCCATTGACGGCACATGCTCGTGGACGATTGTCTGCTTCTGCTACGACAGACGTGCAAAAGCTCTTGAACATCGATCGTTGCCACTGCATGCTGTGCTGTCTTTTGCTCTGGATGGCACAAATTATAGCAATTCCGAGAGAGATAGTACACAGTGCCAGTATGGCAATGCTCACTCTCCGTTCCGAAATGCCGTACAAAGAGCAGGCTGAGCCTGCTTGGAGCGGCGCAGTCATTGCTTTGGTGGCGAAACGCTGGTATCGACCTCTTCGGTTGTCTTCAGCACCCGCGAGACTGAAAGAGTTACTACCTTGTTACACGGGGATGATTCCAAGATCGAGAAAACGTTGCCGCCCAGCAGGCAAGCGACGTTCTCCTGAACACAGTGGACGGCGAGTGATGATACTGGAATCATGCAGATCCGGCTGAGCCTATGCCACAAGAACTTCTTTGAAGTGGACCAACCGCACATTCCTTTACGCCATGATCCAAATTTTTCGTGAATTTCATCTGTCGTGAGTTGCTGATCAACATCCAAACTCGTCCTCTAACTCCTCGGGGCTCATGGTATCGACGTATGCCCTGCGTACGAACGTATACCATGCCTCATTTCGCTGACGATGTCGATGCTTCTTTCCCCCTTTATGGTGCTTCTTCTTGCCGTGCTTCTTCTTGCCGTGCTTCTTCTTCTCCTTCTTCTTGCCCTGATCACTAACTTCTCGGCACTCATTCTCAACGTGACCATCTTCGTCCATTTCGCTTGCGCCTTCTGCCTTGAAATCGCCTATTCTTCTCGCCAGCTCAATCATGCTAGGCACTGTGAGATCATCCAAATGGTACACCTTGTCTTCCTTGGTGTCGTAAAGTACTTCATACTTGAACTTTCTGGGCGTTGGTTTGTGATCCTTTTCGTGTGGCTTTTTACCCTTGTGCTTGCCTTCGTGCCACTTCGCAGCACTCGCACCAGTGCCGCTCAAGTCTTGCGTGAAATCGTTATTGATATATGTCAGATTAGCAAAGTACTGTTGATACCTCAGCAACGAGAATGTCTGGGGCGAATAGGCTGGGCCGGGCACTGATGATTTCGAGGGCGCCTCCGGTACTGTAAACTTGTACTTCTTATGTGCCTTCTTTTTCTTCTTCTGCTTCTTTTTTCCATCAATCGAGACTCCAGTACTGTTAAAGTCGAATGGTGCTGGAGCCGGTATAGTGCTCTGGTCGAAGTTGTGGTGCTCGAGGCCTGTAATATTGTATTCGAACACACGCATCGTTGGAAACAAATTCGGTACTACACTGGCGCTTACAAAACTGGCAGAGAAGCGTTCAGCATATTTGCCACCAATCTTCTTCAAATACTTTTTCTGCTTCTTCTTGAAGTCCTTCTGCTTGCCGAACGCCATAACGAGCCAGTTGTGAGCTTTGGCTTGAGGGGGCGAGGGTAACTTTGACCACTCATCCCGTAGCTGCAAGAAGTAGTCCGGCTTCACTTGTGCGGAAACGTCATCGTCTTCTTGAAGTGCCTGTAAAGACTGCATTTGCCCTTTCTTTGTACCCTTCTTGAGGTCTTTAAAGTCTTGAAACATGAAGTGATCATAATTGAAGTGGCCAAAATGACTGCTGACGATTACGTCTCTGAATTGTCGAGTCCACAACGTATACTTCTGCCAGCATGTTTCGTCCCATAACGTTTTGGCCTCTTGACGAACAGGTGGAACATGCCCAACCATCATCGCCTTCATGCCTCGATCGCGCATGAACTGCAGTTGTACGCGAAGCCATTCCATTTGTTGGTACCCCGGTTCGCCGTGAAGTGCGCAACCGTCTGCTGCCGCGTTGCTGCCGAAGAAATACATCGTGTTTAAGCTGAAGACCGCGAGCTTTCCGGGAATCACTTCCACATAGAACCAGCCTCCTTGCTCGAATGAGTGTGACTGTACTTGTGGGATGAATTGCCTCCATAGCCCTGCGTACGCCCTTGTCCACTTATTTGGTCCCTTGGCTAGAATGTTGTGCGGGAGAATGTCGTTGTTTCCCAGGTTGGGCACAATAGGAATAATGAAGTCGTTATTGGGGTCTTCGTCCTCCTCGTCGCCATCGTGCTTACCAAATACTTCAGCCATCTTCTGAACCATGAACTTGTTAAGTCCAAGCACTTGCTCCGATGTGCGCGGCAGGTCGTCATCGTTGTCGTGTCGCGCAGAGTCACCGGTCCATATCACAAAATCCACCTTGTCCTTGAACTCTTTTGCGACAAAGTCCATGGTCTTGTTGATCAGAGCGATCGGACTGTCACACTCGCTGGTCTCGGCGCCATATATGCCTGCCGGACCCTGCCCTCGGTGACATGCCGCCTCTTCAGACGTCGACGTGTAGACCTCATAAAACCGATCCGGGTGGAAGTCTGCCGGAGTCAGTCCCACTCGCTAGATTCGGCTGCATATGGCTGCATACGATTGGTACAACTCACCAGTGATGTGCAGAAACCGACCATGGAGTGGCCGTTTCTTTCCTATCTGAGCATCTCCCAGAGGCTCTTTGAAAGACTCGCTCAGAGGCACCTGAGCTGGAGGCGCGGCCGCTGTCTGCACCGCCAGCAGCACATGAGCGAACAGGCCAGCGCAGACCCGCATCGTGGGCAGTTGTCCTAATCACGCCTCCGTCTCGTAGATATCATGCATGCTCTTTCAACAACACTGCCTCTCGCCCATATACGCAGCCCCTCCGTGCAATCCAAGGCCCACCCACCAGTCCTCCAGCACTCTCTCCGCGTTGTCCGGTACCTAAAGTAGGTAGTTCAGGCGTCTGTCGGCGATACGTCACTTCGGGGTGACTCTGGCGCAGGTACACAGTCGAGGCTGCAGGGATGAGGTCTAGCACCGGAAAAGAACAGAGCAGCTCAGAGAATGGTTAATGAGGTATGTGGTAGTTCTACCACCACTCCAGCTTCTTGATATAAGACCAGCGGAGGCAGCCTAGCTCAGCGGCCTTTGCGGTGCACGCGACACATACTGCCAGCTCCCGAGTCCCTACCGCAACACATCTTCCACGCAGCCATCGTCTGCTGTTAATTTTGGGCCAATCAGATGCCGCTCTCTGGCACGAGGCGGATTCAAGAGCCGTCGTCCAAAGTAAGGCGTGACCTTCGCCGGCAGCATTAGCTGTTTCCCACGGCTCGACATGTCAATAAGCCGCGCCTTCAAAGCATACAGCGCCTCAGTGGTAGCAACAGCAATCACAGGTGCAGATCACAAGGCCTTGCCTACGCAGAGAGCGTGACGATCGACACGACGGTGCGGTGCAAGCTCAGATGGAACCAGCCTCTCTCGCGGCTGGACGACGTCGTCTTTGAAGACGATGTGCCCGCAAACTGGTTCATGCGTGGCGGTTCACGGGGGTTGTCGTGTGGCGTTATGGGCGTTATGGGCGTTTGTCAAGAGTTGTGAGATGATACGGGGTGGTAGGTAATAGATCTGGCGGTAAGGCCCTCAATAGAAGGTCCGACCGCCATTTCGCTACCAAATCGTCTTCTACCGACGCCACAGTCAGCAATGCAGTTGCGTCGCAGCTTGCTGCTTGCCTGATAAGACTTCTAATTATACAGGTACCAGCATGATTTCTGAATCAGTCTCGGGTCAGTAATAAATTAGGTGGTAGAACTACGAGCATCCACGCAACGGGCCGTTGCTGTGATGCTAGCTTTCTAGGACGAAGATCTTTCCCAAGTGTTATTAATTAAAAAGGGTCTCTGCTCGGATTCAACAGAGCTGCCTTATTCAATGTAGTCGATATCAAAAAGTGAATCTGCGACGGTCGACCGATGTATGACCAGCAAGCCGAGTCGTACCATTCAAGGCAAAAGGCGCTCTCGCTTCGGACTCGCCTGTTCAGGACTGCAAATGCTGCACGGCAATGTGGCTCCTTCGTCACCTCGTGGTCTACAGATCAGCTGTCACACTCTACGAGTCTACTCGAGTCCCGATGCAGCTTGTTAGAACTTCTTTTCGAGATCATCAAGCCCATTTCGCAGCCCCGGGATGCTTAGCTGAGGTTCGAGACAAGCGGTAGGGATGGCACAGACTGGTATCGTTGGCCCAATCTATTCTCGCGTTGTTATTGTTGCTGTTCCACGGCTGCTTTGTGCGGCTCTAGATAGGGCATTATGATTACGTTGTACGCCTAAGGTAGCCCTAGCGCCGCAAGCATCGCGTTGGTTATAGCCAGTGTCAGCAGGTTCCTTTCGTGGCAGAGCAGCGGCTGAAGACTGGCGAGCTTCTGCGGCCCCATTCGCAGATGCGTTGCAGATGGATGGACGCAGGTGGTTGCGCAAAACTCTGCCGAGAGCACAACCTCGAGGATCGTGCCAGTCGTTCCCGAATGCTGACCTGCTCCTGGTCGGAAAATGAGTCTACAAATACTTCATGTACAATAATAGGTGGGGTCGGTAATTGAGGATGAATTCCCTTATTCCCTACAGACTACCTCTATCTCACAGGACATGCGTGCTTGGGGGATCGTGCTTAAATCATCAGCGGCTCCTCATCACGATACACATGGCGGCGACCGCTCGCGTGTAGAGGTGGGACACATATACAGCGTTGTCCTGCACTGCTGGCTACAGGTACCTTTACTGCGGTAGACATGTCCGCTCGCCCACATTTGTCATGTCCATGCTGTTCGCAGAAGTACTCGGACTAGCGACGGCGGACGGCCGCAAACCGCCCCGACGACCAAAGATGGAGGGTCACGAGAGCGGGAATGACATCGTGGTGCAGCAGCAGTTCGAACCGCATTTGCTGTGCGACGGCTCCAGAGTGGGATACACGGCCGGCGAAGCTCACAACACCACCATCACCACCACCACCACCATCACCCCTCAAAATAACCGCATCCCGTCTATCTGGACTGCTTCATGGCGACTGAAGAAGGACGATGAGAGTGCAGGTTGGAGAGTGGACGCAGCGAGCATGGAGAAAATACACGGTGTGGACGTGAGCTCGTTTGCCTCGTACAAAAGTCCCAAAGGTGAGTGAGTGAATTCGTGCGTGCGTGCATAATCATGATCCTGCGCGGTCGCTGTGAGGACAGAAAGTGACTAAACCGACGGCGACACTCTACAGCACCTCGCGATGTCAAGACCAGCGGCCCCGCACACCTCCCGCTCGATGAGAAGCTGAAACCCCAGACCTCGCCGTACCTTCCCGGCGAGGTCGAGGTCGCTCCTGCCACGCCAGCGGAGTCTGTCCGAGACTCTACTGCGCACGCGACCATCCCGACGTCGCCTCCCGCCACCTCGTCCTCGACCCCGCCGTCAGCCACGCCTCCGCCCACTGGCGGCAGCAGGTCGAGCAACAAACGGCCTGGTCTGCTCAGCCGCGCCAGTTCCGAGAAATTGAACAGCGATGGAAGGACGATGCCCCGCCGGACGTCTTGGTTAAACAAGATCAGCAGCAATTTCTCGTCCTCGCCCAGCGCCTCTGCCGGCGCGGTGCCGCCTGTGTCCGCGGCTGCAGCGACTGCAGCTGCTGCAAATGGAGCCACCCCAGTGTTCTCGAGCGGCGCAGGGACTGCTGCGCCTGCGAGTGCGGAAAAAGCAGAACCACATATTCCCCTTCGGCCGAAAGAGTCGTCCAATTTCTTCTCCAACCTCACGCGCAAACTTTCGGCTGGACAGGGCGCTGCGGTGCCCCGCGTGCAGGGCAAGGGCGGCATGTGCCAGCGGCGCATCCTCAATGTAGACCCCAACCGCGAAAGATGTCTGATGCCGGAGATGGATGCTAGCCGGCTGCGCAAAGTATCTTTTTGTGTGGATGTGGAGATCGCGGGAGGACCCAAGTACAGAGATGACGAAGACGATGACGACGATGATGAGCGCAAGCAAAAGAAGAAGGACGTCAAGTTGAAAGAACGTGCAGAGGGAGAAGCGCTCAAGCATCCTCAAGCGATCAAGCAAGATGCCGAGGACAAGGCAAACTCTGAGCTCGGGGACAAGAGCAAGCCTCTGCCGATTTCCCATCAGCATGGCAACGATGCAGCTAGCATGCTGTCTGGTGGCAGTGCCAGTCCTCCCGTGGGCAGCATTGACGAAAAAGATGCTATGAGCAGGAAAAAGGAAAAGAAGAAGAGGTCGGAAGAGGAGCGTAAGGAACGCAAGGAGAAGAGGCGTCGACGGGCAGAGGAGAATGGATCCATACCTGTAGAGCTATCGATGGACACTGATTTGTCCTCCTCGCCGCCAGATCGCGCGCCTCTACCGACTGTAGCCCCCGCCCCTCCCATTGACGCTACGAAACGGGACAGACCTACGACGGATCCCGTTCGCATTTACAGACGGTGCTGCCAGCTTCGAGAAACCCCGATCCTGAAGCGTATCACGGAACAATTGATGTCCCCAACATGCTGCGTGCCGCTGGAGCCTGGTCTTGTGCACTGTCTCGACCTTACCGGCTCACGCCTACAACTCGCCGATATGATCACGCTCGGCGACTGGCTTGCGGTTGTCCCTGTCAAGAAGCTGCTGCTGGAAGATGCCGACCTTAATGACGAAGGCCTTCGTTGCATCCTTGCAGGGCTCCTCGCAGCAACGAGGCCACAGCCTACCAGACGGAGAAGTCCAACACCAAAACACAGGCAAGGCGTGCAAGTGCGCCATCAAGAGGAGCGAAGTGGCATCATAGAGAAGCTCACCCTCAAGAACAACCCGCGTATCACACAAATCGGCTGGAAACACATCAGTCTCTTTCTGTACATGTGCAAGTCTATCAAGGCAATAGATCTCTCTATGATGCAATTCCCTGCCACAATCCCATCGAGTGCACATGGAACTCCCCTGAAACCCCTGCAGAATGGATCCAAGGATTCTGGAGCTGATGCAGACGCTGGCGAGATGATGCTCAAGTGCCTAAGTCAACGATTGGGTGGCGACAGACTTGAAGAGCTCATTATGTCGGAATGCGGTTTGAGTGCACCACAGATCAGAAAGATTGTAGACGGTGCGATCATTTGCGGCATCAATAGACTGGGGTTTGCAGGCAATAATCTCGACGACGAGGGACTGGAGCACACTCTACATTGGCTGAGATCTGGGGTATGCGGCGGTCTCGACCTCGGTGGCAATGACCTTCGAGATAAACTTCACCTAATTGCAGATGCGCTCAGCGCCAGAGATGGCACGCCTTGCTGGGGCTTGAGCTTCGCAGGCTGCAATCTTGACACGGCATCGGTCAAAGTGCTGTTCCCAGCACTAATCAAGCTACCTAGCTTTAGATTCATTGACCTGAGTCACAACCCTGATCTTTGTGGACAAGACAATGGGACAATCTCTCTGCTCAGGCGATACATTGGCCAGCTGCAGTACATGAAGCGCATCCACCTCGCAGATGTGGGTATGAGCTCCAAGCAGGCCATTGCCCTTGCAGATGTCTTGCCCGAGGGGCCGCAACTTGCTCACATCAACATCTTGGAAAATCCTCAGCTGTCGGCTTTAGCAAGTGCCAGAGACGAGGCCAGCCAAGAGGAGGCATGCGCCTTGTATGCGAGCTACATGGCCGCAGTTCGCGTGTCTAACACGCTGATTTGCATTGACATTGATGTAAGTCGTAACGTGGACCTGTTTGAACGTAACCATGCTCACTTGTACTAGGTACCTTCTGCAGATAACAGTGAGGTTGTCAAAGCTCTGGCGAAGCAGGTAGTTGCTTATTCCCTGCGCAATATGGAGCGTTTTGCGATTGCAGAGGCTACTGGAACTCACACGCTGGACACTGCAGATGCAGCCGCGTCTCTAGCATTGCCTCACGGCGGCGAAAGGCAAGTTAAAGAGATCACAGTGCCTGATGTGCTGATGCACCTCATTGGTCATGTTGAGGGCAACTCGGAAAACCATGACGATGACGCTCCCGGTCCCGATGGAGATTATATTGTTGGTGGCGCTGGTGTTGTCAGGGCTCTGCAATATGTTCTTGGTGAGAAAGCCGACGACATTCGACGCAGCAGCATACCAGACTCTCTTTCTGGTTCCAGGACTCCAAGTCAGCAGCCTGGTTCATCCAACGGCCTTCTTGGAGGAGAGGAGGAGCAGCGTGGCAAGGCGAAGAAGATGAGCAAGAATCTTCTAGACAGCGCTCGTAAGATCCGTGCTCGCCTCTCGCCGGCATTGGCCAAGGAGGCTGCCAATGGTGATGAAATGGCGTACAGACGGCTCGCTTTCCTGGATCAGACTTTGCAGAGCATGATCCAAAGATTCGAGGAAGAATACCCAGAGACACGAATCACGCCGCCCTCGCCAGCGGCGACGTCAACGACTTCGTCCAATGATGCACCAGTTGTGCCCCTGATCAAGGCCAGTGAGGCGAATGGCAAACTGACCGATGACGAAGATGAGCTCGACGAAGATGAGTTCGCGGCTTTCCGACCACGTGTTTCTCGGCACAATAGCGATGTTTCGCTGGCCGCGCGTGCTCTGGGCATGGAAGAGGGCCATCTGCATCGCCTCGGGCAGCGTATGCGTCGTTCGGTGGTCGATTCACCTGCCACGCCGGCCGCGCTCGACGAGGGGACTCCTCTTTGGAGCAAAGAGGAAGAGGAGGCTCGTCTCCGAGGTCTCCAGGGCAAGCTAGAAGCCATCAGCGGGCCCGAATTGAAATGTTTAGTTGAGCATGATGGATGGGATTCTGCCCTTCGCAAAGTAGGCGCCAATATGGTAAGACGGGACACATCACTCACATGCAGTCATTGGAGACAGCAGCTAACTTGTGTTTGTTCATTTCTAGTCTGATTTGCGTTGGCTACAAGAGCTAGATCCCCGGGCATGGGAAGAATTTAAAGAGTCGCAGATGAAGGCCAGGATGAATCTAGCACAAGACGCCAGGACGTAATGACACTGCATGTGTGCAGTAGAGGAAATTTCATGACACGTTCCAGAACGTGCGCAGATGCTCAGCACTGGCTGGCACCCAGCAAAAAGACGAGCTCCAAAGATTCCGAGCATCAGGGTTCACGATTTTGTCCGACGCGTGCGTTAGCATCAACACGCTCGAATTGTCGGGGTACGCCAAACGATGATTGTGATCATTGAAGGTTTGCATCGTTTTTCGCATTTCGTAGCACTATGCTAATGTGCCAATCATAACGCCGTGCATGTCCTGTCGCATGAATGCGCTAACCCATGACAATGCACACCTCCAGCAGATGGGAACAAGCTCGAACCACAGAGCATTTACAGCTCCTGGGCAAGGGTCTTGATCTTCTCCTGCACGCGTTGGCGACGCTCCTCGTGTGTGAGCTTCTTGAGCTTGTACTTTTGTGACTCGGCCTTCCACTCCTCCTTGGTCTTCTTCTCGCCCGCATCCTCGTCTTTCTTCCATGGGTCCTCACGAATGGCCTTGTGAGCTTCCTGGTACAGCTCCTCGAGACCATCCGCCTCAATCTCGTCATCAATGTAGCCAGAGAACTGCGACTTGTAGCGCTCCTCATCGTCGTCGGCAAGAGTCTCCATGTACTCGGCAACGTGACCAGCGAAGATGTACTTGCGCAGAGTCTCCGCGTCCAGCTCCTTAGTCTCAATGTCGTAACCTGGGAAACGCTTCTCAGAGTGAGGAACGTAGAGACCGCCGTCAGAGGCACCCTTCATGGCGCCAAAGACACGAGCACCGGTGCTGGTGCGGGTGAGACCGACGTCGAGGAAGACCTTGAATGGGCGGCGGGTCTCGCCATCAACCTCCTCTGGCTGGGTTTCGGTGAACTCGCCATCAGCCTCCTCAACGCCGGTGAAGGTGTCCTCGAGCTCGAGCTTGTTGAGGGCGCGACGGGCGATGAGCAGACCGACACAGTAGGCAGCGGCCCAGTTGGTGAGACCGTGGGTGACGCCGTAGCGCTTCAGCTCGTGGCCGTAGGCAGCGACAAAGACCTTGTCGCCGGTGAGCTCAGAGGTGACGATCTGGGCGATGATGTCCCGGTTGGTGAAGCGGACGACCAGGCGGTACTTTGGCGCATTGTACTTGTTCTTGGCCTGGGTGATGAGGCGCTTGCGAGCGTAGTAGTCGGTCTTACCAGATCGGCGACGCTTGTACTTGACCTGGTATCGGCTGATGGGGGCAGGCGCAGTGTCAGTGAGGAGTTACCTTGCCCGCGAGCGGTTGTGGGAGCAGAGGAGGAAGGGGGGAAATGCGGAAGCAAAGACGACTCACCTGAAGTAGGCGCTGTTCTTGACCAACTTGGTCTGTAGATTCAATCCTCAGTCAGCAATTGACGCTTCAGACCCCATTCCGAAGCAACTTGCGGCGACCTCTCCTCTGTTCAATGGCGGCGGCGGCGGTGGTGATGGTGGTGGTGGTGGTGGTGGAGCTGGTCGCTCTGCTGCAAAGGGCACACATGGGGCATACTCACGAAAGGCATCGTGTCGGTGGGTGGAGGGGATGCTGTCGACGAGCGTGCAGGAGAGGGCGAGAAAGCGGTGCTCGAAATTTGTAGATTTGAGGTGGGTGTGCGTGTTTGGCGGCTGCTCCCGTCCGCCAGCCCATTCGCTCCGCTATACTTGGCGATGGGTGTCCGAGCCGCCTCCGCTTTCCATTCATCAGGTTGAATCTTTGAGAGTCTGAGCCTAAGGTGTCAAGTTCAATGTCTCATCATCATCATCATCCTGCTCTGCTCTGCTCTGCTGTACTCGTCCTTCATCCTGAACACTTGTGACTTTGGTGTCGAACATGTCTTACACCCGACGTGGTTCATCCCACACCCCTTCTTCCCCGCCCTGCCCTGCCCTGCGCACCCGTCGCCCTCGAAGCCTTTCATTCTCATGGCGCACGAGGCCACGCGCTGCCACGCCCATGCCATCTGTATCTTCTTCCTCTGCCGCTTGATCTCCTGAATATACTGCTCCCTCTTCATCTCCCTCACCATTTCCATCTCCCTCTCCCTCTCCTTTCCCCTCTCCTTTCCCCTCTCCTTCCCCCTCTCCCTGTTCCGCTCCCTCTCCTGTTGTGCCCATGGCCAGAGCCGACTCGTCTGCCAAGGTTGGTCTCCCTCGTCCAACGATCAGGCTTTCGTGATCTATCAGTTGGCCCGTACTCATTGTCCTGGGCTAGGCTCTTGTCAAGGCAGCTATCAGAAGTCGATGCCACCTGATCGCACAGCGATACCCCGATCAGAACCTGGACCGTCTACAGCAAGTAGTCTCATCTTGCTGATCATGCATGAGCGTTGCTGACCTCCAAGGACAGTGGGAGTAACGGTAAATGGCTAGTCCTGTGCGAGGAATTATTTGAAGAAGTGTGCTGTGAATTTACCATCCGCAAGCTGGACCTTACGCCCGGTGAGATACGAGCGATCTTTGATGCCGAATGGGTCTCCCAAGTCACCTACGGTACGTGTGGGGATACTCTGCCTGCCGCTACAAGATGTACAGTCCTCATCGCCATCCAGAACTTGTTACAAAACCAGCTCGCCCAAGACGACGGAACGCACAGCGAGCTGCGCATCAATTCGGATCATGCTCACCAGACCTGATTGAACAAGCTGGCACTCCCATCCCGGGAGGTGCTGCGCCGAGCATTTCGACATCACTGCAGTCGACGACATCATCGACGGCTCCTGCGACCAACTCGAATACAATGTGTGCTGTTCTCGAGAACGTACAGGTTCGGAACTCTGGAAGCCCTGTAGAGACAATGTCGTCAGCCCACGTATCAAATGCACGTGGGAGTCGGGCGCCTACCTGGTTCAGAACGGTGCTGAATTAAGGGAGCCGTGGTCTGCTTCTGCAATAAGGATCAAGCACTTATCGGGCTGTCTGTACCACAATATCACGACAACGGCGTCTCTATTCCGTGGCCTGGTTCCCATATGGTGACGACGTGGAATTACTCTTTGCTAAGCACTGGCCAAAGCCATTCCTTCACGAGCCGCATGCTATCAGAGACTAGCTGGACATTCAACCCTCAAGCCGTGCACCTCCGCGAGGCTGCAGAGCAGGACGCGGTGTAGCACCTATGGAACAGCTATTAGGACTTGTGCTCACTTTCATAAATGGCTTTCGATATGCTGGTGCGCAGCCGCCCGGACGATGCCCTCGTCATTCTCAGGGCCGACCTCGCTACTGGATAGTGCCTTCCTCTTCACGATCCAATCCACTTCGCCAACCTCCCAACGTCGCAGAAAGAGCAAACTTGCTCCACCAGTAAGGGATATGAAGCCTACAAACACCTGAAGTATCGGATCCAGCAGTTCCCGTGACGATTCCAAGCACAATTGGTTCGCTGAAGGTTGTCAGACGGACAATGATCATCCATGCGAGGTTGAGCGCGGATGGATGGTCCGCTGCGAAGGCCGACAACTTCTGCTGCCGCCAATGCAACCGTGGCCCCATGATACGTACCGGTCAGGCTCCCCCAACTAGTGCGAAGATTGACAGAAAGCCATAAGTCTGCGTGGGAATGCAGATGCCGAAAGTGAAGATGGCACATGGAAAAGTCATTGCCACAGCCATATTGAGACGCTCAATGCCGGCAGAGAATTATCCCATGGGTCGCCATTCTAGTCCTTGGTCTCGGCTGAGTATGGCTCATAACTCCGATGCGTGTTGGGCGTCGAGGCTCACGGTAGCATTCTGATACTTCGCTCGCTCCTGTCGTGGAGGCGATGCGGTATGTTTCGGCTTTGATTCGGCAGTAAGGTATTTGCACGCTTACGGGCTGGTGATAGTTGATTCTGACTTCGTCTTACAGACACGACTGACCAAAACGCAATAGCATTAACGAGGCGGCGTGGCTTTGGCGTTGTTTGGTATCTAAAACACGAGATATACAGTACCTAAGTTAGCCTCGGAGACAGATGAAGAGCTCAGCGAGGCTTTGCGGGCTCCGGATTACATCAGCCAGCTTTGAGGCTCCACCAAGGGTCCACGGATCCACGAGTAGGATCGACCTCTTGGGTGGAAAGTCTAGCCCTGGCACACTACTAGGAGGTACTTGTGACTACCGCTGCACAGACTGTTGGTAGCGATATACCTCTTCTCGGGCACCACGGACTCCGAGTACCCCCTGGATGCAGGCAGCACGTGGAATTGATGGCAAATCTGATCAAGCACGCGACTATTCACACGAGACAATATTACCAGAGGCACTAGTACCAGCGACCGTCTTACCAGAGGCACTAGCAAAAGAGACAGTATCACCAGAGGCACTAGCAAAAGAGACAGTATTACCAGAGGCACTAAGGTAGTACCAGAGACAGCATTACCAGAGGCACTAGTAACAGAGACAGTACTACCAAAGACACGAGGACCAGAGGCACTCGCCAGTATATCTCCTGGCTTCACAGCCTCGCCGTCACCACGCCCGAGCATCTTCTTTTCCTCCTTCATTTCACATCTCCCATTCTCCCTCTCTGCGACCATGTCGGCCAGCAACATAGCCGGTCTCGGCTCCATCGTGCTCCCCGTGTCGCTTATCACGGAGGTCATGTCCCTCAGCAGACCCCACGAGCAGCCTCTCAAGATCATGGCAACCTGGTTTAGCCTCTGTTCACTCCTGTACTTTCTCGTCTCCCCGCTTCCAGGCAGTTTCATGACGTTATGGCCGATGGGCATGAACATCTTCGGCCTTTCCGTGAGGTGCATTAATTACCTGTGGCTCAAGGATCCGAGCCAATTCCATCGCATGCAGCAGAGTCCGAGCATGGATGCCAAGGACGAGAAAACGGGGACACATGGGTATCTGGATGCTTTAGATATTGCTACCACATTCCGAGGCGTGGGCTGGTATGACCACCTCCCGGCTACGACTCCACATGGAGAGAGCTTGCCAAGTACTGATATGAATATATGAAAAACAGGTCGTTCGAGGCCAAAGGTCTACCGCAACCGCAAGCCATCTCACCCGTCGCATTCGCTGCATCTCAAGTCATAGGGGCTTTGGGACGCTTCCTAATCCTCGACTTTGCCATTTCTTATGCAAATGCATTCGTGCCCTCTTTGGACAATGCCTCGATACCACTTCGACTTGCATTTGGATGTCTTATGATGTTTTATGTGCGATGGTCAATGGACATCCCATGCCGAGTGTTGTCTGCCATTGCTGTCCTCTTTTTCGGCAGCTCTCCCGCATCCTGGCCACCATTATTTGGCTCCTGGTCCGAAGCGTATACCATCCGTCGATTCTGGTCTCATACTTGGCATCAAGGCATGCGACTGATTGCTGAGGCTCCCGTCAATTTCGTCGCACATTCCCTCCTCGGCCTGCAAAAGGGCACGTACGTGAGCCAGTGGGCCAAAGTCCTCGGCAACTTTATGATGGCCTTCCTCGACCACGCATATGGCCGAGTCATGGGTGGAGGTGACGTGGTCTCCGACTGGAACATGTTCATTCTGCATCCCATTGCGCTCTGGATTGAGGAAACGACGAGGGAAGGACTTGTTGCCTGTGGAATCCTCGACAAAGACAAGAGGTCGAGAACGGAGAGATATCTCGGCTACATCTGGGTGGGAGTGTTCAATTGCTGGACCTTTTTGTACTTTATGGAGGGTGCCATTAGAGTGGATGGCAATGTCCCTGCGCTGGCAGACGGCTTGATCGAGCCACCTTTTGGTGCAAGTTTGGTGGTACCACTTACCAGATGGCTCGCAAGTAGGTAGATAGCTTGTAGTTGACTGATCAATCGAGAAGATGTACCCGTTCTCGTTCTCTTCGAAACATGTAGTATGGATTTACACCTTCCAATCTTGAATTTAGTCTTCTATCTTCATTCGTCCTCGCCCGGGGAAATTTCCAGTGATGGGGGAGTGGCGGGGCCATTGTACGGCTGCCGTATATCGGGCGAGAGAAGTCTCTAGCAATTTCATTTCTTTTCTTTTCTTGATCGACCTTGCACATTGACCAGGCTTAATTGGACGTTTCACCTATTCGATAGTTCGAACAGAGGTGGGATAGGGACTGGATGAACGAAATAGTCAAATGACCCACCCGATGGCATATGGCTGGCTGACTTTACGAAAAAGTGAAATAAAAGAGAAATAAAAGAGAAAAGTAGGGGCTTAGAATTCTCTTGCTCTCGCTCTTCTTTCCTTTCTCCTCTGACCACTACTACTTTTCCGGAAATTCCAATTTTTCGCAAGGAGTTCCATCGTGGATGAATTCTTCAATCCATCCAATTGTCATCCTGTTGTACGATAGTTAGCATTCAGTCAGTCACAGCTTTTCAGATTGTCGATATCCTCATCGTGAAAACAGCCTTTTCTTTCTTTCTTCCGACAAGAGACAAAGAGACATATGTGTACTCACAAACTCCTCTGAGTATCCGCAAATTTCTCATGATCCCCCACCAAATGTTCCTGATACCAAGGATCTTTTTTGATATTTTTGTAATCTTCGATACTGTTGAATGTCACTTGGCTGAAACAGTCGTAATCTGCAATATTTCTCCTGTGTTTTTTTTTTAACATTAGTAAAATGTAACAATCCATTTTCCCTATCCATTCCTTTCCATCCCAAATCGAAAAAAAAGAGAAAAAGAAGAAAAAAGAAGAAGAAAAATCTCACATCTGCCGATCCATAATAAACTCCATCAACCCCCTCGTCTTCTGCGTATTATGCACCTGCGTCCACCTCTTGATGCCATACTTGGCCATCAAATCTTTCGTCAACGGCGCCGAAATGCGATTCATATGCATGCGATATTCCTCGTCTGTCAAACCGGGTTTTTTGTAGCCCAGAACGGTGAGGCAGAGATAGCGTGAGCCGATTTGGGTGTTGGCGGGGTCGGGGATGGGGGGTTCGAGGGTCGAGGAGGAGGTGAGGGGGACGGTTGTTTGTTGGGACATGGTTTTTTGGGTTTTTTGGGGGGGTTTTTCTTCTCTTTCTTTGGTGTTGGATGGGGGTGGAAAGAGGGAGGGAGGGAGGTGGTGGAAACGGGATCGATTACGAGAAGAGAGAGAGAGAGAGATTCGTGACCATGCTATTCTGTCATCTAGATTATCTATACCTCTTGTAATTTCTTCCAACATGATCGACCCTCTTACTCAGACTCATCGGTCCCCGAAGTTTATGAGGAGAAAACGTGAGCAGTGAGTGGCTGTGTGTCTTTCAGGTTGTCACCTTATTATTGCATGATAAACACACACACCTCCTCCTCCTCCTCCTCCTCCTCTGGCCCTGTTTGTGCTAGGGGCCCCTATACAGAGCCATTCGCCTCGTTTTTACGCATATCACAGGAACAGTATCCTGGCAGTGAATTCGTCTTCTGGAGTTTTATGATTGACTATGTACCATTTCTTGAAATTGCTCGAAAATATACTGGGCTGGTTGGCTTTACATCTTCCACTAGGTAAAAAAGGCAATGAGTTGTGCATCTGACATGCCTGGAATGAAATGAATCCTCTACATCTATACTCCTTACACCATGCAAGCAAGCAAGCAAGCGCGCGCGCGAGAACATCCCACATTACTTCACGATCGTGGAAGATATGGGTGCAAGAAGGGGAAATAGTGGCGAATGAGGCCAAAAAAGATGGTCGCTGGTGTACTCCTTTCAAACTTGGCCTTTCTGCCCGCATTGATGACGCCCACATTTTTCCCATCCCACTGATCGGAAGTGTCGCTCGCGGCTTCAATCATGCCCGCCGCCAGATCCACGTAGGAGAGGAAGGTCTCTTCGTCGTGCAAAGTGAGCTTGTGACCTCTTCCAATGTCCTTGGATAAGCCTCCCGGTTTGATGTAAATGGTCGTCAGCCAATCTTCCTGCGCTCGCAGAAACGTCTCGGTGCGTCGCAGATCCTCGTACACGTTCGAAGCGGCGCGGAGCATGATGGGCCGGAAGTAGGGAATTTTGCGGCTGAGGTAGTCGTCGACGGTGGCGGAAGACAGTAACACCAGCTTGGGAGGCTGGAAGGAGTCAGAATCTGCTTTGAGCTTTTTCAGTGCCGTCACTGTCGCCAGAGAGAGGTCCTGGCTGATGCGACATCCGGGGACATTGTCGTTTGTGCTGGCGAGAAGGAAGACCGCTCTTGCTCCCTGCATACAACGGGCCAGCAGGTCCACGTCCTGAATACTGCCTTCGAACACCTCGACCTTCTTGTTCTCCCTCGTGGCAGGCATGGCGTTGAACAGCTTGGCCTTGTTTCGACAGTAGGCGTTAATCTTGACATTGGGTGTGTCGAGCAAATGCTGAATGATGGCAGTGCCCGTGTTTCCCGTGCAGCCCATGATGGCGAAAGTGGTAATTCTGGGCGTGGACAAGCCATCGACAGGAGCGGATTCTGCCATGGTCGTATGTTGTCGAGGATGGCCAGAGAGAGAGTTGTCAGAGTTCAACCAGGGAATTCGTAGCAGGGCGAGAGGTGGGCGTGGAGGAGGATATGCTTCGTGCTGGGAGGCGAGACGGTGCACAAAGTGATGATGAAGTACATACAAGCAAGCTGAAGCAAGCTATCGAACCGATCCCTGTACATAGCACTAGTGGCAGAGTCCACGTTGTTATTAGCTTGTCGGGTGCACACCGGGAGCCGGCTGATGAGAAGCTGTAGTAAGTCCATGGCAGAAGCTGTAGTAAGTCACTCTTCACTTGCTGGAGCGGATTGCCAGGGACCTGCACATGCATATGACATACTACAGGCCCCTGGCGGTCTCTGCCACCCTCCTTGTGCCTCACTTCATCCAACACATTGAGACCAGACACCGTGGTCGCAGTGTTGCCGGATGCTGACCATGTTCAGATTCAGTGCTACAAGACAGCTCGCCCGCCTGCGCTCGCCACTCACTCTGCCCCATTCGAGTATATTGCAACAACAACGACTATACGCGGCCACCATGCCCAAGTATCCCGAGTTCCAAGGCGAGTCCCAGTGCGATCATATGAGTGATTGTTCTTCGCTGACTGAGCTTGCAGATGTCATGGGCTGCCAGGCCGCGTTGTTTGAATGGGCAGACAGCTACGATGCGAAGGATTGGGCACGACTGCGCGAATGCGTAGCACCAAGCCTCATGGTGAGTCTGGCAGTGCATCGGAGCGGATGGTCAGTATGGAGAGAGAGCTGACTGATCGAGCCAGGTCGACTACCGGGCGTTCCTCAACAAGAAGTGGGATGACATGCCGGCGGACGAGTTTGTGCAGATGGCGTCCGACTCTCATTTCCTGGGCAACAAGACGATCAAGACACAGCATTTTCACGGCGGCAGTCGATATGAGCAGGAGTCGGACGACAAGATCATCGGACACCACCAGATGCGCGTGGCACACCAAAAGTACGCCGACGAGTCCCTGCAGACGGTGGTCGCCAAAGGCCATGGCCACGGCACGGCGACCATTTGGTACAAGAAGGTGGACGGCGTGTGGAAGTTTGCCGGTTTGATTCCCAACACGCGATGGACAGAATATGATTTCCACAAGATTTTTGGCGGTCATCACGACGCTGATGCTGAGAGCGGTGGCGAGTCTTCAGGAACCGCATCGCCGGCGTAGGAAGTGTAATGATGATATACAAAATACTCTCCATTTCATGATATCGTGATGCTTGTGCATGTTCTTATTACTGTAAGTGTTGTTATTGTTGTCGTTGTCGTTGTTGGTGTCGTTGTCGATGTCGTTGTTGGTGTCGATGTCGATGTCGATGTCGTGGCGGTGGTCGTGTGTTGTTAATGGAACTGCCGACGATTAATTGCTTGGCGCAACCTTCCATCAAACTAGAACCAACTCGGTCTAGTTCCTCTACAAGGATATATACAAGATATGACGGTTCGGAGACCGATTTCACCTCATCCCAACTCATCTTCCTCCACTTCACCTCCTGTTGCTCCCCTTACCCCTATCCTCGCCTAGCCCACAAAAGCCCTAGCCCCCCAGAAAAGCCCCTAGCCCCCTGGACTAGCAAGAAACAGCTCCCTAGCCCCTCCGACAAGCACTCATATCCTCCATCTGGTCCAGGCTACTTCTGGCGGCAGCGACATGTCTGCTTGCCGCTCTGACTATGGCTCTGACTACACTTTCAGCTGCTCTGTCCCTCTCACAACCCCGTCCTGAGTAAGTCGCTTGAATACCCCATTGCACCAACTTCGGGGTGTGTGTCAATCGATAGGTAGGAGTGGTCTCGACGTCTTTCATTCATAAAGTGACTGGAATATTCACGTTTCCAGTGTCCCTCCCTCATCATCACTCACTAACTCACTCACGCCCTCCTCTGCCCTCTCTCTCTCCCTCTCTCTCGTTCTCCAGCACTATCAACTCCCACATCTTTCCTCGCCTCTTATCCAAAAAGAAAACACACCTACGCATTCATCACAATGGGCTCCATGGGTACAGTTGAGGCCGCACACGTGCCATTCCGCCTGGATGGCAAGATCGCCCTGGTGACTGGCTCCGGGCGAGGTATTGGAGCCTCGATTGCGGTCGAGCTCGCTCGCCAAGGAGCCAAGGTGGTGGTGAACTACTCGTGAGTCTTCTTCTTCTTCTCGTTCCTGCGTATTACAGTCTTGCTGATGAATATTCTCCCTCTCCAGTCGAGCAGCAGGACCAGCCGAAAAAGTCGTGCAAGAGATCAAAGCCCTCGGCTCCGACGCCATCGCCATCAAAGCCGACGTCAGCAACGTGAACGACACCGTGCGTCTCTTCGAAGAAGCAGTCGCCCACTTTGGAAAACTCGACATTGTCAGCTCCAACGCAGGAGTAGTTTCCTTCGGCCACTTGGAAGAAGTCACTCCAGAAGAATTCGACCGCGTGTTCAACATCAACACTCGAGGACAATTCTTCGTCGCTCGCGAAGGCTACAAGCATCTCAACAATGGTGGTCGCATTATCTTGACCAGCTCTAACACTGCTCGAGGTTTCGTGGTGCCCAAGCATGCTATCTACTCGGGCTCCAAGGGCTCCATTGAGTCGTTTGTGCCCGTCTTGGCCAAGGACTGCGGGAGCAAACAAATCACTGTCAACGCTGTCGCTCCCGGTGGTACAGTCACGGATATGTTTCACGATGTGGCTCATCATTACATTCCTGGTGGAGAGAAGATGACCATTGAGCAGTTGAAGGAGGTGAATTTTCCTTTTCTTTTTTTCTTGTTTCAAGAAAGTCTTATACATCTTTTACTTTGCACGAAGCTAACTTCTTCTTCTTCTCTTCTCTCAGGCCGCTGCCTATGCCTCTCCACTCCACCGATGTGGCTACCCTCTGGATGTCGCTCACGCCGTGTGTTTCCTCGCGAGCAAAGAGGCGGAATGGATCAACGGAAAAGTGCTGCCGGTGGATGGTGGTGCTGCTTGATTTGTGTAATATTACTATTAGACCCAAAACAAACAAGAAAAAAATAAAAAGACATATAGAAATTGAGCCTGTTGAATATTGAACATGATAGGTCTTTGTATCTCTTACTTTTTATATGAATTGACAGACTGATGTTGGAGTGGGGTGAAGCTGGTGTGTCTAGATGATTCGAAGGAGGGCATAACACTCTAGCGATAAGAACCAATTTAACGAAGTCACCTACCTATTATGTAAGGCTATAGTTGTAGAAATCGATATGTATGATGTATCGTATCAGTACTGTTTTGTACCTACGCATGTGTCGGAGCGGAACCCAAGCTCACAGCCAGTCAGCCAGTCAATCAATCGACCACTTCATTACCTTCGTTACCTTCCTCACGATACCTTTCTTCTTGAAGTGTAGCACAGTGAAACTCTGAGAGCAAAGAGATACTCACTGGATCGATAGAAAGCAGGGAAGTTGAAGTTATTCGAGTATTGTGAGTATTATGAGGTGGAAAGCGAAGTTTGTAGCTAGGTGGTTGCTCTTTTTCCTTTTCCTTCTCCCGTTTTCCCCCTTCTCACTCTCCTTTTCTTTTTCTGTTTTCCCCCCTCTCCTTTTTCTCTCCTTCTCCTATTTTTCTCCTTTCCCTGTTTTCTGCCTCTCCTTTTTCTTGTATTTTTCTCTTCTTCTGAACAACTAGCGTCTACCAACTAACGTCTGGGACACATGAGATTTCGATATGAAAAGCAAAAAGTATATAGCCTGCTATATAGAGGAAATATCACGTCCATCTCATCTTCATTCTGGCCAGCTTCTATCAGTCTAGTTCATGTGAACGTCTAATCGCATCTAACTCGAGAAGTCGAGAAAGAAAACAGAAAACAGAAAACATAAAAAAAGAAAACAAACACCAAACGCCTTTCCAACATACACACTCACGCCCTCCAATCACCAACTCAATCACCAACTGAATCACAAGACAAAAACAAGACAAAAACAACAAAAACACAAAAGATCTAACAAGCGCGAATAGCAGTCAAAGGCTTCAAACCGCCAGCCTTAGCAGGGTGTGGAGTAGCAGCAGCCTGAGCAGGCTTAGCCAACGAAAACCACTTCTTGATACCCGCCCGTTTCTCAAAGGCAACCTTGCCATCACCGGCCAACTTGCGCAACACCTCATCCATGAACGGCTCCAAGGCCAATTCCCTCGTGGCCGGATCGACATTGTCACCATACATTTTCAAGACCAAATCCTTGACCGTGACACTCTTTTCACCCGAAGTCTTGACTTTATTCAACGTCTGCAACACCTGTCGTTCACGACGCAATTTGCCCGCAATTTCCTGGTTCAATTTGGCCGGTAAATCTTGAATGACAGCGCCATGAGCGGAATGACCGACTTGGCAGTTTTGATCGCGCATAATGTGCAAAGAATCCATAAAAATGCCCAAATCTTCGACGGCGCTGGTGCCCGTTCCCAAGACGTTATCGCCCGTAAACATGGCATTCTCTTCCTCGAGCACAAAACACACGTGATCTTCCGAATGGCCGGGCGTGTGCACGGCGCGGACGGTAGCGCCTTGCACGCAGAAGCGCTGCGAGTGAAGGATGGGTTGTTGGCCCGGGTCGGGAGTGTGTTTGTAAATGGCGTCGTGGAGGTCCGGGTAGCGAAGGAGGAGATTCGGAACGCCGCCGGTGTGATCGCCGTGCCAGTGCGTGAGAAGCACATGCGAAAGCTTAATGTCCATGGACTCGAGTGTCTTGGCGATCAATTCGGCCCACTCCGGTTCGCCGCCGCCCGTGTCGATGAGGAGCCGTGTATGGCCCGTTCCGATCACATATGTGTTGGTGCCCTGGAAGGTGAACTGTTTTTTTCTTAAATTAGTTTTTTTGTTTCTCTTTTCTTTTTTCTTTTTTAATTCTTATATTCATCCAAAGTCATATTCACACGCAAGGGGGGAGGGAGATGGAGATGGAGAATCTAAACTCACTCGTCCGGGGTTCTGACCCAAAATGCGAAGCACCCGCGGCGTCAATTGCTCGACATCGGCCAACTGCGGCAGACGCGCTGTTTGACCCTGCAGATAGTCCTCAAACGCGCAAATGTTCAACGACTTGTTGATTTGGCGGTAGCCTCCCTTGTCGTCCTCCATTATGATGGCTGATGATGGCTGCGAGCGTGGCTGGCTGGTTGGCTGACTCGGATGGTGGAGTAGTAATCACAGCGTGAATGGAACTAAACTACTGTATGTCTCTCTCTCACTGTCTCTCTCGCGTTGCAGTCAGTCAATCAGATCAAATCAGAAAAAAATAAGGTATGTGAAGTAAGCCACAGACAAGACAATGAACAAGAAGGGGAAAGGGGGGGGGGGGGGGGGGGGGGGAAGGGGGGTGTGGTCTCTCACTCACTCACTCACAGTGGATGGATGCATGGGAACAAACTTAATCGGATTATCGTGTGTCCTTCTGTTGTTTTGACTACTACTACATGCTACTACATACCACTACTACTACCATACGAAGACACAGTACAGACATAGCACTGCCGACAATCATATGATGGCCGGACTCCGGGTTCGATCTTTTTGATCCAACAACTTGTAATGTCTCGGGGTTACATGCACGCCCTTTTCCCAACTGGGCTTAGAACTAACAAACTACATACCTGTACCTATGCCTGTACCTACTACTGTACCTTGCCTTACAGTCCCTCCGCATGTCGTGTCGCCTGTCCGTGAGAAGTACTGTTGGTAAAGGTATCTAGTGAAGGTGGAGTCCTACGAGGTACGCTACCAGTACCAGATAACCAAACGCCCACACCAACACCAACACCAAACGCCCAACATCCATCCATCTCTCGATCCATCCATCCATTCATCGATCGATACATACCTGACCGAAACAAACTATGGCCTCAACAGACTACATGAATTAATTCTCAGTTACCACCTAACCTTACCTAACCGACCTAGGTACATGTACATACATACCGAATACCTGACCTGACCTGACCTGACACCTAGGTACCTATCACTAACACTAACACTAAAAAGCCTACCTACCTATCTACTACATTGTGTTTCTCGCCAAACACACACACAAGTCTCTTGAGCCGGTGGTAAGCCTTAGTGAATAGAAGGCAAAAAGAAAGTGTTACCACGCTTTGAATACGAGCAGAAAAGAAACACGAAAAAAAAAACGAGGCTTGGTATTACGCAAAAAGAAAAGAAACTGACGAACGACTACGACGAACGACGACGACGAGGATCAAGGAGAGGGTAAGGTCTGGTAAGGTCTGGTAAGGCAAGTAAAATTAGACCGAGCCCAACAATTTGTACAACGAACTAACTCACTCACTAACTCACTCACTAACAAACTAACAAACTACTATCATCAGGTAGTATACGGTATATAGCAAGTTAAAGCAAAATAAGTACGGTACTACCTACCTATACACCTCAGGTATGTATACAATGATATGAGCCGCTTGACCTTTTTGTTATCTTTAGGTAAAAAGGGTTCTTGGCATTCTTGTCAAAAATTGCCCGAGACATATTCTACTACTCTACTCGGTCGGTATATATGTGTATGTACCTCTATGGGTGGGTACCGTACTTAGTTAATAACCCGTTTCAAAATTCATCCGCATGTGAGGGTGCGTGCGTACCAAGGACTTGTTTTTCATGTTGCAGTAGCATAAAATTTGGTGTAAAAAGTGACAATCATATTGGATCGTGGCTTCTTGTGAAAGAGGGAGTATACGTGGAAAATGCCGAGTGGTGTGGAATGGAACGGGGTTCCCTCGTGTCCACCCTGTTTGAATCAACAAGCATTCTTACAAGCCTGGTACCTAGTGCCCGGGAGTGGAACCATCGCTTGGTTTCCCCCCTCCCCTCCCCTTCCGCTTACCCCCTTCCCCTTCCCCTGCTCCGAACTACTCAACTGACGTGAGCCAGGATGGAGAAGAAATCACTAGTGAAAACATGCTAGTGAAAGACGACAACGCTTTCCTTTGGGAGAGAGAGAGAGAGTGTGTGTGTAGGGGAAGAATCTGAGCAAAGCCCTCAGCTCGCTTGCATCCAAGCGTGGGCTTTTTCGGCCGCCGGTTTGCTTTGCCTACCTACCCACGGTGGCCGCTTCCGAAAGGTGCTAGCTATGGAGAAGCCTCATATCAGCCAACGAGCGAGGTCTTCGTCAGGTTCCAGTGATGATGGGGGATTATCCACCATAAGGGAACACGCGTTTGTTCTTCGTCGATGACCCACACCCGTATGGAGATTTCTGGCGTGAAGATGCACATGCGAATCCGTAAGCCTGAAGGCAAATGTCACGAGAAATCCCACGTGCGAATGTGTCGACTTGCCAACTCCGCGTTCCGGTTGATAGGGGATCACTCACCATGTCGTGTATCAGACACAGTGATCAGACCCCTCCTCCGAGCTGCTGCTTCTGCTTTCTGACCTGATGACTGATCTCTTTGCTCGTAACCACCGGAGACCACTTGCCCATATCGTCGTTGTTATAGAAGCCTCTCTCTCTCCAGTGCGGTTGGTTCAGCATCGGCATCACTCTCACCATCACCACCACCACCACCTCCTCCTCCTCCTCCTCGTCCTCCTCCCTCTCTTCTCCCACCATCATCGCATCCATTCGACTTCAAGACCTCATCAATCTTGAATCGACGCACACTTTGCACTCTCCTCTCTTCTATCCATCCATCCCCTGTTAGAGCAGTAACAACAACAACAACATGCCAATCTACACCCCGTCGAGCGCTAGTTCCGACCAAGACTCATCCAGGATGGAAATCATTTATTTCAGCAACGAGTTCCCCCGTGATGACCTGCAGGGTGTGCTGCGCAAGTTGCACAACCATTCCAAAGACCGTCGTCACACCGTCTTGGCGCAGTTCATCGCAGACGCTACTCGTAGCGTCAAGGAGGAAATCCGAACTCTTCCCAAGGCCCTCAAGGCCTGCTTCAAGCCCTTCTCGACTCTATTCCAATGGGCCGAGGATACGGAGCTGCGCGAAGGGCCCTTGAATGGCGCCGTGGACGGTGTGCTGCTGTCCGTACTCCAGCTGGCCACGTACATTGGATATGCAGAAGAGCACCCGGACGAACTCTTCAACTTCGGCAACACGTGCTTGACCGGTCTCGGTCTAGGCCTGATCTCGTCCACTGCCGTCGCTCTCTCGCCGACCTTGGCCGAACTTCCCCTTGCTGGTGCCGATGCGGTGCGTCTGGCGTTCCGTATGGGCATCCTCGTCACCGACATCTCCGCTGATCTCGAGGCGCGAGTGGAAGGCGAGTCACCAGACTCGTGGGCTTATGTCGTCCACAACGTCGAGCCCGACGAGGCCCAACATCAACTTGACCTGTTCAACTTCAAGGAACGTCTCCCAGAGACGGGCAAGATCTCCCTGAGCGCATACAGCCGCACATCCGTCACTGTCAGCGGCCCACCGGCCCGACTCAAGGAACTCTTCAAGAAGTCGCAGTACTATCGCGATGCCCGATCCATCGCTCTGCCCGTGTTTGGCGGTCTCTGCCACGCTCCTCACATCTACGACCGCAGCCATGCTCAGCGTATTGTGCGAGAAGCGACGTTGAACTGCAACGAGGGCAAGCGATTGCTTCCCATGACTCCCGTCTACTGCACAAGCACCGGCAAGCCATACGTCGCACAAGATGCGCTCGAGCTGCTCGAGAATGTCATCCTGGAGCCTCTGACCCAGCCCATCATCTGGGACCATGTCATCAGTGGCATCGTGGATCGTGCCACCGCCACCTGCGCCCAGACCTGCACCATCTACAGCTTTGGCCCATCCATCCCGCTCAAGGAGCTGACGGAGAGTATGGGCGCGCGCATTACCGAATTCAACACCGACTCTGTCAACATCATGGGATGGATCAACGAGAGCACTCCCGATGAGCTCAACTCCCGTGGCAGCGCCCAAGCAAAGCTGGCCATTGTGGGCATGTCGTGCAGACTCCCCGGCGGTGCTACCAGCACCGAAAAGTTTTGGGAAGTTCTGGAGAAAGGACTCGATGTTTCTCGGAAGATTCCCGCCGATCGCTTCGACATCGACACGCACTACGACCCTACTGGTAAACAGCTCAACAAGAGCATGACCCAGTACATGTGCGCGATTGATGAGCCCGGCCTCTTTGATGCCCCATTCTTCAACATGTCCCCACGCGAGGCGCAAGTCGTGGACCCTCAGATGCGGTTGGCACTTGTCACTGCGTACGAAGCCCTCGAGCGTGCGGGCTATGTGGCCAACCGTACTGCTTCGACGCTGCTGCAGCGCATCGGCACCTGGTACGGACAAGCCGCCGACGACTACCGAGAAGTGAACCAAGGTCAAGAGGTCAGCACCTACTACATTCCAGGAGGCTGCCGAGCATTTGGTCCCGGACGTATCAACTACTACTTCAAGTTTGCAGGGCCCAGCTATTCCGTCGACACTGCTTGTTCCTCTGGATTGGCTGCCATTGAAGTTGCCTGCCAGGCTCTGTGGAATGGCGAGGTCGACACCGCAGTGACCGGCGGCATGAACATCTTGACCAACCCCGATGGTTTCGCTGGTCTCAATTGCGGCCACTTCCTCACCAAGACCCACAACGCATGCAAGACCTGGGATGCTACTGCTGATGGCTACTGCCGAGCAGACGGCATTGGCTCTCTGGTCATCAAGAGACTCGAAGACGCCGAGGCCGACAACGACAACATCTTGGGTGTCATCCTCGGCGCTGGAACCAACCACTCTGCGGAAGCAGTCTCCATCACCCACCCTCATGCCGGCCACCAAGCCTATCTGGCCCGACAGGTCCTTCGACAAGCAGGTGTGGACCCTCTTGATGTATCGTACGTCGAGCTTCACGGAACGGGCACCCAGGCAGGAGACCACGAGGAGATGCAAGGCATCATGGAAGTCTATGCGCCACTCTCTGGCCGTCGCTCCAAGAACCAGCCCTTGTACATTGGCGCGTCCAAGGCGAACGTGGGTCACGGAGAGTCTGTCGCCGGCACCACAGCACTCATCAAGACCCTGCTCATGCTCCAAAAGAATGCCATTCCACCTCATGTGGGTATCAAGACTGAGATCAACCCCAGGTTTCCAAAGGATTTCGACAAGCGCAACCTCCACATCGCTTTCGAGAAGACTACCTGGCCACAGCACCCTGGTAAGAAGCGAATCGCTGCCATCAACAACTTTGGTGCTGCGGGAGGCAACACCACGATGGTATTGGAGGAGGCTCCAGCTCGTGTGCCTGCGGAGGCCGACACCCGCCAGCTGCATGTTGTAGCTGTGTCGGCCAAGAACAAGACATCTCTGGCTGGAAATCTCGAAAGGCTCCAGGCCTGGATCGAAAACAACCCAGAAGTGAGCCTTGCCGACCTGTCGTACACGACGACCGCTAGACGCCAGCACCACAACCACCGTGTGGCCATTGCCGCCACTGACCTCAAGGGTCTCCAAAAAGAGCTCGCAAAGAAGCTGGCAGCCGCCGACTCACACCAACCAATCCCCAAGTCGGGCGCGCCACCAGTGGCCTTCTGCTTCACAGGGCAAGGTGCTGCGTACAAGTCCATGGACTTGGAGCTGTACCGTGAAGTCCCATCATTCAGGTCCGACTTCAACCACTTCGACTCTCTTGCACAACGTCAAGGCTTCCCTTCCATCATCCCTGCGGTCGATGGATCTTTCCCCAAGGAACACGCACACTCTCCTGTCGTCACGCAGCTTTCGCAAGTGTGCATGCAGATGGCACTGGCCAAGTACTGGGCATCTTTGGGGATCAAGCCCGATATGGTATTGGGCCACAGCCTCGGCGAGTATGCCGCCATGTATGTGGCGGGCGTCTTGTCTGCCAACGACACCATCTATCTCGTTGGTAAGCGGGCGCAACTGCTGGAAGCGAACGCTCGTGTCGGCAGCCACCAAATGATGGCCGTGCGTGCGTCTCTCGCACAGATCAAAGAAGCGGATGGTGGCCTGCAGTACGAGGTGGCTTGCGTCAACGGTCCTTCAGACACCGTGCTGAGCGGTACCGTCGAGCAGATGGATGCTGTATCGGCACCTTTGGGTGCGGCAGGCTACAAATGCATCAAGCTCGACGTCGCCTTCGCCTTCCACTCTGCGCAGATGGACCCCATCCTGGACGAGTTCGAGGAGATTGCAAGGACCGGTGTTGTTTTCAAGGAGCCCATCGTGCCTGTCATCTCGCCTCTCCACGGCAAGGTGATTTTCGATGGCAAGACATTGAACGCCAAATACTGCCGTGATGCCACCCGCGGCACTGTCAACTTCTTGGGTGCGCTGGAGAGTGCCCAAGAAATCTCCACCATCACGGAGGACACGGTCTACGTCGAGATCGGCGCTCACCCCGTCTGCTGCAGCTTCGTCAAGTCCAGCATTCCAGCCCTCAACTTGGCTGTCCCATCATTCCGCCGCGGCGAGAGCAACTGGACAACGATTGCGCAGGCATGTACTGCAATTCACCTCGCTGGCCTCGACGTCGACTGGAACTCCTACCACGCTCCATTGGAGAAGAGCCTAACGCTGCTGGACCTGCCCACATATGCCTGGAATGAAAAGACGTACTGGCTCCAGTACAACGGCGATTGGGCGCTCACCAAAGGTAACACCTTCTACACTGCCGAGAAGGAGGCCGCCGCAAAGGCCGCAGCCGCTACTGGGTCGGTGCGTTCCAACGCCGCCAGCCCCATCAAGACATCCACTGTCCAGAACATCATCGAAGAGCACTTCCAGGACGTGGCTGGTACCGTTGTTATGGAGTCCGATTTGATGCAGGCCGACTTCCTCGCCGCGGCTCATGGCCACAAGATGAACGGATGTGGTGTGGTGACATCGGTAAGTTTTTTATTTAATCCTTCTTGTGTTGCTGAACAAAGTTACCTTTGCTGACCTTTGTGATAGTCCATCCATGCCGACATTGCATACACTCTCGGAGAGTACTTCTACAAGAAGCTCAACAAGAAAGCCAAAAAGGTGGACATGAATGTGGCCAACTTGTATGTCAGCAAAGGCTTGGTGGCCAATGCCAACACCAAGAACCCACAGTGTATTCGCGTCACTGTGACTACAGAGGACATCCGCACCAACGTCGCCAACCTGTATTGGCAGAACGTGGATGCAGATGGTAACGCGGCGGATGTGTTCGCGGAGGCGAATCTCGTCTTTGGTGATGCCACCGAGTGGCTCAGCACATGGGCACCCATGACCCATTTGGTGCAAGGCCGTATCGATGCCCTCGATGCTCAAGCGAGGGCAGGTAAGGCGACTCGTCTGTCACACAACATGGCCTACACGCTCTTCGGCAAGAACCTTGTGGACTACCACCACAAGTACCGTGGCATGCAAGCCGTGACGATGAATGAGCTCGAAGCTTACGCCGACGTGGAGCTCACCACCGAGAAGGGTGGCGTATGGACTGTTCCCCCATACTTTATTGACAGCGGTAAGCACTCCCCTCGAGCATACTAGGACTTCCGATGCTGTGCGGATATTGACTGACGTTTCTGATGCAGTTGCTCATCTTGCTGGCTTCATCATGAACTGCTCCGACGCCATCGACACGCAGAACAACTACTGCGTCACTCCCGGCTGGAAGGCGATGCAGTTTGCGAAGCCACTTACTCCCGGTGCCAAGTACTGCTCGTACGTGAAGATGATCCCGACCGTCGAGGACCCGACCGTCTATTTCGGCGATGTGTACATCCTTCAAGACGGCGTCATCGTGGGCATGGTTGGCGGCATCCAGTTCCGTCGCTTCCCAAGAATATTGCTGAACAAATTCTTCTCTCCACCGGACAAGTCTGAGCCCATCTCTGCAAACAAGAGCGCTGCTCCACTACCCAAGCCTGCCGCACTTCCTGTTGCAGCGCCTGTCAGCAAGCCAACACCCAGTGCGCCAGCTGCGCCACCGATGGTACGAGTTGACTCGGGCACTGGTTCAGAGCCAGAAAAGACCAAGGAGGCTGCGCCAGCGCCAGCACCAGCACCAGCACCAGCAGTGGAGACTGCTGCCGACACCGCTACCGACACCTCTTCTGTCACATACAAGGCGCTCGAGCTCATCGCCAACGAGGCCGCGCTCGAAATATCCGACCTCGAAGATGACGTTAGCTTTGCTGCTCTGGGCATTGACTCTCTCATGTCGCTGGTGATATCGGAAAAGTTCCGCAGCGAGCTCGATATCAAGGTCGGTGGAAGCATGTTCTTGGATTACCCAACCATTGGAGACCTCAAGGCGTACACCGATACGTTGTAAAGAATGCTGGCGCGGTGGTAGTTGTGAGTGTTTGTTCGTGAGTATCGTGTGCGATGAACCTGGCATGGCATGATGGCGTTATTGGTTTCACTTTGTAAGGAAAAGGCTGTCCCCAGGCTTCTGGGCTTCTCAATCCGTCGTCCTGACATAAGCGAGTGATGCCGCAATGGGCGACGGGTCGATGTCCAGAAGAGAGGCGACGCTGAATAGAGAATAGATTGAGAAAATTAATTCATTGCCTGAGAACTTGTTGTTTCGGCATGATTTCATTGCAGTTCCAACCTCAAGGCAATTCGCCTTGGAGTTTGCCAATGTTCATGCGCGAGCCATGAGCGGTGTTCCCTGGTGATGTGAACCCAACAACTTATGTCGCTGCCATACTGTATTCCCATGATGGCACTGACTTTGAATGTATCGTGATTACTCTGGACTTACGGCTAGTTTCCCGTTCTGTTCTGTTGTGCTAAATCTCGACATCAGTACTTCTATCATGTTTGTTTTCAAAAAGTCAACGGTCTCATGTGATGATTGCTTGGTGCCTGCATTACTCGCGACGCTTCTTGCCCTCTTCCAATGTGCCTAGACGAGCATCACGATTGCCCCCAGCAATGAAAGCGCCCAAGAGGGGATCTTTCGTGACCTTTTCCAATGTGTCTTGGTAAGCCTCGACTGCCCATTGAGGTGTATTCAGTTTCGGCCAATTGACCTGTGAGCAGATGTATTAGCTGCCATATCACAAGTACGGAACGTTGCGACAGCTCACATATAGTGTCCCATGGTTCCACATGAAGCGGCCCGAGTAACCTGCTACAGCCAAACTGAACAGCGTAAATAGTCGGAGAGGCCACACCGTGGAGTTGGGAAGCCGATTGGTGCTCACACTGACGGCAACGAAGAAGACACAGAAACCGAGCACATATGGGACTGCTTGGATGACCAAGGGTCTCCTGTCTGCAAACTGCTGCAGTGATCCAATGCCAGTGGTGTCGGGAGAATAGTGACCCAAGAAGAGATCAAAAGCATCTTGTCGAGGACCATCTGCAAAGTTGTTGCGCACATATCGTGTACAGCTGTTCCTCAGATCCTGTAGCATGCCTGCCCGTGTCCTGTTTCCTGTTCGTGTAAAATCAGTCTTGAGCGCGCCAGTGCCGGAGTAGGTTTTGGAAACCACATCGGCATTGTCTGCCCATACGTTGCGGAAGATATCTTCGAACGTCTGGTCGTCTTGCGCAGTCTCGCCAGGCCGCAACACGCCAAGATCTATCAGCATTCGTGTGAGAGTCCATCGCCCAAGCATGGATTGCACGACGTTTGTCCTGTCAAGACAGTCCATACAGTTCGTGCGCACTACCGCGGTCTGCTTCCGTCGGACATCAACACCCCCAGACGGTCGATCGATACCATGAAAATAGCCGCCAGCAGTCAGCCCGTCGGCCAGTTGGTCCAGAAGAAGCTGTGCTCGGTGCCACTTGAGGCCCTTGGTCTCGTTGTGGAAGTCGAAATAGACGTAGTGCAAGTGATCGTACCAGCTCCGTTGATCGTCAGGCTCGATTACATCAAACTTCACCCGAGTTCTGTGATCTGCTTCTGTGTGCTCCGTTGGGTTTGACTGGAGAATCTTAACAAGTTGTTCATAGGCATCCTTTACCCGCATTTCTCGGCCTTTCTGGTTCACCAAATTTACCATGTAGTTCTCGCCATAGAGTTGTATTTGTTCATCAAAATGCTTCTTTGCGGCATTCACAGCAGTTTCGACTCCGCGGATCTGAAGTTTGGGAGTGTATTTGAGAGAGTTGATTTCAGCCCAGTAAACTGGCACACTGCCTCGTGTCTGGACATAAGACAATACCTGCGTCTCCGAGCCACTCCCGGGTGCTCCACTAGTGACGCCACGATCTCCCGCATAGCTGGTCATGCCGCCAGATAGGGTGTCATTGAGAATAACAGCTTGTTCTGTCTCGTTGTAGTTGGATACATGACCGTCTTCGTCAATGCCCCGGGACAGGTACCGAGTTCCCGTGCGAAATCGTGATCGTCGAGTGACGAGTACAAACGTGAGGGGGTTACCTTTGATGGACGTGTTGGTGATGCGCATCATCCCATACATGACAGGCAATATATATGGATCGGCGGCAGGCTGAGGGCCAGGTGACACCCGGCTAGCTGTCTTGCCCTGGCGCAGATTGATGAGAGAGGTAGAGATGAAACGATTCCAAAAGAAGCGATCGTCGGCACGTTGCCACAGGGGCTCGTTTGCATCAAGGCGGGCTTGTCGCTGGAAGCTGTTGGTGAGGTCGAAGGAGTAGGAGAAGTACATGGGTCCATTCTTCAGAAGAGCCTTGAGGTAGGCAAGATACGTGTCCTCGTCCGGGTCGTGGACTTGGCGTTCACGCAATGGCAGGAACTCCGTGGATATGACCTTGTAAATTTGATGTCCTTTCAATCGGCCCTCGGCCTGCGACTTGGTGATGACTATAATATAGCTATCTGATCACGCAACACTTAGCACGAAAGCAGCAGCGCAGCAGCGCAGCATCTGATCTTACCTAATCGCAGCTTGATGATTCCGAGGATGCCAGAGATGCTGGAAACGCGGTGGCCTCCAGTGACTTTGCCATCGTGCAGACGAATGTCTCCGGATGGCCGATCGACCACTAGGGTTGGCGCATTCGGTGAAGAGGGCGAGGAAAAGGCGTAGTAGGTTGACGACGCGTGTACATTGATGTCGCGGAAGGGCAGCGTGGCACTCATGGCGAAGGCAAACGCGCGGGCGGGTAGCCTCTCGTACTCGTGATGGCAATGGCGGCGAGGTCAGCCAGGTGCGAGTATTCGCTGGAGGTGACAGGAGGGGTGGCAAATCAGCAGATGGGGTGAGTGAGGTATGTATGTGTGAGGGTTCGTGTGGCCGGTGACCGTCGAGCTTAGGAGATACAGGTACCTCCTGTACCTCCTAACATTTGCCAAATTTTGCGGATCTGCCCGCGAACGGGGAGGATCCGAGGGCACGGACAGCCCATCGCTTTACACGATACCGTATTCTGCCTGTCCTAGAACACCGGTACGTTCAATCTGAATAAGGTAGAAGCTGGTGACTTTCCTCCTACCTGGGCGGGAAATTTTGGCATCGTGCAGTGTGCACGTCGTACCTTACAGTTGTTTACAGTCGAATACACGGGCGGACATGTACCGGCGTACCGTATCGACAAAAAATCTACAGATGACGTCAATCTTTCTGCACATGGTCTGCTCCAGCCTCCGAGTCTCCTCCCTCACCATCATCGCCATACCAAGAACACATCTTTGACTCGCCCGGACGCATACTTGCTTCTTCTGCCAATGCTTTGAGAATGCTAAAGATGCCAAGATATCAATTAAGTGGATGGCTGCTACCAAGATAGCTGATGTGGCATTGGTCCAGATTTGCGCCTCATTGACAAGCTCTTGGTCCCGCGGATTACCTGCTACATATATGTATGCTATAGTATCCTGCTGTTCACCCATCATCACTGGTGACTTCGGATAGGTAAGCTGTGATGATACAAAGTGGAAGACGAGTAATATCAGCAACCGTAGTTCTTCTCTCTTCAATGGAGTGCACGCAAAATTGCCTCCCTCGCCATCGGTGTCGCTGTAATGTTTGATGCCCAGATTCACCTGCCGCACTGCCGGCGTGTCGTCCTTCGCAGTCGCTAGCATTGTATTCGACCTCATATTTGCCGCATTAATTGCTGCGATCGCTTGTATTGACAGCTCTGCTGCGACCGGCTGCGATAACGGCCCACCATATCCACCCGTTGCTACCTACACGTACCTACCTTATGCTGGCTTCGGATGGTTTGAGGACACTATGCTGTAGCCAAAGTTCATTATTCATTGCTTGTTCGAAGTAGGAACAACGGCAAAGTCGACCGATACAATACTAAGCTCTGTAGCGAGGCCTCGATGAGTTTTGTAGCTTTCGCTTCGGTACGGTAATTGAAGATGTGGCCTTGGGCGATGTCCCAGATGGTTTCCTAATTCGAGCGGACCTAGAGTGTAAGAACCTAGGTACCTTAACCGTACAGTGTTCTCGGCTTCCGCTTGGCAATGGTTGCCCTTCACATGACGGGTGGATGACCTTTCCAAAGCTGGGATCACGCACAGATCGTAGGAGGTACCTATTTGAGTCATACTGTCACCTTCCAGGTGACTGTCTCTCTCTGAGAGGTTCGCCATCGAATGTGACCACCTCCGTCGGATTAGCGTAGCACAAGCTTGAATCACCTGCACCTATATCATGGATAAAGAAAGTAGCCCGACTTGAAAAGATCTAATGTAACACGAGGTAGTTCTGGAATTATCATCACAACCCTAATGAAAGCCAAGGTTATCATTGCGTTATTGTGGTTAGTAATTCCACGTGTAGAAGTGGGGACGTCATCGCTACTCGCGGCCTGCCAGTGTAAGTAGACCGACTTGCAGCAGCAATAACAACAACGACGACGACAACGACGACGACGGCAACAGCAAGCCGACAGCGCTGCTCCTCCACGACCTCTTCATACCACATCCATCTCCGCCTCTCTCCGTCTCGTCTCGCCCGCGGAACATCAGATCCCTCCTCCGACATCACTGCCTTGCCTGGACAACTGGAGCGCAGGACGAGATAGCGCAGGACAGCATAGCACGGCACAGGTCAGCACCTGATGGCGGCGCGACAGAGTGCGATGAGGCCCGGCGGTGGCGGTGCGCGCTTTGCACAGTTTAAGCTGGTGCTCTTGGGTATGTCACTTCATGTGTGCGCCGCGCATGCGATAGTACGAATGCTCACAGTGTGCCTGCAGGGGAGTCGGCTGTGGGCAAGAGTTCGCTCGTGCTGCGATTCGTCAAGGTATGCATGGCCATATATCGTGCTTCAGCACCACACGACAGCAGATCTTTCCGCTGACTGTCCTGCGATAGGATCAATTTGACGACTACCGGGAATCGACCATCGGCGCCGCCTTCCTCACGCAAACAATTGCACTCGACGAGCAGACTACAGTCAAGTTTGAGATTTGGGACACAGCGGGACAGGAGCGGTACAAGTCGTTGGCGCCCATGTACTACCGCAACGCCAACTGCGCTGTAGTAGTATACGACATCACACAGGCAGTATGTTCTTCTCCAGCGCGATGCCCTGATCGTGCAGAGCAGCTGATATGAATGTATAGGCATCACTGGACAAGGCCAAGGCGTGGGTCAAGGAGCTACAACGACAAGCAAACGAGAACATCATCATCGCGCTCGCAGGCAACAAGGCAGATCTGGTTGCCGAGCAGCCTGATAAACGTGCAGTCTCAACCGCAGACGCGGAAGCATATGCCAAGGAAGCCAACCTTTTGTTCTTCGAGACGAGTGCAAAGACGGCAGAGAACGTCAAGGAGCTATTTACTGCCATTGCCAAGAAACTGCCTATAGAGCAGGCCACTCAACGTGGCATGAGGGGTGCTGCTGGAAGACCGGGCGGTGTGGACCTTGGATCAAGGCAGGACCCGGGAGCATCTGCTGGAGGCGCAGGGGCGTGCAACTGCTAGAACGTTGGAGTTATAAGTTCCGTTGGAATGCAGCGATATGGGAGTACTGAGCATCGTTATCATTGGGGTCGTAAGTGTGCACAGACTCGTGTTTTCACGTGCTGGAGACTGAGTGCTTGAATGAGGCGTTTCGGGTGTTTCACTACCTACAGCGTATAGCGAGAGTAAATGACAGCGCAGTGAGCTCTCACTTGCTCTTTCTCTGGTAATCATTATCTGTATCCCATCGTATCGGCGACGGACAATCGAGTTAAGGTATGGCAGCATATATACATGTAATTGTGTACCTGTACTATCCACGAACGCCACACGCGCCACATGTGCCACATCATATGTCAGCACGACTGGGATCCACATCTGGGAGCCTTCAACTGTGTACCTACATGTGCCTACCTGTCAGGTACATGTATCTATCTATCAACGTACGCTCATTCTGCCTCTCTAATGTCTGCACTGTTCCATTGGTCATCAGCTTCAACACCATAGGTACCGCCCTCCTCTTGTTTGGAGTTGGACTGCACAATGACGAGACGGTCTGGGCGCATTGCCGCGGGTGGCAAACAGCACAAGCGAGCACTGTCGTCGGCCAGCACGACGAAGGCGATTGTCAAGCGACCTAGGAAAGCAAAGTCTACACCTACGAAGAGTGACCATTTTCCCGTAGACGATCGGGATCACGGAGCAGAATCAGATGGGGCACAGGACGAAGAAGCAGACAGCGGAGACGACTCAGTCTCGGATTTCGAAAAGGCTGCCGAATCCGATGTCTCGTCCCTATCATCAGAGGCTGATACAGATGCGGATGACGGTGCTGTAGAAAAACGTACGAAGGCAGATCCCTCTCGCCGCATACGCGCCGTGGAAGGTGTCGAATGGAAGCCAGGCGTCAAGACCGGGTTAGGCATGTATGAGAGAGTATTAAACTCTACCTACTCGACAAGTCCTGCTTTTGAAGAGGTTCCAGCTGTAGCTGACTTTTTGTTTTCATTTAACATATAGGTCCTGGCACTCAGGTTGTGATCAAAAAACCGAAAGCCAGACCGGCGGGCAAGACACCATATGCTAGCGACACGATCCATCCCAATACGTTCTTGTTCCTGCACGAGCTCAAGGACAACAACAACCGCGAATGGCTCAAAAGTAGGTCCTACCGCTGGTCTGATAGATTCTTTGCCTGCTTTCCCCTGGCTATACCGTCGATTGTATCCCGGCTCTGTGCCGGTGGTGGTTGCTTGATGTGCCCACCCGTAAACGATGATCACAGCCAAATGTGCATGTGCTGCTCAGATATCGACAGGGGATTACTCTGTCGGGACAACTTCACTGGCCGCGAGTATTGGAGCACGCTGACGTTGTCCTAGTGCACGACCCAGACTTCAGACAAGCCGAAAAAGACTGGCATAGTTTTGTGGAGAACATGACCGAGACTTTGATCACGATAGATGACACGATCCCAGAGCTGCCCATCAAGGATGTAGTAAGTGTTCTGGCGGGGCTCCGCAGTCCAGAGGACGGTGGTAATAATGCTTGTCAAACATAGGTCTTTCGCATATATCGAGACATTCGGTTCTCTAAAGACCCAACCCCATGTAAGTAGGAAGATCATGAGGCTTCACCGGGCGATATTCATGCTCACAGATAACTGACATTCTCAGACAAGGTACAGTCGAACCAGAAGTAGGCATTCGGGATCTTGTCACTGATCGCAGACCTCGTAGGCGTATTTCAGCGTTGCTTGGTAAGCCGTAGTGTGAATGTCCTGCTTGGGTAGGTATGAACGGTTCTAAGGATTTTACAGGTCCCGAGCAGGACGAAAGGGCCCATTTGCGTGAGTGGTGCAGGCTGGAGGATTTCCCTTCTGCAACCCACACTGACTGATGCTGGATAGGCATTACTACGTCCAAATCGCTCCTAACAACTCGTTCGTCGGTAAGTGGCTCTCACAACAATGTTGTCACGCCAATGATATCACCTTCATGGTCATCTACAATGCACGAACTGACGACATCTCGCAGGCGGTGGTCTGTGGCATCCCGAGGCAGCTCCCCTTTCATCTCTGCGTGAGGCCATTGATCAGCATCCCGATCGACTGAAGGCTGCTTTACGAGACTCGCGCATCAGGAAAGAGTTTTTGAAGGGCGCTGCTGCGAGCGACCAGGCCGTGGTGAAAGCTTTCGTCGAGAGCAACGCCGAGAGCATGCTGAAGACGAAGCCGAAGGTAAATCTTGCGGAAGGTCTCGTATCACGCTGCAGGTTTGCACATCGTCATGAGGAGCTGGCGCATGAGAGGGATCAGCTCGATGCGAATACTGGTCTGCTCGATATCAGGCTGATTCGGATTGCTGACTGCTTCATGTTCTAGGGTTATGAGGGCGATCATCCCGACATAGATTTGCTCCGACTCCGCAACTACACCATGAGTCGAAGCCTGTTAGATGCAGAAGTGATGGGAGAAGCTGGACAGCAACGTATCTCACACCTTTTGGCAGTGTTGAAACCTTTCGTAAGAAGCTCCACGTCCACGGGATTGGGCTCCAAAAGCTACATGTACTTGCTAATCCCTACTTTCACTTCAGATCACGTGGCTCAACTCTGTCGTTATGCCTGACGAAGACGACTGATGGAGGAGGAGGAGGAGGAGGAGGAGGAGGAGTAGTAGACTGGTACCTGAGCTTGTCTTAGGCTATTGGAACCAGCAGAGAGAGATGGAGAGAGAAAGACAGCGGCTTCCGAGCTCGCACAATGGGAGCCACGTTGAGCTGCACGCCACTACCGCCGTAGTCGAACACGGCGCTTGTCGCTGGCCAATCACGGACATGCAAACAGCTCGTTCTTCGGCAGACTCGGGCGCTCGGCGTGATGTTGGGCACACTGTTGGGCACACACTGCCAACTGCGGCACTGCCAATACAGCGTCCACTTGGACCTCCTCCTGGTTTGTGACCTGAACCCTGCCCACTGCGGAACGCTGCATACGGATTCAGTAACGTGACTGCGCGCATGAAAACGATCGGCGATTTAGCGCAGCTCATAAGCGGCGCAGCCAATCAGCGCTCTACAGGCTGGCTCATGGTTTTCGTGCCGCACCAGGCTGGGGTTGCTACAAGCGCGAGCCCGCTAGACATGGGCCATCCCCGTTCACCAGCCTGGCAGCCCGGCCAGGCAATACTCATAGAAGGAAGGATACATCGTGCCTGGGGAGCGCGATCGTCTTTGGTGGTGACAACACGCTGAGTTGCCATGCCGGTGCCATCGAAAGCCCCGCGTCAAGCGCCGAACTGCCTTCTGAGACTGACAAGTGACAATGCAGAAGAGATGCTACCTTACCTTGGACATCAACCACGCAATGTCCGGAATGTGACAGGCTGCACGGACGCCCAGCTGACTACAGGTACAGGTACATACACCTAAGAGAAACAAAAGAACTCCCGATGGATCTGGTCCGACCTGTCGTCCTGCCAGTTGGTGCCGTACTGCACACCTCTGACACTTTCTGCCAGATTGGCAAAGAAATCGCCGTCTTCTGTTGCTCACATCATACCGGGAGGTGCAGTCGATATATATAAAGAGGCATGTGGTGATCCAGTAAGGAAGTGTGGTACGAGGTATTATTGAATCCTGACAGGAAGGCCCGTCTAGCCTCGGCTCGCGATAGCATACTGGTCAGCAGAGGCAGATACACCAGGGTGCATATTCCTCCCTCTCCCTCTTCTTCCCTTTCTCTCTCTCTCTCTGTGCCCCTCGCATGCTGCCCTCGACTCAGCTACACAGCAGGCATCAACTCGTACGGTCGCTGCGGTAAAAAGAAAACAGCTCTAATGCTGTATCATGTATGTACCTACCTTACCTAGGTAGAGAGAACGTACCTCTGAGCTACCTATGTACAAGGACCGTCGTACGGTTGGCTAGGAGGTACCACCAGTCTATAAAAGGTTCGGTTGATGGCGTTGCCGGACGGTTGCGCCTAGTTGCAGCTGTGAGAACATGCATTATGCAGCACACCGCTACCGGCCGGCGGCGACACCCACATCAAACATTAGCCTCCTGACCACATGCAGTCATCGAGATAGAGTGTCCACAGTGCACCTGTCCATCACACCATTACGTCGACGACGGGCCCGCGGTTCGCTTCGCTGCGCCGTCCTGCCCCCGCCTACCGAACCTTGGGACCGCGGGCCAAACAACGCATTGCATCTGGCTGGAATTATGCTGATTGGAGCATGATGCCAACCTGGAACTGTTCCCTACCCTACCTCCTACCTACCCGACCGTACACATGACGGTCTGTATTTTCTGGACAGGACTTTTACCTTGGAGAGACCGCAAATTCTGCAACGGCAAGACCCTTTGCCTCTTTGTATCTTCCACCATCGCCACCACCACCACCTCTTCCACCATTACCATTACCATCACCACCACCACCTCTACCTCTACCTCCTCCTCTTCCTCTTCTTCCTCTTCCTCTTCCTCTTCCTTTTCTTCTTCCTGCTCGTCCACCAAGGATCCGCCCGGCGGCGTGAGCGAGCAGCGCGAAGGCAGGTAAGATAAGCAGACTACTGCAGTCTGCAAGTCTCCAGACACGATTTTGTTGCTCGCCGCGTGGCCCCCCTGTCAAGTCTACTGGCAGGCTGGCACTCGTACGGAGGCCGGGTGTGCCCCTCTTAAGTTTCTATTAAGTATTAACCACGGTGGCGCTAGCGCGGCAGGCTGCACAAAGATGTAGCTAAGTCAAGTATGTAAACCCAATGGACCCCATGTCGCCGCATCATCATCTCGCTTTGCTCGTTTGTCTCTAGCGGTCCTGAGCTGGCGCGGCCCAATCAGCGTGCTAGAGTGGCGGCTGCCAGTTGCGGCCCTCTCGTCTGACGGCCGCTCCGTGCCACCCAGAACCACAGGTGCGGTCTTGGTTACGCGCCTGTGAGTTGTTTGGCCAGCGACCTCGGCAGCGCGAGGGAGGGAGTGGCACTCTGGCGCTGCACGTACTCGAGCCGCTAGGACGAGTGGGGGCGCAGGGCCCGAGTGCGGGTGGCCTGTTGCCTGCTGCTGGTGGTGTAGGAGGTGTAGTGGTGGACCTGGTGGTCCTATTACTACTGTACCCGACTACATGTAGGTTGTACCTACCAACTACCTTCCTACCTACCTTCCTACGACTGACTACTACCCTCCTAGGAGGTACTACCTACCTTACCTGACCTTACGACGCTGTCGGCTGATGTGGTCATCACCACTCTTTTGGAGAGTGACTCAACCACCGGTCCGCAGTCACCGCGGCGGGCTCATCGGTCACTCTCAGTTAGGTAGACATGTGCCTGGCACGCCTGCACCTGCACCTGCAACTGCGCCGACGGGTGCAGGGAGGGCTGGGCTGGGCAGAACAGGCCAGGCCAGGCCGGCAAGGCCCTTCCCAGCAGCAGCAGGCCACAGGCCGCCGCCCGAGCACGGAAAGAGGCGCCGGCACGATCATCGCTTGCAGCGCTAGTTCCATACGGTAATCAGGTACCTTGCCTCTCTTTGCCTTAGCGGCTACTCTAGCACGGGAGCCTCGAGGGCGACGGGAGCGAGAGGCTGCCTCCTGCTCTCAGTGCTGCCAGTGCTGCTGCTGCTGCTCCCGCTGCTGCCACTGTCTGCGTCTGCGTCTGCGTCTGTGCGCCTCAAATCACGAAGGAGCCATGGCATGCCCGCCGTCGACGTCGCCACGGCCGCACGCCTGTCTTTGCCTGCTGTAGTCAGCACCATCGCTGCACTGGATTGATTAGTATTTGCGTTGCTAGCTAGCTACCTGCTACATGTACCTTAGCTAATAATGAACGACTGGTGCCAGTAAAATCCTCGTCCCGAGCCCCAACTCTTCTTCACCACATCTTACCAGACCGCCGGATCATCTCTTCCACTTCTCCCGCATCTTCTGCCGCCCGCGAGACAGCCCTTTTTTCGCGACGCGCATTGCATCACCACCATCACCACCACCACCACCACACCACTACCATCACCTCCACTACATACCCGTCTACTACACACTACTGCGACGAACTCCTCACGACCGCGGGGCTACTGCTACTGCGGCGCTGACGACGAAGACTGTGCGGCGCGCGCGAGAGCCTGCTCCCGCACATTATTATTCAGCGCGCGCTTGCGTGTGCCACCTCGTCGCGCGACGGCAGGCATCGGCTTCGTTTAAATCTCCCACGACAGCATTCCTTGCCTGCACCACTACCGACCGTCCGGCCCGCGCGTCTGTCTGGCTTTGTGCGACTTTTGAACATTTAATATCACTGCACGCCTACGTGCATTATTGTCGCTGCTGCTGCTGCTGCTGCTGCTGCTGCAAGGCCTGCCTGCACTTGCCTGCCCGTGTTTATCTGGAGCCCACTTGCGCGTGCATCTCCAGCGCGTCGCGTCGCATCGCATCGCATCGCATCCGACGCATCGCAGCCAGCCAGCCAGCCCGCCCGCCCGCCCGCAACGCAACGCAACGCACAGGACTCGTGTAGCGACCTTCGTCGCCGTTGCAGTCTTCCAGCATGGCGCAACAGATGTACGGATCTCCCAATGGACAGCAACAATGGGCCCCGAACAGTGCTGCTCCGCCCACCTCACAACCCAATCAACCTCCACCTCAGCAATGGTCGCCACAACCACCGCAAAATGGACAGTATCAGCCCCGGCCGACGAATCAGGTAAGTTGCACCTAAATAACTGAATGTGTTGCGGTTGTGCACCGCGCAAAAAGTGCAAAATCTTGCCAAGACAGCGATGCTCTGCTTGTTACGCAATCAGCGTCGCTTCTTTTTCCATCTTGATTTCTAAACCCTGCGCTGTTGTTACTCGCTCGCTCGCTCCCTCCCTCCCTCCCTTCTCCGGGCACAACCGCTCTCCATCACTCTATTTGCACAACTTGTCGCGCGCGCCCTCCACCATGGCCGCCGAAATCGATCCTGCTCTAGATGCAGGCAACACGAAGAATGCTGATGACCATGTGTCCAAGCAGCTGCCGGGCATCACTGCCGCACCCCAAGGTCCTCCCGCCATGGCGACGCTGCAGCCCAATCATCCCGATCAGTATCGCGCGCTGCCACCACCGCAGACCATGTATCCTCCGCCGTATCAGCAGGGCCAGCAAATGGGTTATCCTCCTGCTCAGCCCGCACCTCGTCAACGCACAGCGATAGCGTGTCGATATTGCCGTCGTCGCAAGGTATGTCGATTTGCTCGCCGCACTCGCGGCCTGCTGTTAACGTGATGATCAGATCCGCTGCTCGGGTTTCGAACAGTCTGAAGATGGCCGATGCACCAACTGTGTTCGCTTCTCCCAAGAATGTGTCTTTACTCCCGTTAGCGCGCAGACTCAAGCGTTCGTGCCGGCACATACGGTGTGGCGTGGCCAGAACCCGCCTCCCAATACGCAACTGTATGGAGCGTACGGTCAGCCATTACCAGCCAACAGCCGCGATCAGCAGTACCCACCTCAGCAAGGCCAACCGCAACAGCCTGGTCAGTATCCTCCACCTCCGCAGGGTTACCAGCAACAACCGCTCTATCCACAGCAGGGTCAGAGTGCCAACGCTGGAACCAAGCGTCCTAATGATGAGCCTCACACGCCCACTTTGCCGCCGCCTCACCCTGGCGAGCAAGCTCAATTGCCCCAGCAAGGGCAATACGGCTACTCTGGTGTCAGCCCTGGTGGTGCGTCGCCCGCTTTCTTCTCCCATTATCCCATCCAGCCCTTTCCACAAAGCTACTACACCCAGCCGCAGAGCCCGTACTTGTACGAAGCGCCGCGTGCACCCATTTCCCCACCTTCCTTCCACCCTGCGCCTTCTGGTGCGCCCGTGCAGCAGAGTCGTCCTCGTCCTGTGAAATCCCCGGCTACACATCAACGTCATCGATCGAAGACGGAGGATATGGCTGGCCAGATGAAGCAGGATGAGCGCAACTCCACTGATAGCAGCATGCTGCAAGCATTCACTCGAGGACCCACGTGATGGTATGGTAGCTGACTGGCTCAGCAGTGAAAGATGACGCGTCGAGCGTAGCTGCGGCGAACGAGAGGAAAGAAGAAGCGCTCAGAAATGGCTTCGTGAAGGATGTTGGAGTCCAGGTGGAGATTATCACAGCCCACGGCAAAGAGCAGGTCTCTTGATGTCTGGTCGTGGCAATAATGAAGTGTACTGCGATACCCCTTCGGCGGCGGCGCGGCATTTGGTGTGATGATACATGGGAACCGGGAAGGCGTTGCTTTGCTGTGTCTGGGAGGTCTATTGCTGTTCAGCAACAACGTTCGAGCGACAGCATGGACTGGATTGTTGGTTGTACTTTTCAGCTTTAATATTCCGTGAGAGAAGGGCGATTCTGGCAACGGAAACGATGTGAGAGTAGATAGGTCGGATGTGCGGACGATGCTGTACGATTTGCCGAAACGACTTCTTCGGTTCACCACATTACTTGCCCTTTTTCCACGCTCTTCATCACACGCGCACACATCATGCACTCTCGAGCATGAACAGGTGAGGTGCTCAGGCTTCAGCTTAAGGGTCGGTCCGAAATGGAGAGGTGCGTTTCGGCGGGAGGCTCCCATGAGTCCAACCTAAGACCGCGTCCCGTCCAGAACTAAGGTATTTCCCACCACCATCTGGCATCTGCGCTTCCTGCAGGGCATATGAGCCTACATGACATTACTACAACAACAGACGACGGCGCGACGGAATCGACACCATGACCAACGCCAAAGAGCCCTCCTTGGCTACGATTGCCCAAAAGATACTCGAGGATGCCCTGCAACAAATCGTCCACAACATCGTTGCCCATCGACATCGCGAGCACAAGATGCTGGTGGCCTCACTCGATACCAAGACGCGCCTGCCGCACTGCGATGCGTGCAACCTCCCGCGACTGCTCGATCCGCCTCTTGCGTCTCGCGTGAGAGGTACTGCTGCCGACCCCCCCAGTAACACCAACTACTGTGATCGCAAGCCATGGGCGAAACGGCCTGGGCATGACATCTATGGCAATCCCTTTCTCAAAAGCGATGTCACCGGGAGACCGCTGACGAAGAAGGAACGAGAAGCACAGAAGAACAACAAAAAGGACGACGGCACGCCGGCAAGCGAGGATCAGACCCACGAAGGCACAGGGCCGCCTTCGCCCAACGGCGAGGCGGAAGATGACAAGAAGGCGGGTAACAATCAGAAACTGGAAAAGGGTGAGAAAAAGGCGAGCAAGATTGACGAAAAGCTCAAAAAGGGCGAATATGTGCCGTGGCACACGTGTCCAAGCTGCAAACGGAGCTTGCTCATCACGAGGTTTGCGAAGCATCTGGAACAGTGCATGGGCCTGAGTGGGCGTGCGGCGAGCAGGAACGCCATGGCAAAGATGAATGGCACACCCAGCGGCTCTCGTGGAGGCACGCCCAATCCTGGCCAGGAAGGGAATGGCAAGGAGGGTGCAGGCGACGGCGAAGATGGAGACTCCGCAGTCAAGGGTGCTGGAGGCGTGCGCAAAAAGCTCCTGAAGAAAGGACTGAAGGAGAAAGCGAAGGCTAACAAGACTGCCAACGGGAAATTGCCGAAGAGTCTAGCTGCGCAGCGGCCGCCCGCAGGAGGAAAGGACAAGGACAAGGACAAAGACAAAGACGCCAGCACGACGAGGAGCTCGCCAGCGCCCAGTTCGATAGGCGATGCGAAGCGCGATCGAGAGGAGTTGGGCGAGGACGACGAATCCGAAGTGCTGCATGTCAAAAAGCGGCAGAAGCTCCAACGGATGGGCAGCACGACGAGCATTGTGAGCGCCGTCACAGCTCCTGACATGGAGCGCGGTGAAAGCCAGGACGGTAGTTTCGTTGATGGGAGCGTGGTCGATGAGTAGCCGCCTGAATATAGCGTCATGGGCACATACAGAGGCGCCGTCGGTGTACCTGGTACACATACTGCGATCCGCCTGGTGCGTCTTTCACAGCTCACTTGTGGTATACCTAATAATAAGATGCGGGGATGGGAGTACGACTGCTACATGAACAGCACAGTGCACTCACGTTGCATGGGAATCAGCGTATACGCAGGCGCACGAGCGACGTCAGGAAACACGGTGCTAAGGCCTATGCATGCGCAAAAAAAAAACCTCCTTCCAGAAATATGCTAGATGCGCAGAGACTGGACACCGACATACAGAATTCAGTGCAGAGATACCATACCCACCGAAATGCGTACTATATATGTTTATGGTGGTCGATGCTGTCAAGCTGTATGAACCGCACAGCAAGCACTGTGGGCACTGGAGCAGGTAGGTACATTATATTCACAGCGCTCCAGCTAACAGGTACCTAAGTGCTTGCTGGGGGGTTGTTGTTCTCTGCGCTCGATATTTCGAAAAATCCACTCCGTCTGCGACATAAAGACCTACCAGGTACCTGACCTTCACCAATTATTACATGACTGCAACCAAACCTGACGATAGTGATTGTTGCGCAGTGCGCACCAATCATCCAAGTTCTCAATGCGGCGTTCGTTGATTTTTGATAAACCAGAAATTGCTCGCCGTAGAACAGGTAGGTACATGTGGTAAACTTGATGGCTCGCCGTAGCTCCTTCCTTACATGTCAGGTACCTACCTGACTTGATTGAGTTGGTCGCTGTTGTCAACTCCAGTCGCTCTTTTCCCAAACATCTGCACTCAACATTCCAGCACCTTTTGCTTCTCAAACTTTCGCCATGTCTGCTGCACAATCAGACACTATGAGCACGACAGAACTTGCACAGGTCTGCGCGAAGTGCAACAACACTGAAGGCGAGCTCAAGAAGTGTACGAAATGCAAGTCGGTGCTCTACTGTAACCGCGAATGCCAGAGAGCGCACTGGAAGAAGCACAAGCGGCAATGCAGCCGACTAGCTGGCGAGGGAGCGCCACCGCCAGCACAAACTGGCAGCGGGAGCAATAGCAGCAGTGCTGCCAATCCATTCACACGCCTCTCCGAGAACACCTTCCTCCATGACGGATCGGAAGAAGATACGTTCCGAATTCTCGTTGATGTACTTCGCATGCGACAGGAGGACACCTACACATTCGAAGGTGAGACTATGCCCGGCACCATTTACAACGGCGAGTCTTCTTCGGAAGTGGCATTTCGAAATATGTTGTGGCGCGCCAAGCAAGTCCAAGGTCTCTTACCCCTATGGTGGAGCTCGGAGAAGGAGGAAGAGTGTATTCGGAAGAATAAGGAGGCCCTTCAGAGTGCGCAGGAGAAGTCAGATATTCAAGAATTCTGGAGAGATAGCCTGATGCCCATGAAATTGCGCATGGTCGGCGAGACCATCTATGGCAACAGACCAGGTTCCATTGGCGACGGCGGCCAGTCTATGCGGCACATGCAGCAATTCATGGGGCCCGGTGGCTTGGGTATGCGGAGTATTCATTTGGATTTTGGTGCGTTGAAGGGCGGTCTCGTCGTTGAGATGTGAGCTTGTTGGAGTGGTATGGTATGGTGTGAGGGCCAGTACTATACCAACCCGTTGAGCACGGGACTGGTGCCGATACCAGCAAGAATCAAGAGTGAAGGTAAGTGAATCCACAGTAAGATTATGAAGTAAGGTACTGACCTTATCGTTTAGTTGTTGCACGTTTCCAGATACAGCCTTAGATATATGTTTTGAGTGAGTCCACTCTACTCTCGTGTTCTGAGTACCCGTTGCCGCTAGAGGTACCAGAATATTCTACTTCGGCTACTGGTCAAGAACTTGATATTATATGTTGTAGAACGTGATGGCCAGGCTGTCATTGTAGCTAGCTAGCATATCGTAACATGCAAATACTCCGAACGCAGTCGTCGCTGATGAGGTTCGCCCGTATGTGATCCAAACGGCGACCTTCTGTCTGCTCGTGCTGGCATCAACCGGTCTACTCGAATTTCGAGTTCATCGCATCCTCATGGAAGTATAGAAGACTCATGAAAGGATCACAGGAGCTTTACGTCCAATATACCTCCTACCTCGTAGCGCGTGCAAGGTACTGATAGCAGATTTGATTGGTTGGCTGGCTGTTTTGGTGAGGTCATGACGGTGGAATGAGATCGACGCGACAAGGTTCTATACCATCAACAAATCTAGGTTGTACCTGATTCTGAGTCTCGTAAAAACACATGTGGTGATAAAATTACAGGACCCTAACTGAATCACTCTACTCTGGTTCTACCTGCTCCCCAACCCTCATACCTCATCAGGGTAAAGGTGCATAACATTCATGGCTCGCACCAAGTCGACCGCACGCAGCACGAGGGCGCCAGCGGCGGCGGAGGAGGCCCATGGTTATGAGTTTGGCGGCCCGTAAGTACAAACACCTTCAGCATCATTGGCATCATCCTCATCCTCATCACCATTACCACACTTGCAATGCAGCAGAGAAGACACATGTATCCATACGTGTCGAGATACGCATGGAGCAGCACTGACGCTATGGTCCTCATTTCAGCATTGGCGCGGCCCTGATATCTTTTGGCCTTCCCATCGCCTGCTACGCCTTTGGCTTCCTCTGCAACGACGTCTCGGGCTGTCCTCCGCCGTCGCTGCTCTCGCCCGCCAAACTCTTCACGCCGCCCACCCTCTCCAACAAGGCGCCGTGGCAGCACGCCCTCGACACCCTCAAGGCCGACGTGGGCTGGCCAGGCTGGGCCGGTCTCATCAATACCGAAGCCGTGCTAGGCTCACTCTTCTGGTACGGCCTCAGTCTGCTACTCTATGTTCTGCTCCCGGCCCACGATGTGCTCGGCACGGAGCTGAGGACGGGCGGCCGTCTGAGATACCGGTTCAATGCCTTTCTCTCCGCCATCACCATCTTCGTCGCCTGCGCCGCCGGCACCGTTCTTCGCGGGCCCGACTTCCAGGTCTGGACTTTCGTCAACCGCAACTACATCCAGCTCCTCACCGTCAACATCATCATCGCATACGCCCTCGCCATCTTCGTTTACCTGAAGTCGTTTGAAGTGAAGGCTGGGAATAAGGAGCAGCGCGAGCTGGCAGCTGGTGGCCACAGCGGGAACATGTTGTATGATTGGTACATTGGCCGTGAGCTCAACCCTCGCGTGACCATTCCCTTCGTTGGTGAAATTGATATCAAGAGCTTCATGGAGCTGCGGCCCGGCATGATTGGCTGGGTCTTGTTGGATTTGGCATTCGCGGCCAAGCAGTACAAGAGCTACGGCTACATCACTGATTCAATGCGTAAGTCACCGACTCTTTTACAATTGTGAGTACGGCCCTCGTTGACAACTTTGCAGTTATTGTGATTGTTTCACAGGCCGTCTACGTTCTCGATGCTCTTTACATGGAGCCGGCCATCCTGACCACTATGGATCTGACCACCGATGGTTTCGGGTTCATGTTGTCCTTTGGCGATTTGGTATGGGTGCCGTTCATCTACTCCATCCAAGCCAAATATCTCAGCGTGCATCCCGTTGCCCTCGGGCCAGTGTGGGTAGCAATCATTCTTGCCATTCAAGCGACGGGCTACTACATCTTCCGGGCCACCAACAATGAGAAGAACGTCTTTCGAACGAACCCGAATGACCCCAAGGTTGCACACCTAAAGTACATTGAGACCTCGACTGGATCCCGACTGCTCACGACTGGCTGGTGGGGGACTGCCAGACATATCAACTACTTGGGTGACTGGCTGATGAGTTGGTCTTATTGCCTGCCGACACTGGCCGCAGGCTACAAACTCACGCCCACCATTCTGTTTGAAGGTTCGCGCTTAGTGAGTACAGATGGCATGAAAGGCGCCGGAATGCCCATCACCTACTTCTACATGTTATACTTTGCCATTCTGCTCATCCATCGTGAGATGCGCGACGAAGCAAAGTGCAGACGCAAGTATGGCGACGATTGGGAGAAATACTGCCAGATTGTCCGATGGAGAATTGTGCCTGGTGTCTATTAGAAGATTCGAAGGCTGTTTTAGTACCTAGTCGGCCGATTTGTATACTGGTCATAATAATAATAAAGGTCTTCACTTTCTGACATGTATGTACGTGCTGTGATGTCCGTCGGCTTGGTGTACTACCCCACCTTTCACTTCCGACTTGGTTTGCCCCCTCATTCTTTCCAATCGCGAACATGTGATATAACTCTCCATTAATTATCTTGGACGTACTACATGTACATGTAATTACCTGCAGTTGATGGAATAGGCACACAGCATTTCTGGACACCAAATCCCACATCGATTCTAAAAACAGCCACAAGGACAAGCCCACCTACAACCATGTCAGCATTCACCGAAGCAAATCGGAAAGCATTCGAGTACGTCTTCCCCATGGTCACCACGATGAGAGATGTATGGCATTAATAGAGAAAAAAAAGTGAACTCTCCGCAACTTACAACACCAAACCCTGGCAACACGAGCTGAAATCTCAAGTCGCAACAGCCCTTCAAGCCCGCACCGAATGGATTGGTGCCGAATGGATTTCTCCCCACCAGCAACCACCCGGTCAACAGCGACGAGATGTGCGATTACTCGATTATGCCTGTGGTACGGGCGCCATCACTTTGGCACTGGGGCCTTATGTCACACAGACGCGAGCACTCGATATTTCTGAGAAAATGGTCCAGCAATATAATGATGCGGCTCGTGCGTCTGGTTTGACCGCGGAGCAAGCGTGTGCTCGAGTGGGGAATTTGTTGGTGGAGGAGGATGGGGAAGGGCAGGATTCGGCGTTGGAAGATCGTGAGGAGTGGTATGAATTTGATGTTGTAGCCGTAGGGTTGGGATTTCATCATTTTGAAAATCCGGAGCGGGCGGTGAAGCAACTTGCGAAGAGATTGAAGGCTCAAACGGGAGTTTTGGTGATTGTGGATTTTTTGCCGTTTGAGAAAGGTGGTGGTGGTGACAATCATCATGGCTCGTCTTCTTCTTCTACTACTACTACAGATATGGCGCACACGATTAAACGGAATGGGTTCACGGGGGAGGAGATGAGAGATATGTACACTGCAGCGGGATTTGAGGATTTTGATATTGTGGCTCTCAAGCAGCCAGCTCGGATGGAGCTCAGCTCGGGTACAGTATATCGAAGACTGTTTATTGCAAAAGGTCGAAAGGGAGCGACTGTGATGCAAAAGCTGGGCAACTGGATCGGAGGCCTACAAGATTGGGCAGCTGGTGGATGGAATGCGAGTGGCGGGAGCGATACGCACACATGGGATCCGGGTTTTGCGAACGATGTGGCCAAACAGGAAGGCAGTATCTGGGGCCCTGAGAAGAGGAAGGCAGAAGACTATGCGGCTATGCCAAAGAAAGATGAGCCGTATCGAGATACAAGAGGTTGGAATATGGTTTGTCTCTCCAAGCCTCTCGTGCTGTGCTGTAGCCCTTTGCTGACCCTGCACTCTCTTGCTCTCTAGGGATTGCCACGAGACGATGCTTAGGTCGCCGGGACTGGTTGTCAGACCACCTCGTGTCGACTCTGTAGCTGAGTCGCTCGTGGTAGCACAGCGTCAGTGTCTCTGGGGGTGATGAAGCCACAGCATACTTGTACAGCCCAGTTTGGACCACATCTATCAAGTAAGTAGTGGTCACCCGCCACTGGCTTGGCACGGTAGATTCGCGTATTCACTTCGACAAGTGTGAGAGAAGCTTGTTCCAGCTTCCAGCCTTCATCTGCCAGGAATGCTGGGTTACAGAGTGTGCGGCCGGGTCATAAAGACAATCGCTCGTGGCAACCCGGCCAGATTGCAAATTCTCTTCATCCCTCTACTTTCACGTCTCTCATGCCCTCTGTGATGGCATCCTCACCTTCGTCCTCATCGTCGGCAGTCTTGCCTGCCAAACCTTGCTCCCATAATTGCCTTCCGGTCAATAGATCCTTCTGCTCCTTGCCACCACGCTTCTTCTTCTCCTCGGCTTCCTGCTCCAGGCGTTTCCGCTCGGCCTCTTCAGCCATCTCCTTGCGAAACTTGTCGCGCCAGGCCAAGAAGCTCTCGCGTGTGACCTTCTCGCCCTCGAAGCGCTTGTTCTCCTCTTCCTCGGCACGTGCCCGTTCTGCGTCGCGCACCGCAATGATGGCAGCATAGCGGTCGTTGATGAGCTGCTCAGCGGCCTCTTTCAGCGTGGCCTGAATGGTGAAGATCATCTGCATGCCGAGTGATGCTTCAATGTCCGGCTGCAGTGCATCCAGCAGCCGTGGCTTATCCTCCTGAATGTCGAGGTGCTCATACTTGGGCGCGTTGGGTGGCTGCGTGATGTCGAGCACGGGCGCCTCATCGGGGTACTTTTCGGGGTAGCGCACATTCAGGATGATGCGCACCGGCTCTGGGCCACTCTCGTCCTCACTGTCATCGGCGGCGGCGGCCGTGCCCTCGCGCTGCTCCGGCGTGTCGAGGACGATGGTGATGCGGAACTCGGTCTCGGAGATGTCCTGGATTTCGTCGGGAAAGATGGAATCCAACACCTCCCGCTCTTCCTGCTGTTCTTCTCGACCCATGTCTTCTTTCGTGCTCAATGTGCAGTCATGAATCGGGTGCGGTGGCAACGAGCAGCAGAACCAGTTAGCCCGAACAGGGAGGAAGAGAGAGCAAGGTAGAAATAGCGAGAGAGGGAGAGAGGGAGAAAGATGTCATCGTCGAGGTCCTATAGTTCTACCTCCACTGGTTCGCGTGTCGGGGCTTCGGCGGTTGGAAACAAGCTTTCTTGGGGCTGCAGGGTGCTATTTTTCACCACCACCACCACCGCCACGACCTATTATTGTGCAAATAATACCAATCCAGCAGGACCTGCCGACGCACATTTCCCACTCCCACGGTGATGGCCAAGAAAGCAGCCCGCGCCCACCAGCAGAAGCACAACACACAGAAGCACACGCACAAGCAACCGGCCACTGTTATGGCGTCTCAAGAACCAGAAGCGTCGCCCGAGCAGCTCTACGCGTCCGCTCTCGAGTTGGTCGAACAGTCGCAGCCCGCCGAAGCACTTGTCGCAGCCAAAAAACTCTGGTCCCACGTCAAGAACGGCTCTGTCACCGACAAGCTGCCTGCAGCCACGCTGCTGGGCGACATCTCCATCGAGCTGGGCGCTGTAGACTCGGCCCGGCGCTACTTTGAGCAGGCCGTACTACTCGATCCCGACGGCAAGGTGCCAGAGACTCTCGGTGGCGGCGCCGACAAGTTCCTCTGGCTTGCACAGCTGTGCGAGGAAGGTGGCAAGCAGAGCGTGCACTGGTTCGAAAAGGGCGTCCAAGCGCTGCACTATGAAATTGCCGCGCTTGAGAGTGGCACTGGCCTTCCGCCCGGCATCGACGACGAGGCTTTGTTACTCTTGCGCGTCGAGAAGAAGCGGAAGCTTGCTAACGCTCTCTGCGGCATCGTCGAGGTGTACATGACGGACTTGTCCTGGGAGGACGACGCGGAAGCACGCTGTGAAAACCTGATCACTGAAGCCATGTCGGTCGAGGATGACACGAGTGCTGAGGTTTTGCAGACTCTAGCCTCCGTCCGATTATCGCAAGATCGGCGAGAGGACGCCCAATCGGCCTTGCAACGCTCGCTCGCGATGTGGATGGATCTGGAGCCAGAGGATCCTGCTGTGCCTGATTTTCCAACCAAGGTGTCACTTGCACGCCTGCTAATGGAGGCCGACCTGAAGATGGAGGCGATGGAAGTGCTGCATCGGCTAGTTCAGGAAGATGACCAGAGTGTGGAAGCATGGTACCTGGGAGGCTGGTGCCAATATCTGCTCGCCGAGCCTCACGGCATCATCGCCGATGCCCGGAATGGGGATGCCATGGACACAGGCGCTCCAGTCACGAACCAGGAGCAGAACGCACGGGCGAAGAAAGGCAGTCGTCGCTGGCTCACGACCAGTCTCAAGCTCTACAACCAGCAGGAATACGAGGATCACAGACTCTTCGATCACGCGCACGAGCTTGTGGAAGAGCTCAACGCGGTACTGGGTCCGGAAAATGAACAGGCCGAGGGAGGGGATGAGGAGTCGGAATGGGAGGGCATCGGCGACGACGGCGAGGACGAAGACGAGCAAATGCAAGGTGCTTGAAAAGCCATGTCTTCTAGCTGTCTCACGTGGACGCTTTGTCTGTCGGCACGCCCAAGTAATGCTATCACGATCTCGACCGTGTGTCCGAGTGGTCTTTACCAGCAACTTCCTGGATGGATTTTCGTGCTTTGCATGACCATTGGCTCAGATTCATCAACACGCTAATCCAGAAATCAAACCACGTACTTGCTCCAATCAGAAAAGCATGCGAGTTCGCCAGCCAACTATCATCACATGGAGTCGAAGTTTGGTGCCAATGGATTTCGGGTCCGATTTACATGCAGCGGTGGCCTTGTTATCACACTTTTTGCGAGCCATACCCTGGAATTGATACGCGCAAGATACTAGGCAACGAGTGGGAAACGGGCATGATTTTGCTGACCATCGGAGCTTTTCCTAAAGGCGTCGCCGAAAGGGTCTCAAGCTTTCTCTTCAACCAGAAGTCAGTACAACCGGACACACTAGGGGAGGGGAGGTATTATCAGCCTCTGCAGTACACATGTGGTTACACTGATGAGAGGTGCGGGAGGGGCGTGTGTCAGTGCAGCTGTCCGTCCTGATGCCCGAGCAGACGAAAGTAGATCGTATACCACTCCTTGTACATCACCATCGGACATTAACCGGAAGGGCGCAGGTCTCGGATTGGGCCACAGCAGCGAGAAATTCGACGAGTGGCATCCAATCAAGTCGCAGGACTACTACCAGCCTTTGCTTATTTCTATATGCTCAGATGCAATTCTGTTGGCACGGGTCACGTGCACACCGAACATGGGGGGAGTCTTCGAAGCGTCTTTAAAGTACCTCCTACCTCCTAGGTATCAATGCTGATGCTGCTGCAGCTAAACTTCCCACGTGAGTGAATGTGAGCGGTACCTGCAGAGGCGCAGCTCAGCGCGGGCACGAGTTGCACATCAGCGACAGGGCGGGCTGGGGCTGCGGAGAAGCGCGCCGCCGTCGATGAGCCTGAGGGAGTATTCGTGCACGGCGGCATTCTGTACCGCAAGTCCAAGGAGTTAGGGGCCAAGCATGCCACTCCGTCTTCTGCTTGCGAGCAGTGTAGCTCGGCTGGTGCCGAAGCATGTGTTGCTGTGTGCCAGCCGGAATGCACGCTAGATCTCAAGCGTCAAGCCCTGTACAACCACACCATGTATCAAGCTCGATGCTCACTGCGGTATGGCGCGTATGACTGCACACCCCCCGTGTGGCCCCATCCGGCTGTGGTTGCTGCAACGTGCTGCTCGCAGGCGCTGAGATACCACCCGTACATTTCCGCACCTGAAACTGCACGTGCCATCACCACTCCAGCGAGGAGTCCCCATGCCGCTATTGGTGCGATGGATGGAGACCGATGCGTCTGTAGTGCGTGTGCCCGGCTCAAACGCCCTACCACCCAGTCGTTGGGTCGAACATGCAGGCAGCCGACGGGTAGGCCAGGAACACGCTTGCGTTCGCAGATGGTGCGCAGGTACTCGCAATCACCAGACCGCATGTGGTTGTGTGTTTGGAGGTGGGTCTGGGGACGGCCGCTGTAAATTCGCTATTGGCCTAGCCATACACGGTTTCAGAAGCGGACAGTGTGCTAAGCGTGAGGAATGTGGTTCGAGCACCATGTGTAACAAACACGGACTTGGGCACGAAATGTGAGCATCTCGACCAGCCGGCGGCGATGATCGAGCCCAGCACACCTAACCAAACCATTCATTCACTTCATCCCTGCACGTCGACACATGCCCACTGCACGTCAATGATCCACAGCGAACTAGTGGGCCACAACTATAGGCACCTGCTATAGCCTCCTACTTGACGGAGGACCGTCGTAGCAACGACAGCGCGCGTGCTAGATTCTGGCTTGCTCCAGTCCCACACAGCAGGTGGTGGCGTGGGTCGTGGTGCTTCCAAGCTGCGCGAGCGTGGATGATCCTTTTGGGAGATTATGGACTTCTGAGGGCGTTCGTTCGAACTCTCATGCTTCCTCCCCTCGAGCTCTGCGAGCAGCGACGACTCTTCCCTGTATCTCATCGGGGCATTAATTGGCACGCTATTATGCTCATCGCAGCGAAGTGGTCGCGCAAGCTCGACTTCCGAAAGCGGCCATCTGAGTATCTCTTGCGCGCCTGGGTCCAAGACCACCACGGATGCGGTGTACATCGGCCGCCTTCAGCAGAGAGGAATTGCAAAGGCTCAACCTCAATCATCAACCCATCCTCTGCTACAAGTACTCGGTCGCTCTACTTGCACAAAGAATCTTGTGTGACTTTTTGCCTGGTATTCTGTCCGTCTCTGCTTGCTCGCCCGTCCCTTTTGGCCACCTCCCGAGACAAAGCCTGCCTTCAGACAACGACGACAACAACGAAGACGACGACGACGACTGCAGCAAAGACGCACAATCAACTCGTCTCTCCCGCCTCGCAGCAAAGAAGAACAACAAGGCGAGTGCTCATCACGAATCTAAGCCAAGGGAACATTCGGTCCGGCTGCCGGTATCGTGCAGAACAAAGTGCATGCTACAGCGGCTGGTCGCACAACGTAGGCAATCCCCTTCTGAACGCTTCCACGAAGTGCTCATGCATGCACGCGTGCGCGCAAGACAATTCAGTTGGAAGCAACCATGGCAATGATAATCCTTGCTTACAAGACATGCAGACCTTCTTTGACTGCTGCCCTGATAGACACTGGTCTATTCGATTCCCCAGAGTCTCTCATTCACAGGTCTCGGGGTCGAGCCGCCACGATTCACTTCAAGAATGACAACCGCTGCCATGATGCACCCGGGTCCGTCTCACGATCAGGTCGATGCAGATCTCATCAACCAGGTCGGCAGATACAACGCAGAAAGTGCGCCATACCACCAACAGGCCATCGAACACTTCCCAGACTACCATGAAGATTACAACGGCTCTGGTGTCTATGTGAGCCATCGCGTCATACTCGTCACTCACCTGTTGAACGATCACTGACCACTGTATAGCAGGACACTTTCGATGGTAGCTACTCCAGCGAACACGCCTACGTACACAACGCGCCAACCCCTCGATCCAATACGGCCAGTGATGGCGTTCGCACTCGAAGCGGTCGATCTGCCCGGACGAGAACAGACTCGCCCTTCAGCAGTGGCAAGTCCAGAGTATCCAAGTCTCCCGCTCCCCGCAAGAAAGACAAGAAAGCCAAGTCCGACAAGCACAAGGGGCCACCACTCACGGCTCCGTTGTCTGTTCTGACCAAGGATTCACCTGTGCCTGTGAAAGACATTGAAGCATTAGTGAACCGTTCTACAGAAGTGCGACTTGAGGAGGTCGCGAAGAACAAGGGATACATCAAGCGTCCGATGAACTCTTTCATGCTGTATCGGTCAGCATATGCAGACCGAACGAAGAAGTATGGCGAACAACAGAACCATCAGATCGTGTCGGCGATGGCTGGTGAATCATGGCCCATGGAGTCGGAAGACATCCGGAACCAATTCGATGAATGGGCCAAGCTTGAGCGTCAGCATCATCAAGAGGCGCATCCGAACTACAAGTTCTCTCCCAGCAAGACGTCCAACAAGCGCCGCAAGGGAGAGCTCACCGAGGATGAAGAAGATGCAAGTGATCTCGATGAACGAGATCCAGATGGAGAGTATCGTGGTGGTCGCCAGGTTCGACAGAAACGGCAAGGCCGCGATGTGACCTACTTGCCCAGCAACAGTGGTTTCGAGTCGCATCCCTACTACGGTCAGCAGCAAGTCAGTGGCTATGAGCAGTCGCACTTTCAGTACGCCAATCCGGGACGGCCTCTTCCATCGAACGTCGCCTACGACCCGCAGACTGGACAACCCTACAATCCGCAGACTCACACTTGGATCCAGACCACTCCTCAGCAACAGCAACAGCAGCAGCAGCAGCAGCAGCAGCAGTTCCCACAGAACCCATACATGTATCAGGAGCTGCACACCGCGCCTCGTGCCCCCACACCCGTGTCGCTTCACGGCCAACAAACCACCATGGGAAGTCTCGGCCTACCCGGAGGTTCCAATCCCGAAGACCTATTCGGCAGCTCGAGAACCAGCACTCCTCAGCAATATAGCAATAGTGTATATGGTGGTGGCCCAGCCGTCTACGCTTCTTACCAGAACCAGTATCATCAGCATCAGCAACAGCAGCAGCAGCAACATCAAGAATACCACATGGCGCCCACATCAGCCACTCCCCAACCTGGCTCTCAGCAGTATGAACACGCGCAATATCTCACTCAACACCAAGATGTCGTCGATCCCACTTTACAAGCTTTTCAATTGGAAGCCGCTGTCTCTGGTAGTGGTGGCAGGAGTAGTGGCGGTGGTGTTGGCAATGGCGGTGGTGCAGCTGGAGACAGCCACTTTGACGACGCGCTTGGTGATTTGAGTGAGGGAGATATGTCAGGTCTGCCGCTGACGGAGTATTATGATCAGAATCCTCAGAGTCCCACGGGGGGGAATGCCACTTTGGCGCCTGCGTGGGATATGGCGCGGGATTTGAAGTGAGTGTGGAGAGGGAGGGAGGGTGGGTGGGGTGAGGAAAGCAGACGTGATTGGAAAGAAAGAGATGGTTGAGAGAGAATGAGCAAAAGGAGATGCAAAGAAAGAAGAAATGCAAAGCTTCCATACCTTACCTTACTTATCAAAGCGAAATGATGTGATGAAGAAATTTTACACACAGACACACACTCGCGCGCAATATGTATTGTCATTGTCGTGTTCAACTTTTGTTTTTTTTCTTTTCCTTTCTTTTCCTTTCCTTTTCTCTTTTCTGTGTCGCTCGCTCCATGAATTTCATGCTTTGCCTTGCGTAGTTTATACTTTTATTCCAGTTATTATCTACACTAGAGTGAAAAGTGTGATGTCTATAAATGGAGTCAATGTTCGATAAGTATAAGACTTTAGATACCTATTACTCAGTCAGTCAGTTACGTACTTATATTTTGTAATAATACCAATCGATTTATTGACGAGGAAAATCGAGGACTCGACTCGGCATCTAGTAGTATAGACATGTATATATATCTCTCTCTATATCTCTCTTATCGAGAGGTAGGGTTCTCGTCTCAAAGACAAGCACGTCTCATCCATACGCATGTTCTTCCTCGCCGAGAGGAACATTCGGGTGTTGTTGTTGCGAGCCATAGACGCCTCCGTCGAGAATCCATTGTTCGTTATCGCCCTGGTCTTGATCCATTTGTACTCGGCGCCATGTCACGCGCTGCTTCTGGTTGTTGGGATCTTTGCTTCTCCCGTCATTATCTTCTTCTTTTCTTGCAGTCGGGCGAATTAAACCTGCTGCTAATGGGTTGTTGCTGAAAGCGCCACTGCCAGTAGAATTGACGGGGGGAATGAAATCTTCTTGATCATCATCATCTGCATCGTGAGATTTTGTAAAATCCGGTCGGGGAATCTCAGCCATGCGTCTGACCACCTTTCCGGCCTTCAGATCGATGCTCGCCACAACTTGTCTCTTTTCATACTCGGGTTTGGCATCCCAATCCATTTCACGGAGCAGTCTTTGCTGCTTCTTGAGCTGCTGTGCTCGCTCTTGGGGACTCGCCCACATGTTCGTGCCGGCTGAAGGTACGTCAAAGTCGGCAGCTTCGTCGTGGACGACGGTTCGACGAGCATTATTCGCCTGAAATCCTAGCAATTTGTCTCGGTGTGCCTTTGCTTTTGCAGTGGCTTCATCATCTGACCCAGCTGGAGTCGCTGGCGTAGAGGACAAGGGGGATGACCGCGCAGATGATGATGCCTGTGCCAGGAAATCACGACCAGTGTAGGCACGAGCCTAGAATACTCTCCTATCAGTAAAATCAAGGCGGAGAATCTGTTCAATGCTTCGACTGACCTTGCCGTGTGCCACGTCAGCTTTCTTGTGCGCGGCATTGTTGGACTTCATACGCTCTTCGCCACCTGATCAAAGGAAACTATATGTCAGAACAGCGAGGATGAGATGAATATATGCACAGCTTTTGGACTTACGCTCATCTTTCAACACGCGCAACACTCGTAATACATCTTCCTGGTCCAGCAGTGGTGATTTGCAGAAGGTGCAAGGCGCCAAGCCCTCCTTGACACAGATAATCTTGCCACAATTCAAGCAGTTGGGTGCCATGTCCAGCAGTGGGTGTCGTGTCGCCATACAGTTGCACTTTCGTCGGAGGTCGTCCTCAGCGCTTGGGGTCAGCGATGGATTGGTCTGCACTTCGAGACTGCGAATGGCAGAGTCCAGGTCTGTCAAAGCCGTCGATGCACCATGCATGGCCGTCCCGCCAGATATGTTGATCTTGGTCTTGGCAGCTGGGGAAGCGGTGCGCGAGGATGCCATGGCTCCTTTCGTCGTCGTCGCATTCTTCCTCGATGAAAGGGAGTCCGATATGAGAGGACCGGAAGCAGACGGTGGCGGTTTCGCGGTGATGGGCAAGGTGGTGGGCTTCGCGCTGTCTGTAATCAATGGCAACTGGGTGGCGTCTGGCCGCGATTGTCTCAGAGCGAGATTATCAGCGACTTGGTCCTTGTGTCGCTGCCGCGCAGGTCGAGCGAGGTAGTCGTCCTCTTCGGAGCGTTTTTGATAAGCACCGGCGGTATTGCCATGGCCTTCGACCTGACGCGGTGGCAAGGCATGGATGTTGGCCTTTTTCTTGCCTTTGGCGTGAGGTCTATTTGAATTTGCACTGGTACTTGTACTCGCACTCGCCGGCGCCGATGATGGTGGTGGTATCTGTTGCTGCTGCTGCTGCTGCTGCTGTTGTCGCCGAACGAGGTTGAAGCCGGAGATGAAGTCCAAGCTCTTCGCACCGTCGCCAAGGAGATTCTTGAGATGCTCCGCCGCGCTCTCTCCGGACAACGAGTCGGCGTATGTGATGACTTGCTTCAGCGACTCCTCGTCCAGATCCAGAAGTTGCTGTAGCCGCGGCAGCGCCCACGTCTCGAGCTTGTTGGCCATTTGATTATCTGCTGACAAGGTAGAACTGGACGTGGACTTTTGGCGATGGTGTATCCCGGCCGCAACTCACGGGGAGAGCCGCGCGGGTTCCAACACGTCCCGAACAGACTAGAGTTTTACCATGGCATCACAACAACATATCAACCCGCATTTGAATCCTCAGCCTACACCATCATGGAGCATTTGTGCAGATACCACGAGCATGACTGCATTGCACTTGTGCTAAATTTCACCCGCCGTTATTAGGCATTTAGGTTTGTAGGTACACAAGAACGAAAATACTCTCAGACACATCGACCTCCATCGACCGGAACGTCGATTCCCGTCAAAAAGTCCGCCTCATCGCTGACCAGGAACGCACAGGTATTCGCCACATCACGAGGAGTCGAGCCACGGCCGAGCGGAATCGTTGCCATGAACGTGGCTTGGTTCTCTGGCTTGCCCAAGAACGAGTCGGTCCTACATCCATTGGCATCAGTCTGCGTTCGTTGCACAGTATCATTACTCCTGCTGTGCTTTTTCATGCATGAAAATGACTTACAGTCCAGTTCCCAGGCCTACGACGGGACACACGGTATTGAAGCGAATGTTGTCCTTGGCATACTCGACTGCCATGCTCTTGGAAGCATTGATGACTGCTGCCTTGGATGCGTTGTACCAGGTGAGTCCGCCGCGAGGTCGGATCCCAGCTGTGGAAGCAGTGGTCACGAACGAGCCACCAGTACCCTGCTTTTGAAGATACGGCACGAGCACACTCGTCGAGTGGAAGATGGCCTTGACGTTGACGGCAAATACTTTGTCGAATTCCTCATCGATGACTTCGTTGGTCGACTGTTGCAGAGCAAGCAAGTCAGTCTCTCTAGTTCTCCCAGGGGACTATCATTGTATTCTATTGCTCGTCGGACGATAGTTGATTGCACTGACCTTGTTCCTGTACGTCCCTTTACGCGGGGAAATTTAAAAAGTGTAAGCAAGTAATCTTCTGGAAAATGCAACTGATCTATGGAGAGATGGGCTCTTACATCCAGCATTGTTAATCACACAATCAATCTTGCCATACTTCTTGTGGCAAAAATCGCGAAGTGCCTCCCAATCTGCCTTACTGGTAACATCCGTTCGATGAAAGTCGCACTTCAATTCATCTGCAGTCTTTTGTCCAATGTCTTCGACAAAATCTGCAATAATGACTTTAGCGCCTTCTTGGAGAAATTTCTGCGCAATTCCCTTGCCAAATCCTCCTCCACCACCAGTCACGATGGCGACTTTTCCTTCGAGACGGCCGGGCATGGTTTGAGATGTGCTGCTGCTGCTGCGGTTGATGTTGGAGATGTAGGATTCGTTGGTATTATTGCTGCAGAGGTTGGGTGACTTTTGTGTGAAAACTCATTGGAGTCAGGTACGTTTTCAATGGACAACTATGTACCTTGCGAATACTGTGCCATGTTGCCGCCTACCCCCTCTTCTATATAGTAATATTATTGCAATTGCTGCAGTGGCTCTCTAAACCTACAATACAAACACAGCAATTCCCCGCATTGCGCTCGTGCGTCATCTGGTGCTGTTGGCGGGGTTGCGATCCCGGAGATAATTGAGCCGAGTTCGCTGGACCTATTCTCTATTATTCCCGGGAAGAGCATGCTCTCTCCTTGGCGAGGTATATACCAATTCCTCCATTCTCACGCCGTCGATATTATTTTCAACAGAACAGACCAGCAGCTTCGCTTGTTCTGACGAGCCATCTTACCGTATTTCCTGCAAACACACTATTGCAGTAGCCCATTCAGCATTCCACGAAGGAAAATCGACGCCGCTTTTGCCCCCGGATCCGGCGGTGTTGCTTGTTGATGATGATCCGCTGATTCACCAACGTACGTTGCTATATGCTTGTTAGTATGGTATGACTACGTTGGCGTGGGAGACATATGATGGAAAACGTACCGCGGCCATATTTGGCTTTCATCCCAGCTGTGCTGTCCGCACCCGCTTCAGCCGCCTCGACAGCTTTCTGAATATCAGCGTCCTGTTCAAAGGACTCGCAGAAGGGAATCAGGGTATCCATGACTGTTCTGCCTCCTTGCCTGGCGCTCGTGTACGACTGGAGATTCTTCAGAGCAACACCTGCAGCTTGGCTGGCACTTGTTGCGTCCATGGTGAATCCGCCTTGGTCCTTTGCGTATGCCTGACGCAGACTGCTCGTAAAAGAAGCCAGCATGATGCTGATTATGGCGCCCAGAGTACCGCCGATTTCCTCCACTGCCTCGCCGACTTGATCCAGGATGTAGAAGACACTGCCCTCTTTCGCCAGTCCGGCGTCGAGCCTCTGCAGAACCCCTTGACACATGCCTACCACGGCTTCACCACAGTCTCCGTCACCCATCTCGATATCCCACCTGGTGATATCGGGCTCGGCACTAATAGCAGCATCGCACGCGGCCCGTAAAGCACGTTCCAGAATGATAGGATCGACACGAGGCCCTTTGGCCATCTGTTGTTCTTCTGTAGCCGCCTCAGCGACCTTGGCCTTCTCCTTCACCTTCACGACATCGCGATAGCCATTTTTGGGCCAAGCTGGTGCGTGTGTTTCCATGTCCAGGAGATGAAGAAGAGTCTGAATGGATGTATTGGTATTCCTCTCGATTCCGGAAACATTGAGTAGGCTAATGGACCAGCCGGGGGCGTTTAGCGAAGTCTCGAAAGGCTGGACGTATATTCGGACAGGAGCGATACTCCACTTCTCTTTGAGGACTTTGCGTGTTACTGTAGTCAAGGCTTCGAGCTCAAAATTGGACATCCCTGAGGGCCAAGCGTCAGCTCTGGAGCCAGAAGCTTCTCAAGTCGCTCAATAGTTCAAAGCCACAGCAGACATTGGATATCAGATCTCACCTCCAAAGTTGTTGATTAGCAGTAGAACGACATCTTCAGGCTTGAAGTCCACAAAGGCTCTATCCTTATCGGACGAATCGAGGCAGTACTTCAGCATGTCCGATACCAGTTCCTCTGGTTCTGGTATAGGTGATATCTCGTGCAAACCTGGCTCGTTGTGGATTCCCTGAGCGGGTGAGCATAGATCGATTCACGTCTGGGAAGACTTAGAGTTGCCACTTCTATACATACCATTCCAAGAACAACCACATCGTCGGGTATCTCTCGATGATGCTCGCGCCCCGGGATGTGGCAATGATCTAGCGATGAGCCAACCGTGACAGCATTAGCATTCACGGCATAGCCTAGGTCCATGATCTTCTCGAAGCTGTACCCAGCCTTGGAAGCACTTCCACAGAGCTTTAGCACAAACATGTTCGCCGCCAGCCCCCGCCGACCTAGGTTCTCCGTCTGCTTTCTGCCTACACGTAGGTGTGATCATTCGAACGTAAGCACATGTTTTCAAATATCTTCTCGAAACTGAGTCCGACAGAACTTACCCAGAGCAACGTCGTCAGTCATGCGGAGCACACCAATCTTATAGCCCATACCAACGGCTTTCTCTCTTGCTAGGCCAAAGTGTAGATTGTCACCTGTGTAGTTGGTAATGCACAGAATGATGCCCGCGTCGGATGGCACATGCGAGATGGCGGCCATAATTTGCTTCGTTGAAGGGCTGGCAAATACCTCGCCATTGACTGCAGCCGCGAGCATCCCGTCTCCTACATAGCCACTCCATGCGGGCTCGTGCCCACTGCCTCCTCCAGAAATGACGCTGACCTGAGTCGGCGGATGCGTCTGCGAGTAGACGACCTTGTTGGGCGCATCCAAAGCGAGGTGATTGTTACGGGCAACCAGCGAGTCTAAGCCCTGAACGACAACACCGGTGGTATGGGAGAAGAAGTGCTTTTTGGTGCTCATGGTTGCCCACTAAACTAATGTATCCAATGTGATCCAAGTATGAGGTAGAGTATGTTTTTCGACCAAGACAGCGCACAACAACAGATAGCAAGACTTTACGATGATTACCTAGAAGCTGGCCAGGCAGTCTGGCAGACAAGACCCCGCCTCGAGCTCGTCACGACGGGCGATCCCAGAGTTCACGCGTGAACAGAGCATGCCGATGACATTTATTATTAGATGGATGTTGCATGTCTCGAGGAGGGGACGAGGGAAAAGGGAGGGGAAAGGGCGGAGAGCGGGATGGGCCGTTCGACCAACCGGATGTATTTCTCAGTGGTATTCAACCTCTCCAGTCTCCACTCTAGAAAACACTCGTTCCTCGCCTCGAGCCTGCTCGCAACACCGCGACGCGACACGACACGACACGACACGACACGACCCGGACAACCACGAACCGATGTGACCGCGCACCACCACCACCATCACCACCACCGCCGCCGCCGCCGCCATCACCGCCGCGACACCAGCAGCAGCAGCAGGTGGTGGGATGCATGTTGCCGCGGGGCCAGCGCGGAAGCCGCGCAAAAGTCGCGGACGTGGCTTGCGCACAACGACGGGCTGGTGAGCGCCGACTCTTCATCTGCTTGTTTGTCTGCCTTCCACCGCTGCCACCGACCAACCCAATGCTGCTTGGCAGAGGGCTGCTGTCTTGCTGCGCGTGGCGGGGCTTGTGGGCGCAGCGCTGACCACTGCTGTGTGGCTAGCTCCATATGTCGCAAGAGACATATGAAATGTGACGAGGTGAAGCCACAATGCGGTCCATGTGCCAAAGGCAATAGACCGTGTGTCTACGGCCCTCTGCCGCCTGAACCTGACTCTGCAACAGCCGGCGGTGTAGCTTCCATTCCGCCCTACTATGCGGCTTCCGGTGCAGAGATCCCTCTGCCAGTACATGATCGGCCCCCGCCAGCAAGCGTCGCCACCGAGCCAGGCGCCCAGAGTAATGTACTGCCAGAGCAGTCCGAAACTCGCATAGGCAAGCAATGGTCGGCTGCTCCTGTTGATGAAGTAACGCAGATCACAAGCCCGCAGAGCAGCTCTAGTACCTCCACAGGTGTGTCCGCCACCACGTGCACCATGGCCGTGTCAAGCTATTGAAGCGTCCCTGCGCGAGCCGCAACAGCGACTAAATCACAGCAGGCTATGGGACTGAAGTCGCGCCGCTTCATTGGTTTGGACTTCTTGCCGGCGATGCAGCTACTGGCTCCCTTGATGTGCCGTCTCTGGAGGTTCTGGGTGATGCTGCACTCGCCCGTCGCCATGACGCCCATACCGATGGCGCTGCACACCCGAACCTACCACGGCCAGTGAGCCGGCCATACTTGGGACTAGACAGCTTCGCCTCACAGAGTCCTGCAAAGTTGTTACAGCTATCTGCCTGGTGCCCAACCACGAACAGCGCCAAGGGTGCAGAAGATGAACGGCAGCACTGGCAGGCCGCGGAGCCAATACAGCTCAAAGATCACGAATTTGACATATTCCAACGTTTTGTCACAGGCATCAGCTTATGGATTGACCTGTTCGACCCGCTTAAACATTTTTCCACCTTGATACCGCATCTGGCCTTGCACAACGAAGGCTTAATGAAGGCGCTCCTGGCACTAGGTACGTCCCTTCTTCAACAACAGCAGGTTGATACTGGTCTGGGTGGCGCAAAAAGGTACAGAACCGCTGCTGATGGTTTCAATTGCAGGAGCAAGGCATCTCTCTATCAAGCCCTTGCGTACAGGCGAAGCCAATGTAGACCGTACTGCTGCAGTGCAGTATTACTATGAGACTTTACGGTACTTACAGACCGCAATGAGGTACACGACTTACAAGAACAGTCGCGAGCTCCTCGCAACCGCGCTGATTGTGAGTACATATGAGATGATCGACGGCGCGGGGAACGGGTGGGAGAGACATCTGAAAGGCGTCTTCTGGATTCAACGTAGTCGCGAGATCAATGGTGAGTCCGGAGGGCTGGAACAAGCCATTTGGTGGGCCTGGCTAAGACAGGACGTTTGGGCTGCCTTTCGTGAGAATCGGCGGTGCTTCAGCTTCTTCAAACCTACCAAGGTAAGTGGCAAGCGATGCACTGGCATCGCTCGTCTGCCTATACGCCAGAATCATCGGCCGCATCCGCTGACCCCAAAGTCACATAGCAAATGATGGATATTTGGGACATGGCTTCCAAGGTCACTTATATCTTGGCACAGGCGGTCAACTACAGCTCCCGGGAGGAGAAGCAGCTGGGGCAGGCCGACCTCACCACCCAAATTGCGAGAGCAAACACTTTGCTCAATATGCTTGACGACTGGCGAAGCAGCATCAGCATTCATTTCAACCCGCTTCCAGTTGGTAAGTCTCCAGCCACGCAGCATGATGCAGTGAGCATAGGATAGCACGAGGTTGGATTCAGTGTGCTGACCAAGGAAGCAGAAGGGCCATCTAACCGAGCGTTTCGGCCCCTATGGATCCATCCTCCTGCCTTTGGTGCCTCGGTGCAGATGTCCTGTATGGCACGAATACTATTACTGATACACCAACCTGCTGCAGGTGGCTATCTGGAGTACTTGCAGCGTGACAAGGTCATCTCCGAGTGTATCGACACCATCGGCGGCATCGCTATGAAGCTGACTGACAATGCTTCCCGTTTGATGTCCACGCAGTGTTTGTATGCAGCAGGGCTGTACTGCACCGACGGACCCAAGTGCCAATACATTGCGGAGCTCATCCAAGACCACGAGGGACACACTGGCTGGCCCAGTAACACCGATCTCGCAGAGGAGCTTCGAGGCGAATGGTCGAAACGACCGAAGGGTGATGCCCAGACGTGATCTGATGGCATTAGTTGCTGATGGTACTAGGAGGAGGGATGGGACGTCGATCTTGATGATGATGGTCCCTATCAGCATCATACTGCTGATCAGCCTCTTATGATCAGCCTCATTGCCATATGTTGTAGTCGATCATTAACAATGTCCAGGGCTGGTTGGTGCCGTCAACACGTCACTCACTCAGGTACATAGCCAGTAGGTACATGTCACTCCTAATAAGGCTGAGTGCCTCTCCCTGTCGAGATGAAATTCGCATTCATGCACACGGCGTCATTCGTCCCTGGCACGGTTCAGGGCGCGAGTTGAACGTGCATGCATGCATAAGGTACAGTGGATCCACTATACCTACTGTATTCCATCCGACCACGTATCCACAAAACAGTATGATAAGGCATGTTCAAAGTACATGTTACTCATGGCGAGAACGAGAAATGAATCGCACTCTATCTTCTTCTATGATGATGATAATGATGATGATTTGTGTGGAGCACGAGAACTACCTACACATGTACCTACCTGTACCTAGCTAGGTACCTTAGGCTAGTACTTCTCAATTGTCGGGCGACGGACTTTTTGTAATGTGGGAATACTTGATCTTTAAACCTCGTTCGATTGGAGTTTTTTGATACCATGTCTATAGAGAGTCAGAGTTAGAGAGTCAGAGAGAGGTGTCTTGGCAGTCTTTGCTCATAGGTAGGAGGAAGATTTCCGGATTACCTGTTTTTCTTTTTCTTTTTCTTTTTCTTTTTCTTTTATCCTCTTGTTCTTTCTTTTCTTTTGGCGGAAATCAAGTATGTATGTACCTCGTATGTATTCCATGGAAATGCATTCGTTCATTCTACGGGAGGGAAGATGAGGAGGTGAAAGAAGAAAGAAGATGGTTCTGGTTCTGGATCTGGATCTCCGAGTCCCCCCGGTCCTCCCCCCCAAAAAGACGTTTTGCGAGTGATACGAGATTTATTGATGAGCACCTACTCAGGGGTGTCGGTCCAAGGGGCTGGGCAGTTGTGCTCTATTCTCCTCGGTGATGTGTGAGAGAGAGAGAGTTCGTGGGACGTGGGCTGAAGTCTGAAGAGGAAAGAAAAGAAAAAAGTAAAAAAGCCAATGGATGACTGAAATGCGTGGGGAAAGAAGGGTCAATTCCAGGTTCCTTTTGCCAAGAGATAGAGACACGAGAGAGTGAGTGTGAGTGTGAGAGAGAGTTCAAGGTAGAGCAGTCAATCACATATGCAGGTACATCATGATTATGCATGATTATGCAGGACAGAAATACAGTTCTTTGTCGGGGTTGTAAAAGGAGATGTTCGGAGCAAAGCGATAAGGGGAGAGATGAAGCGTGCTGGGTGGTGTGATATTGATATTGATACCTGTAGGTACCTACCTTTCCTGAATGATGAGAGAGAGATTTGTGAAGCTGTTCGGGAGACGGGAAGTCTACTACTAGCAAAAGGCGGCAAGCGGGAAGAATAGCCGCTTAGAGACGCGGGACCGAGGCCAGGGTCAGGGGCTAGATAAACTCAGATAAGGCACGGGTTCTCGGCGCCCCACTGCCCCGGGACGTTTGACGTCTGGCATAGATATCTTTCCCTCCTTTCACTACCTCCTACATGTACCTACGTACCTACGTACCTTGTACAGATACTATGTAGTCTTGTCACATGTACATCACAAAAGGTACGAGAGATCCGCAAACACCCCCAACGCAAGGCCAGAGGGAGAAAAAAGAATATCCAAGGCGAAACCGTCACGGCACCGCCCAGCCTCACACAAGAGATAAGATGCGATGCGCGTCTCCATCACACATCGCGTCCTGCATGCCAAGCATATAGGCTGGGCTGGGCTTGCGTCTGCGAGCGGGAAGCTGTGGTTGGCTGAGGTGGGCAGGAGTGGAGTGGAGTAGAGTGGAGTGGAGTGAGAAGGGAAAGAGTGAAGAAGCAGAAGAAGAAAGAAGAAGTGGAGATGCTCGCTAGAGAGAATTGATAAGATCGACTTGGGAAAAAGTGGAGTTTTTCCAGGTTGTCTTCTAGCGTGCCTTTTACCTGGGTGAGAGAATGTCAAATGGGAAGAGGGAGGAGTTTCAGTTGGAAGGATGTCCTAGAGTCCTATGGAGGTACCTGCTACCGCCTAGGAGAGAGGGAAAGAACACCCAGAGAGGAATGCGCCTTCCTTTTCTCGCCTCGCATCGCCGTGAACCTCGCCCCACTCTGTACCTGCACCTGCACCTGCATCCGCACCTGCATCTGCACCTGCCGCTCACGAAAAAGAAAGGGAAAAAGAAAAGAAAAGGCGCGCGGCTCTATTCCCCATTTGGGGCGGATGTTCGAGCGGCAGGATCCGGTTGAGATGATGATGTGCTTCCAATTGTTATTTCACATCCACCTCCACCACCTCCACCACCACTACCACCAGGTCCACCACTACCACGTGCACGGCAACGGGAAACTACCGAACATGCAGGACGTGCACCGTGAGCAGCATCCCACATTTCCCATCTCGGTCATTCATACCATGCCTTTCCCCCTCTCCCTCTCTCTCGACACCTCTTGACACTCTTGACACTCTTGACACTTCGAGTCCCACCTCGCCTCATCTTTTGATTGTTGATCTCATCCCATCACTCACTCACTCACTCACTCACTAGTACATGTAGTAGTGCCGAGTCTACTGCCATGTAAACCCTCCCACGCCCGGCATTCGAGCAACCCGGCACTGCAAGAAGCAAATCACTCTATTATGCTTCTGTCACCGTCAATCCTCCTCCATTCTTGATCTCTCCTTCTGCCACCCGGCTCCGCTTCGAATCTTCACGTGGCTTCTTTGCACCAGACCACCAGACCACCAACTCCCGAATCTGGGACATCTCTCTCTCTCTCTTTCTCTCTCCCTCTCTCTCCCTTTCTTCCTCTCTATCCCCCTCCCTAGGAACAACAACATCATCCACCTCCAGTCGACCTCCTGTCCCCCAATATGAGCGTCGCCAAATACAATGGCACCGCGCCCACTGGTGGCGACTCGCTCACTGAAGACCGTATGTCCTCCAGTGCCCGCCTCCCCTCACCCCTCACCCCTCTTCACCTCCACTCTTCTGATCCCAGGAATGTAATAACCAAACAGCTGCTCACCAAAAATGCAGTCAATATCTACTATGCGAGCGGCGACATCGCCTGGGTCATCACCGCCACTGCCCTCGTGCTGTTGATGATTCCTGGAGTGGGGTAAGTCAACGACTTCCTGGCCGTATCGCGAAATGCCAATACACTGTACTGACATGTCGTCTTCCAGCTTCTTCTACTCGGGCCTGGCTCGCCGCAAATCCGCCCTTTCTCTCATCTGGCTCAGCACCATGGCCACTGCCGTCGTCAGCTTCCAATGGTTCTTCTGGGGCTACTCACTGGCCTTCAGCCACACTGCATCCTCCTTCATTGGCGACCTGTCCAACTTTGGCCTGCGAGATGTCCTCGCCCGTCCGTCCGTGGGATCAACGCGCATTCCCGACCTGCTCTACTGTGTCTACCAGGGAATGTTCGCTTCCATTACCGTCGCCTTGGCCACAGGAGCCGTCAGCGAGCGAGGCCGACTGCTCCCTTGTGTCATCTTCATGTTTGTGTGGACCACGCTCGTCTACGATCCCATCGCCTGCTGGACCTGGAATCCCGCTGGCTGGTCATATAAATTGGGAGGTCTGGACTTCGCTGGTGGCACTCCCGTGCACATCTCCAGTGGAACTGCAGCATTGGCCTACAGTTACATTCTGGGCAAGCGCAAAGGGCATGGCACGCACGCACTCAACTACCGTCCTCACAATGTCACCTACATTGTGATCGGCACCGTCTTCCTCTGGGTCGGCTGGTTTGGCTTCAATGCGGGAAGCGCATTGGGTGCCAACCTGAGAGCAGTCATGGCTGCGCTCGTGACCAACCTCGCCGCATGCGTCGGGGGCGTCACTTGGTGTCTGGTCGACTACCGCCTCGAGAAGAAATGGAGCACTGTCGGCTTCTGTTCGGGCGTCATCAGCGGTCTGGTCTGCGTGACACCGGGATCGGGCTTCATCCCCGCCTGGGCGGCCGTCGTCTATGGATTGACGGCGGGAATTGGATGCAATTTCGCCACCCAGCTCAAGTATTACCTGGGTGCCGATGACGCCCTGGACATCTTCGCCGTACATGGCATTGGCGGTCTCCTCGGCAACCTGCTCACGGGCTTCTTCGCCGCCGACTACATTGCGCATCTGGACGGCGTCACCAAGATTGATGGCGGCTGGATCAACCAACACTGGGTTCAGCTTGCCATTCAATTGGCTGACTCGGTGACGGGAATGACGTACTCTTTTGCCATGACCTGCATCATTCTGTTGACCCTGTCCTTTCTCTCTCGTTGGCTTCCCAGCCTGAAGCTCCGAGCCACTCCCGAGGAAGAAGAAGTGGGAATCGATGATACCGAGCTCGGCGAGTTCGCCTACGACTACGTAGAGCAGTTGCGTGACGTGAAACCAGAAGGCATGCGAGACCACGACGACTTGGAGAGCATCGAAGGGGACGGCCGGAGTGTGAACAGTATCAGTCCCAGTATCAGTCGTGGGCCTCCATCGCCTCTGCACTCACAACCCGTCGAGACGAAGCAAGAGTATCCCCTGACACATATCAATCGGGAGCCTCGGCCGGGAGGCCACGATCACCCCAGCTGACTACATGGTCGCGACCGACCGAGAGTGTACAGCGTGAGTGGCGGACGTCTCGTTCCGAAAGACTCTGCTCTGGCAGAATTAGCATCGTAGAGGAAAATCATTCTCACCAACGATGAGCAAGGCGTTGGATGCAATTCTGCACATCCTGGACAGAAGAATGGAGAGCCCGTCGATGAGACATGGCTCGGATGCAGCCCATTTCTCTTCGAAACTCTGCGCAGTCACCCACTAGTAGTGGGTTGTACGTTGTGTCGCAACAGCTGCGCTTGCGAATTGTGCCCATTTGAGCTACTGCATGGTGCCTGACTAAGAGGAGGACGGTGCGACTGTGACGACGAAGCCAAGATTTCGGCTAGAGGGGAGGATTTTGCGGGATGACCGGCTCTGCAGTGGTGGTACCATCCGACGTCTTCTGATGGACAGCATCGGATGTCGATCTGCCCGTACGATCCAAGTACTGCTTGAGACTCTTCTCCGTAGGCTTGCAATGTAACCAGACCTCATCGCCCGCCTCGATGACTCTGCCTTTGCGCTTATCCTCCCGGCGTGACAGTTCGCGAAAGAGGCGAGGACTCAGACGATAGAGCCACTCGTGCGGAATGTGCAGCCGCGCCGCGATCCATTTCTCGTTTGTGGGCTTATGTAACAGGTTGGACGAGATGCGCTCGAGCGGATTGGGCGACTGCTCCAACAGCTTCTCGTTCTGGTACGCTCGATTCACCGCGGCCAGGTCTGCGGGTAAGGTTTGATCGAGGAATTCGAGGGAAGCATTAATGTTCAAATCCAACGCTCTCCGTGGACATGCCGTCATCTTCAACAGCAAACTGGACACGTGCGGATATAGCAGACTGAAGTCCGACTGCGAAATGTGTACCTACATTGGTGTTACAGACTTGCGCATCCTCGTCAGAACATGTTGTTCCACTTACTGTGCCACGGATCGTCAAGAGCCATGCTGGACTAGGCAAGGGTTCACTCTCGGCCTCTTTGACAATCGATTCCACGAGCTCAAAGTTGCTTGGCCAATATGTGAAGGCTTCGCTGTTGATCGCCAAGACAGGTGCTTGCACTCGCTGCTTCGGTTCGTTGTCGTCCGCTCCTCGAGTTCCGGCGCCCCAGACATCGTAGAGAATGCCTTGCGAAACGTAATGGAATCGCTCGCTCTGCCGTAGAATGTCGACTGTGGTTGCCGCTCCGAACGAGTGTCCTGGAGAGAGATGAGATGAGCACATTTTCGAAACTGTATAATACCTGTATCTACTACCAAAAGTTACAAGTCCGACCTGCGGACAGAGTTGCTAGCAGTCTATTACAAGCTTGGGAAGGGGGAGGGAAAGGTACTGACCAGCAGCTGTGACGTGGTCGAGTCGAGCTCGATCTTTCCATTGCGACCAATCTACACCCTCCAGCCCATGACGCGAGCTCCCTTTGTACCCCTTTCTCCTCAGATTTTTGTCGGAAATCATTTGACCATTACCCTTGATGATCTCGGTAAAGACGCCGTAGGCTTCCTCAATCTCCGCCAGGCGCAAATCTTTTTGTGCATCTCGAAGTTCGGTATCCACGCCTTTCTCGTTCAATGGAGAGGTATCGAGCGGATTGTCCTTGGGGAAGATGTAGTCTATGATACTGTACCCTCGTTCCTTCTCATGGGGATCGTGGTCCAGTTTGCCTCGAGTTTCGAGGTCGCTTGCGCTTCCCTCCCCGCGCTTCGCATGATTGATGTACGTTCGTGGACCAGAACCGTCACGATGCTCCACTGCAATCACGATAAAGCCGTAGCTGGCAAATTCACCACAGACTGAAGAATACATGGTCCTGGTGCCCCCCTAGAAGAATACGGTGCATTCACGTCAGCAATAGTAGTCTGAGACATAATGAGGACAAGTGATCAGTGATGGATTTACCAGCCCATGGGAAAACAGTATCACAGGAAACTGAGGTTCGTCCGACGAGCTCTCGTTCGGCTTCGTACCCGCCTCGTGCTTGGCCTTCAAGCCTTCCGTCTTCGTATCCGCTTCTGGAGCCCAGTAGCGGGCAATGGGTGCATTTCGAAAGGCCGGGAGCTTCGTGAGCATTGTGGTCGCAAAGACGGGAACAGCCAATGAGCCTACGCCCGCGAATTTTCCATATCCTTGAGCAATCGAGACTCGGGGTCTGCCGAGCCAGAGCTCCCGAGAGAATCGACTGCTCGTCTTCGGAAGTTTCTCTTCTTGGTCAATGGCAGCGGGATAGTAGATGGTCATGAGCACGGTCTCGAGCTGCAGGATGTGGCGTTTGTTGCGAGTGATATGCGAGAAGGCTCTCGGATTCGAGGCCGGACATTCAATTTCCATGCTACCCACAGGATAAGGCCCCGTGTATGTAGGGAGTGTCTTGCCAGGAACCCATGGTCGATCTCGAAAGCCTCGGGGAGCGCGTCGTTTGGACTTTTTGGCATGTGGCGGCTTACTCGATTTCTCTGCGCCCAGTTCAGGGCGGCCTTTTGAGGGACTCATTCCAAAGACGGTGGGAGAATGCCCAGGCACGCGCGACGGTTTAGTCGTGTGCTGTCGAGCATGTGTCGAAGGAGAACGTGGAAGGTCAGGTACGTGATCGACGTGTTATATTAGCAGCCGAGAATAGAGCGAGTGACAGGACGTCATGGCGGTGTTTCCACAGGCGGGTCACCATCCACTGTCGTTGACATGATGCCCGGCGGCCACGTCGTTACGCGGGCGCGGGTGGTGCAGAGGGAGGGAGAGCACAGGTCGAAGCCAATTATGGCTACACGGCGCAGAAGGGATGACCGGTTAGGAGGTAGCAGGTAGGAGTTAGGGCAAGTAGGGCTACATGTATGGTGTGTCGGAGAAATGTACCTCCTAGAAGGTGGGAGGTACCTGACCTATGCGTGCGTGCAGTGACGTCGGTTTTGGGTTTGTTGCCTCCGAAGTTGTTCCAGCGGACGGGGAGGGTGGAACAGCCCTGAGCAGAGAAGGGTAGGGGAGGCGGAGGTGGAGGTGGGGGCGGAAGAGAGCATGGCGGTGACTTGGCGAGCGGGAAGTGATGTCGACGGTATGGATGCAGTATGGATGCAGTATACAGGTACCTGTAGGTAAGGTACATGTATGGACAGAGATGTGCTGTAGCTGCCAAGACTCACAGACAAGCGCTCTCTCGAGATGCTTTGGGACCCTCCGGTGAAAATCGATACAGCCTTTTCGACCGTCTGCCTGGCTCAAGAACGTTGGTATGCCTTTAAGCTACCTCCTAGGCTCAACTGCCCTCATCGTATGTATGTGCTGACCTTTCCAGGAGATCGACCTTAGTCGCTGTTAAAGTAGCTCGCGCAAATGCGCGCCAAGTGGACAAGGAGTTACGACTCCATAGAATGCTCGTCCAGACAGGTCGTGAGAGTGACTCAAGGAAGCACATCGTCATGTCTATAGATGATTTGAGGCAGACCGGGCCCAACAGAGAGCATGATTGTCTGGTATTTGAGCCCATGGGTCCAAGCCTACCGTAGACAGTAGGTGGGGTACCTGAGTTCAGGTACAGGTATGTAGCTGCAAGGTAGAACTACCTGGTAACTACTACTATACTCGAGCTTCGTGGTGGCCTCAGGCACAAGACACTCTCTCTCTTGCTGGAACCTGGAAGGTACTTAGGTAACTTACCTTACCGTACCTCACCACTACCTACTACCATCCACACCTCCTACACACACCTCATCAACCGCCACCGCCGCTCAACATGGCCCCACGAGCACCCTTCCCGGCGGATCCTGACGACTTTGACTCGGATCCGCGCATCTCATACTCCAAGGAAAACTCATCGTACCTTCTCGAGGACGAGAATGGCGACGAGTGGGAATGGCTGGCGGGCCCAAGCAAGTGGAGCAAGACGGTACTACTGCTGCATTACCGGTCGACCGTGCCCTCTAACTATGTGTTTGTCGACGTGCTTTAGATGGACGAAGCTCTCATGAAGCAGCAAGCCGAGATCTACAAGGTCGCTGGCGTAGACGACGAAGCGCCCGCTCTCGACCCCATGAAGAAACGAAAGGCCAACCAGGACGATGTGAGGCCCCTCCCCCTCCTTCTCCTCCCCCTCCCTCCTCCTCCTCCTCCTCCTCCTCCTCCTCCTCCCCCCTCTTCCCTGCTCTTCTGGCCTCGCAGCGCAGAAGATATCACTAACGGTCTGCTGCAGTCCGAGCCCAACAAGAAAGCGAAAGCCAGTGCCTCGGGACCTGCCACCTCCAGTGCGCCACGCCGTTCCACCGCCGTCTTCGTGTCTGGTCTACCGAGCGATGTCGACGTTGACGAAGTCCGGGCCTGTTTTCAGAGATACGGCATCATTGCGGAGAGCCCTGACGACAACGAGAAGCGCATTAAGCTATACAACGACAAAGACGGCAACTTCAAGGGCGAAGCCCTGATTATCTACTTTCGACCAGAGTCGGTGGCCATGGCCATCAACATGCAAGATGGATACGAGTTCCCACGCGATCCCGATCTCCCGACGGGCCGCATCACGGTCGCAGAAGCGGATCATAGCTACAAGCGCCACAAGGAGGACAGCGTTAAGGACGACACTGTAGTCGAGGATCGGAATGCGGCCTACAAAGGAAAGCCCTCGAAGGTGAAGACCAAGAAGAAGGCCGAGGAGATGAACAGTCGTCTCGCGGACTGGTCCGACGACGATGTCTCGACGATGAAGCAGACTTCTTCTCGTGCCGACAAGGTGGTGGTGCTCAAATACGTCTTCACGCTGCAGGAGCTTGCCGACGACGAAGGTCTGCGAGAAGACATTATGGAGGATATGAGGGAAGAAGCGGAGAAGCACGGTGACGTCAAGAATATCACCATCTTCGACCGGGAAGAAGACGGGGTGGTCACCATCAGGTTTAGCAATGCCATGGCGGCCAGGGCATGCGCCGACGCCTGCGATGGCAGAGGCTATTCCGGTCGACCTCTGGCAGCAACCATTTCAAATGGCGAAGAAAAGTTTAAAAAGTCATTCAAGAAAGACATAGACAAGGAGGCAGAAGAGGCCCGGCGATTAGAGGAGTACAGCAAGTACATTGAGGGCCAAGATGGTGCCGCAAATGGAGGAGTCCAGTCCTGAGGATAGCGTGAGCTGAGCTTTCGAGCGTTCGATTTGGGCTTTCATATTGAAGGATGAGCTTTCGCATTTTGCACTCCTTCTTGCAGCTAGCGGGCGCTACTGTTGCTTTCGTACATCTAGATACGTTATGTATACTTAAACTGCAAACGAGCTTCGACCCATCATCATTGCTCTCAATCGATATCCATGGGGTCCTCGAAGTCGGATTCTTCATCCACGTCCTAGAAGATGTCAGCCCCACCCCCATTACAATATATTGAGCAACAAAAAACGCGTCGTCTCCATCAATACCTAGTGAGAATAGAACATGGAAGTAAAAGAAAGAAGAAAGAAACAAGAAAAAAAATCCCCTCACCATCGGATCCCAACTCTCATCCCTCTCCTCCGGCGGCACCAACGTCGCCCGAAAACACCTCTCCAACACCTCATTATCCCTCTCCCACGGCGACCACTCCCTCAACACCTTCCACACGCGCTCCGCCGTCCTCCTGCGCGCCTCGAACCTCTCCAGTCGATCCCGCAGCAATAATTGATCATAGTCCGAGTGCGCATGTCGACAATGCGCAATGACAATTGCCGTGTAGCGTTTCGCGTTGGAGAGTTTGGAGTGGCTTAAATTGTACGTGAAGCCTTTGGAAATGATGAGGTCGAGGAGACGTTCGAGAATGAAGTCTGGAAGGCGTGGGAAGAGATCGGTTAGTGGGCCGCGGTTCCATTCGCGTTTTCGCGCGAGTTGGGAGGAGAGAGGGAGATTTTGTTGTTGTTGCTGCTGTTGTTGTTCTTGCTGTTGCTGTTGCGGCATTAAATATCTTGTGCGTGGCCCTCGAGCGCGCGAGGCGGCGTTGTGGAAGGCGTAAGAAGAGTCTACGAATGCGTGTATTGATTGCATTATTGGGTTGGAGGAAAGGCGCGCTCTTCGATTCCTTGGCAGCCTGTGGTAGTTCTAGTTCCTGATGGATTCGAATATATCTGTATTCTCTACTCGGTAATAATCGCCCGCGATTGACTGACATGTTCTCGCATGTGGTGTTGTGAACCGTTAAAAAGAGGGCGGTGTTCCCGTGGGCTCTTTCTCTACGTACCGTAGGTAGTGACTGCTCGCGCAAAGGTGCTACCTACCTACCCTACATGTACCTGCCTTACTTGGCTGCCGTTGGCACAGTTTCATCAAAGCGAAAGCAGAAAACATTCAAGCAGCAAACGTCTACAAGCGACAACATGGATGCCTCGATGGTGATGGCACTGGAAGGGAAACGGAAGCGGAACATTCTCACGAACGTGAGGAATTGAGTCAGCAATCTTGGCTTCTCCATTGGACACTGTGCTTAGACCGCAGTGAGAGGAGTTTTGATGCAATGCAATACCATGACACCCCAACAACGCTGTGCTAAGCCCGAGGGTCGAAGACTTCACCAGCATTCGTACTGAACACTGCCACTTCATACTGCACCTGCTTTCCTCGTCCGTGGTTGTACTCAGGAGCCGACGGAAGTCCGAATATGCGCGCAGGGCGGTCGGATCACCTACGGAATGAAATATGCAGTGTAGGGGAGCTGACCTGAAACTCACCTGCCCGCCGAAACGTCTTTGATTTTGTTGCAGAAACATCCATGTGCCTGGAGCTTGCGAGGGTGTCTGCGATCCGCTTGGACATCTCACGAATCGTTTCCAGTCATCCTAAACGTCGACGAAAGCTCAAAGTCAACGCGTCACCATGCGTGCTCAGTCAAGAGCACACTTCGCACAGCTGCTTGAGCCCGCTCACTCCCGGTCCCTCTCCTGCGAGGGACGCGCAATATTGAACAGTGCGACCAATGATGCAGTCGCCGAGCTTCACCACGCACTCAACCCGCGGCGTTGGCCTGCGACTGCTTCCACTGTTGCGCCTGCGCCATGAGCTTGGCCATCTTCGCGCTACTTGCGTCGTCCGCTGGGAAAACATAGTCCATGTACTCCTCGAAACTGCCGTCGTCCAGCTTTCTCCTCTTCTTGACCTTCCTTGGCAGCATCTTGGCCACCTTCTCGATCTCCTCAGGGGAGCCATGCGTATCTTCGAAGCTCTTCCACGCAGCAAGCAAAGAGACCCGCTCGTCCACCAGTTGTCTTTCTTTGTATGCCTTGTGCGCACGCTCAAACACTTGTCTCGCTCTCGCTTTAGCAGCATCAGACACGGGTGCGTCTTCTGCCTCAACGGAGGACTCCTCCGCCTTATCGGGAACGTTGATCTCGAAATGGGCATACGAGATCCAGACTTTGACGTGCTGCGTCTTCTGCAAGAGCCTTTCGTACAGATCGCGCGTTTTATCGAATTCGCCCTCTTCCTCTTCGAAATCAATGTACGCTTTCCATGCCAATTCGGGCATATCCAGTTGATCCTGCTGAATGGCCAATTCGAAAATGGCACGTGCACGCTCCAAGTCTTCCAAGCCTCTCTCCAATTCCGCAAATTTGATCCAGCCCTGGGAATTACTAGAGTCGAACTCAATCCACTTCTCATACAGCGTCCGACAACGTACAAACTCGAATAGCTTGAGTTCGAGCTCGATGTAGGATCGGAAGACTTTGTTCTTCGGGCAGAGTCCAATGGCCATTCCCAAAGTCTTCCTAGCCCTATCCAGTTCTTGTCTTCGAAGGTGAAATTGCGCCTTCAATACCCAGATTTTGGCAAATGTGAATTTTTTATGCGGCACGATTTTGATCGCCTCATCATAAACCTGTTGAGCGCGGTCCAAGTCCTTGGTTGTGAGCTCCTCATACATGGCGTAGAAGATCCAGAGATAGATGTACCGTCTCCAATGGCGCTTCTCGTGTGAAGGGGGCATCTGGGCGATCGCGCGTTCATATACATCTCGGACTCGGTCAGGATCGCCTCCAGCTTCCTCAAGGCGGGCGTAGTCGAACCAAGCGTCGTAGTTCTTGGGATTCTCCTTCACTTGCTCCTCGTAGAGCACCCGACGCTTTGATAGCACCACATCTTCTACTCCTTCGCGATCTCCAAATTGTTTCTCGAAGGTGGTATACGACTTGTGGAGCGTGGCAGACTTGGAGCGCGGCATGCGATCCAGAGCATATTTGTAAATGGCGCGAGCACGCTCAAATTCTTTCAGCTTGGCCTCGAATCTGGCATACGCAATGAACAGCTTTTCGTCCATGAATTCGTCTCCGAGCGTTTCGATGGCCATGCCGAACACATCCCGGACGAGGTCACTCGTGCCGTTTGCCTCTTCAAAGCGTGCCCACTTGATCCAATTTCTAGGCTCCGGGTGTACAATGGTGAAGCGCTCAAAGATGTTACGTGCACGATCGAACTCGCCATATCTCGTCTCCAATTTGATGTACGCAGCCCAGGCAGCCTCATCGGGCTCCCAACTCATCCATCTCTCGAATACTGCACGTGTGCCAGCCACGTTTCCCAGCATCTCCTCCATGTAGACATATTTGTACCACAGCTTGTCGACTCTCGGCTGAATAGTCACTGCGCGATCGAGCAAGTTTCGGGCGTGATTGATGTTCCTCTCCTTCATCTCTGCTTCGATATACCTGACCCATAGCTGGACATTTGTCGGCTCACAGTCCAAGGCACGCTCGAAGACTGAGCGCGCGCGACGGTACTCCTTTTGCTCGAGTTCCCAGGCGGCATATCGGAACCAATTGCCCATGTTGAGCCTATTGCGGCGGACATAGTCTTCGAACTCTTTACGTTTCCGGCCCTGGTATTCATGGAGCTCTTCCAGATCGGCAAACCGCTGCGTCGGCGCAGTGAGAGCGGGTTCCTGTCGGTCCACAGCCTCTCGCAGCAGCTGTTCAGCAGAGATTTGCTGCGGCGCCGGCGCCTTGTTCTTGACCCGCGGAGGGCCACGCGAGGAGTCCATGGTGGCGGTGATTGTGGCGGCGTGCGACAGTGAGGTGGGTGTAATGGAGATCAGAGTAAGAGGAAAGACGTGGAGGAGGAAGAGAGCGCCGAGAAAAGTCCGAACCCCGAATCGCGTCCGCGTCACTTTCACAGGCGTTCGGCGTTCGCTATTCCGCTACCTCCTACCTCCACTCCACAACATCTCAAGGGCCGGAATCTGCGATTACCTTACATACTGCCACGCCGACAGTCATCTACCACAATCCTACCGCTGGTCAATATCTCGTGTGCAGCAGCGCCTTGTGCGCTCCGTGTCCCCGACCATGGCCACTGTTGCCGATGAGTTGTTGAACGACTTTGGCGACTCGGGCGACGAAAACGATGAGCACGCCGTAGAACATGAGTTCCATTTGGGCGATACGCAAGATGAGCACGCCGCCGGCTCCCAGAATGGCGATATGGACCTCGACGGCGACGAGGAAGCGGTGGGCGATGATGGAGGAGGCAGCGACGGAAACGTACCGGGCCATCTCAAGATGGACGATGACGAGACCGCGGAGGAGACCAAGGCGCGCGTGGAGAAGCTGGAGTTGCAGAGCGTGACTGATGTGCGTAGCGTTGCTGGTCTGATGAAGCAGTTGGATCCTCTGCTGAAGGTAAGTCCCCGTTCCCACCCTCCATGTACATGTCATCGGTAGTTTAATCTTGCGACTAGTCCTGACGAGTCCGGTGCACAGGACATTGACCACTACAAGAGCTTGCCACCGGGGCAGGAAACGCGGAACATTGGCAACATCGAGGATAATCCCGAGTACAAGCTGCTCACGCAATCGAATACGCTGTCCACGCAGATTGATGGGGAGATCATCCTGGTGCATAAGTTCATTCGCGATCACTACTCCGTCTGCTTTCCGGAGCTTGAGACTTTGGTCCAGAATCCACTGGATTATGCCAAGGCTGTGGCAATCATTGGCAACGGGCCCATGGAGGACATCAAAGCCATCAGCGAGAAGACGGACAATCTCGTTGGGCAGTCACTGAAGCAAGTGCTCGACAGCCCGTCTCTCATGGTCGTTACACTCGAGGCGACTAATACTGCCGGAACACCTTTGCCCGACAACGAGCTGGCGACCGTGCGAAGGGCATGTCAAATGGTACTGAGGTTGGACAGCGCGAAGCGAACGCTCACGGACTACGTGCAATCTCGCATGTCGATGTTTGCCCCCAATCTCACTGCGCTCATCGGATCTTCCACTGCGGCACAGCTCATCAACTATACCGGGGGCATCATAGGTCTGGCAAAGACACCATCTTGCAATATTGCTCCATTAGGCAACAAAAAGAGCGCTCGTGGCGTAGGTCTTGCAACCAACGTTGGCATCCGAAACCAAGGAATTCTCTTTAATAACGACATCATTCGACAAATACCTCAAGATCTCAAGGTCCAAGCCATGAGAATTCTGTCTGCGAAGATCGTGCTCGTGGCACGTACAGACAGCATACATGCCTCACCCTCAGGGGAGTACGGTCTGCAGATGGCCGAGGAAGTGGAACGACGAGTCAACAAGCTGTCGGAGGCACCGCCGAATAGTGGAATACGAGCACTTCCCGCGCCAGATGACAAACCTAGTAGGAAGCGCGGGGGTCGAAGAGTGCGCAAGATGAAGGAAGCGACCGCGATGACTGATTTGCGAAAGGCCCAAAACAGAATGGCTTTTGGTAAGGAAGAAGCTGAAGTCGGCTTCGGAGACAGCTCCAAGGGGCTAGGCATGATTGGTGCGCAAGATGACGGCCGTGTGCGTGCTACACAGATCGACCAACGCACCAGAGCAAAGTTGTCCAAAAAGAACCAGGGCTGGGGTGATGCCACTCCAGCGAATTCCAGTGGTACGACGACATCACTGCGAGGCTTCCAAGGTGGCATCGCAAGTCAAGGCGCTCTCAAGGCACAAGGTCTTCGAGCTGCGGGCGTAGGCAGCGGGCTCAAGACCAATGTTGGGGGCTCTGGTGGAACTGCTACGAATGTCGCCTTCACACCGGTACAAGGCATGGAACTGATTGACCCTCGCAAACGCGAAGAAGCCAACCGCAAACGCAAAGCCGATGAAGACCGATGGTTCAAGAACGGCACGTTCACTCAAGTTGGTGGAGGTAGCATGGCACCTCCCCCAGTTCCGAAGATCGATTCTAGCGGTTTCAAGGTCCCTGCTCTACCCGTTAAGAAAGCGAAGACTGGAGGTTGAATCAGCTGTAAAAGGACGATGGGCCCTTTCAACCGGTTTCGACATTGGACCTCGTCCGACTCTGCGAGCTTCAAATGAATGGCGGGGATTCGAACGGGAGCAGAGTGGCGCTGATCATCCACGAGTATCATAGGTGATCTGAAGAGATGGGCAAGGCCACATAGTCATGTGCCCTGACTTACCCACATCCATAATCAAAAAAGACATGCGCACGGGCTGACGAAGAATTGTCACAGTAGACAGTCGTTCCCGAAAATTGCGTTACGCATGGATAATCGTTATGACTGATCAGTGATCACCTCATTATTTCATACAGATATCATCCAGTCGTATCTAGAGCCCCTATGATTTGCCGCCTTTCCTACCAGCCTCGACTGGATCAACCTTGCCGCCAGCGAATTGGCCCTTGCCAGAGCTTCCGCTGTCGGCACTCTCCTCACTGCTACCGGAGCCTGAAGTGTTGCCACCCTTCTTGCCAGCCTCCACTGGGTCGACTTTGCCCTGAGCAAACTCTGAAGAAGCGTTTAGCGCTGCGTGCGTCCATGTGGGAGCAGACGAGAGCCTAGAGATATGTATACTCACCACCAGTACCGACACGCTGGTCAGGCTGGCCGTCCTTGCGGAGACCGTCGTGCTCTGCGAAAGGTTAGGTCACGAGTCATGGAAGACGCAAAAAAAAACAAAAATTGCTCTTATAGGCATTCATCGTACCTGTTGGCTTGTAATCGGACATGATGATAGTAGAAAGGTGAGGTTGATGTGGATGAGCCGGGTGGTTTTGATTGTTTGTTTTTGTGTGAAAGGAAGACAGGAAAGAAAAAAAGTGCTTGAGAACGTCGTAGAGCTTGCTACTTATACCTACCTGACCTCTCGTCGATGGAGAGAGATGATGATGATGATTACCGTATGATGATGACCATACTCGACGTAACTGCCCCTAAGGTACACCTACCTCACTTCCTCACGTGTGACGCTACCTAAGATACATGATGGCTTTCAATTGCTCCCCGCCCGAATGGAACATTCCCCCCGCGTGAACTACTGCGATCCTACAGGAGGCTGGGCATGCACTAATAGGAGGTACCTGAGGAAAGAAAAGGTTTATAAATCATTGGTCCCTGTCGATCTGTGTTACTCTCTCTATTCAGGTACGAGATTCAATCGGGAAATGCACGAATAGGCTTCTATTCCCCATCGTGCCGCTCTCTCTCTCTCTCTTTCTCTCTCTCTCTCTCTCTCTCCACGATGTCGATGAAGGCGTTGCGTTCGCATCATAGACTAGGAGGGAAGAGGAAGGACATAGGTGATAGAAGGTTTTGGGATCGGCGCTACGTAGACAATTTAACTCCTAGGTATACTTATGGTATCGTCGTCAGATGAACGTCAAGATGATTACATTCTTTTGTGATTTTGGGCATTGTTGGAGTTGGATACATGTACTACATTAACGTACTGTACTTATATGTACAGTTGTAGGTGGATCTGGATGTACATATAGGAGGTAGGATCGAGTTACAGCTAGATAGTACAACTATAACAAATCCTCAACCTGGTCTCGTTGGTCGTCTCGCCTCTTTTTTCGTCTTTGAAAGAGAGTCGGTTGGAGGAGGACGGGAATGTAGAGGGTAAGGTAGTATATGTAGTTATTCGATCAATGTTGTACAAGTCGGTCCGCTGTCTATTAGCTCATATACTCTGTAAAGTGTCATACTAATGAAACTTGATCCGAATTAGGTACTTCCGCATTGTATACGACATCAGTCTGACTTCTTGTTGTTGTTGGAGTTCTAGTTAAGTCGTACGTAGTGACATAACATGCGGGTGCTGCCGACAATTCGCTTCGCAAGAGAAAATACTAACACCTGGCGACGACGGGGTATTTCTAGTCTACCTACCTACCGTTAACCACAACTTTTGTTGAGAAAAAAGGAATCAGCCAGTATGACAGCCATCAACTCCCGCTTCCAGAGGTCGATCCTCATCATCAATCCGAATACTACGCAATCCATGACCGATGCGTTAGTGCCACTAGTAAATTCGCTTGGCTTCGACACAGTACGCATACCTACCTTACCTTACCTTATATATCCATCCACGAGGTACTGTAATATAGACACACACGCACACGCTGACACAACACTTTCCTCTCTCCTTCCTCCTCTTCCCTCTTCAAAGACCCATTTCGAATTCTTCACAGCCCCCGACGGAGTCCCCTCCATCAACAACGAAGAAGATGCCGCCAAATCCGCTCAAGCCTGCCTTCCCGTCCTCACCACCCAACTGAAAAACTACGATGCATTTCTCGTCTGCTGCTACTCTCACCACCCCCTCGTCTCTCAACTCCGACAAGCCCTCGAAGAAGAAGAAGAAGAAAAAGAAGGCAACCCTCTTCTTCCCAAAAACAAGCCCGTGACAGGAATCTTCGAAGCGTCCATCGCCACTTGCATCCAAAGCATCAACATGTCCCACAAATTCGGCATCGTATCCACCGGTTCACAATGGGAACAAATCCTCTCCGAAGCCGTCTCCACCATCCTCGGCAGCAGCGACAGCAGTAACGAAACCTCCTCTCCTTATTCCACTACTCGCTACGCAGGCTGTCAAACAACAGGTCTCAACGCAGATGAATTACACACGACGCCTCCCGCCGAAGTGCGATTACGCATGAAAAACGCCACAAAGAAATTATTGCGAAATGGCAATGCCGGCGGCGGCGGCGCTGTGAAAGCGATTGCGTTGGGGTGTGCGGGCATGGCGGGCATGGATGCCATTGTGCGTGAGGCGTGCGTGGAAGAGTTGGGGGAGCGAGAGGGGAGGGGGGTGAAGATTGTGGATGGAGTGGTTGCTGGTGTGGTGTTTTTGGAAGGGGCGCTGAGGTCGGGGTTGTGAATTTACTTGCCTGTACTTACCACTAGTTATTGTACCTGACCTACCGTAGTATGGTAAGAAAAGTTGCCGCTTGTGAATGTAAATGACCATTTAATTCAGCGTAAGCGGGACGTGGCAGAGATGGACAGCATGGACGCATCGTGCTCGAGCACTTCACAGACGGGCTGAATCCTGTTATACAAGGACTTATCTACTCCTGTCGCTGGCATCATCTAGCTCTCATCTTCCTTCCGACAAGCCTCAAGACAATAGCCAACGTGTAGTGCCAAAACACGTCCCCAAGACACGTCTCCAAGACACGTCCCCAAGACACGTCCCCAAGACACGTCCCCAAGACACGTCCCCAAGACCGCCACGCTCATTCCTTCGTCTCATGCATAGCGCCTGGTTGCGTGTGGACCGTTACTGGTGTAGGTGGAGGTTGAGCCTGGATCTGGGGCCGGATGATGGGTGCTGGGGGCGACAGAACTGGTGGGAGGCCGACCGACTCAGCACTCGACATCACTGGCGACAACTGCATCTTCTTCACCGGAACGCTGCTTGCTGCTGTCGCCGACTGCTGGCCAGGACTTGGCGCAAGTGGCGTGACTGGAGGGAGTACCCTTTGGTCGCCCACTCGTTGTGCCAAGGGAGGGGGCACAGGGCTCTGAGGCTGATCATGCTTTCGAGGTATGTCGTTCGATCTCGAAGGCCATGGGCCACTCATGCCGTCGACAGCAACCTGAGTGGCATTCGGAGAGGCTCCATTCGCATGAGATTCACGCATCTGCGGCGTTTGCACGTGAGACGCATAATGTTGCTGGTAATTGGCCACAGCAGAGGACATGGGAAGATGAGCTGATCGTGGTGGCGAAGACTTGACGGGAGATTGTTGCTGTCGTTGTATCGGAGGGGGTGCCAGATCAGGACTTCGCTGCATCTGCTGTGCAAAGTTATTCGTTTGCATTTGCTGTGGTGGCTGGTAGGGATGCTGAGGTTGCCACTGCGGCTGTGGTGTGTAGGATGGTGCCGCCATGTTGAGCTGGTTCGGAGAAGGTGAAGGTGGCTTCGCTGCTGCTTTGCTGGGCGACTGGAAGCCGTTCATCAATTGGGAAGAACCTGGCCTCTGCTGCATGTGCAAGTTCTCGTTAGGCTGCTGATAATGTTGCCACTGTTGCGGGTTATGCGAGTGCTGTTGTTGATGCGGAAACATATGCTGGGCCTGCGGCGGATGGCCACCTGCAGTGGCGATAGCGCTATTATGCGCGTACTGATGCTGCTGGTGATGCGATGGTGCTCGCTGTCCGTTTCCGTTCGTCAATGGCAGCTGAGCTTGGGAACGTGGGCCATTCGGCTGGCCGTTGCTCTGCGGTACTTGCACAGATCGTGGTGCAAAATTGCTGACTGGCGGATACCTATATCCCGCAGTCTCTTGTATCTGGGTCTGCATCTGCGCAGGAGGCGACTTTTGGTAGTCAGCTGTATTTTGTGGTCCAGTACCTGGATAGTACGAAGTGTACAGCTGCTGCATATGCTGCCCATTCGCTGTGACTGGGCGGCTGCCACTCTTCTGAGTTTCGGGAGTATCACTCGATCGATTGTGCAGCTTCAGCGGTGGAATCTTGGGCTTCTGAGCATCCGCTTCTTTCCGCTTGCACGTCCCGCAGATGAAGGTGAACGTCTCCTGCTCAGCCTGCTTGGGCGTGTATCCATGACACTTGCTGTGTTGCCAAACATTGCACCTGTCGCATGCTATACTGTGCGATCCATCATCCATGTTCTCGCCGTGCTGTCCACATACTGAGCAGTCGAAATACCAGCTGCCATCCTCTGCGGCAAGTTTTTCGAGTTCTTTCTTGTGTTTTTCGCGCTGCGTTTGTCTCTGGCGTCCAGAGGCGCGCTTCGCATCAGCATCAGCATCATCGTTTGGTACGTCTTGTGATCCGGCGCGTTCGCCTTCCGCCTCTAGCCTCGCTAACTCCTCTTCGTGCAGGATGCGTTTTGCTTCTCGCTCTCGCACACGCTGCTCTCGTGTAAGACGTCTCGACTCGTGGCCTTCCTCGATACGTTTCTGTCTCTCCTGCTCCTCGCGCGCCAGTTTGAGCTCGTGCTGTCTCTGCTCTTGCGCTTCACGCTCTTTCCGCGCCTCGGCTTCCTTGTCTGCCTTGTCTGCTAATCTTGAAGATCGCTTGGCAGTCGCCATCTTCTGGAGATTTTCGAGCTCGCGAACTTTCTTCATCCGCTTTGCCTGTAACGCTTCTGCTCGCTTCTCGATGATGGGCATAACGTCCTCTTCAATGGTTGCACGAAGCTGCTTTTCGTTGGGATCGCGGGATCGGAAGATGCTAGCCATGAATTCCTGGTACTCCTCCAGCGTCACGGCCACCAACTCCCACGTTTTCCTTGTAAAGCCATAGCCAGCGCTATCCGGGTCCTCGGGCGCAGTCTCGTCGCCGCCGTTGGTCATCAGTGTGTCTTCGATCGCGGTGTTATCTGCTTCGGGCTGCTCCTCAAGCTCTTCATCTTCGCTCTCCTCAAGCTTTCTCCGCTTACTTGCGCGTGTGCCCCTAGAGGGCGTCTTTCTCTTCGATTTGCTGGCACTCTTGGCCTTGATCTTGGGCTGTGGCGTTGGCGGCGGTGGCGGCTCATCGGTGCGTCGGTACAGTCTATTGTCGTCCAGCACATAATACGAGCGGTCTTCCTTGTCCCAGCCTAGGGGTTCGATGCGCCAGCTGAGATGATCCTCCTCTTGAGGCATCATGCCTCGTATACGCTCCGCATTGCCCAAGGTCCACACACTCAGTTGCTGCAACACTTTCACACGAGTGTAGATGTCCAAGTCGTTGAATTTGGTTGGCTCCTCATCATCGCCAAAGGGATTGCGATGTGGTGCCTTGGCGAGATACTGGCGGCGCGTGTATTCGTCGAATATTTCGAGCCTGGTCGTGGTTAGTGGCACGCGTCAAATACTAGAGTGTGCCCTTGAGATCACTCACGTCAGGCCGCGGTGCGACGACACGTATTTGAGAAGCTGCAGCCCAATGCGGGCCAGCTTCTCACTTGGAGTGGGCTGCAGGCACTCGTGCTCCAGGTCCTAAATGCGCGCATTCATAATCAGCATCTTACATCTCTTGTAACGTACTGGCGCTACAAGCGTCGAGTCTCCAAGGTGTCGCGTACCTCAATGTCGAGGTCGTCGTCGATCTTGACCACATGTCCAAACAAGAAAATGTACTGCATCAGGCTGGCAAACTCCCACATGTTCCGCAGCGTCGCGCGCATTGCCTGTGTCTCTGGCGCAATAGTCGGCTCCAGCGCCTTCTCGAGCTGCGCAGTCTCGGCGGTGCGCTTATATCGAGGCATAATGGCAGCCCTCGCGCCTGCGGGCGAGTCGCGGAAATGTCCAGTGGGCGTGATGCTGAAGGAGGATGGCAGTGCTCGGGGATAGTCTTTGGGAAGGATAAGGTGGAGATGGACGAGGAACGGCGGTGACTGTGTTGAGCAGCCAGTGCAGTGCGAGCATGGGGGTGACGGGAGGTGTTCGGTGGACCGTGGACGGTCGTGTATGGCGTCAAAGGACGGGACGTCGGACGTGGAGGTGGAAGACGCGAAGGAGAGTGCCAAGCAACTTGTGTATTCTGGCTCTAGCGGCTCGCTTATCTCGATCTCAATTGACAGTATGGAGGTACCTCCTGGTAAGGCACACCCATCACAAGGCACCCATGATGTAGTACCGATACAGCAAAATCACACCTAGGTGAATCTGATGAATTAAGGACAACAACAACATGCATTCCCACCACGCTGTCGCAGACATGGAAATGGACTCCTCGATACAAGACGAGACGTCAGAGCACCGCTTGCTTGGCGAGAACGAGATCAGGACGGCCGACGAATTCACAGTGGACGGCCAGCCCTCTGCAACACCGCTTGGCCACATCACAACACTGCTGTATACTTCCCACGCGCTATCCACGTGGAACTCAAGAGTATTCGAGTTTGGAAGCTTCCTCTTTCTAGCTGCCCTGTTCCCGTCGACTCTGCTTCCGGCTTCCATTTACGCACTGGCGAGATCTGCATCCGCCGCTGCATTGTCGCCATTCCTCGGCTCGTATATCGACCATGTCGATCGTCTGCGAGTAGTCCGAGTCTCGATAGGCAAGCCCTCGAGATTTGCGAGCCAGACACACCCTCTGATCAATGTGTACAGTCAGTCAGCGCCTTGCTGTTGCCTTATCCTGCGCAGGACTCTTTCTTTTGGAAGAGTCCGAGGACCTTCGCACTAGCAAATGGTCTTTTGTTGGCCTTGCGATGCTGTCAATGCTAGCTTGCATCGAAAAGCTGGGTTCAGTCCTTAACACCATATCTATCGAGCGCGATTGGGTCATCATAGTGGCCCACAATCATGAAGAGACACTTCGCCGTGAGTTGATGTGCACGAACTGGACAGCGCATTGTCTGATTAGCGTCTGCGTAGGAATGAACTCCCAGATGCGGAGAATAGACCTGTTCTGCAAACTCCTTGGACCGTTAGCGATCGCATTTCTCGACGAGTACTCTTCGCGGACAGCAATTGTTGCCACTGGCGTATTGACACTCGCTTCCTTGCCAGTTGAGTACTATTCGATCTTTCACGTTTATAGCAATGTTGCTTCGTTACGACATCCCAGAACACTGCCAGCTCGACGTTCCGGCCGCATTGGCGTATACGCAATGATCACAAGCTACATGGCCAAGACTAAAACATATTTCCGACATCCTGCCTCTCTGCCCTCAATAGCTCTCGCTCTGCTCCACTTTACGGTTCTTTCGTTTAGCGGACAAATGATCACCTATCTTGTAGCTCTTGGGACTCCGTCAGGTATGGTTGGAGTCCTTCGTGCCGCTTCTGCTGTATTCGAACTAGCGACTACCTGGTTCGCTCCAATCATCATGTCCCGTATAGGACCAATTCGAGCTGGAATCTGGTTTTTGAACTGGGAAATCGCTTGCTTAATGGCAGCAGTTTTGGTCCTTTGGTCCGATCTTGGCCCAGTAGCTACCGCGGCTGGACTGGTGTCTGCTGTAGTCGTGAGTAGGATTGGTCTGTGGGGGTATGGTAAGAAAAGCCAATGAACATGAAACCACAATAGATATTGAGATAGTCGCTGACCTATGTCCGTCCCTCGAGAAGATCTGAGTGCGCAAACAATAGTGCAAGAGGTTTGTCACTGAGCTTATCCCACCGAGTCTGCGTACTGACACCGTGAAGGAGGTCGAAGAGGAGAATCGCGGTACTTTCTCCAGCCAAGAATTCAGTCTCCAAAACATTTTCGAGCTCTTGGCGTTCGCAACGACCATAGTCTTTCCGCGTCCATCACAATTTGTGAGTCCAGCGACACTGTCCCGGATCGATATGTGCAAGCAGTGCTAAGATGAAGCTAGAAATTTCCTGCTACGATCAGTGCAGCAGCAGTTGCACTAGCGGGTATTCTGTACGCGCTGTTTGTACGGTCACGAAGGGGACACCTCGTCCATCTCTGTCGTTGCATCGATCGCCACGAGATGCGCAAAAGGTATCAGCATTGGTTGCAAATACCACTCCAGGAGGATGTGTCCATGCATGGAGGCCGGCGGCGCTCAGGGTCAACGTAAAACAGCTGGCAATCGTATCAGGTACTATCCATCTTGTCACGGCACCGCACCTAACATGACGTATTGAATCGTTTGTGAGTGAGGACCTAAGTTGTCGTTTGGATAGAACAGGCTTGATGACGAAGGTGAAGAGACGGCGGGAGTGAAGCAGTAGCGAGTTCTGCTCTGCTTGGCGAGTCGCGCCGCTAGAGAACCCATGCGACAGCAGGCCCTAGGGACGCCACCCCGCCAGCCCCAGCCTCTCCAAACTCTCTTCTCGGTGATTATAACGTTTCCATGTATTAATTAGGTCTACACCTTTCCACATGATCGCAGTGTAACGGTGTAAATCTCCTCCTCGACATCTTCTTCTTCTGCTTCTTCCTCTGCGCCTGCTTCTGCTTTTCCATCTTGCCGGACACTCGCACGCCACTTTTTTTCGCTCCCATCATCGCCAGCGGGCCGACCCACGTGGAAGCGAGGCGGTGCGTTGCCTTCTTCGGTTCTACCCTTTTTGGCTTCAAGGTTCTGCCAATAAATCAATTCACCGGCACCAGCCCTGTCGCCTCAAAGCCTGTCTACCCGAAAGCTTCGTGCCAAGCTTCAACTTTCTGCCGGCTTTCTCGACCCTTACCCGCCAGCTTTAGGTGCCCAGCTACATAGCCAGCCTGCCTACCTGCCAGCCTGTCTGCATATTATCTTCAAGCCTGCAGCTCACTTGGCTGCTTCCAACGCCCTCATCAACCTCACTTCGCGCCACACCATCGTATGCGATAAACAACACCGATCATTTCCCCCAGCTTCCCTCCCTCAACACCTCTTCTCCGGCCGATCTACACTTTCACCAACCAGCTTCGTTCGCACCAGCAGCCAGAACAGGAACCATGGCGATTTCAGGCTTCCTCTTCCTCTCCTGGCGCATTTTCGAAATCATCACCTTGGTCCCAATCGTGGGCATGCTGGGTTGGTTCGTAAATGGCTTCGTGGACAACAACCAGCTCACTCCAAACTTCATCCTCGTCCTCTTCATCGTATCAGTACTCGCACTGGCCTGGGCATTCTTCACATTGATCAGCTATCTTCGCGCTCGACACGACGCCATCTTTGTCGCGCTCGTCGATCTTGCATTCGTGGGGGCTCTGATCGGGGGCGTGGTGGAACTCCGAGGCATTGCCAGCGCCAACTGTTCGAACTTCACCTCGGGAGACGTTTATGTCAATTTGGGCCCATTCGGCTATTACGGACGCGATGGCAGTGGCACAAGCTTTGGCGTCAACGTGAACAAGACTTGTGCGATGCTCAAGGCAAGCTGGGCACTGGCCATCATCAACATCATCGCGTTTTTCGTGACATTTGTAAGTTTTTTGATCGCACTATTTGTGGTTGCATGGAGACTGTATGCTAAAATTTTCTGCAGCTGCTAGCACTACTTGTGCATCGCAACCACCGCAACGACGAGCGTATTGTCGTAAAGCGCACCACTACACATCACTCACGGCACGGTCACCGACGGTCGGGAAGCCGATCACGCAGCCGAGGAGGCTATATTGAAGGTAGCAGACGAAGCACGCAACGTTCCTCTAGCCGGAGGCAATACTACGTATGATCGTTGATGACAGCCTGTTGAAACACGAAGTTACGAAGCACCATCATTTCCAAGTCAGCGCCCATTGAGACAGCAAGGAGAGCACTTCCCAGATTCACACAGTCAGAAGATGATGCGTGAGATATGCAGTATCGGCGTCGATCAACATAGTTAGACAGCACAAGCAGGAATATGTACTCGTAATGTGCAACGCTCCAGTGGAGATTTGGATGCCCAATAGGCAGCTTCGCGTCCTAGCAAATTTTGTTGTATGTATCACACCACACTCCTCATTTCTAGAAGAGGGATGACGGAATGGATCCCTCGACGACATGCGCCAAGGTCTCAGGTAGGTAGAGATGAGAGTAGGTCAGGTACCTTAGTCGTCGCAGGACTTGGCGCGTACGTTTTATGAACAAAAATTATGCTGCAAATGGGGTGCATGTACCCGAGACTAGCCAGCTGGTGTGCTTACCCAAGCAATTGACGAGTAGATGGACCGCGAAAGATCACCATAACATTTCACGGGGATGAGATCCTGGAGCATGATCAATACCACCTACAGCTAACCCAGAGTACCCCACTGTTGCCTGGTTGCCAACCAGGCAAGTATGCGGCGACTGACGAGAAGTGCAGTCCGTTGAGGAGCTTCGAAACCGAATATTTCTGCACCGCGGTAATGGTCGGAAGTCTCGTTCATGTGCTCAAAAGGTCTGTGACACCAACTTTGCGTTCGACAATGATTGCGGTCTGAGGGTTCAGACGACGATAGTACCCTGAATCACGTCTGGTTTCTTGGAAGCCTCGCTTGCGATACCATTCGAGAGCGTCAGCATTCGCCTCCCACACATGTGCACCGACTCGTGTCACTCCGTAGTCGAGCACAGCGCGCTGTGTGAGCGTACGAAGCAGGTGAGTGGCAATGCCATGTTGTCGATAAGGGGAGAGCAGCACAAGAGTGCTCAAGTACAGCATCGGAGCTTCTGGCTCTTTGCTATGAAGTCCACTGGACAACGAGGTGGGCGCCAGTAATCTGCAGCGAATAGCTCCTACCAGACGTCCCTTTGTAGTGGTGCTGAGGGATGGATCATCGTGCCAGAAGGCCAAGAGCGTGATGGACGCGGTGACGGGATCATCGATTATTTCCTTGAAGAACTTGTCGGGGTAAGGAATGGGGAGCAGTAGATTTGTCAAGCGTTTTAGATGCGGAAGATCGTCTTTCGTACATGATCTCAGTTCAACATTGGGTGGGAGTGGCCGCCTTCCAAAGCCCAGATCTGCGTGGCCTCGGTCTTCACAGTTACCATCCGAGGCGGGCAGGCTCTCGGGAGATGCTGCTGGCGGTGGTGGTGTCGACTGCGGCGGCGGTGGTATTGGTGGCGGTGGCGACGGCGGCGAGGCTCTCTTGCCAGCGGCCGGCTGGTTCAACCAGGAGAGCAGGGAGGACTGAGACATGGTGCACACTGGGAGTGGTCATGGCGATGTGTTTGGGATGCAAGAAGTGTCTGGGAGGAAGTCCATTATGGGAGGGAGTGACAGTGGAAGTGCAGCAAGCGTGTAATAAGGTGGTGAATATGCGGGCATGCCGCTCACGTGCCTCGTCGGGAGAGCAGGGCCAGCCAAAAGCTAGCTTCCATTGTGACGGAGCTTCGGAACAAGCGCAGTGCAAGTACTTGTACCTGAATCCTGAGGATCAAGAAAAAGAAGCAGAACAGGAACAAGAACAGGAATAGGAACATATCATGGGCAACGCTGCCTCTTCCTCCTCCCCAGCGCATACCCTCAACGCGTACGTATATCACTACAGGAACAGCATTGAGCCGTCGTTGTCGCGGTCCTGACTGACGGCGCCCAGCGATGCTCCCGTAAGGCTCAGCCAGTCCGTGATCAACTCCCTGCAGAACAGTCCAGAGGTATGTACACCCATCACCTACCACCTGTACCATTACCACCACCGCCGCCGCCGCCGCTGCTGCCACCACCGTCCCAAGCAGCCTAGGTTCTGACAACCCTCGTCGTCACCCACAGACCGACTCGACGCGCGCCCAGCAGCACGAATTACATACGCAGACCCGCATCACTGCCGACTTGCAGCGGATTCGCGACTCGCAGGCACAGAAGCTCGACGCCATCACCACCGCCCTCACCAACACTGAACCGCAGCAAGATTCTGCCTCCGACTCCGAAGCCTTGAGCAAGCCGACCGGTCTGTTAGCGCACCTCAGCTCGCCGTTCTACCACGACTGGAGCCAGGAGAACTCGAAGCCTGCCACTCGCGAATCGGATAGATCCCACGACAGCGTCAGCAAAGAAATCATGGACCTGCGCCAGAGGCTCGAGCAGCGCAAAAAGGTGGACAAGGTGCCGGCCGAGGTCGAGAAGGCCAAGAACAGCTTGGTGCAATGTCTGCGCGACAACGACAAAAGGCCGCTCGACTGCTGGCAGGAAGTCGAAGCCTTCAAGCGAGAAGTGGGCAAATTGGAGCACGCTTTCATTCAAAAGGCAGCGAGATGACACTGTCGCAGCATCCTGTACAGACAAGAATGTAATAGGTGGAACTCTCTGTGCCGGAACAAGCTCGTGATCAAAGTCGCGTCAGATGTACATACATATGCGAACACCAACCATGGAAGTGTGGGGAGTGCGAGCATCGCGACTACTTGATGAGCAAGTCTCATGTTGAGTCGATCGCAGCCACGAGCCGCAGTATCGACCTCGTGCCGATACAAAGGCGTTGTCACTGATGGGCCATCACTTTAAGAAGCAGCTTATGTCTTCGCTGCTGACTCGGTACGGCACGCCACGCCACGCATTCATTCGATGTGGCGCGACTGCTAGCTCGACCTTAATATGCTGAGCTTTAGACCTGGTGACCTGACTTCTCATTACTGCTATGCTTGACCTCCACCGATCGTGCTTGTGGGTGTTGGAGTATTCCATACAGCATTGGCTTGTTACTAATGGCACAGTGCAGCTGACTTGCAGTACCTACCTACATAGGTAGTCACGCTCAACTGCTTTTGCGCCGCAAGGTTGGACTGACACACGCTTGCTGACTGCGGCATCTAGTTTTCCCTTGAACAGTACACTACAAAATGACGGTGAGTAAAGTCGCAGAGTGGCTCCTGGTGTCGGACCAGCAGGTGGAGGAGAGGGAGGCGAGATCTTCAGCAGGTCCCCTCGACGCTCTTTGGGCAGGTTCGAGTCGACGTAAGAGGCTTCAGGTTACGCGGTATATGTAAGATATGCAAACACTGGGGTTTCCCTCTTACACTGCCCTAGATCTTTTCGCGGATTGATATCCGCAAACACTCATATTTTTTGCCTATTATATCCAGTATGGGCTCCTTCGGTTCGCTCAAGGATAGGGTCAGAAGCTTGATCAGGAGGCGCGACCTCAAGAAACAGCGTGCTGGCAATGCCGACACCCCCTCAGCATATTCAGAGCCACCGGCTGGCGCTGCGATTCCGAACAATGTGTTCACTGTATGGCAGCCTAGTGAGCAGCAACAGCAGGAAGTTGTCCAGCGGAAGCAGACCCATGCCAACACGATCAATCGTGCTGTCGTCCAAAGCCCCCAGTCTGCCACTATGACTGGCACACTTCAGATTGCATTAGAGAACCAGTCAAACAGCTCAGACATGTATGCTTATATCACGGGGCAAGCCATTGACAGAAACGGTGCCCTCTTCTTACTCCAATCCGACGCGAACACTGCCTACTACCCTACAAGCCCGTCCTCCACCGGTCAACCAATCCCTGTAGACATATCGATTCCTTTGGGAGCCCCGGGCAACATCGTCACAGCTACCATTCCTCGCCTTGCTGGTGGACGCATCTGGTTTTCCCAAGGTTCAAAATTGACGTTCTTGTTGAACCCGGGCCCTGGGCTTGTTGAGCCTTCTGTGTTCAATCCTTCGGATCCGAATTACAACAAGAATTTTGGCTTCTGCGAGTTCACATTCAATTCTGCGCAGGTGTTTGTCAATATCTCCTATGTTGACTTTGTCAGCAACATACCTGTGGCCTTGACGCTGCAGGACACTGCGGGACATAGTCAGCATGTTAGCGGCATGCGGCCCGATGGGTTGGCCACTGTTTGTCAAGGTCTTCGCGCTCAGACGGCAAAGGATGGTCGACGCTGGAGTTCCCTTATTGTGCAAAGCAACGGACAAGATTTGCGAGCACTCAGTCCCAACTCCGGAATTACCCTGAACCCAGACTGGTTTGCGACGTACTGGACAGACTACGTCAATCAAGTGTATGCGAAATACCAGATCGACAAGCTTACAGTCGATACGCAAGCCTCATGGGGTGAAGTTCAGGGCCAGGTTGGATCTCAAGGCAGCCTGGATTTTGGCTCTGGCGGCCTCTTCCCTAAACCGAATGCCAAAGATATCTTCGGCAATAACAGCGGTCCTTTCGCAACAGGTGGGAATGCCGAGACCAACGCGATCATTCCGAGAATGGCAGCAGCGTTCAATCGAAGTACACTGCTGCTCAGCAACCAAACGCCGAATGGAACGAGCCCTGCACAGTACTACCAAAATCCCACCACTAATGTACATACACAAAAGCACTGGTTGTGACTGAACTTGACACGCATTCCGCTAACATGATTACAGCACTACGCTCGAATTGTCCATGCTGCCAATATTGATGGACTGGGTTACGCATTTCCCTACGATGATGTTTCGCCTGATGGAGGTGAGCCTTCATGGACTGCTTTCTTTTTCCTCAAAGACATCATCGTTGACACTGGAAGCAGGCCAAGCCCAAGAAGGCGCCATCTTCAGTTTCTCTCCCACCAAACTCATCGTCACGGCCGGTGGAAATAATGCACATGCAGCTTAAAAAGACGCAGCTTGAACAGCTGCACTTGTGTGTGCAAGGGCACGACATCGACCTTCTTTTCGGTGCAGTTACTCGATACTGACAGTACAGGCCTATGATTCATCATGCACGATGGAGTTTATAGAAGGCAGCTGTGGAGACGGGGTGGTGGTACAAGTATCACGCTGAGAGAGAGAACCTGGTCGTTTCGAATCTATATTAAACGTTTTTCCGTTTTCGTCACTGATCTGTTTCACTCGGTGTCTTAAAGCATACAAGCACATCCTTGATTGTTACCTACCTCGTACACTCACGATAGGCGAAAGGACCTTTGATGTTTCCTTCTTGTTCCTCGGGTTCTTTTTACAACGTTCTTTCGTACAACTACCTTACACTTACCTACCTCACGTCGCAATCCAGTACTTAAGACTTTTCACTTACAAAGAACCTCGAAAGACGGGCAATATCCGGTTCCTCTCCTACCTAGCTTGATAGCTACCACATAAATCTTCAACGAAAAGAAAACGAAACAAAAAATAAAAAAAAAGACAAAGAATCGATTTCTACCGCCATGTCCTCCCTCTTCACCAGCTGGATATTTCCCAAGCAAGCAAAGCATGGGAAATCTTCTGATGATCAATCCATCGAGCAAGAAGATCTGTTACCGGCCACCACCACTACCGCCAGCACCAGGACCACCAATGAGAGCGAATCACAATCAAAAGAGGAATGGCGGCACGCAGCAGCAGCATATCACAGACTGAGAAGAACTTTCATCATAGTCGTATTGCTATTCACTTGTGTCCTTGTGGTGATTCTGTGGCCGTGGCCCCCTGCGGGATCTTCTGCGGTGTTGTTGGAGGCGGGAGAAGGAGGGATAGAAGGTACGTACGAGCAGAGATTCTCTTTTTGTATTCTTTTCGTTTCGCCTACACCCCCGCTCGGGTCAGGTCAGCTCATGATACCTGAGATGGGGATGGGGGCCCAACCTTTGAATGTATTGACTGAGGGACTGACTGACGATGATGGTGTTTTTTTCTTCTAAAACGAAAAAAAGTTCCCTGGTCAAAAGTCACGTTTGAAAAAGATGAGAGATTCGCTGCGGCTTCTTCTCTTGAATCGGATGCGGCTTGGGGGGAAATGATGCCTGTAAGTCTTTTGTGTTTCCCCAAGCATGGCATGGCATGATGGTTTGTTGTTGTTGAAGGGCAGGCAGACACTGACTGCAACATATATATCCGTCACAGCCAGGTGATGGTTTTGTGGTCATTGATGATCCTCGCCAACTACACCTCCTCTCGCAACCGGGTAAGGATACTCGATATGGCCAAGTCTACGATATATCCATGTGGCATCAGTTGCATTGCCTGAGACATATGAGAACTTATATGTTCACGATGCAAGCTTCTTTCAATCGAACCAATGCGCAGCAAGTGTTTGATGTCTTGCTTGCGCCGCAAGCAGATCACATCTTACACTGCTTTGACTATCTCCGACAGGCCATCATGTGCGCGGGTGATATGACACTCGAATGGCCGAGAACGGAGGCGGATGGCAGGAGGTTTGCGGTCAATGGTTGGGGAATACAGCACAAGTGTCGGGACTGGGATACGATGGCAGACTATGTCGAACAGCACGCTGTTGGTAGACACCACGAAAAGATGGCCAGATGAGACGTGAGGACGGCGCGGGAGATGTAGAGAGAGAGGATGCCGTGGCAGGGTATCGTGGTCTATATGTAGGCGATTGGCGATTGTTGAGAGTCGCTGTTCTGGCCATGTGACTCGATCGAGTGGGATATCTGGGTTACTCTCAGCTCAGTCAGTCAAAGTAGCCTGGGAATAGCCATGCGAGCTTCTGCTTAGCGTCTGCTGAACGACCAGAGGGTGCAGTCATTGCGCCGGCAAATTTGGTTTGGCCAGCCAGATGAGGGGCAGCGACAATATCAGCATGCTCCTCTTTGCTCAGCTCGTTCAGCACCGCTCCCACAAAGCGATACGCATTCTCGGAATTCGCCTTCATGTTGCCCATGACCATCTCCACCGTCACGTCTCCCGCTGCGTCGTGCCAGCAGTCGTAGTCGGTGCTCATGCAGATCATCTGGTAGGCGATCTCGGCTTCTCGCGCGAGCTTGGCCTCGGGAAGGACAGACATGTTGATGACAGAGCCTCCCCAGCTGCGGTACATGTTGCTCTCGGCACGCGTCGAAAACTGTGGTCCTTCCATGCAGATGATGGTGCCGCGGTCGTGCAGCCGCACGCCGTCGCCCTCCAACGAGTGTCCACAGCGGCGCACAATGTCGGCGATCTTAGAGTCGAAGGGGTCCGCGAAGCCCACGTGTCCCACCATGCCGCCCTCGAAGAAGGTGAAGGGGCGGATGCCCTTAGTGCGGTCAATGACCTGGTCGGGCACCACAAAGTCGCGGGGCTTGATGTCTTCCTGCAGACTTCCCACGGCGGAGAAGGCGATGATGGTGCGCACGCCGAGGTGGCGCAGGGCGGCGATGTTGGCGCGGGCGGGGACCTCGTGCGGTGCGAGTTCGTGGTGCAGGCCATGGCGCGAGAGAAAGGCGACGGGGATGGGGTTGCCGGTGGTGGGCGAAGGGTGGTGCAAGACCGAAATGGGCGACGACGGCGAGCCCCAGGGCGTGGTGGGCTTGAGAGTCGCTACGTGAGTGAAGCCCGCCAGAGACTGCAGACCAGTGCCGCCGATGACTGCAATGGCAATGTTGCCGTCGTAGTGATCGGCCACCATCTTTGCTCTTCTTCTTTTTCCTTGACACGAACGAGCCTCAGGTACCTAGTAGTAGTAGTAGTAGTAGTAGTAGTAGGTAGTAGGTAGTAGGTAGTAGGTAGGTATGTTGTACAAAAGTTTCACTTCAAAGACGACGAAAGAATTCACCTCCCCGCTCGACACCCATGCAGCCAGCGTGAACCTTGTTCCGGACCTTATCTAATCGCGCGCGCTATAAAAGTATACTTACCAGGTATAGTTCTATGCCTTGGCTCCGTTACAACATTTCTATACCACCACTCCATCTTCATCTCCCCATCTTCTCTCCATCTCCGAGTCTTGCTCGAGAATGAGCAAAGCGGACCTGATCGCCGAATGCGTTCTCAAGACATTTGAAGCATTGCCTACCAAGTTCAAGCCACGTACACTGCCCGCTGGCCAACGAGAATGGGTCCCGTTGGCTGGCATTGTGCTCAGCAGAGGAGAGTTGAGCGCTGCCACCGTAACATGTGCCGCCCTTGCTACTGGCATGAAATGTCTACCCCAATCCAAGCTCCATCTCGCTCAAGGCAACATTCTCCACGACTGGCACGCCGAGATTCTCGCTCTGCGCTCGTTCAATCGTTTCCTTGTCGACGAATGCGTCGACTTGGCCAAGAGGGGACGCGGCGAGCACGGGCAGTGGGTGAGATGGGGCCAGTGGAGAGCAGATGAACCGCCATTCGCCCTTCACGACGATGTCAAGATTCACATGTATTGCTCTGAGGCACCATGTGGCGATGCCTCCATGGAGCTCACCATGTCCGAGCAAACCGACGCTACCCCTTGGAAGAAGCAGCAGTACGTCGGAGTGGATGGTCTCCTCGGTCGAGGAAACTTCGATCAGCTGGGCGTGGTCAGAAGAAAGCCTTCCAGACCCGATGCGCCGCAGTGCTTGAGCAAGAGCTGTTCAGACAAGTTGGCACTCAAGCAGTGTACAGGCTTACTTTCTGCTGTGCTGGCTCTTCTGGTACATCCTCGGAATGTATATCTCTCCACTCTGGTCCTTCCCGAGAAGCAGGTGTTCTGCACTGCGATGGAGAGGTCATTTGGTCGAACTGGCAGGATGAATCTGCTAGCCGAGAACGAAATCCAGGGGAGCTGGCAGCGATATGGATATTGCTTTACGCCCTTCGAAGTGCAGACCACTACGGCGACATTTGCTTTCTCTAAACCACCCAAAAATGATCTCGCTGTGTCAAGTAATCTGTCAGCTGTGTACACGCCACAACATCAAGAAGTCTTGATTAATGGTGTTCTGCAAGGCCGCAAGCTACTTGATGCTAGAGGAGCTAGCTGTGTCAGTAGAAGAAGAATGTGGCAGGCGGTCAGAGACGTAATTGCATCCGCTGAAGTAGCACATGCAACTATAGCCTCGGAGGCACAGACCTATGCAGAATTGAAGCAGAGTCCGCTATTGAAGGGTCGAGAGATCGTGAAGCGAGACGTGCGGACTCTAAGCCTGAAAGGCTGGAAGAGCAACCAAGGTGATGAAAGTTGGAATATCACGACGAAGTCTGAGGAGCGCGTAGAACCCTCGGTGCACTGATTGAATGTCATCCTAGGAGAAATTGACTATTAGCCACGCATCACAGTATCTTGCCATCCCACTCGATGACCAAGGACTGCTACCTCCGTTCATTGCGATGGAGACGAGCCTGAGTCATCGCAGCCAAGATACATCTCCCACTCGCTACCGAAGCTCCACGGAACTGCTCATTGCCTTCACACCCTGTCTTTGCTCTAGATTGCCGATTGTATCTGTGTGTGAAGCAAGCAAAACCCTCCTCAACGACATCGCCACAGACCCTCTCAGAGCGCAGAATTCTACGACATTTCAGGCTGGCCCGTCGAGATGCTCAAAGCCTTTGGGGCCACGCCGGAAAACAAAAGGCAGGAGGGATTTGGGTAAAAGACCACCCAGATGCCGACATTCACGGAAGGAAAATAACGTCAGTGAGAACAAGTACTACTGTAGTATCGATCCTGAGTACTGACTGATACCCCATAGCACTGCAGCCCAAATGATCGATACTACGTGTACTATAAAGGTACCCAGGGCACACACAACCAACGAGTTCCGTTCGCAAGTTCACAGACCATATCGGTCGGTCGATCGTGGGCCCAAGTCCCCAGTAAGGCTGATGAGATGACAACTCCGAGAGAGCCCCCTACAATCATCTGTCGCCACAGCTTGCAGAGCCTAGCCACCTTACTCGTGATTGAAAAAGATGTCCCAGAGACCAAGTACCTACAATCGTATAGCAAGCTAACGTCCCTGACGCCTTTTCTTTTTCAAGCGAGCAGGCTGTCACGACCTTTCAATCTATTTCATACCTAATCATCTTACCAGACTGTCTTGTTCTCTTCAATGGCGGCTTGATTACCTAACCGTGTACTTGCCTACATGTACCTACTTACAACAGCAATGACATGACATGATATAGTAGGCACTACTTCATCCTCATCCTGAATCTCTCCTCACTTCCAGGTTCGAAACAATCAACATAGCACGCTGTTCAAATAAGCAAGCAGCGTCACTTCTTAGTACTAATTAATGATGGAGCAGCAACACTCACCACGGGTTCCTGAAATGAAATTGATGAAGCCACCACGACGAGCTGCTCGCTGCACAAGTTCAGTTAATATTAAACATGAAAATTGTCACGAGAAATCAGAGACAGAAAGGCGACGACGAGTCTGAGCTTTTCGAACCGTTCATTCATTCATGCTATCTGGGTGGATGTCCTCATGTTGCCTATTAAGCGACAGGACCCAATCTTCTCTCGTGCCCATTCCATGCATGTCGTTATCCCGCCTCGAGTCGTGAGTGTGAAGCTTTCAACTTGGAGCCGTTTACTTCTTGCTGGCCTTCTGTGCTGCTCTGTAGGGAATAGTCAGTAGGGGAAAATCGGAGTACATGTGATGGATCAACGCACTTGGTAACTGCGAATTCGTTAGCATAGACTCTCCCACAAACACGATACCATTGGACTCACCCTTGCCAGCACCGCTCTTGTCGCTCTTGACAACCGACCTAGGGCAAACAGTCAATATAACATAACACAGATGATGAGGTCAGTAGATGCTTACTTGATAACACCCTAAGAGATAGTCAGCATATGTCAAAGAATCGGAGGGGAAAGGAGTACGTACAACAGCCACGGTCTGGCGCATGTCACGGACGGCGAAACGACCCAATGGTGGGTAGTCAGTGAAGGCCTCGACACACATTGGCTTGGATGGCACCATCTTGACGATGGCAGCATCACCAGACTTGATGAACTTAGGAGAGTCTTCGATGGACTTTCCGGAACGACGATCGATCTTCTCGAGGAGCTCGGAGAACTTGCAAGCAATGTGGGCGGTGTGGCAGTCGAGGACTGGAGCGTAACCGGCACCGACCTGACCAGGGTGGTTGAGGACAATGACCTGGGCGTTGAAGGAGTCACAACCCTTTGGTGGGTCGCTCTTGGAGTCACCAGCAACGTTTCCACGGCGAATCTCCTTGACGGAAACGTTCTTGACGTTGAAACCAACGTTGTCACCTGGCAGACCCTCCTGGAGCTGCTCGTGGTGCATCTCCACAGACTTGACTTCAGTGGTGACACCAGCCGGGGCGAAGGTGACGACCATACCGGGCTTGATGACTCCGGTCTCGACACGACCGACTGGCACCGTGCCAATACCACCAATCTTGTAGACATCCTGAAGAGGAAGACGGAGAGGCTTGTCAGTTGGACGAGCTGGCTCGTCAATAGCATCGATGGCCTCAAGGAGGGTCTTGCCAGTGGACTTGGTCTTGGTCTCCTTCTCCCAGCCCTTGTACCATGGGCAGTTGGTGGAGTTGTCGATCATGTTGTCACCGTTGAAACCAGAGATTGGCACGAATGGGACAGTCTTTGGGTTGTAGCCGACCTTCTTGATGAAAGAGGAGGTCTCCTTGATGATCTCGTTGAAGCGGTCCTCGCTCCACTTGGTGGTGTCCATCTTGTTGATGGCGACGATGAGTTGCTTGACACCAAGAGTGTAGGCGAGCAGAGCGTGCTCACGGGTCTGACCATCCTTGGAGATACCGGCCTCGAACTCACCAGTGCCGGCAGCGATGATGAGAATGGCGCAATCGGCCTGCGAAGTACCAGTGATCATGTTCTTGATGAAATCACGGTGACCTGGGGCGTCAATGACGGTGACTGTTCAAAATGTTAGCCAAGACACTACGATGAGGAGCAGAATGCGAACTAACCATAGTACTTGGGAGTCTCGAACTTCCAGAGGGCGATATCGATCGTGATACCACGCTCACGCTCGGCCTTCAGCTTGTCGAGCACCCAGGCGTACTTGAAGGAACCCTTGCCGAGTTCGGCAGCTTCCTGTAAGACATGATTGTCAGCGATGCAGTCGTTGAGGGAAAAGATTTTGATATGGCGTGATGTGCTTCGCTGCTATCGGGTGCGCCCAAAGCGTGTGGCGATAGGATTAAGAGTCATCGCCAATGAAGTCATGGCTGCCCAAGCGCCGAAATTCTCGCACCCCACCAAATCTGGAGGGGCACCAGAAGAAAGAGGTGGTAGACAGCGACGATTCGTGCGATAGAGAATGAGTTTGCGTGGTGACGATTACGAACCTTCTCGAACTTCTCGATGGTACGCTTGTCGATACCACCGCACTTGTAGATCAAGTCTGTCGTATTGTGAGCTTCGTGGCCATGCGCCGGGCGCAATTTTGCACAATTTTGAACTTACGGCCTGTGGTTGTCGACTTGCCGGAATCGACGTGGCCGATAACGACGACGTTGATGTGAGTCTTCTCCTTACTGTGTCCATAATCAGCCGCTGCTCTTTCGTCCACGCGAGGCACCCGTCGCCCAATGGCGCTGAGACGTACCCCATGATTGCGGTTGTGTGTTGGTTGGTGAGAGTTGTGAAAGGTGCAGGTTTGCAGGTTTGCAAGTTTGAAGTTCTGTGAAAGAGTATCAGTGTCCGTGACGAAGTAGGCGTATTGTCGCCTGCGTTGGAGTGCTTACACAGATTGAAAGGCTAGCTTTCTGGTATGTACGACAAAATTCGAAAGAAGAGAGAGTGAGAGAGAGAGAGATGAGTTTTGTGTGTCCACTAGCGTACATTTTCGCGGGGCTTGGCACTTTTCAAGGCAGGTGCGGGGCACGGCAACAGGCAACAACCACGACAACCTTTTACCTCCTACCTCTATAATGCGACAAAAGCTACATTATTTCAAACAGAGATTGAACTGAGAATTCCACGAAGCTGCTTTCTACCTACATGTACTAGTAACTGAGGTATCAATCAAAGTAACTTGTGACAATCTCGCTGTTTGTACTGGCTTCGTTGATCTGAAAAGTACAGGTACCATGAGGTGGGTTGTGTCTCTGTGTAGTGACGAACTCCATAGTGTGGATCTCCTGAGAAACTAGCAGACAGCTCGCCACGCACATCGCCACAGCAATCTTGAGCTACATGTATTATCGAAGTGAAGCAGAAAAAATGCAGGCGCCCGCTCACCTTGAGCATGACTAATTGATCGTTCACTTCTACCACTTGCATTGCACTACCTCCTACAGATGTTTCGGAATATATTGGTAAGAAATCAGAGCTAAGGTCCTATAGTTGACTTATACCTGAACATGATGGCTGCCTTGTGTTCAACTACACTCCGTTTCTTCACGCATCCTCCCATCTTCCCATCCTCGACTTACGATGCCCGTACCTCAGCAGACGACAGTAATAGCAGCTGAGGAACAGCAAGGTAGAGACCCCCGTGCAAGAGGACTTTGCAGATTTGCGACTGTGATCTTCAGCCTCTCCGCAGTTGTTGGCAGCACTGACACCATCAGTTGGCGTCTCAGACCTAGGTGAACAGGAGCAAGCGACCCACAAGCTGCGAGGTTTCCATAGTGGAACGTGAGATGGACGACTTGACAAGGACGTGCCAAGTATGCAAATCTTGCAGTGGCTCGTCGCGTTAGCGCGGCGGCTCTTTTGAAGGAGAAGAGACGAGCGAAGAGAGGTCGCAACAAGTCGGATTTCAATTGCTGCTCAATGGATTATTGGCCATGCTTGAGATTTCTCAAGACATGCTGTATCAATTCTCGTCCGCAGCCACCTTTGCAAATGGCCAAGAAGGCTTGTTGTCATTATATCTGCGTGCTCGGTTGACGTAGTCGTCGGGATCGAGCACGCAGATATAATGAAAACAAGGTGATAAAGTCCGAATGACAGATATAGAAAGGTCAACCACGGTCGTCGCGCGACTCAGGTGCACATCTCGCGTCATTTCCGTCGTGGAGACTCCACATGTTCATCCCGATAGTATTTCGCCCAAGATGCGTGCGATGCGACGCTTCCGACCGCAATGGGGTTCAGAGCAAAGCTACGGTCAAGGTGCCAGCGTAGAACCAGCGCGCCGCCGATCTTTGGCCTCCCTTCTTGCGCGTCTGTCGTCGGCCAGCTTCTTATGGACTTTAAGCTCCATAGTGTGCTGGAGTACCAGTTCTTGTAGCTTTTTGGCGACTTCTTCATTCTGCTTCACTGCCTGATCGCGCTTGCGCATTCGCTCCTTCAACTCAGACATATTCTCTTCGATCTTTTTGTCCACCGCGGCGCGCAATTCGGCTGTGGTTCGTACGTCTTGGTGGTTGCTCAAAAAGTCCTCGGGGAAAGTATCCATATCAGGGTCGAGACCAGGGCCACCTTCGAGATAGCCTCCGGGGTGAGTGAGCTTGATTCCAGGTATAGCACTAGCGAAGACGCGGCGAGGATCCTCGAGAGGAAGTGGCAGGTCAGCTTCGGCGATGGCGGGCAGGCTCTGTGGCGTGACATCTCGAGCGCGGACAGAGATCCCTTCGACGGGCTGTTCTGCGCTATTCTCGGGGATGATACGGATCCCATCTTGCGAGGCAGTAGGCGCAAGTGTGATGCGCATGACAGCATCTTCGAAGTCTGCGTTGTACTTGAGATCGTGTGGAACATAAGAAGCATATCCACTGCTGCTAGACTGCTCCTCCCGATGAGGAGATGGCATGTCGGGAGCTTCATCTGTCTCCATAATAGTCATAGTTTGTGCGTGCTCTGGCAATTATTGCTGTGGTGTGGTCGTGGCTGCTGGTCTCTTATGTACTCACAGTATCTCCGAGTCTTCACGCTGCACTTTCCTGGCGAGTACTAAATACGCCTCTGCGTGAATGCGTGAGATGAGATACGCCGACCAGGAGGGACTCCCCAGTGTCAGCGGTAGGCAAGAGATGATCGTTGTAGCATGGTGAGCGGACCGAGGGGATATATTAACGCTACCTGTAGGTACCTAGGTATAGTGCTCGCCAAGCACGACCATTCCTTTCTAAGGCAGTTGCGACACCATCTCCATGGGCCGCGACCGTGACGTCCTGCAACGTGCTACATACATCTGCCACATACATGTACCTTAGCACTAGCTGCGCAGACAATGGAACAACGCGCCCATCGATAACGCTCGCGACGACTGCCACCACCGCTATCATACCAACATGGCCACCGCCCTCTCGCACGCGTCGGTCGACGACCTGCGGTCGCTGAGCCGACAGCCTCCATCAGACCCCGATATTCAGGCCACGCTCTCTGATTTCCTCACATATACGGAGCACTTTCCATCGCACCTCGCCCGCGCTTTGAACTTGGTCCAGGAGCAGAGGAACAAAGCCGAGAAGAACATCGGAGCGGTCCACGGCGACACCACTGCCTACAGCATCCTTCCAAGCATCAAACATGGCAGGCCCGATCCGGTCCAGCTTCGAAAGGACATCAGTCTGGCGCTAGAGGAGGCAGAGGGGGCCTGTCGCATGTCAGTTGAAGAGGCATTGCGATTGGACCACGAATGCCAACGCGAAGCCCAGCGCTTGGATGTAGTGAACGAGAAGCTGAAGGCACAGCCAAAGCCTCCTTCGCGTGATCCCACGCCGGAACAACAGGCGCTGACTTCACCTAATCTCAAGCGTGAACGACGCATGAGCTCGAGGGTAGACGACGGAAAGTCAGAAAAGCAGTCACGTCGAATGCAGGACAAGGCGGCGAGCAAGCTACGAGGCAGGAAGGTCATGGTACCCGGGGAAGTCTTACCCCCACCAGATCCGAATGCGCTCCTTGAGACGATGTCAGATTGGACCTCGCCTCGACCGTCTCCGTCATTGCTAGATGACCCGATGGACCAGGACATTAAGAAGACCACGCCACGTCCAAGATCGAGAACACCCAAACCGCCAAGGACAGACAAGGAGAGAAGGGAACAACAAGAGAGGGATAGAAAAGCCGAGAGCTTGAAAGCTCGGGCGCCTCGCGCGCCAGGTCAGCCAGGCACGAATGCTCACTCTGCAGTCGCTGGGATTAGCACTTCAAACGCACTGCTGGCGCTGACGGAACCTCCAGCAGACGCAGCGAAAGGTAGCAAATGGCTGCCATGGATTAAATTGACGGAGTGGGAGATGGCCAAGTTGAGGAAGCGCATGAAGAAGAATGCCATCTGGGTACCGTCTCAGACCATGGTGAGACGAGAACTCAAAAACCTTGGTCGCGGTCTTGTCGGCAAGGAGGCGGCGAGACAGCAAGCGGAAGCAAATGGGACGAGTCTCATAGATGAGCACAACGAGGTCGACCCAACCAAGGTCATGATCAGTGGCGAAGAGACTGATCAGATCAATGCCATGCTTGGGCCACAAGTTTATGCGGACGACGATGATGCCGATGCAGAACTCATCAATCGTGGCATGCGGCTCAACGAAGCGAAGAAGCTCAAGAAACAGCGCCTTCTAGAAGAACAAGCTTTGCAAGCACAGTTAGCGCGTGAGCAAGGCGTAGAATATCATCCTGAGGGCAGCAAATCCCTGCTGGGATCTCCGGAGAACCAGAAAAAACGCAAAAGGGAGGCCACACCAGCAGTAGGCTCGTCAAAAATTGCAAACCCGAAATCACCTGAAGTCAAAGCGAATCCAGTCAAACGACTGAAGCTCACTGGGCCTAGCAGTGCCCCTACGACTTCCAAGATTCCTCTAGCTCCGGCTGGTGTTCCACCCTCCTCTAAGCCTGCCACATCTAGCCGCAGCCGGCAAGCAGCTACGCCTCCAGCAACCAGGAGACCAACCATCACCATCAAAGTGGGAAAAGCGGTTTCAGAGGAGCCACCTAATAGACGGCAAAGTCTACGCAGGAATAGTAACGTCAGCTTGCCGAGCAATAGCGTACCATCTGCCAGCACTCCGACTTCGCCTAAGAGCACAGGGACGAGCAAAGATGCCATAACTAAAAGTGGCCGTAGGAGCAAACGTCCTCCACCTGGCGTCATCACTAACAACGACAATGACAGTGCGAAGGCGACCATTTCGCAACGAAAGACAGCCCCGAATAGAAAGCGAGGTCAAACGACGAAGACGGACTCGGCTGTGCCGCCAGATCAGCCTGGCCTTGGTGCAGTAGAGGCACCGGAGGAGTATATCGATCCGGATGAGCCGCGCTACTGTATCTGTGGCGATGTAAGTTGGGGCACTATGATTGCGTGCGACAACGAGGCAGATTGCGAGAAGGAATGGTTTCACCTAGACTGCGTGCAGCTTACGGACCTTCCACCTCGACGGACTAAGTGGTATTGTCCAGACTGCAGGAAGAAACTCAAGGTCGGACAGACGACAAATGGCTTGGTGAAGTAGCGGCTGCTACAAATGGCTTGGTGAAGTAGCGGCTGCTACAGATAGCACTTCGTGCATCTTGATACATGTAGGATTTGAGCGAGGGAAATCGTTGTACTCAATTGTCAGAGTGCCGCATAGACATCTTGGACCGGCCATAGAACGAGGAGAGCATACAACGTTGTAGGGGGTATAATAGCAGCAGTATGAGCAGGCCCCGCCCGCCGCCATTTTCGGTCTCCGTGCAAAATGTTAGCATCGCCCCCGCCGCGTCATACTTTGCGTCGGGATTTAGTGCCAGTTCTAGCGTAACTAAGCCTCGTGGCGCACATGTTACCTTACCTTACCTAAGTACCTAGGTAGGTACCTACCTTACCTACCAACCAGGCAGCACTTTGAGCATTCACAAACACTTACACAATCGCTTTCGCTGCAACTGCTCGCGCATGCTAGTAGATACATCGACATCATGTTCCGAGCACAGAGCTCTCCCATGGACGATGCCATCGGTAAGTACTCCGTTGTATTGCAGTGCTTGAGTACGGCCTCCAATCATACGTGCTCACAATCAAGCACAGTCAAGGCAACCGACGAGAACCTCACGAGCGAAAACTGGGAGTACATCCTCGATGTCTGCGATCGCGTGTCTGCAAACTCATCAGGCCCTGCACAGGCAACTGCAGCGCTGATCAAACGACTGGCCCATCGAAATGCCAATGTACAGCTCTACACGCTTGAGCTCGCCAACGCACTCTCCCAGAACTGCGGACCGCCTCTGCACCGCGAACTTGCTTCTAAGGCCTTTACCGATGCACTGCTACGACTAGCTGGAGACCGTACGACCCATGCGCAGGTGAAGCAGAAGGTGCTCGAGCGCATGAGTGGCTGGTCTGAGGAGTTCAGATCCTCGCCAGAGCTGGGCATCATGGAGCAGGCATACCAGAAACTGCGAACGCAGCAACCCGGCCTGATGCCTCCTAGCAAGCCCGTGAAGAAGGAGATCAGTGGCGATGACCGGCGCAAGGAGGAAGAAGAGCTGCAGATGGCGCTGGCCCTGAGCATCAAGGACAAGGGACCTGCAGGAGACACAACGCACTCCAGTAGCAATATTCAGCAACAGGCGCAGGATCAGGCTGTGTCGCCCGCGACTCAGCAAGGTACCACGGCCGCAACGGTGAGCAGAGTAAGAGCACTGTACGATTTCACTCCCTCGGAGCCGGGAGAACTTGCCTTCCGCAAGAACGACATCATTGCGGTGCTAGAGTCTGTGTACAAGGATTGGTGGAAAGGCAGCCTGCGTGGGCAAACGGGCATATTCCCGCTCAACTACGTTGAGAAGCTGCAGGATCCGACCAAGGAAGAACTTGAGCGTGATGCACAAATGGAGGCGGAAGTGTTTGGAGAGATCAAAAGCGTGGAGAAACTGCTGGCGCTCTTGAGTGTAGGCGGCGAAGGCGGTGGAAGGAGAGGCGAGCGTGAAGAAGAGGAGATTGGTGAGCTCTATCAACGAACGCTTGGGATCCGGCCCAAGCTGATAGAGCTCATTGCGAGCTTCATCATTTCCCGGCCCTCCCAAAGGTTGCGACTGCTGCGGGTGATAAGCCTGATAGGGAGCCTGTCCAAGTGGAATACTGGAATTGGTAGGTATGCCCGGCGGTGCTACCTGCGGCTGTGGAGGTGCCTGCTGCGGTGCAAGCTGCCCGTCGGTAGGCGCTGAGTACATGTTCGGTGGGGATTCGAAGCTTTGGGTCCGCTGTCGACTCAGATCCTCTCTACTGGCATTGGGATGTTGTGGGGGCGCGTGCTGCAGTTGAGGCGGCTGCGATGCCTGATGATGATGATGATGATGATGATGTTGTTGTTGTTGATGATGCTGATGATGTTGAGGCGGATATGCATCATAGGATTGTGCCGGAGCTTGTTGTGACGGTGGCGCCGTCTGTGCAGTAGGATATGAACGTCGATTGTCCACGGGCGACTCGTAACCACCAGTGGCAAGCTCTTGAGGGTTCCCGGAATTCAAAGTATGTATGGAGTTGGGCCTGATCTGTCCAGCGAAGCCTTGACCGGCAATGTGAGGGTATGGACCACTTGCTGATGCATTGGGGCTGGGTTTTCGTCTGACTTCGTTGACAGCTGGTGGCGGCACTCCTCCAGGTAGGAAGTGGAAAGGCGCCGGTCCGTTGGCTGCTGCGTTCGATGAAGTTGGCCCATTCTGCTGTGGATAAGGACTGGAGAATCCTGGCTGTTGTGCAGATACTTGCTCTGCGGGGGCGGGAGAGTAGTAGCGCTGCGGATCTTGCTGTGGTGGAAGGTGCTGCTGGCTTTGTGAAAATGCCTGTGTCGGCGGCTGAGAGTGTTCTGCTGGTGGCGGTCCCTGTGCAGCGATATGCGGGTGCTGCTGGTAGCCTTGTGGTGGGCCATAGTTTTGCGGATGCTGAAATTGTGCTGGCAGTCTGGATCGAACGGGATACTGCTGATGATATGGAGGTTGGGACATGGATGATTCAAGGAGTGCTTCGTAATCCCTGCGCGCCTTGATGAACTTCTCGTTCAGCTGTGTGAAGTCGTCTGTGGTCTGTCAGTGTTGCGTCCTGTCAGCCCAATCCGAGAACATATTCACCTTTCTTTTGCGAATATCAGACCCAGGCGATTTTTACAGGTAGCGAGAAACGTAGGCCCGTTAATGTGACATATCAGATACCCAGGTTGCGAGTGTCGTAATGGGAGGTAGCGCAAACAATGATGCATGCTTATCGAGTGTTATCTGTATGTGGCCCAGATAGGCAAGCCGTTCATTTCTTCCATGAGAGAGTTGTGGGCAGGCTCGTTGAGAGGAAGTAGGTAAGGTAGGTAGGTACGTCTTAGGGTAGGAATGCAGGCGTTTGGTGGTGCAGCTGAGACGGCACACAGCAAGCAAGAGCGGGCGTGGTGCTACTGGGAGCATTTCTTGCAACATCACATTCACCGGCTGGCGGCACTGGAGACTGGGCATTGGAAGCACATGTGACCCGTGAGGTGGAGTGGAGATGATTTGGAGTCGCTTGTGAGGCGGGCCAAGGTCCAGCCTCCAGATCGGTCGTCGCACGAGCGCAAAAAGACGCAAGACGCAAGGCGCGAGGGATCACAGGATGGGGGATGAGGGATGGTTGTGGACCAGCAAAGAGAGATTGGGATATGCGCTCATGGACAGAGAGCAAGCATGCCCGGGCGTGGATGTGAGAGGGCTGTATGTGTATCAGGTAGACTGGTCGCGAGCGCCACATTATAATCATTTTGCGCAAACAGGAAACGGTCGAGTTCTGGGCCCCGACGAGCTGTGATGAGCGTGTGAGTAGTCAGGACCGTACCGTAGGTAGGTCAGGTAGGTAGGTACAGGTAGTATACATGTACCTGGTACGATAGTGTCTGAGGCTGTGATGAGCGGGTTGATGAGCCACGTCGACGGGAGCAGGAGGTGAAGGTGGTGGCCAGGATGTGCTGAGCAGGTCCAGCAAGAGTGAGCACAAGTCCGTCACACTAGCAGGGATGGTCCGCTCTCGACACGAGAAGCAGGGAAACGGCCGGCGCTTGTTTTTGTTTGGAGGGCGCCTTGGCACTTTCATCCTCCACTTCCGTCCCACACGTCCCGTCAGGTACAGGGTGATTGGGCGGGTACAATGATCCCGCATCCAGAGTACTAAGGTACTGTCTTGTATTAAAATGTAGAGCATTGAGCAATACGAGAGTCTAGAGAATTGCTTCATCGCTCCGCTCCGTACGACAGACATCGAGCCAGGTATTTACATACATGTACCTATACTGTAGAGGCGATCGCTTACCGTGGCCAGAACGAAGCAACACAGCCCAGAGGGGAGGGACATACCGGCAACGAGGCCAGCACAGATTACAGAGCCGACAGCAAGCCGTAGTCAGCTTCCTAGGTACATGTACCTAGTAAGGTAGTAAGTACTTCCTTAGGGTTTGGTATAAGAGGGTAATAAGGTAGTATCCTACTGCGCCTTAGCTATGTAAGGTAGGCAGCAGGCCTCCGTGTCAAGTCGGGTGTCAATACCTACCTCCACCTTACCTAGGCTTGTCCCTACTGTACTGTGGTGTGGTAAGGCAAGGTAAGGTGGGGGGCAGTCAAAGCCGTGTGAGTGCAATCGGGCAGTACCTCCTACATGTAGGTACAGGTACAGTAGGTGGTGAATCAATAATTGATAAAGGGAATTGGGCGACGATTGATCCACCTTATTCAAAACCCCCGTCACCCCATCGAATCCATTAGGTAGCTTAGGTAGGCAGGTATTACCTTATACAGTAGACCATTCAGCGCCACCCGCTCTGCACTGCGTCGCTCTGTAACACTGTGGTACCCTGTCGCTGCTGTCCAGATTCGTTTCTGGGTGGCCCGCGTGCGTTGAAAGCGTTTGTCCCAGGGACTCTCTCCACTCTCCATTTCGTATTATTGCATTGTTCTCAGACGACTTTCTGAAAGACATGACTACAGACCGTCGCCGGCTGAAGAAACCTCCTCCACCCAAGCCCAACAAGAAGTCCCCCACTGCTAAGCCTAGTGCTGCTACGCCTACTCCATCCTCATCAGCAGCAGCCCATCCGCACCCGCACCCGTACCTCGCTTCGGCGTCGTCGTCGTCGTCGTCGCCGCCGCCCCCCGAACCGCGCAAGAACAGCTCCGCTGCTCGCGAACGACTGCACCCGCCGCATGCACCGCCAGACGAGCACCCTCGTCGCGCGCGTTCCCAGCGCACCCACCACCACCACCCTCATCACCACTCCCACCAGCAGCAGCAGCGGCGCTCGTTGTCCAAAGTCCGCCACCAGCATCCTGGCCGCTCCACTGACGCTGGAACGGAACCTGTTTTTCGAGCAGCTGCTGGCAACCGCCCGCTCTCAGTAACGCAGCGCACTTCACGTGAGCTTTTCGGCGACAACTTCGATGCAGACACGCTATTGGCCATAAACGCCATCTACGCCAACGACGCCAACGACGCCAATAACACTGCTGCGCAGCAATCGACGCCGGCGAATTACGCAGACGCGCCGGGCGCAGCACGAGCGCAGCTTCAGCAGCCGTCGGAACCGTCGTCTGCTGCAACGCTATCGCAAACAGATCAGACCACTGGAAACCACAGCTCGGAGGCTGCCAATCCCGCAGTGCGTTTGTCGCAGATACTGGGCGAGGCAGGCATGGACGGGCTCACGTCGCCAAATGGCATCAATTCGCGCCAGAGGTACAGCGACGAGACGAAGGAGAGCAAAGTGCTGAAAAAGAAGAGCGGCTTTTCAAGCCTGATGTCAAGCCTGGTCGGTGCGCCACGAAAGCCTACCATATCAGCACCTGAGAACCCCGTGCACGTCACGCACGTGGGCTATGATCAAGAGACTGGAGAATTCACGGTAGGCCTGAGCGCAAAAAGGGCTTGTTTAGGACAGGGCGTTGACACGACGGCTACTAATTGAGAATGTAGGGACTTCCCAAGGAGTGGCAGAGGACTCTACAAGCCAACGGCATCACCGAACAGGAGCAGAAGAAGAATCCACAGGCAATCATCGATGTTGTCACGTTCTTCAATGAGAACAATGACAATGGTAGTGATGACTGGACGTATCACAAATTTGATCATGCGAAACCATCGGAAAGCCCGCAGGGCTATCAGTCTGCTCTGAGTCCAGGAGGGTATGTGTTGAGTCCGCCTGCAAGTCCACGGTTTCCCAAGAACGAAGGCGAGAGCTTCGAGAACCCCAGAGCGCCGCCACCCGTACCGCGAGGATCAAGTCAAGGCTATGGCATGAGCTCACCCATCAGTCCTCAAATGAATGGCAACATGCTGCCCTTGCGGCCTGCACCTAGACCACCCGGAAGCCAATCATCCAATATGATTCCACAACGACCAGCACCGCCAGTGCCAGGTTCGCAAAGAGATCAGCCTCGCACTGAAGATGGATTGCCAGCTGTCAGATACGCGCCACCTACTGTAACAGACATCTCATCAAATACCCAGCCCATGCAGAACAGGAGTCGTGCCAACACAGGACCAACGTACCAGTCCCAGCAACAGCAGCAGTCTCCTATATCTTCTCCGCACCAGTATCAGCAACAGCAAGAGCAGGCCATGAAAGCAGCCCAGCAAGCACTCAAGCAGGCGTCGCTAGAGCGTTCACAATCGCAACGACACCCATCCAACAACGCCTCGCACCATGAACAACAGCAGCAGCAGCAGATAGCACCTGCCTCATCCGATACACGCCAAGTACCACATCCTGCGGCTGTCGATCCCAGGGTCGGCCCTGCACCTAGACCTCGACAGCGTCCTCGCCAATCAATCACTAATGCGGAAGTCCTTAATAAGCTCCAGCATATCTGTAATGCGGCCGATCCTACTAAAAAATACCGCAATCTCATCAAAATCGGCCAGGGAGCTTCTGGTGGTGTGTACACAGCCTTTGAAGTCGGGACGAATAAGTGTGTGGCCATCAAGCAGATGAACCTGGAGCAGCAGCCCAAGAAGGATCTGATCATCAACGAAATCCTGGTCATGAAGGACAGCAAGCATAAGAACGTGGTCAATTTCATGGACAGCTTCCTCGTCAAAGGTGACTTGTGGGTGGTCATGGAGTACATGGAAGGTGGCAGTCTGACTGATGTGGTGACATTTAACATGATGTCCGAGGGCCAGATCTCGGCAGTCTGCCGAGAGACACTTCATGGCCTGCAGTTTCTGCATTCCAAGGGCGTCATCCATCGCGACATCAAGTCTGACAATATCCTGCTGTCGTTGGAAGGCAGCATCAAGCTGACGGATTTTGGATTCTGCGCCCAGATTAATGAGTCGCATATGAAGCGTACCACCATGGTTGGGACACCGTATTGGATGGCACCGGAAGTGGTCACGAGGAAGGAGTACGGTCGAAAGATTGACATTTGGTCACTTGGCATCATGGCCATTGAGATGATCGAAGGAGAGCCGCCATACCTCACGGAATCCCCACTCCGTGCTCTGTATCTCATCGCGACTAACGGTACGCCCACGATCAAAGAGGAGCATAATCTCACGCCAGTCTTCCGAGACTTTTTGCAATTTGCGCTCAAGGTCGATCCGGAGAAGAGAGCATCGGCCCATGATCTTTTGAAGGTACGTTGAGAGCGAATCATTTTGGAAGGAGGAGAATGGTGATGATGATGATGATGATGAATACTGACAAGTGTGTAGCACGCTTTCATCCAGACAGCTGAGCCTCTCGCAACCCTGGCACCATTGGTTAAGGCAGCTCGGCTTGCTCGAGCAGAGGAACGCAAGAACAAAGGTTGAAAAGGAATCTGACGAGTCAATGGCAACGAGTCAGATAGGGCCAGGATATATATCATCGCGGCAGACCACTTGACTTGACGCAAACCACGACAGAACACTCGGCCGGCTACTGATGCGTGGACGAGAGCGGCGATGGGGTGGGGTGGGAGTGTGGCCCGGCCCATAAGCTTCGGGCATTCACCGTCCTTTTGCTAGACGAACAAAGTGCAGAGAAGATACATGATGCGATCGGGGGACCACGACAGAACGCTGGGGGAGCCCTGACGGCAGCGTGCGCGGGCTATAGAGGGTACGGAGTTATGATGGCATGAAGAAGCGACGGCGCGGTGGGAATGGGAGTGAAAAGAGATTCTTTGGTTATTAGTATATCTAAAGCCCGCCCACTCGATGGAAGCAGCGTGAGGCTCCAAAGCAAATGACACGATCAATTGCAACCTACCATGATGTCAGCGGCGTGCGCTGCGATGTTTTTTCAACTTCCGTTCAGTTTGTATGTACCTCAGGAGGTAGGCAGGCAGCGGAGTCCGAGACAGAGATAAAGTCCGAGAGGGAGGCGGAGGAGGGTGAGGTGGAGGCGGAGGAAGAGTCAGGTACAGGCACAGTACAGGAGGAGGAGGAAGAGGAAGAGGAGGAGGGGGGCATCGGAGCTGGGATACGGCAACTACAGTAGTAACAGTACGGTATGTCCAGTTCCGAAAGGCAAGATTTGGCACCCGGAACGACCCAATCGGAGTCCAGCGAGATAACGTGACCCTGACCAAGGCCAGACTGGGGGAGTTTAGGGGGGTGGGCCGCGATACATCCACCAGATGCATAGTGTGGACTGTGGACATCCACCGCGTCCACCCTCCACCAAAAGTCTCTCTCCAAGACTTGCCCAAGCTGCCGTACCGCCAACCGCGTAGGGAGAGAGGGAGAGTGGGCGCACACTCGATTGATGGAGAAGGGTATGCTGATATATCAAGGAGCCAACGACCGATCGGACGCCTTGGCAAGTGGTCCCAGACAGCAAAATGTGGAACGGGACAAATCCGAGCTGCCTGAATTCGTGGCCGTTTGTCTGCTTGCCTGCGTGCCCAGTATATGCATAAGTTTATGCACTGTACACAGAGCTGCGGTGGACGTCCACGGTGGATCCACACCCACTCTAGTAATTATTATTATTATGATTATTATCATAGGTGTACGAACAACATCCTCTCCCCGCTACCTCCGTACACTCTTGTCTCGCCGTCTCTGAACTCCAATTGACACCTGTGCTGCCTCCCTCTGCTATCCTCCTCCTCCTCCCGCTGTCGACACATTCCGATCCCACAGCACACAGGCACCCTTCCGCCACACAGACACACACGAGCACCTCGCCGCCGCTGCCGACCATGGCCGAGTCGAAGGAGTTCACGTACTCCGATGTCAGCGAGCACACATCGAAGAAGGATCTGTACATGGTGATCCACGACAAGGTATACAACACGTCGAGCTTCGTAGATGAGCACCCGTACGTATCGCATCGTGCCTGGACACTCGTATGCGGTCAGCTGACGTGGGACATTGCAGAGGTGGTGAAGAGGTCCTGCTTGATGTCGGCGGGCAGGATGCCACCGAGGCCTTTGAAGACGTGGGACACAGCGACGAGGCTCGAGAGATCCTGGATGGCTTACTGATTGGTACCCTCAAGCGACAGGTGAGCGCACGCTATGCTGGGTCCTACCAATATTGGATAACCGACACCAATACTCGTGAGACGCGCAATGGATGATGATTGAGCTGATGTGTTGCCTTTAGGCGGGCGATCCACAACCCAAGACTGCAGCGCAACAAGTCGCGGATGCTCGCAAGTCCTCCACTGCCTCTGGTGGACTCGGCGCTGGGGTGTACGCCGTTGTTCTCGTTGGAGCCGCCCTTGCATTTTTCGCCTACCAGCAACTCCAGTCGAGCCAGAATAAGTCGTAGAAAGGCTGCGAGGTATGCCGAAAGAGCAGAAGTCAGAAAGCTCCTGCCAATACAAATCCAATTAGTACCACTGCACCAGCGGTGAAACATGTTGATATAGGTCGGAAACGCTGGCGTTTGTTCATGAATTGCATCTTATCACACTCAAACAACGACTGAGCGGAGCGGGGACCACTGCGATAGACCTTTGTCAATTTCGAAGCAACACTGAATAATCTTCACTGTCACGTCTTGCGCCGCCTCACGGCTTACGGCCTACAGCTACGAACACAACGCCCTCTAGCTCGCCTGGCGACGCTGGACAGTATACTCTTTCCGTCCATCCGTCAATCACCTCTCTCAGTTTCGTCACACCTCTTGTCGCCGACCCAGTCGCTTCAAGCCTGATTGACCATATAAGGCAGGCATCTGTACCATCAAAAGATGGATTATAGCGGAATCAAAAACTAACGCATATTCGCCTCACACTTTCAAACTAAAAGTCAAAAATCCAACAAAAACCAGCTGTTATTACCTATGAGGTAGTTCTTTTCTCCTCGCGCTTCCTGAATCTATATATCTCAATATCAAAACTCCAACGTCAGATCTGATTTGGATTATGTATACTATACAGTACTTGATGTAAGTAATTTTCAAAAGTCTATAGTAAAAAGCGTCGAGAGCACTGAGTTAGGTTGCTCCTCCTTGGTATACGTTCGGTTGCCTACCTACCTTGATAGCAGTAGAAGAGAGCGGGATTTCTTTTGATTTCTCTCTCTCTCTCTCTCTCTCTCTCTCTCTCTCTCTCTCTCTACTACTACTACTACTACTACTACTACTACTACTAC